TGCCGTGATAGCTGCGGGCTATGTTCTTGTAAAGGTACAGTATTTTTCTTCAGGTTCTTATTCAATAAATATGTCTATCTATACTAGTGTTGAGGAAACTCCTTTGCAGGGTCTCGAGGATCCTACAAGGAGCAAATATAAGCTTTTGCTAGGCTGTTCACTAATCATCACCTCAGTGATCCCGCCCGAATTGCCTATGGAATTATCCATTGCTGTCAATACGTCATTAATTGCTCTTGCACGACGTGGGATATTTTGCACAGAGCCTTTTAGGATCCCTTTTGCCGGGAAGGTATTATCTATCGTGCCTCATTTGACTATTTGTTGGTCTTAAGTACTCTAGATGTTGAGCCTGCGACACTCTTAAAGGAATCAGTATTCATTCTTGATTGTACTCTGGTCTTACTAGTGTCATACTCTCCCTTTGTTGACAGGTTGATTTGTGTTGTTTCGATAAGACTGGTACACTCACGTCAGATGACATGGTAAGGTCGATTAAAAGTTCTGGGTATATGGTTGCTTGATTTTGCTTATGATTAATCCCTTATTGTTGCTGCTACATAGGAGTTCCGAGGAGTTGGGGGCTTGTCTAATAGTGAAGAAGCAGAGACTGATATGAGCAAGGTTCCTGTACGCACATTGGAAATTTTGGCTTCTTGTCATGCCTTGGTCTTTGTAGACAACAAGTTGGTATGAACAACACAATTTCTTTTCCTTTTTGACATAGGAAAACTCATTTTCCTGGTATTAGTTTTTGGGCTGTGAGAAACTTGACTATTGTGAATCTTTTGATCTATGCGCAAATGTTTTCCTATATTTCCGATATGTGATTTCCATGTAGTATACTTCTTACTTCAGAAAGTTTGAAATGAATCCTAATGTCAGAGTCCGCATGTGATACATGTACTAATAGTCATCTTTCTGAAACCGGTTGTGTTTTGCTTTTGCATCACGAATCATCATTAAAAAATCCGTCATGTCTTACTCTGTTTTTCAATACTTACAGGTTGGTGATCCTCTTGAGAAGGCTGCACTTAAAGGAATTGACTGGAGTTACAAAGCTGATGAAAAGGCCTTGCCTAGAAGGTGATTATTGTTATTTTATTTATCTCTTAACCTATTGTTCTGATTTTGTCTATTTTGCTATTTTTATTAATTATTTGTTTGAAGAGCGTTCTGCGCACATATGAAGAAGCTATTTCTTATTGTTGTGTGTTATCTGCTGCAGAGGAAATGGTAACTCGGTGCAGATTATGCAGAGATACCATTTTGCTTCGCATCTGAAGAGAATGTCTGTTATCGTTCGTATTCAGGAGGAATATTTGGTGTTTGTGAAGGTCTGCTTAATAGATCATACTTGTACAATAAATATTTATCAGTAAATCCCAAATGTTGGATGCTTATATTTTGACTTATATTTCAGGGTGCGCCAGAGACAATCCAAGAGAGGCTTGTGGATGTGCCAGCACAATATATCGAAACATATAAGAGATACACACGCCAAGGATCTCGGGTTCTAGCCCTTGCGTATAAACGACTTCCTGATATGATGGTAGTTACACAGTCTCATGAACTCCTTGGAAAACTTGATTAATGTCATTTTACCAAGAAACCTGTCAGTAATTGACAATAGAATTTCACTTGAGATCTGTGTGTGAATCTGTATTGTACAACCTAAATTTATGTCAGAAGTCGAAGCTCCCTTAAGTTAGCTATCTGCTTTTGTAGTTGTTATGCCTCTTGATTTGTTCATTTTGTAGTTAACAATATAAACAGCCAGCTTCATGTTGTTCTTGATTATGCAAGCTTCTGCCCACATGCTTCTAAGTTGTACTTGACACTATCCTATATAATGATAACCAGGTCAGTGAAGCTAGGGACATGGACAGAGATGCTGTTGAGAGTGACCTTACTTTTGCTGGGTTTGCGGTAATGACATAATTCTCTATGGAGCTTTATTTTCTTCATATATATGGTAATCGATGGTCTGGTATCAACATTGGGTTGTAATGGATTAATCATGCATCACAGGTCTTCAACTGCCCCATTAGACCAGATTCAGCCCCCGTTCTCTTGGAGTTGAAGAATTCATCCCATGATTTGGTAATTCATACTGTGTATCTTGTAATGCGCACACACTCATAGATTATTGGACCTCCTATCACTACCAGTGGTTCATTCAGTTCCTTTTCTACTCAGTACAAAATTATCCGTAAAGCAGCTTTCTCATTATTCCATTAAAGAATTATAATTGAGTGTAGATATAGGCATATACATATATTTAGGGTTCTTTGATTTCTGCTTTCAGTCTTCATGTCTTTGTTTCGCAGGATACTCATTCAATCTTATATTATTAAATACACATGATCAAATACTCATTCAATTTCATGATTCCAGGTGATGATAACAGGTGATCAAGCTTTGACAGCTTGTCATGTTGCAGGCCAAGTGCATATTGTATCAAACCCAGTTTTAATTCTTGGTCGATCAGGGACTGGTAACGAATATAAGTGGATGTCACCTGATGAGAAGGAGATCATACCCTACAGGTGCAGTCTTATTTTTAACACAGTTACTCTAGGATTAAAGCAAATTTATGTTCTCATGTTGTATAATCTTAGGTAGTCACATGATACCAGCAGTATTTGTTTTCACAATAATCTCTCTTTCTCCATGCTGCCGTTTTTAACTTTTTATCTGTCACTGAAGTGTGCGCCTCTTGGTGTGGTGTTTTAACTTTGACTTGCAATATTTAGCTCTATATGTAATGATTGCTCAAGTGGAAAAAATCGGACACTTAAGATGGTTTCTTTCATTCTCCTGCTTCTGACTGAGAAAGGATGATCTGGTTATTGTTTTCAGTGAAAAAGATATTGAAACCCTTGCAGAGACCCATGATTTATGCATTGGAGGTGACAGCATTGAAATGCTACAGGCTACATCTGCTGTTTTGCGAGTCATTCCGTTTGTTAAGGTATATACACCTTGTTATCTTTATCACGTGGTTTTGTATTTCTTAGTAACCTATAAATAATAGAGTCTGAAGCATTATATATTTTTCATATCAGGTTTTTGCGAGAGTTGCTCCACAGCAGAAGGAGCTGATCTTAACCACCTTCAAAGCGGTAGGCAGAGGGACTCTGATGTGTGGGGATGGGACAAATGATGTCGGAGCATTGAAGCAGGTAGGGCTTATAAGACTTTCATATGCCATGCAAATGATGCCTTCGCTTTATTTTATTTCTTTTGATTTTTTTTTTCCAATATTGAAGGCCCATGTTGGAGTTGCCTTACTGAATACTATACCTCCCTCGTCTCCATCGGATTCGTCTAAAGATGACAAGTCGAAGTCAAAAAAGTCTAAACTGCCACTAGAACCAGCAAGCAAAACTATAATTCAGAATGGGGAAGGATCATCAAAAGGAAAGATTCCGCCCCAAAACCGTCACTTAACTGCTGCGGAATTGCAAAGACAAAAGTTGAAGAAGATGATGGATGAACTAAACAGTGATGAAGGTGATGGCCGGTCAGCTCCCCTAGTCAAACTTGGGGATGCATCAATGGCATCCCCCTTCACAGCTAAACATGCGTCGGTTGCCCCAGTGACAGACATAATCCGACAGGGTCGTAGTACACTTGTGACGACTCTTCAGATGTTCAAAATTCTCGGTCTGAACTGTCTCGCGACAGCTTATGTCCTTAGTGTTATGTACTTAGACGGTGTAAAGCTCGGTGATGTCCAGGCTACAATCAGCGGAGTATTAACAGCTGCGTTTTTCCTCTTCATTTCTCATGCCCGACCGCTTCAAACCCTCTCTGCAGAACGACCCCACCCGAGTGTCTTCTCCGTGTACCTCTTCCTCTCTCTGCTAGGACAGTTTGCTGTTCACTTGACCTTCTTGATCTACTCTGTGAAGGAAGCTGAGAAACACATGCCCGAGGAATGCATCGAACCAGATGCAAGTTTCCATCCTAATCTGGTGAACACAGTGTCGTACATGGTGAGCATGATGCTTCAGGTTGCTACATTTGCTGTGAACTACATGGGACATCCCTTTAACCAGAGTATCAGAGAAAACAAACCGTTCTTCTACGCACTCATTGCTGGAGCAGGGTTCTTCACCGTCATCGCCTCTGATCTCTTTAGAGACCTGAACGATTCGCTCAAGTTAGTTCCATTACCTCAAGGTCTGAGGGATAAGCTTCTCCTCTGGGCCTCACTTATGTTCATCATCTGCTACTCGTGGGAGCGGTTACTCAGGTGGGCTTTCCCCGGTAAAATCTCTTCTTGGAAACATAAGCAAAGAGCTGTCACTGCAAATCTGGAGAAGAAGAAGAAAGTTTGAAGAGAAGCAAACAGGTTAGGTTGAGGTAATAATCATCAATCCATACATTTTTTAGTCGAGAAAGATGTTTGTTTTTGGGGATCTTGTTTTGCAGAAAGCTTCCAAAAAAAAAAAAACATGAGCATTTTTCCCATAGGTCTCCTCTAATGGTTAGACATTTTGTCTCATTACCTTATTTTGTCACTCTCTAAGAACCACATTTTCCATATCCTTACACTAAATCTAAGGGTTTTCATTATTAGTCTCTGTAATTGTTTCTTTACTTGCTTTCTTTGTATAATTAATTATAGAACTCTTAATATAACGTGTATCCGTGCAAAGAGCAGAAGACGACAAACAAAAGTAAATTCCATCTTCACCAAAAACGTAGTAAATAATCTTCTGTGATAAGGTCCACAGTAGATTTGGAGAGATTGACCACGCGTCAGTATAACATTGGTTTCTACAACTGTTAATTCATGCGATTTAAAAAAAAATAACTTTAGGAAAAAATACCAATAACGGCAAAATTGAAAAGGGGGAAGAAGAGCAGAATTTAGGGATTTTGGCGGCTTTAGGGCTCTCTCTCAGTCTCTCTACTTGCGCTGCTTTTTCCATTTCCCTCTCTGCTCTCTGGCCTTTGTCTTGTCTTCTTCGTCTTCTCTATCTCGATTCTACGGTGTCGCTCTGATCCCTAAATTTCTAGGTTTTACCATTTTCTGTTTCCAATTTCAATCGCGATCCGTGCTTTTTCGATGTCGTCGATTTCGATGCTGTGATAAAGAGTTACGCCGTCGTCTCTCAGTGTTTTCGGGTGTGTTAAAAAATGTCGCCTCCTCTCCGAGAAAAAACCCTAGCCGCGATCTATAATCTGTTGAGTTTTTTTTTTTGTCTTCTTCTTAATTTCTTCAATCATTTCTAGTTTCTAGGTGATTCTCGAGCTAAAATTTTGACTCTTTGTTTTTGTTGTCGCGTGAAATTTTTCACAGAAACAGAAACCGCCGGAGGCGTTCTGACAAGAAGATTTGTCGGAAGGAGCTGAATGATTCTGCTATGGCTGCTGGTCCGGTTGTTATCAAGCACGAAGCTGAAGATACTCCTGGAGAAGAAAAAGAAGAAGAAGGTAACACCTCTGGAAACAACGCCTTGGTTGAAGTCAAGTTAGAGAAGGAAGAAGAACTTGGGCTTCTCGTAACCTGTGGAATCCACAAACGAAAACGACTCTCTCGTGGAGGAAGATCTCGAAGATATTCAGACTCCAGCTTCGAGGAGAAGCCGCTTATTATCCTTCCCAAAAACAAGCAGCCGAGAGTATTAACCACTCGATGGAACAATGAAAGGTAGTAAAACGACCAAACCCCTTTAGTTTCATGTCTTGATTTCATGTTTCTGTATGAAGAGAGCAGTTTTATTTTATTTTATGCAGGATTAAGTTTGCCGAGGAAACATTAGCGGATGTTTTGAAGGAGAAAGGTGCTACTTTGGAAACACCTGTTACGCGACAACTGTTAAGAGTCATTGCTCGAAGCAAGATAGGTGATACTGGGCTCTTGGATCATTGCTTGAAGCACATGGATGGCAAAGTAACACCAGGTGGTGCTGATCGGTTTAGGAGGTGTTACAATACTGATGGATGCATGCAGTATTGGCTAGAGAGTGCTGACCTTGTCAAAATTAAACTTGAATCTGGAATTCCTGATCCTAATTGGGTTCCCCCATCTTGGTGGAAGGTTCAGACTGCATCACATGATCCATCTGCGGTTTCGTCGAAGCTTCTTATGGGAGAGATTGAGCAAATGAAGAGGTAATATTGCTTGCAACATTCTGAGGTTCGATTATTTGCTTTCCTTGAATTGTGTGCTTGGAATCTCATTTCTTTTGTGGTAAGCAGTGATATCAAAGAACTCGCATTAAAGCAAAAGTTACCAGATCATGCTGATGCAAATGAGGTGACTTTGCGATCTTTTTTCTTTTTCTGTTGGAGGAATGTGTTAAGATAAGCGTATTAGAGATTCAAAACTTTTTTTGTTTGCATTTCTCTCTAGAAACTATGCAAGGATCTTATGAGTTGGAGGGTAAACACTGATAAGCAAATCGTGGAGATCACGAAATCGTTGACTTCAACTCAGGTCGAGACTATGAGCAAGTTGAAATTATTTGTTTAAAGCTTCTTGACTAGGGATGATTTTTAACCTGATTAAGCTTTTGTCTACCATATCTCACTTATTCACAGGTCATGTTCAAGGATTTGATTTCGTGGAAAGATAAAGTAGATCAGCAGCTGGGGGTTATAACAAACACGCTGAGCAATCTGCAGCCGAATGGTAGCACGTCATTTAGTCCAGCTCCTGAAAATTGGGAAAATTTATTGAGGAATGCCAATATGGATGATTTTACGGAGTGGGATGACCTTATTGATGGTCTACCAGAGGCTGTCAGGCCGGAAACCTACGCCCTTCCAACAAATCCTTGCAAAAGCTCTTTCCAAGACCATACCTTGGTTGAGGAACAGTCGTTGGTCAACATCGATATGCAAATGACAGACAGGTTAGAGCAGTTGTTTGTTTGTTTTGGTCCAAGAATAGGGTTTTATGGTTCATTATTGTCTAATATATTGTTTCTCTATTTAGCTGCATGACTAGAGGCGAATCCAGAAGCTCCAGTCAGGACAAAGCTGAAATGACTCCAGGTTCTTCGATTACTGCAGGTCCAAAATCAGATATTGATGACCCAACTATCCAGACTCAGGTGAGTTTGTCAAACATATTAGAAGCATTGGTCTGGTGTTTCAGTTAAACTGGATGATCAATTTTGGAAAACCCTCTAGCCTCAAGATCAATCTTGATCAGCACATATTGTCACAGTCTTTGCTTCGTTCACTACCACTCATTGCATCAGATCTTAACGGGCAATTTTTCCAAAGCTTCACATTACCTTTACGTGATGTTAAGGAATCAATATCTGAGAGTTATACTTGTACAGGAAACCTTGAAGGAGTTGGTGACTTGGAAAGCCAAAGCGGAGCAGCAGCTAACGGAATTGACAAACGCTGTCCTTGCTCTTAAGGGACAGAATCAACCCAACTGGCGTTACCCGTGAAGACTAGGCACAGATTGATCAATGATTTCGCTTTAACTAGTCGATTCCACCTGCATAGAATCCCTTAGAGACATGTACAGGGTTTCTGATAAAACTAAACAAAAAAAAAAAAAACAAAGAGAGACTAGAGATCAGTAGCATCTGAAAAGCTTAGGAACAGGTAGGACTTAAGTAAGTCATATAGAAGAAGTTTGAAGTGAAATTTGAAGGTAGAGATGCTTTAAATGGTAATTGTTTTGCTGTATATTCTCTCTCGGATGACCTCTTATTCAACAATGAAGCTTGCTTTTGAGTAATATCTTTTCTTTATCCCTGTTTTGCGTTCTTACCATCTTTTGCTATATGATTAAGTTGATGTCATATTACCACCTCCCATCAGCGATCTCACAGTCTTTGCTTCAACTACCACACATGGCTGCATCTTCTACAAGAGAAACCTTGAAGGAGTTAGTGACTTGGTGTCTTTGGTCTTTAGGGACAGTAATTCCGCTCTAGCTAATCGATTCACATACAAAGAATCCTTTAGAGGCATGTATAGAGGTTTTTTTGTGTAAAACGTAACTAGAAAACTAGAAAACTAAGGTTGTAGTGGTTTTGCTAAACGCTGCTATATTGAAAGAAGCATAGGTATTAAGTTATCCCAACATTTACCCGACTATACGAAATCATTGTAGGTTTTTAGGTTTAGCCAGTTGAACCACTACTCACTAATCTCTCGTACTTGTTCATTACAGACACTACAACATATTTATACCACTTGTTAATTGTTTTTACCTTAAACCTAATAGGCTAATACATAAAATAATGAAACCCATCATTATTGGGCTTTAACTAACAACGATGGCCCAAAAACGTTTTCATCTTTCGGTGACACAGAGTCACGACGGGTCTCTCTTGTTTCTCTTCACCGCCATCAATTGATTTTTCTCTTGTATACCAATTTCCCTCACAAGAATCTACTCTCTCGCCCTTTCTCTTCGATTACTCGATAATTTCCAAGAGAAAGGGAAGCTTTCAGTTTTAGGGTTCGTAGGGATTCACTTTAATCAACCCAAGAGAATTGACATCGAAATCCCAGATAGAATTCGAGGGTAGGACTCGCAAAGGTACGTTAATAATTCGACATAGAGTCGATGGTTTTGATTGGCGTAATTGATTTGGAAGTAAAAGAACAAAGCTTTGTATATGATTTTCATTGAGGTTTTTAGGTTTAATTTCTTAGGGGTTTTATCAACTATCTCTAAAGTTTTCTCTTTGTGAATTCCGTTTTTAGAGATCATTGCTATATGCATTGACTGTTGATTTCTTCTTAGATTTTTCCTGCTAGGGTTAAGATCAAGACAGACCCTGAATTGCTTTCTATGCCTACTTGTACAATATTGCATTATCTGTTCTTGTACAGTTGGATTTGTGAGAAGCATTTATCTGTTACTGTGCTTTCGAATTTGTAAAAAAGCTTTTTTAGATTACTAACTTGTTTTTGGTTTGGTTTGCTGCAGTACGGCTTATTAGAAGAAGAAAGAAATGGAGGGTTTTGTTGATCACTATATAGTTCTAGGTTTACCCTCTGGAGAGGAAGCTTTGAAGCTTAGTGAGAAGGAGATTGCAAAAGCATACAAGTTGAAAGCTTTGGACTTGCATCCGGACAAGCGTCCAGATGATCCTGATGCTCATGACAAGTTTCAGAGGCTTAAGACATCTTACGAGGTTCTCAAAGACGAGAAAGCCCGCAAGCTGTTTGATGATCTTCTTAGAATCCAGCGTGAGAAACAACATAAGAAATCGCAAGTAGATTCCAAGAGGCGTAAGATGATGTCAGATCTCGAGGAAAGGGAGCGTTCTGCTTTTTCTCCTCATCCTGCAGCTAGAGCTTATGATGAAGAAGAGAGAATCGCAAGGAAGTTGAAGGAGGAGATAGAGAGGATACGTGCAAGACATGCGAAGAAGAAAAGTGGTTTCGAAACTCCAGAGAGTGGTGTAGATGAAAAGAGAAAAGAAGATAGAAGCGGTACTGGAGCTAGTGTTCAACTCGATAAAGAGAGAATGTTGAAGGTTTCTTGGGAAAAAATTGGTGAAGGGTATACAGCAGGAAGGCTCAGACAAGTGTTTTCAGAGTTTGGTGAGGTTGAAGATGTTGTTATAAGGAGTACTAAGAAGAAATGCTCTGCTCTTATTGTAATGGCTACAAAGGATGGAGCTGTGAGTATTATTACTAACTTAGTTTCTCTCTTTTTCGTTATATATCAAGAACCTTAATCGAGTATTGATTCAATTTGTTTTTGTCTTATAGGTTGCAGCGACGAGGACATTGTGTGGGGATCTTTCTAATCCCTTGCTGGTTGTACCTCTTCAGAAAGCAGCCCAAAACGATTTTCTGACCGCAAAGAAATCTGCAGAAGCAGAACCGCGGAGTGACATAGTAGGTGCTGGTCTTCAAGCTTATGAAGACGCTGTCATGCAAAGACTTCGAAAAGTATTTTTCTACTCTCCTCAGATTCTTGTTGATTCTTTCGTTTTGTGTTTTTCTCTCAAGAAGTCTCAGATTTTACTTTCTTTTATCTTCAACAGGCAGCAATGGACCAGAAAAATCGAGGGGTTAAGCCACATGATCAAGAATAAAGGCTGCTTCAAGACCAAAGTGTTCAAGAATTAAGCTCTCTGCTTCATGATTAAGAACTAAGCTCCTTATACATTGTTTATGTACATCCAATCTCATATCAATTATTGTTCTAGAATCTAAAATTCTAATTCTGCCAAGAGTAAAAGCTTCTACCCATGAGAGCTTCAATTTCTTCTAGTTGTACCGTAAAGTCTTTTTCAAACATTTTTTGTTTTGAAGAAAATTTTGGATTTGTATAATATTCTTTTTTATTTTTATTTGGAATTATGTTGTAGAGTTCATGTGTTTGTGTTGATTTCACAAAATATCTTGTTTATTTGCTAATTTAATCACTAGACCATGGGGAGTGTACTATGGGCTTTATATTGCATGGGAGAGAAGGATTCCTCGGCTAGAGCTTGAGGTGGATTCGGAGGTAGTGGTGGGTTTCCTCAAGACAGGGATTAGCGATACACATCCCTTGTCTTTCCTGGTACGCTTGTGCCATGGCTTTCTTCTGAAGGACTGGAGAGTCCAAATTTCACACGTGTATAGGGAGGCCAATCATCTCGCGGATGGATTGCCTAACTATGCTTTCTCGCGCCCTTTAGGGTTGCATTTGTTTGCGTCATGTCCCGATTGTATGTCGAGTTTATTAGCTGAGGATGCTAGAGGGGCTGCGTACCCTCGTCGAGTCCGTTTGTAATTTTAGTTTGATTTCTTAATAAAATGTGGGAGACATTGTCTCCCCTCTTCAACCAAAAAAATCACTAGACCATCTCTCGTTTGTATTCTCGGCGATGGAGTGGCAATAGTATAAAAATGAGATATGTGATGTTTTTAGGTATATTGATTTGAAAATGTAATTACGGATATGGTTGTAAATAAAGTGGACATTGACAGAAAGACAGAAACCAAACGAGAGGCAGAGACACAAACTAGAATGCGTATGAAATAGAATGAAATTGTCCTTTTTATTTTGTTTTCAAAATGATTCGAACTCTTCATATTTGCAGAAATTACATGTGATGAAAATAGTTTTCTAATAAAAGTCATTTAGGTTTAGGAAAAAAAGGCTATAATTTAAACTTTTTGTTAAAATAAGCTTAAAGAGCTATAGCTCCTTCGTAATTAAGTGAAGAAGACGTTTTTGCCTTTATTTAGTGCCCTACGTAGTAGATACATATCCTCACCAAGTAGAAAAAATTTATACATAAAAAATCTATAAACTAAAATTTGTTCTTTTTTTATTACAATTTTAAATTATTTTTTTTGCAAAAAGTATACAATAAAGTATTAACTTAATTAAGAAAATATCACTACATTAGTCTTTACTTTTAGATATCATATCATTTTATTTCTAAAAGTTAAAAGAGACAATATCGTAGATTTGTAATGCATTGTGCTTACAATTTACAGTCTGATAATATTTTATAATTTATTGATTTATTTGTCAGCATATTACATGATTAATATATTTGACCAAATTTATATTTTTTGTAAAATATAATATTAATTACTAATTAATTAATATAACTTTTTTTCCTTCATTCAATTAAAAGCATTCTTTGAATTTGTTGTACTTCCCATTTTATGTGGGAAAAATATCTGAAATGGAAAGCTATTATTAGATAATCAATCATTGTCCAAAACTTGGTTTTATTTCTCTCCCAACTCTTGACTTCCCTCTCTCTCTTCTTCAATGCCTTCTTCAAGTCAGTTTCTTTCCTCATTCAACAGTTTCTCTTCTTCTTCCTCTGCTTAAACGAAACCCTCCAAGAAGTTAAAAAGCTCTCAAGAATGGCAAACAAACCAAGAACCAGATGGGTTCTTCCTTACAAGACCAAAAACCTTGAAGACAATTACTTTCTTGGTCAAGTCCTCGGACAAGGCCAATTCGGAACCACTTTCCTCTGTACCCATAAACAGACAGGTCAAAAGCTTGCCTGCAAATCCATACCCAAAAGGAAGCTCATTTGCCAAGAAGATTACGACGACGTTTTGAGGGAGATCCAGATAATGCATCACTTGTCTGAATACCCCAACGTTGTCCGTATAGAAAGTGCCTACGAGGACACCAAAAGCGTGCATCTTGTGATGGAGCTCTGTGAAGGTGGTGAGTTGTTTGATAGAATTGTGAAGAGAGGTCATTACAGTGAGAGAGAAGCTGCTAAGCTTATCAAGACCATTGTTGGGGTCGTCGAGGCTTGTCACTCTCTTGGGGTTGTTCATAGAGATCTTAAGCCTGAGAATTTCTTGTTTGCTTCTTGTGATGAAGATGCTTCTCTTAAATCTACCGACTTTGGCCTCTCTGTTTTCTGCAAACCAGGTTCGAATTTGTTCTTGTTCTTCACTAATTTTGTTCCATGATTGTGTTGGTGATGTTTATGAGTATCAATTTCGTTACTTGATGATTTAGTTTATCTATTAGTAGTAGTACTTTGAAAGAGCACATTGATCACTTGCTTAAGATCCCATCTTTCAAATGCTGTGACTGTTGAGTTTGTGTGTGTTTTAGTTGAATTAGTTTGATATGGAGCTCTGGTTTTGGTTACACAAATCTTTGTCTTTCAGGCGAAGCATTTTCGGAACTCGTTGGTAGTGCCTACTATGTGGCACCTGAGGTTTTACATAAGCATTATGGCCCTGAATGTGACGTATGGAGCGCTGGAGTTATCCTCTACATTCTCTTATGTGGTTTTCCTCCTTTCTGGGCTGGTAGATTTCCAATGCCTTCTTTCTTTATAAATGCATCGTTTCCGCAAGTGCTTACTCTCTCTCGGTGTCTTGTTTTGTATCCAGAGAGTGAAATAGGCATCTTCAGAAAGATTTTACAGGGAAAGCTGGAGTTTGAGATCAATCCTTGGCCTACCATTTCAGAGAGTGCCAAAGATCTTATAACGAAAATGCTCGAAAGCAATCCAAAAAAGAGACTAACTGCTCATCAAGTGTTGTGTAAGTTGTCGTGTCTGCGAAAGTAGATGAGTTTTTCTTGTATGCTGATTCAAATGTTCTTTTGTCAGGTCACCCGTGGATTGTGGATGATAAGGTTGCTCCAGATAAACCTTTGGACTGCGCAGTAGTGTCCCGCCTGAAAAAGTTCTCTGCAATGAACAAACTTAAGAAGATGGCTTTGCGGGTGATTGCAGAGAGACTATCTGAGGAAGAAATCGGTGGGCTCAAAGAACTGTTCAAAATGATAGACACAGATAAAAGCGGGACCATTACATTTGAAGAGTTAAAAGACAGTATGAGACGTGTTGGGTCAGAGCTTATGGAATCAGAGATCCAAGAACTCTTGCGTGCGGTAAACTAACTACTCCTTTCTTATCAACTTTCACGGTTAATATCTTGTTGTGGCTGAAAATAATATCCAATATCAGCTTCTGCTTCTCATTGTGTGTGTGTGTGTGTGTTAGGCTGACGTTGATGAAAGTGGTACAATTGACTATGGAGAGTTCTTAGCTGCAACAATCCACTTGAACAAGCTGGAGAGAGAGGAGAATCTAGTAGCTGCATTCTCTTTCTTTGACAAAGATGCAAGTGGTTACATCACTATCGACGAGCTTCAACAGGCATGGAAGGAGTTTGGTATAAAAGATTCAAATCTTGATGAAATGATCAAAGACATTGATCAAGACAATGTGAGTAGTACACAAATGATATTTACTGTTTGAAGGAGCTTTAGAAGAATGTTTATGGTAGTTGTTTTTCTTGTTTTGCTTTTGTAGGATGGACAAATAGACTATGGAGAATTTGTGGCAATGATGAGGAAAGGAAATGGCAATGGAGGATGGATTGGTCGGAGAACTATGAGGAACACTCTCAACTTTGAAACTGCTCTTCTTGATATGACTCAATGAATGTCTAAAGTACTCATTTTAGTGAAAATATTTTAGAGACTTATGTAGCAAAATATTTCATATGATAGAACTGGCTGTTTCTGCTTTATCTAATTCTGCTTTTAACAAGTTTTAGTAATTGGAATTATAAGCTCTTATAACAATTGGTAGATTTCCCATGGATTAGATCATATCTCAGAGCTCTAGAGAGAATGTTTTATTTTATCCTTTTTCACAAAAAACCAACGGAGTTGTTTTATAATGTGTCTTGAAAGTTGACATTAAACTTTAACAAAACAATTTCCAAAAGTGAAAACAAAAATAAATTAAGAAACTATATCTGGACTGTTGTAAAATTGGTTTAGAAAGTGCGACCACCAAAACAAAAAGGAAGAAGAGAAGAGATTAGTTTGTTTTCTTGTCTTCTTCTTCTTTCTCAGTGATCAACTTCTTCTCTGCAGTTTCATCCTCACCTCCAAAACCGAACTCGTTCACACGTGTCTTGTCCACTGGGTAAACCCACCTTTGGTATAAGTATATCAAGAATATCACATCTGAAACACACACAGAGAGAGATCCATTATATAAGACTGTTTCTGAAATCTGAATCCAAGTAGGGAGGAATTTGATAGATTTTACTCACCATCTCGGAATACAGAAAGTCGATGTAGAATCGGCATTTTGATGACAAAGGCAAAGAGATCGTCGATAATGGTGTTGAGGAACTTGTAAGTCATCTGTCTCCATGGTAAATGTGCCACTGATTTTAGCTTATAGTTGATGAATAGCTGAGGACACATCATGATGAAACCTGCACAAAACAAAACCCCAAACTCAAAACAGTTTCACAATGACAGATTCTCAACAGTTTTTTTTTTGAGGATGGTGAAGGCTATTACCGAACATGTAGACACAGCTTGTTAGTGAAGACAGGATCCAAGAATACCAGCTCTTGTGGCGTTCATAGGCAAGAGAATATATGGATAAGCCAATGACAAGGAGGAGGAGCACATAGGATAAGAATTTGATGGCAATGTCATCATACTCCTTGGTTTTATTGCTTGCATAGGACTCACGATCGTGGAACCTCAACCTTGGAATCATTCCACTTCGATCAACCTGTTAAGTTTAAATGTTTAACAAGGTCTATATATGCAAAGCAACAACATCAGAAATGAATGTGTAAAAAATTAATAAGTACCTCTATGCGCATGGCTTTCCCTATTTTCCAGAACTCAATGCAGACACCGACTCCGGAACTAGCCAGTATCATCCATGAAGTGTCGTTGTCAAGCAGGTAGAGGAAGATGACAAACTGACAGATAAAATTCAGTACAACAGACTTTGCAGACAGTCCTTCCATTGATTTGTTTTTGTTCCAGAATTGGATATCTGCAGGGTAGGTCAGAAATAAGTAAATTTCAAAAATCTTTCCTACAATCTTTAGGGAAGATTTCGCTCTTACTTACCATTTTTGAATGCCAGGAAGTCGAACACTGAATGAAGCATCGAAACAAACATCGTGATACCCAAAAGATAGGGATTTCCTTCCAAAAACACCCTCTGTAATAGATAAATTATACAACAAAAGAATACTTACAATCAGCTCCAGGGAGAAACCAATAGCGTCTCTCCACCAACCAGTTTAAAATTTATTAGCACATCATAAGTTCATGGATAGAAGATGCTGATTGACTATGAAGGATCAGATTTACCTTAAGTTCGTCAGATTCACCATCAAGCATGCTTCCATAGCTACGCTGCATCTGGAAAGACTGATCGACTTGCTGAAACAGTTGCCACTTCATCATGCTTATGGGGCTTATTTCCAAATTGAGTGGTAGTTCTGAGACTGTCTCATTGACTGGAATGAACTTGTCCCTTAGCAGCCAAAACTCATTGAAGTAAATTGTAGGATAGTAATTTCCTGTGGTAGGTTCTACCAGTAAGTCTGCAAATCTAAAGTTAAGTACAGCACATAATAAATTGGGCAAGTAGACAATCACAAAGCCAAAATGAAAACCCTTCTATATAATTCCCATTCCACCAATCAAAAGAAAATCAAATAATGGCAAACAAGATTCTATTGTGCACCTTATACACATAAACAAAGTAAGAGACATGACACTACTTTTGACCATTCAAGGACCCAAGAACTTATTGATGCAACCTTTTTATAAAAGTTAGTTTGGTCCAGCTTATGCTAAAAAAGGTATGCAGCAGTCACATGGATAGTGCCTTCAAATGTTACAGAGAACATAAGCAGAGAGAGTTGTGTAAGAATCCAAATAACTAATAGGCAGTTAATCCTTTTGTCAAAAGAAATTGAAGGATACGAGGAGCAATGTTTGGTGGTACACCATTCTGTGAATATCTGTCATGAAAGTGAAAGCAGATATTAGTCTACCAGTATGGAGTCATATTAAATTCAATATTGACAGACATTCAAAGATAAAAGCAGGCACGCCATGCCATCAAGTACTACTTGTTTAGATTAATTGTATTTTTTATGAAGGAAGTCAATGCGTCCCCCTTGCGATTGCTTAAGGTTGTACCCATAGTTGCTAAGTGTGATTAAGTGCCTATGCTTTTCAAGACTCAGATATTTATTTTTGACAAAAAGTCGAATCATATATACATCACCGTAGAAAGTGAATCTCGATCCATCATATGATTATATCTTTCTTCTTATTTTAGTCTGGATTGAGTGTTTTTATACTACACAAGATAGCAGAACCAACTTACCGAGTAAAATCATCAACCAGGTTAATCGTGACATTAGGTTTCCAGAGGGATATCCATTCTACAGGGACCTCTTCCTTGGGATCCGATTTCTTATCTCCAACTTTCTGCGAAGTGTGGTTGGCGTTAGCTCATTACACATCTATTGAACTCATTAGAGTTCAAGACAATACAATAACATAACTATATGCAAAGTTTCCTCAAAGAAAACTTCCCCAGAGACATACCTCAACTTCTGGCTCGGATTCATCAGAGTCTTTGGGACTTCCCAAGAGACTCTTCTTCTTATTTTTCTTTTGCTTTGGAAAGTAAGTCGCCACAGCTGAAATAGAGAAAAGACCAGTCCAATTTAGCTATTACAGAAACCTAATAACCAATAGTCGTCCAAAAAAGAGATTTTTTTGGGTCTGAAACAAAAGTCTTACCATGTGTCCTGCTAAAACTATTAAGAGGTTGGTATTCAGGATCAGTGGGGTCTATGGGGAATCCAGATCGAGCAAAGAAGACATGAGCATACAGACTTCCATTATTCTGTAGTGTCTGGAAACAAAACAACATTGTAATTCAATGCATCTTATTAATACAGTGATATTCGAAGAAGATATATGAAGAAACCGAAACAGTCAAACAAGTGATTTATACCTCAGATGGATAATACGTCAGTGACTTGGTCCTAATACTCTCTGGTGTCCATACAGCATAAGGTATATTGGTCTCATGCCAATAAAGCGCACGATCATTGCCAAAGTCATTGAACTTCTCATGCTCTGACAGGTAAAACCACATATCCTGCAGAAAAAACCATTGGTTGAATTTAGATTCATGAACAAAAACAAATCTTGAAACCCTAATCCTCTAATCAAACAGTAACCCAACACTAGTCATACACAACTCTAAAGCAGCCAGCAAAAACATGTTTACAGAATTATACACGATTTAAAACTCAGTAGAAAATCCAATTGTAGAAGAAGTATGAATATGAATCGAAGTTCATTCATCATCTAGAAATAAAGTTTACCAATGATTCGCCTTTGTTAAAGAGATTGGTCATGAGCTGAGACGGAGCAGAAGGATCCACAGGTTTCTGTTTAGGTGAAAAGAACTTGGAGGCAAAATACCAAAAGACGGCGATTCTAACGATTCCGGAAATCGTGGAACCAAATCCACGCTGCTGCTGCGGTTGAGCACCATCGGCGCCAGCCGCTTCAGCCACCGCCGCCGTTTGTCCTGCCGGCGGGGCCATAGTTCACGAATCGAGAAGGAGGATTGGTTTTCGATACGGCGGATTCAAAAGCAGCTGAGATGTGATTGAATTCGCTAAGGAGATTGAGATTTGTAAAAGCAGAGAGAGTTCGATAGAGAGAGATATTTATGGGATTCCTTATTTAATTTAATTTTATTTTATATATAAAAATCTGAAAGAAGATTTGAATAAACAAAAGATTGGTGACGATGCTCTTCCAATGCAATTCAAGTAGAAGTGTTTTATGACACCACCACGTCTCTTTAGACTAAAGTATAGTTTTCATGTAAAGACCTCTATGTTTTAGATATTTACTATTATTTCCCAAACCTTTAGAAAATACTATTTTGTACCCCTATATTTTGAAAGTAGACATAAAGTTGTGGTTTGTGGTTCGGTTTGGCTGATTTAGTTTATTACCACGAAACAAAATACTAAGGAAACTTGGTTTTAGACTTTTAGTCACAAGAACTTAACGCTTCCTTAGATCCGTCTACTAAAAATTGGAGAATAATATAGTCTATAATCTCCTTAGATTTGTATCCTATTAAAAAGGAGTCTCTCTCAGATCTCCTATTTTCCGACATACCAAAAGCAAAACAAAGAAACTTAGTCTTGTCTTGTGTACCAGACCTCCGTTGTCTCAATCATCTTCATTGTGAAGGCCATGCTTGTACATGAGCTGTTCCAAAGCCTCATCAAACTCTTTCTCCATATCAAGCATCTCCTGGTAATGCCTCGTCTTCATGTCTGCCATCTTCTTCTCTTGCTCTTTTATCAGCATCTCCCTCTCCTCCACAAACTCCTCCATCTCTTTCTCTTGAAACTCGATGAAGCTTGACACTTCCTCAGCTCTGCAGAAGAATCAAGACCAGAATCATTTAGTTACTCTTGTGTTTGAAAAACAAAAACGAAAGAGGGATTATGTTAGTATGTATACCTTTTTCGGAAATCGTCGTTGCTAGAGGGATTGGTGTTCTTCTGCTGCTGGTCAACAACCTTGGCACGTTCCTGCTGCTGCAACATCTCGAAATTCTCCTCCTTTGCATCTCTTTTCTTATGTATCTGTTTGATTTCATCCTTGAAAAACCTGTCTTGTGCATCCATCTTCAAACCACCACGGTTTTTTTTTTGGACAAGATAATCAAAAATGTGAATCAGTAGGTAAGACAAAATGTCAAGTTTGTGATTTTAGAGGAAAAAAACATACCTCTTCTCTGTTCTGTTCATGTTGCATCTTTGTTCTCTGTCTCACTATACGATAATTCTCTGCAGTTTCACGCAGCTTCTCGCTCATAATTTCCAGAGATTCCTCAAGAACCTTGGCGTGCTTGTTCTGCTTTGAAAGCTTGTTCTTAAAGTAGTTCAGCTGCTGATTGTCCTCAGAGATCTGCCTCAGCTCCTTTACAACCATCTCTTGGTAAGATTTCATCTCGAATTTCAGCCTTGTTTTGCCTAATGAATCATAGATATATACATAACAGATGCATTCACAAGGACCAACAAAACTTTAAATTACAATGACAAAACTAAAAGCATATATCAAATTTCTGAGAGGGAGAGAACCTTGAGAGTGTTGATTGAATATGTCCAGATCTTCCTTGGTTGCAAGGAAGCCATACAGTTGGCGAACACCTCCAGAAAACATACCGCGCCGACGAACCCAGGCGTTTCTATCTAACCCTGTCTCAGCTAACTCCCGCTGGAGGCGTTCGGCCTCCAAATACCCAGTGGCACTGCTCTCAAACATCAGAACACTCATCCCACGATGGCCCTGTGGACCATAGGAATGGCGTGCTCTAAGAGCCTCGTACTTGTCGAAGTACTCCAGCAGCTCTTGGTTGCCCATGCCGAGCCACTTAAATGTAACATTCTAAGATCAGTGGAATGCAAGAGAAAAATTAAAGAAGTAGAAGACAGAAGAATTTCACCTTATCATTATCGTCCTTGTCCAGTCTAGTATTCATGATGATGACCATTGGAGGCCAGACAATTTCATGATCCTTCTCGTCCTCACCCAAACCCTTCCACTGCCCATAAATCTCACCACAAGGAATGACAGATGCGCCTCTCATCTGTAGATCCTTTTCTAAAACTTCAGCCAATTCTCTATGGAGCTTAACTCGCCTAGCTCCCTTTGTCCTTGCATGAGCTAGTAGAGGGTGCAGGTTATACCAGTCGATGGCACCAGGTCCGTTCTGACAAGCTGGACAATGCCACTGCCTCTGTGGTTCATTTATCTGCTCGATCGACAAGCTATCCAAGCTGTCGAAGAACTTTTTGAACCACTTATTCTGCTTTCGTGATCCATGGCTCTGTTGACTCACATCCGAGTCATAATCATCACTTGCAAGGTCGTCATCAGAATCATCCAAAGCATCGGAATCATTCTCGTCCTCAGAAGCATTATCCAGATCATCCTCCATGTTAGGAACCTCCTGCACAACTGTGTGCTGAGCAGAACCTCCTCTTGCCTGCCAATTCCATCCTCCTTCCAAAGGAGGGCGAGTTACAGGTGGGGGTGCCACAAAGTGGTTATCATACTTTTTGCTCAATGCTCGTCCCCGACCAGATATGTTAGCTTGAGTGCCCCGACCATTGCCATTACCTCTCCCAGACACGTTACTACCTCTCCCTTGTTGCTGACCACCCCAAGCTCTAGGAGGGTTCGAATTCTGAGAAACCCAAGCTTTTCCAGAAGTGTTACCAGGTTTGTTCTTGTTCTTCTTGGAAATGACCTCCCATTCTCCTCCATCATCTTGTGAAGGAGCCAGTTTCATCCCTGCCAAACCTTGCACCAACTGTTCAACCTCAGGCTTAGAACCACCCTGAGAAACGTTCTTTCCCTTAGACATTGGACCAGCCCTAGAACTCATTTTCAACCTATAGCCATCAAAGAAACCCACAGTCACTACCAAAATCTCAAAATCCACACATGAACGTGATATTACAACAAGCCAACAACGCGTAGGCTCAACAAACAAACATCAAAGCAAAAACGGTAGATCAATCTGATTTATATGAAACGAAAACCAAAAAAACGTAGGATTTTTCTCAGTCAAAAACTCCGATCAGCGACTAAACGGTGAAAGCACAACAAAACAAACACAAACAATATAACGCAGGTCTCGTTACCTACAAAATATGAAGAATATGGAAAAAAGTAACACATAGCACAAAAACCTTCGAAATCGAGAATATTAGGGCAATTTTCCGGCGAATAAAAAGAGAAATCGAGCACAAAATGCATGCGGTGAGGCGATCGACGACTTTAAGGAAGAAACTTACAGAGTAAACGACGGAGAACGTAAGATTTTAGGCGCCGGAGACTGAGAGTACTGAGTCAGGACTCAGGGGAAAGAAGGAGAGAGTGAAGAAGAAGAGACAAATCAGAAAGCTTAATTATAATAAGCTCTAAAACGGCCTCGTTTAGTAGTTTTTCCGAGTCCGGACTCCAAATTTCCATTCAATTTGATTTTGTTTTTATTTTTGTACCTTTTTTTTTTTCCTTTTTCGCTAAACATAATTTTTCCCATTTTTAATTTATTTTGTACGAACATGAGTTGCTTAATTTTTGTTTGTTTGCCAACGTAAACATGTCTTGCTATTTTTGTATTTAATATAACTTTCACCTTCTTTCTAAATGCACAAAAGGTAGAAATAGAATTTTATGTTCAACTTTGTAAAAATTTGAATTTATTGAAAATGTTTACAATGAATCATACTAAAAACTATTGTATTATATTAAAAAAAAAGGTTACATATAAATTATAAAATTATTTTACAAATTCATCATAATACTATTCACTTGAGTATGAAATTGACAAATTTTATATAATAGAGAAAATATAATTAATTTTTTTTCTTGTATTATATATATGGACATAACAAAAATATATGTTATATATCATTTAAGAGAATAATTTTTTTATTCTATAATTATGACTAAAATATTATTTAGAAAAAAATCACAAGATTATTTACTAAAACAAAATCACAAAGTAATTGACCAACTTCTATAGGAAAAAACAAACAAAACAAAATGCGTTACGTATCTTTTATGCGAACAGCTGTTAAGTTTTATATCTATGGTTTAAAAGTATTTTAGAAACAAACAAATCACGAGATTATTTACTAAAATTAAATCGCGAAGTAGTTGACCAGTTTATATAGAAGAGAAAAAACAAAAATAATACGTTACAAATCATTTGTGCGAATAGCCGTTATGTTTTACGTACATTGATGGTTAAAAAATATTTTAGAAATAAATCACGAGATCATTTACGAAAACAAATCAAATTGACCAACTTATATAGAAAAATTCAAAAATAATATGTTGCATATCATATGTGCGAACAACTATTAAGTTTTACATTTATATATAGTTAATAAATATTTTAGAAAAAAATCACCAGGTTAATTACTTAAAATACTGAATATTTGACCAACTTATATATAAAAATAGAAATAAAATGTTCTATATACTTTATATGAACAACTATTATATTGGTTAAATTATATTTTAGAAAACAATCACAAGGTTATTTACCCAAAGAAAATCATACAGTAATTGAAACTTATAGAATAGTAAAAAAATAAAAATAAAATTTGTTTATGCAAAAAATTGTTTTTGTTTTACATTTATGGTCTGTAAAATATTTTAACATTGTATCACAAAGTAATGGGACCCCAAAGTAATTGCCAAATTCCAAACATTGTATCATATTATCAAAAAAAAAAAAAAATCAACGTTACATACCATTTATGCGAACAATTTTTCATTTTACATTTACTGGTTAAAATATCATTTTATAAACATCTTTTTGTTGATTAATTAATTTAAAATTAAATAAAAAAATTATAGACATCGAAAACATTAAGAAAAATATTAGATTTCATGTTAAACATGTTGGATTTGAATATATAGATTTTGTTTCGAGGTTAACTAAAAATTATTCCCTAAGAACTAACTAGAAAAGAAGAAAATGAAACCTTAATGGATCAAGAGTTGGGCTAAGTTTATTTTGATGTGAAAGAAGCCCAATACTAAAAAGGCCTTTCTTCTTCTCCTCCAACGAACGAGCCACTACGAAGAAATGCGTCTCTTTCATTCTCCAGTCTCACACAAATGGCGTAATTTTGCAGAGAAGATCCAACCATACTTCAGTTCTGCTGTCACAATTTGAGAAGAAGAAGCGTGAGATCTGAGCTCTAAAACTAGGATAAAAGAGCTTAGAGTATATAGAGAGGACTTACGGAGATGGATAAGATGAATCAAGCTTTTGAGAAGATGAAAATGTTGGTAGGTATGGAGGTTGAAGACGAGCAACAAGCTGCTGACGAAGAAAGCTCGCTCTCATTCATGGAAGATCTCAATCGTAATTGCGCTTTGACTACCAAACAGGTTTTTAACTGCCCCAGATTCTTTGTTCTCTTCGATCAAGTCCTCTCCATTTGACAATTTTTGTAATTTCACATGTGTACTATGTATTCGTACAATTAGAGAAGCTAGGCTCGTAAGCTCACTGATTTAGAGATTTAGTTGTGTTCCTATTGAATGTAGATGAAGTGATCAATAACATACAAGAGATTTTGAGATAAGTGTTTAGCAGAAGGATTAGAAAATTCCAGATGATATGATTACAGTTTGATTAATAGGGCTTGCTATTAGAAAAAGTGTAGGATGCTACTTTGGATTTATCTCCTCTATGAAGCTGTAGTGTTGTCTCGTTTACAAGAATCTGTTTAGTATCTTGAATTGGGTTTATCTCTGGCTAATGTCTTGTTGTTTCCCCTCCTGAAAACAGAGATTCTATGGCTTTGCAATTTGCTTGTCAGCAGGCTTGACCTGTACACTTTTGGTAAGTAAAAAGCTCTTAAGTCTTAGCAATGTTAGAAAACACTATCCTGATTTCTTCATTGAAAGGAATCCTTTGACTTGTTTAGCTGTATTCTTCTTCTGTCCTTTGGGTAGTCGTAGTTCTTTTACTGGTTGATATAACTCTTTAGCTCTTACCTGTTTGATGATGCAGTCGATGCTTGTTTTCTTTAATCCAGTCAAGTTTGGCATCACATTCACTCTGGGAAATTTGATGGCACTCGGGAGGTTTGTATTCGATTTTTTAGTTTAGCTTGTAATATTGTATTGTGTTATGTAATTCTGTGTGTACTATTTCTCCACTTTCTTTTCTCTGCTCCTAGAATGTAAGTTTCATGTCATTTTTGTATGGCAGCACAGCATTCCTTATAGGCCCACAGCGGCAGGTGACTATGATGCTTGATCCAGCTCGTATCTACGCTACTGCATTGTATCTAGCAAGCATTATCATTGCCTTGTTTTGTGCTCTTTATGTAAGCGGGGTTTCTCAGTTTCAGTTTACTGGATACACAACATTATTAGAATTTGGTTTAACCTTGGTAGTCGAAACGCCTTGTTGGACTGATTAAAATCTATCATTATCTTTCTGTACAGGTTCGTAACAAGCTTCTGACACTGCTGGCTATCATTCTTGAGTTCACTGGTCTAATTTGGTATGCTAAAATTTGCTTTCAAGCTCTACATTTATCCTAAGTTCCTAACTTTCTCAGTATTTATACATGGTCTCTGCATGCAGTAATACAATTACATGATTCACTCTTTGGATAATATATTAGACCGAACTAGGAATGAATTGGTGAACCTAATGCTACTTATACGGTTTCTGAGCTGTCAACATTCATCTTGGAGAATGAATCCCTTGTGCTGTTTAAAACTGCAGGTATAGCTTGAGCTACATCCCTTTTGCAAGGACCATGGTCTCAAGGATCTTCATGACTTGTTTTGACACCGAGTTTTAAGCAACAGTATACACATCTGGTCAAAGATTTCTTGTTCCAAAACCTTGATGCTCTGGTTGAACGATTGGTCCATCTCTCTCCAAATGTGTTCAAAGCTGGACTTGTTTGATGCACCAAGAACGTGCCATGCCCTATATGGCTTATAATTGGTGCTCGTTTTGGTTTCTACTTACCTCTTTACATCAAGTTCCTGTCTTTACAAATCCTAGCACAGTTTTTTTTGTATATTTTGCTGTGAAACTTAACTTAGATTTGGAAGTGGTTGCTTCCTCCTTTTTTACCTACTTGTTTGAGTTCCTTCTAGAACGTACTATATTAAGTATTAACCAGCTAGGTCTTTTGAACATTTGGATTTATGTTTGTTACAAAATTAAGATGTTGTTACCAATCACCATCACTATTTAATTTCATTATTATAACTAAGACTATCCAGGACGGAAACTGCATATTCTTAGCCTGAAGTTGAAGTACTTAACTAGAAGAAAGTTGCAGCATAAAATCTAAAAATGGGAGGAAAATATAATGCAAAGAAATATAAGTCAATCCCTGGCCTTAAACGAACGAAATCACATAGTACAATACAACCTTGTAAAATGCCTAGTTGATAAGAGATAAAAAGAGAACATTCAGTAGAAAGAAACCAAGGAGATGCAGAAGAACAAAGCTCAATGATTTGAAGCGCTGGAGAAGTAAGCTCTCTAGAAGACAACAGTGTCGAGCATAGTGCCTAGTGTCTGAACAATGTTGGATGACATGAGGTTGGAGACATGTTCTTCCAGATGCTTCTTTGCGTCTTGTCTTCCCACATTCACAATTGCCAGCTTCTCTGGTGACAACTCGTCCTCCTCTTGAACCGCCTTGTTATATTTAGCAGCCAAGCTCAACATCTCCTGTTAAATACCAGATAAAGGCAATGTCAATGAACATGATTGTGAAATATGCTTCAACATATAAAAACATAACCCTGTGTTCTTTACCTGGACCGTCTGTTCATTTGTCTTGGAGTGGGTGTCAAAGGGTCTTAGCGTCAGACCATCTGTCCATTTCTTCTTGTGAAGGTTCAGTAACATCTTCTCCTCAAGCTCGTTCTTCCTGTAGTTGATTGCTATAGAGTAATAGTGTCTGTTTAACCCATGAATCAAGGCCTGCATAGTAGTATCCAAAAGTCAGTATCAGAGAAATCCTTTGATTTCGTTTCAACCATTTTTAAAAAAAGGAGACATTCAGTAAGTGATAATCACCTGGATCGATGGTTTGTTCAGGTGCCCAAGGTTCGATGTGGTTTGGCGGGGTTCCTGCCCAAGCATAATGGTCTGTGGATTAATGGAGCGGAACGCATCAATCACCACCTTTCCCTTCACACTCTGAATCGGATCTACCACCACTGCTACAGCTCGCTGGTTCAAAGCTTCAAAACTCTACAAAAGCACAAAGATGTTCACAATGAACATAAATACATATAGTCCAATTCAAAGTTCCAAACTATAGATTACAAACTCTACAATGCAAAGTGAATTCACAACAGAGTATAGGTAACATTCTATTTAGTGTTTAAGCTATAAATACAGAATGGACGATAGAAAAAACAACAAATTCTCGAGTGCATTAACAAAGAGATGAATAGATAAGTAAGCAAACTGAGAAAACAAAAACCTACCTGTTGGGTATTAATGTCAACCCCAGAAAGCCAGCAGCCAAATCCAGGATGTGAATGATACCAACCAACAACCATTTCAGGTCTGAAATAAGATACAAGAAGAATCAGATCCAAAAACAGATTTTGAATTAAAAAAAAACTCACAAAAGTATAAATGGGTGTAGAAACGAATCAATTAACCTTCCGGTCTGCTTAAGCATGTCGAGCATATTAGTCTGGAAAACATGATCAACAGCTTCAACACTAACACCAGTACCACTCTGAGGCATCGCAAAAACATCCACAACTCTAACAGTGTACTCATCCACGAACTCTCCAAGCATCAATCCCATGACTTCCATAGGAACCCCAGCTCTTCCTGCGATTTTCCGATAACTTTAATTAAATCTCTACACAAATCCACACTTTTAATCTTAGAAACAGATCGAATAATCTTAGAAACCCTAGAATTCCAGAGCATAGGGGACAAGAGTAAAATCACAGAGAACGAAACAAATCGTAAACCCTAATCACGAGGAAACTAAATTGGAGCTTAGGATTGGATGATTACCGTGCTTAAGCATCTTGAGGAGAGCGAGAGAAGAGATGTAGACCTGCTCCGATGTATCGAGAGTCGGAGAATCAGGCGATGCGTGACCTAATCCGCCACCAGCTCCGAAGATTCGCTGTAATCTCTCCATAATCAGATGAATCAATCAGTCGTCTTCTTCGAGAGTTTCTTCTTCTGGGTTTGCTACAACAATGGGATCTTATAAAAACCTTCACAGTTTTCTTTGTTAACAAGACAAGACGGTTTACATTTAAGTCCTTCAATATTTCCTTTTATTTATTGTAGACCACTAATTCACCTAAAGTCCAAATCATCCCCCAAAAAAGGTTAAAACTAATTTGAATTCCCTTTTTTCTTTTGTAAAATTTTTAAATTTCATTGCAACGCACATTAGGTAATTGCGTTAATTTTGTTGGATATACAATATAGATTTATTTTAGTCAATTGAACATGATTATAGATTTATGGGTAGATGTAAATACAATAATTAAACATGTAAATATTGGTATATTTTGTCAGTCAATGTAAGGTAATATTGAACTTTTTTCCCAATGGTTTTTATTTGACACCTTGAAAAGTTCACAAGATCAATGAAGTAAAAAAAACGAAAACGACTCCGTTTCTGTCAGGATCAAAGGTTCTTCAACAAAACCTCACACCTTATCTCACAGCTCTTGACCCAAATCAAACTAAAATGGAGGGGACAAAAAGAAGAATCCTTTTTATTAGGCTGTGAAGAGGTTTGCTCAAAGATCAGGCATGCCCTTTCCTGTTTTAGCATCATATGTTTGCTCCCAGACAAACTCCATTGGTGTGTCCTTAGGGCCAGCTGCAAAAAAAGAAAGTATTAATCCTTCTATAGAAAACCGCTACTACTATCCAGTCTGTTTCAACTGTATACCAAAAGAACTATGTTGAGTTTCTATCGTATGATTATGTTTAGAGAGATGTTGAGCTTCTACGTACCAGTAGTGGGTCTTGGAGTAGCCCTTATCTTTAGAATCTCTGGTCGAGGAATTATGGAACCAGATGTGCCTGTGCCTCTGGCTACTCTTACTTTTGTTCCATCCTCTAGGTACTTTACACCAACCTTACAAGGCCTCCTGAGGAAGAAAAGATAACAGACAGATAAGAAATCTATTGCTTGAGCACAAGAGTAATTGGTGACAGTAGTGCAAAGTGTGATCATACCCAGTGACTGGATCAACAACTTGGACATTTGAGGCGTGAAGAGGAGCCTCTACTGTGAAAATTCCACCTTCGTGATCAGGGCCTCCCTTTATATGCTTCTTGATCTGCGAATACAGAAATAAGACATCAGAAAATATATATACAAGCTGTAACAAACATGGACTCAGTAAGTAGACAAAGACTATCCCAGCAGCAAGCTGGAACATCCCAAAACGAAAAGAGTTGAACAATTGAAAATATTATGTTTATGTAGCTAACCCATGTAACTAGACCTGCTATGTGATTTTTGTAACCGACCAATTGATGCTTGAAGCTAACGACAAAAATCAAATGAAGATTGATAACTCCATGATTGTGTTAAGCTAGTGATATGATCTTGATTCAGTACTAGTTCATACTCCACAAACCCAATCAAGAAAAAAAACAAAAATGAACTTGTACATTCATTCTCGAAATGCAATGAGACAGAGCGAAAAGATATCCACAGCAAGAAAATTTCAAGACTATCTCACCAAATTCTTTCCTTCAACAATGACACGATTTTGGGATCGGATAACGCGCTTTATGGTTCCAGTCTCGCCCTTATCTTTCCCACGAATTATCATTACCTATATACAAAATCAAACCCAGAAACACCACATCAAAAATGAAACCAAACTAATGAACACCACGAGAAGAACATGAGTGGTGAACAGAGTGTCCTCACATTGTCCCCTCGAAGTATCTTCCAGTGTCTGATGAGTTTCTCAGCAGCTTTCCAACCCATAGCTCCTACACATAACAAAGAAAAAAAGTCTTTCTTTAACATTTTTATTACAAAAATCAGCGTGAAATAGAAATGAAGAACCCAAATCAAAGAAATTGAAAAGGGCAGGGCCAAATTCGAGGGTATTCAAAACTTGAGAGACTACACAGAGCCCGCTAAATTAGGGTTTTCTACATCACAACACAGAGACGCAACAAAAAAACTTTTCAACGAAATCTCGACTAATCTTCGTAAAGTTTCTACTAGCCGCGTATTGCACTAGAACGAGAGCAATTACGTTTATCGATCTCTATAATTAATTGCGATCTACTTTGCGAGTGACAGTAAATTTTCGAAAATGGAGAAAAATGACGATTAGAAACGAAATCGCCCGAGCAATCCGAAAATTGAAGAAGCTTGCCTGTAAGGAATTAACCGAGAGGGAGATGAAGAGAAAACCCTGAAAGTTGAAGCTTTGTGTTTATGCCGACGGAGCAGGCGGCGTTAACGACGGTGGTGAAGAAGTCGAGGGTATTTTGATTCTGAGTGTAGAATGATAAACCCTGAAAACCACTGATGTCATGGAACATGAAACGACAGCGCATTTTAGAAATTTAAGTTATATACAAACTCTAAAAAGTAAAAACGAACTAAAATAGGTAAAAAAAAATTTGTTATTTAGTTAACTTTTTCCAATGGGGATCACCATCTGTTATGGTTGATGTTGCTTCTCCTCTCGTTGGTTGGTTGTTTGTTATGCGTCTTACATTGTGGTATTTTTGCCGGTCCTCTTGCTTTCAGGGGCAATGGCGCACTCGTTCCTCCTCATCCTCGGATGATGAGTCCCTCCTAGACCTTCTCTTTGGATTGAAAACATGTATTTTGTGATGTCTCCATTTTCCCCGGTTTTGTATTCCTCAAATGTATCTTTCAAAAGTCTTAGTAAATTTTCAGATGACAACAAAAAATGATTTTGGGGTGAGAGTATACTTGTTTTAAAAAAAGTGTTTCACTAATTTAGGTCAACTCTGTTTTGACACAAATTATATAGTCATGGATAGTTTTCCCAAATTTTTAAGCGTTGAGATCAGAGCCGGTCCTAAACAGAAGCTCGTGAAGCATGTGCTTGTGGCCCAAAAATGAATATATATATTTTATTGACCCCTAGATTAAGTTTCATTAGTTTAGAAGTAAGAGATTTCAAAAGTGCTCTTGATTGTGTACTATTTTTTTCACCTTCAATTTTGTTTTTTTTTTCCTTTGACTAACTAAAAAAACTGGTCCTAAAATTATTTGGGGCTTGTCGCCCTAATAAATAGATATATGAGCCGACTTTGGTTTAGATGATAAAAATGCATTAAATCTTTGTTGAGGTATAAAACGTACTGTGCATTTTGTTGAGGTAGAAAATGTTAATTTCCGTGTTTTGTATTTGTGGATAACATGCAAAGTTTTGGCATTTTTTTTTTAATTTCGCTTTAGAGACCGCATTTTGAATACTCAAATGTGCTATTTTGAAACGAGGTGGACGGACGGATGCAAATTGTAACTACAAATGTGTCATGTGTGAATAGCATGGTTTGTTGATCAACCTAACTAAAGCTTTGTTTGAATAACTATAAATTTTTTTGCTTGTAGATATTAGAGGGCTCAAGTATAAGTGGTAATTCTGGTGCATTGGTTCCTTAATTGAATGGTGATGCAACACCATGTGTAGTGGTGATATGTGTTAGTGAAAACAATCATCCGTGGAACCGTATAAGCTTCGTGACGAGTCTAATAAATAACGAAATCCGATTCCCCATTAACAAACGCATATAATTTCTTGACTATATACAAAGTATTGTTCAACATACTTATTTTCTTGCCTTGGCTTTGTCTGGAAGCAAAATTTTCAATAACAATTTTTATCACTACAATAAGAAGACACGTTTTATGTGGTTAGAAAGGGAACTATAGGATTAAATGCCATGATTCTATCTTACATAACTAAACAAACATGATGATGTAAACTCGTTCTTATTTTGCTTTGTTTTTACATATTTGCCCACGTCCAGTGTTGAATTTAACATAAGAATTTAATGAGATTGTAAATTAGTTGATGCATGTTTCTGACATTAGAAATTGCTTGCCTCCTGCAAGCTGCAACATGTACATTGATTGTGTCTACTGCTCTTATGTGACTCCATTGCGTTGGCCATGTGAAATGACTTCATCAACACTGTAGAAGAAGAAAACTATTGACCTAAGCCTTAAGCCATTTTTGGGTTTTATGCAAAAAAAACCCTCAAAGTTACCAATTTTTGCAAGTTTACCCTCTACCTCCAAAAAATGCAGAATAATCATATGAAGTTTAAAATAATAGGTAATATAGCCCTTATGTATATATTTTAAACGTTTTCACGATCACATACATTTGATTTTTATAATTATAAAGTTAGAATTGCACTCGTCGTCTCGAAGGCTTCGATTTGATATATTATTAATCATAATTTTAAAAATTTGAAAATAACGAAAAAGGGTTAGATTGCCTATTATTTTGGATTTCATAGGATTATTCTGCATTTTTTAGAAGTGGAGAGTAAAGTTGCAAAAATTGGCGACTTTGAGATTTTTTTCTTTTTTTCGTTTACGTGTTTCCTTATTAAAAACGATAATTTTCAAGTTGTCCTAACCATAAACGTCAATAAAAATATAGAAAATTACAGCTGGCAAAATATTCTTTAGCTTATATAGATGAAGTACCAGCTTACAAATTCACTGCACTCTCCACCAAATCCATTCTTCACGGAGAGAAAAACAAAATGGCGACAGATTCTCAACCAAACCAAAAGCTAACGCTTCCGTTAAAAACAAGAATCGCTCTCACCGTTATCTCCACCATGACCGATAACGCTCAACGTCCTGACGGAACTATCAACCGCCGTTTCCTCCGCCTCTTCGATTTCCGTGCTCCTCCCAATCCTAAACCTGTCAACTCCGTCTCCACCACCGATTTCGTCGTGGATCAATCTCGTGATCTCTGGTTCCGATTATACACTCCACACGTCTCCGGCGATAAAATCCCCGTCGTTGTTTTCTTCCACGGCGGTGGTTTCGCTTTCCTCAGTCCTAATGCGTATCCTTACGATAATGTATGCCGGAGATTCGCTAGGAAATTACCTGCTTACGTCATCTCCGTTAACTACCGTCTCGCTCCGGAGCATCGTTATCCTGCTCAATACGACGACGGATACGATGCTTTGAAGTTCCTCGAGGAGAATCACGGCAAGATTCTTCCGGCGAACGCTGATCTCTCGAGATGCTTCTTTGCCGGAGATAGCGCTGGAGGAAACATCGCTCACAACGTAGCGGTTCGAATTTGCCGTGAGCCGCGGGGATGTTTCACCGCCGTGAAACTAATCGGACTTATCTCGATCCAACCTTTCTTCGGCGGAGAAGAGAGAACAGAGGCGGAGAAACGACTCGTCGGAGCTCCTCTGGTTTCGCCGGACCGAACAGATTGGTGCTGGAAAGCGATGGGATTAAACCGGGATCATGAAGCGGTTAACGTCGGTGGACCAAACGCGGTGGATATATCGGATCTGGAGTATCCGGAGACGATGGTGGTTGTTGCTGGGTTTGATCCGTTACAAGATTGGCAAAGAAGTTACTACGAGTGGATAAAGTTATCCGGGAAAAGAGCAACGTTAATCGAGTATCCAAACATGTTTCATGCTTTTTATATTTTCCCGGAATTACCGGAGTCGGGTCAGTTAATTATGCGGATTAAGGATTTTATTGCTGAGCGCGTGGCTTCACTCTCCGCTTAATCACCATCGATAATGTTGGATTTGTTAAATTAGCTCGATTAATTAATAATAATGTATTAAGCTATGCTTATGTCATTTATTTAGTGTTTTAAAAATCGTCTAAGCCGATGTATTATTAGTCTGTTTTCAATATTAATCAAATGTTCAACTTTAAGTGAATGTGTGTTTTCGTTCTTCAAAATTGTTTTAAAGCTTGAGACGTGGGATTTTTTAACTTGTAGTAAAATACAAATGTTGGTTTCATTATAGTCAGGTTTGTTGTACTTATTATAGGTACGAGTGGAATACAAAACAATGGGATTGATTATTTGTACAGTGAGATTCAATTCAACTATACTCGGTAGGTGAGTGAGTCCATCCCGTAAAAAGATAAGTTGCTGTATTGGTTTGGTGAAAAGTGAGCCACAATTAATGCATTTTCTAGCTAAAGATTTAATGCCCATACGACTCTTATTTATTACTATCCAATGGCTCTTGTTTAATGTAAGTGACTAAATGTAAAATGAAATGTATTATACTCTTGTTGAGTTTTGTAAATCTATATTGAGTAAATTACATTTACATCGAAAGTAAAGTAACATACTAACATGTCCCATTTGTTAAGTGTGAATTTAAACAAAATTTCTTTGTAAATTGTAAATGTAAATGCTAAACCAAAACAGAAAGAAAACCTTCAGTTTGTGTTTTGCGTTTGACGTGCACGTTTTCACAATATATAACCCATTCTCCGATTAGTATACATTGCACCATTACATATTTTATACGATTAAAATAACCAAGCATTATTGATCGTTGAAAGCGTAGCTCGTGTTTTCACACCTTATTTGTTTACTACTAAATCGTGATGTGAGAACGTTTAAATAATTGTTTAGACAAGTATTTAAACGATTTCTTAAGTAAGAAGAGATGGGTGTTAGATTTTTAGGTTGAGGCTTGGTCATGTTTGCTTGTCAGCGCCGGAGATTGGGTGTTAGATTTTTAGGTTCTCTCTTTTCGCTAGGTAGAGGATTAGAGAGATTGGGTTACGGATCTTCTGGGACTCGGTTCATGCCGGGAGAAGCGTTGCAGGTTCAGGTTTGTCGTCGGGATCGGCTTTGCGACGGGAACCGATTACTTCTGCCAATGAGTTCGTTTTCGCCGTCGTAGCCGCGAAGCAGTGCTTCTCGTAATCGCTGGTATTATTGGATGTGTTTCCTTGTTTTCCGATCAACCTCCGGGTCCGATCTCATGTCACCGGAATTGTCAGCCGTTTCTTTCTTTTTTGTATCCGTGTTATCGTTGTAAGGCCTTGCCTATTGCCCTTGGGCCTAAAGCCTGTTTGGGATGATAATATATAAATTAAAAAAAAAAAAAAAAAAAGAAAAAAAAAAAAAAAAAAAAAAAAAAAGAAGAAGAGATGGTTATGTGACTCATTGGATCGTCCGTCTTTTGTCGATAACACATCATTCGTGTTTTTTTTCTGTAGTCTTAATGGTGTGAGAAGACTTATGTTTTTTAAGCCATACGTACCTACTGATTAGGTGAACTGTTCTTCTCTTTGAGATACTGACAATTAATTTTAAAAGTAGGAATGAATAAATATGCTTACAAATGCAACTATAGTCACGAGTCCAAATCTCATAAAAAGTATAAGATATGTTTTTTTTCTTCTTTTTCTTTCTAATATCATTACTAGATTTTTCACGTTTAACCAAATTCTTTTTGTTTGTTCATGATTTCCTTTTCAAACTTTTTTCTATACCTTTGTGTTTTTTCTTCTTCTAGTATATATATAGAGGTTATGCATTCATTTCCATATGATATTCTTTAATTAAATTTTTTGATTATTAAACTAATGTTACTAATCAAAGGCCCTTTTCCCGAATGTGTTAACGTTAAAGTAGTCAAAGAAACATAAATCACTAAAATGGGCCATAAAGGCCCACTAAGAGTAAGTTTGATGACAATAAGTCAATAATGGATGGTTGACCAGTCATACAAAGAAGACAAATAAAAAGGTCAAAATTAACAAAAATCTGGACAAAGGTCAATTTCGCAATTAAATGCAAATTTGCAGCATCTCTTTCTCTTTCTCCGCCGGCGAATTTCTATTGCTTCCTTCTCCGTCAATTTTATCACCGGCCGTCTGTACCCTCCGTTCACATTCAAACCGCGACTGGTGGAATCATTGCCCTTAGGTTAGTCAACCCTCTTTATCTTATAAAGTCTTCTTTTTTTGCCGTCAAAAATTAAAGGATTTGAATTTATTTTCTCCAGACAGTGCTTTTGTTTATGTTGAATTGCAGAAATTGGTGGATTTGTCTTGTCTAGGTTTCATTTGAATGTAGTAGATAACAACTGGTTGTTGAATGTTGTTCATTGTGAAATGGTTTTGTGTTTTGTTTTATATTTTTTTTTGAAGTTCCTGAGTCACCCCTCAAAGACTGAAACTTTAAAGTATGACTTTGATGGGAAATGAGAGATGATCACTAGTTCGATACAAAGATGTCATGGATGAAAGGTAAATCATCTGGTTGGACTGCGTTTGATCTCAAGCAGAGACAGAAACAAGGTCTTGAAAGCGAGGTCAAAGATGATGATCCATTCCCACCTGTCTCAACTAGTGTTAATGCATCCTTAAGTGTAAGAGGAAAGTTGAGAAGAGACCATGAACCTTCTGAAAAGTCTTTTTCATCCGTGCTCTTACCTCCTTCGAGATTTCCCGCATTGACAGAGAATAAAGATTGCGGAAACCAAGAACGAGGTGGAGGTTGTAAGAGAAAACCGGGCACTTCGATTCTGCCAGTAAACAGTCATGATTCAGCCTTCAGGAAGCTGAAGGAAATGAACAGCTGGGCGGATGATAACTTGATAAGGGATGTATTGTTATCCACCGAAGATAATTTTGAGATGGCCTTAGATTTTTTGAAAGGAATGGTTTCTTCTGGTAAGGAAGCTGAGGAGCCAACTTGTAAGATTGAGGGTTATTCATCCGATAACAGAAGATCCGAATATAAAACAATTGGGAAAACTGTTACAAGTTCAGTGAAGATGGCTGCAAGGTCCACATTTGAGGATGCTGGCGAGTATAATTTGCAGAGTGGTGGAAGCTCGTCTCTGGTGAATGCATCTGACAGTGAAAAATTCTTTGATGATATTTCTGAACTAGATAGTATCATTCAACGGCTTCAGTCCATTCCTATAGAACCTGAATGGGAAGAAGATGATCTCTACTTGACTCATCGAAAGGATGCACTGAAAATGATGAGGTACACAAAGGCGTGTGTATCCTTTTTATACTGAATTGTTGTCATAGTCAATTTATCACTTTGATCGTTTTTTTCTACCCAATCCAGAGTTCATATGTTGAAGTTAAGTTTCAAACTTTATGCTTGAATTTCAAGCTACGACTAGTCAGTTTCTCATTTCAAACCTGGCTTATCTTTGAAGATGAATATGTATCATCAGCTAATGAGAAATTCTCCGTCTTTGAAAAACAGATCAGCCGCAAACCATTCAAGAGCTGCTCAAAATGCTTTTCAGAGATATGATCATGCTTCTGCCAAGCAGCATTCAGAGAAAGCAAGAGAGGACTGGTTAACAGCTGAGAAGCTAAATGCTGAGGCGGCCAAGAAGATCATAGGTATAACAAATAAGGATAATGACATATGGAAGTTGGACCTGCATGGTCTCCATGCAACAGAAGCTGTTCAAGCGTTACAAGAACGTTTGCAAAAGATTGAAGGTCACTTCACTGTGAACCGTTCAGTATCACCAAATAGAGGTAGGACGAAGAATGCAGCTCTGCGATCTGCATCACAAGAGCCTTTTGGTAGATTAGATGTGGAAGGCATGCACTGTCAAAGAACTTCTTCTAGAGAACTACGAAACTCATTGCAGGTTGTAACAGGTATGTCGATTTTCTGTTTATGAAGCATCCACTGATGTTTCCCTGGTTTAAGTACAATAGAAGGTTCACACAGAAATTATGTGACAGCGATGTTCTATGTATATTGTAGGTATTGGTAAACACAGTCGCGGACATGCTTCACTTCCTCTAGCCGTGAAGACATTCTTTGAAGATAACAGGTGAAGAAAACTCTATGATCTTCCGTTTTATATGTTTATTAATCTTTACTATAAATAAAAAGCTGAGGAATGGGATGTCACTTTGCAGGTATAGGTTTGACGAGACAAGGCCAGGAGTTATCACAGTGCGGCCTAAATTCCGACACTGCTGAAACTTTGATTGATCTCAAGCTTAGCAAATACTTTTGTGTTACTTCATTGTTGTTGTATCATATCTCCTTAAGACTTATCATTCTTCTTTGTAACATAGTCAGGTTGGCCAATTATTTAGTGTAAAAAGGTCAACAAAACAGAATGTAATGTGGCAGAGCAATGGTATTTGTAGTGAGATCAAATGTAACTTAAGTGTGGCTTTTATATAAACAAAGATTGAGTTTCTCATGATTAAATTGTCACACAGAGAACAAAACTCAATTTATTTCATATATCCTTTCATCTTCCTTATCTTTTTCTCCTTCCTCATTAGCTTCAGAGCTTCTGCTCAAAAACCTTATTACCTTAATCATTGTTGTCCAAATACGACAACATACTCAACTAACAGCACATACTTAAGACATCACCAATCTTAAAACCCTTTTTTCCTCTCTGCAGAGCCTGCAAGGAAATAGCAAACCAAAATAATCAGCCACTGCTTCTCTAGAAATGAAGCTTGAAGTCTTTGTATCTACTTAACATTGGTCTCTGATTTTATGACAGCTATAAATTTGTCTTCTAGAGATTGTAACGAAAGTGATAAAATGATTTTTAACGCTATGAAGAACATTACCGTCTTGATAAATAATCTCAGGGTGAGTACTATTTCATCTCTTGAGCTGCCAAAGAAAACAGAAGATTAAATAAATGCTTACAGTGAAGTATTCAACAGACATATAACAAACACACAAGACCCTATCCTTTATTGAATCAAAGTGTGATATATCCCCTACACTTGTGTGTAATCATACTGAAATTCATAGATTTGGTATTCTGATAAGATCATAGGACCAAGCGTATGCTGAATAATCCGGATCGGCTTTTGAACTCACTAAGTAACCTAATCAACTTTTTTCAGGCCCATCAAACTCGAAGCATTCTGATGTTCTACTTCCTTCTTTGAAAGAAAGGTAAGGTCGACTTACCCGACAAGGTCTGTCAATCCATTATCTGCTCGTAAGCAATGCTCACTACCATCAGAACCAATGATAACAAGTTCTCCAGGTTTCCCAAACGGAATTGTTACCTAGAAATGTATCACAAGAATAAACATTAGTTCAAAGCTTGTTGCCTTCCAGAATTTTCACAGACAAGCGCGATTTATTCTATGACAAGAAAGGACATAAACAAATAAGACATAAGTCTTACAGCAGTAGAAGCTGAGAAATTTTCTGCAATTGTGAGATCGTTATCAGACTTGATGGTGTAACCTTCCCTCTTAATAGATAACGTAGCTGCTTCCCATATACCCTGGAAACCAGTCTGTTCATGGATGTGAAGGATTAATCCAAGAAAAGCCAGAGAATACATAGCCAAAATATACAAGATAAAATGGAAAATGTTATACGGCAAGAGAAACTTTGTATGAAGCATGACCAGTATGAAGAGTCTTGTCTATATTGCTCTGCATCTCTGGATCTGTGAAAATAAAAAGAGGATTACTGTTACATATAGGTCTCACAATAAATATTATTAAGTTCTCACAGCCTACCAGAAACAGCTTAGCGAGCACAAAAGACTTAACATCTTAATATCAAGACGTAAACTGACAACTGGCCTAGTAGTACTCAAGATGGTAATTTTCTCTAAGTATATAGATTAACTTACGGCAAGCGATCTTGCGATTATCATTGGCAAAAACCTTCACAAGCTCCCCCTGAAATCAGAAAGTAGCTAATGAATATTGCAATCCACATGAAAAAGAAAAAAAAAAACTATGCCACGAAACAAAATGCTGAGGTAAATAATGGAAACTAAAATCCATATCAAGATTCCAGTATACCACAAAATCATAATCCTCGCTTTCCACAGAAACGAACTACTCTAACACTTAATCTGATTCATACAAAAAAGATATTATTAACCTTTCGGTTCTGGTCATCCAAAGGCTGAACTTGAATAGCAAGATATGAATCAACATCATCAGCAGTGACAAGGTAATTTGGCTGCTTTGCTCCTGAATTAGAAAGAATTTGGTAAACGCCTAGATTCTTACTTGCATATAAAGAAATAAGAATCAGCAGGAGGGGAATGTACCATCAATGTAATTCACAGATCTATCTTCTAGACGAAATTGACATACCCACTTTGGAGAAGAGAAGAAGATAGGATGAGATACAATTCAACATAAGTAAGTAAGGAAGCGATTCTGTTATCTGTTTAGTACGACGAACCTCAAAATTACAACTTGTAGTTCCATTAATGGAGTAACCACAAGCCTGAAGTTCATGTCCAGGATAAGGTTCTCCTGCAATTTGGAGGTCCTCTATAGCTGGTAAAAGGTCATCACCCTTAAAAAAGAAGAAATCTTTGGTATGGGTCTTGCTGATAAGTGGAGTTTCGTCTGCTTGCTTCAGGGCAGGAGATTCGTCCACACTCGTACCTGGTTGCTCCATCTCAAAGGTCGATTACGCAGTTATTTGCAGCGTCTCTTTCTCTCTCTCTCTCTCTCCGCCGGCGAATTTCTTCTAATGCTTCCTTCTCCGTCAAGTTTATCACCGGCACTTTATACACTGGTCAAACTGTGACTGCTTGACTAATTGGGGGCGTTAGGTAAGTCAACCATTTTTTTCTTTTAAAGTCATTTCCTTTTTCCCGACAAGTGGACAGTGCTTTTGTCTTATGTGTTGACTTGTAGAAATGGGTTGGTCTGTCTTGACTAGGTTTAGTTTGAATGTGGATTTGAACTCCATGTGGAAGGCATCCACTGTTAAAGAAGTTATTCTAGAGAACTAGGAAATACTTTTGTGTTACTTCATTGTTGTTGTATCATATCTCCGTAAGACTTATCATTCTTCTTTGTGACATAGTCCTTGTGGCCAATTGTTAAGTGTACTCAGACAGGTCAATAAAATAGAATGTAGTGCGACTGCAGAGGAGTCATATTTGTAGTGAGATCAAATGTTAACTTAAGTGGGGCTTTTATACAAACAAAGATTGATTTTTCTCATGAATAAATTGTGTCATAAGTCCTCTTCTCTAATTGATTTGCAGCTGACAAAAGCCACAGAGCCAAAAAAATATTATATACCAAGTCTCATTTGTTAAACAAAAATACTCTCTTCTTTCCCTTCTTTCTCTGCAGAGCCTGCATCGAAATAGCAAACCAAAATAATCAGCCATTGCTTTCTTATAAATGAAGCTTGGAAGTCTTCTAGAGATTGTAACGACAGTGATAAAATGAATTTAATGCTTTGAAGAACAACATTACCCTCTTGATAAATAATCTCAGGGTGAGTACTATTTCATCTCTTGAGCTGCCAAAGACAACAGAAAATTAAATAAATGCTTACAGTGGACTATTCAACAGACATATAACAAACAATATGAACACATAAGACCCTATCATTTATTGAATCAAAAGTGTGATATATCCCCTACACTTGTGTGTCTAATCATACTGAGATTCATAGATTTGGTATTCTGATAGGATCATAGGACCATGCATGTGCTGATTGATCCGGATCGGCTTTTGAACTCACTAAGTACTTAGAACCTATTTAACTTTTGTCAGGCTCATCAAACTCGAAGCATTCTTATGGTCTACTTCCCTCTTTGAAAGAAATTTAAGTTCTACTTACCCGATAAGGTCTGGCGATCCATTATCTGCTCGTAAGGAATGCTCACTACCATCAGAACCAATGATAACAAGTTTTGCCGGTTGCCCAAACGGAATTGTTACCTAGAGAGGTATCACAAGAAGGATATAAATATTAGTTCAAAGCTCGTTGCCTTTCCTACATCAAACATTTACTTACAAAAATATGAAAAAATCAGCTGAAAACAAAAAATATGGTTTCGCTACATGCTTTTGTAGAGAAGACGTTTAAATCAGTAAACTAGTATGCTCAGTGAAGATGCATGTAAGACGCACATCTGTTTAGGAAGTAACAAAACGTTGAAAACTATATATTCAGCGACTCTAAAATTCAACGTATAAAATGGGACAAGCCTTATTGCTTACAGAAGCATTCCTATCGCTTAGTATTGAAATACAATATGTATGCATCATAAGTTCAGAACCTATCTAAGAACTCTTCAAATATGAAAAGCTCCCTCCATACCCACACCGCCACACGTCTCGCAGACAAGCGCGATTTATTTTATGACAAAAAAAGGACAGAAACAGATAAGGCAGAAGTCTTACAGCAGTAGAAGCTGAGAACTTTTCTGCAATTGTGAGATCATTATTACACTTGATGCTGTAACCTTCTCTCTTAATAGATAACGTAGCTGCTTCCCATATATCCAGGAAACCAGTCTGGTCAAAGCCACATGCATGTGAAGGATTAATCCAAGAAAAGCCAGAGAAAACATAGCCAAAAAAAACGAGTTGAAATGGCAAATGTTATACCCCATGATAAACTTTGTATGAAGCATGACCAGTATGAAGAGTCTTCTCTATATTGCTTTGCATCTCTGGAACTGTGAAAATAAAAAGAGGATTACTGTTTCTATATAGGTCTGCCAATAAAAATTATTAAGTTCTCGAAGAATCCTTCAGATTTAAAGGAACCACTCTCTTACACAACCAACCAGAAACAGCTCAGCGAGCATAAAAGATGTAACATCTTAATATCAAGATGTAAACTGACAAGTGGCCCAGTACTCAAGAGAGTGATTCTCTAAGTAAATAGATTAACTTACGGCAAGTGATCTTGCGATTATCATTGGCAAAAACCTTCACAAGCTCCCCCTGAAATCAGAAAGTACCAAATGAATATTGCAAACCGCATGAAAAAAACAGAAAAACAATCAGCAGAAAACAACAGTGTAAGGACATCTAACAAAACTGTTAAATCGTATCTGTACTTTCCAACGGCGAATCTTTTCCCCTACAAGATTTTAGCATGAAATCTAGCCCACGAAACAAAATGCTGAGGTAAATAATGGAAACTAAAATCCATATCAAGATTCCAGTATACCACAAAATCCTAATCCTCGCTTTCCACAGAAAAAAACTATTCAACATATAATCTCATTCATTTAACCTTTCGGTTTCTGTCATCCAAAGGCTGAACCTCAATAGCAAGATATAAATCAACATCATCAGCAGTGACAAGGTAATTTGGCTGCTTTGCTCCTGCATTAGAAATTCGTTAGCGACTACATTCTTATTTCCATATAAAGAAATAAGAAAGAAAATTCGGCAGGAGGGGAATGTACCATCAATGTAATTCACAGATCCATCTTCTAGATGACATACCCACTGAAAATTGAAGAATAGAAGAAGATAGATTAGATGCAATTCAACATAAGTAAGGAAGCGATTCTGTTTTTTATTTAGTACGCACCTCAAAATTACAACTTGTCGTTCCATTAATGGAGTAACCACAAGCCTGAAGTTCATATCCAGGATAAGGTTCTCCTGAAATTTGGAGGTCCTCTATAGCTGGTAACGGGTCATCATCCCCATCTGTCAACAGTGGTTCAAAATATTGAGACAAGTGATAGACCATAATGGAATTAGTATTATTAATCATTACCCTCAGAAAAGGAGGAAGGATGTTCTTCAAAAACTGGGGACAAAAGAGGAGAATTTGAGGAGCTTGGGTCATCAAACGCAGACTTATATGATGGATTTTGGGCATCGTCGACCACCGTCTTGCTGATAGGCTCAAGAAACTGAACATGCTTAGGTGGAGTTTCGTCTACTTTCTTCAGAGCAGGAGATTCGTCTACACTCGTACCTGGTTGCACATGCATCTCAAAGGCTGCCGACTGACTGGTACACACGAAACGCATTTAATCATCAAACTATGTTCAACATTGCAGAAAATTATCCACCAATAACTACAGTGCATACAATCAAGTGAGCACTACGAAATTGATCATAATCGTAACAGGACGAAGTTAGATGATCTGGCACATCATGACAGATCAAGACATAAGACACATAAAGAAGAACAGCACCTTATATGGCGTACGACTAATCTGATACTTTTGAGAATTGAAAGCATCATATTGCCCAGAGCGAACAGGAAGTTAGAAAATATAAGCATAGGAAAAAGTCATGAACACTCAGAGTCAGAAGAGGGATACTAACTATTGGCTTAGAACAAGGAATTCTCGAGCGTCAAGATTCATTGCCAAATCAAATCAAATACTTTTCAGCGTGTTTTACAAGGCAAGAGAAAGCAGTCAGAGTCAAGAACCAGAGTCAAGAGTCATAGCCAAATTAAATCAAATAACTTGTAAGACAAACTTAAGAGTCAACAACAAACAAAGGGCCAAGATGTCACGGACTTGTTCCTACCTAACAAGAACATGTGGCTTTAACTCCTTTTTTTCCCGAGGTAGCTAAGTTAAGACCCAACCCTAAGAAAAAGAAAGAAACTAAATGCTCCGGTTGTAGTTCCTTGGATGATTTACAAATAAAGGATCCCCAGTCCCCACCCTATTATATCCATTGGGATAGATATATACAATGCTCTAGCAACTACATGTGTATATTTCATAAATATTGAGTGGGTGCACGTAGTTTTCATCATACAGTTTGGAATATCAACCTTTGCAGGGACAAACTCACCTGTTCACAAGAGGTGAAAACGTACTAGAATCATCAAGATGGTAATTCCTCACAGCTGAGCTACTTGGCTCATCTTGCTGCTGGCGCTCCAAATTCCAGTCTATGGCTGTGTGATCATGAGAATACACGGAATCCTTTGTCTGGTGAAAACACAAGAAGTAATTTAAGATTCAATTCACTCAAGCTTATGATATAACACTGAGGAATATGAACATACGGAGTGGGTTAATGCTACACCAGCTGAGCGCGATGGAGCCAAAGGGGAATCATTTGAGTTGTTCACATCTGACTGCCAAGGTGCTAATTGATATTCTGACTCCTTCAACTTTGTCTAGTACAAGAAAAAGATCAGAAACAATCATCTATCATGGGTCTGTAAGAAATACAGTCAATTCAATGCTAGGAAAAAAACTGCATTCGAAAATAAAGCAGACGCTGAGATTTAACACCAGATAAGCCCATACCCGGATAACATACCTCAGTAAGAAGGAGCTTTTCTTGTAGATGCTTAAACAGAACCTGAAAAGAAAAGAAATAAAGTAGCTGTAAACGCCAATCACTAGTTTTAACATAAAACTGCAAGAAAAACTTCACTTTCAAATATAATGACGCAGGGTATAATATATAATCGGTCATTTAACTTCTTATCCAAATTTTCTATGTTCTCTGGTTCTCCATGACTCCACATAAATTTCACAGATAAGACAACAAATGCTTATGCTTCCTTATCCATGGAGCTCAAAATTATGTCAACCAAGCTCCGTTAATCATCGATATAGGATACCCCAATTTCACTGAAAGAGATCTCAAGTCATAGCCATTACTTAATATTCTACAAGAAATATTTTTTTACATTATTGGTTCATGAATTTCAAAGGATGTGAATTTGAAACATTTCCAGGGTAGGGTGCTGTACGGCTCTTTTGAAGTCAAGTCTAATGCAGTGCAACAAAACCTCTCAAATTAATAGGCTACAGTATACAGTTAAAGTCAAAAGATAGGAGCTAGAGATGGTCCGAACTTGCAACAGAATAACAAAACAAGAAACGCAAGATTCCAACACAAGTTATAATAAAAGATAAAAGATAGCGAGAGACAGCACTTCAGATTTTGGATCTGACCTTCACGTTGCTAACAATAGACTGAGCATCAGAAACCTGTGGTTGCAGAGAATACTCCGATAACAGAGGTAACAAGTATGATACAAATGTAGATCTTTCTTGATGTGTAGCCTGGAAAAAAATCCGAAAAAAGCACATTGCTTCGATTTAAAATTAACCAGATTTCGCGTAGATATATATATATATACCAGTTGCAGTATGTAGTTATCCAAAAACATGATGAAAGAGAGGGGCCAGAGAAAAATCCTAGTTTGAAAACTGGAGTGGAAACTGAAATAATTCATGGTGTCCAGCCAAAAAGGGTTACCAAAGAAAAAGGAAATGAGGAATTAAAGCGTATACCAGAAGACAGACAGTTATTGCTGTATTCCCACACACACAAAATGATAGTACCTGTAAGGCGTATGTTAGGCGTATATTTTCCTCAATTATCTCTTGTCTGTAAGAGAGAGCTTTTGATGAAGTATCAACAAGATCTTGTTGCTGTTGATCAAATGCCTGGTTACAACAGCAACAATCTTTGAGCTTTCAAACAAATAAATTAAATAGATTTAGTATAAAATAGATAAGTAAAAAAAACAAGAAAGGCCAACCAGACGCATGTAGGCAATTCGCTTTTCCAGAACATATTTTTCATTGCGAATTTGGGCTTCCTAATAAATAACTAAAATGTTAGTCATCTAATTTAGCATAAAATTAACAAAGAATGCAAGGGATGAACCAACAGAAAGCATAAATGACTACATATTTTATTATGCCATTTACTCTTATGGTCGCCTGGGCTTTATTTGTGGTTGAGCTGATTGTTTCGGGTTTTGCTCTTGTTTTGTGCCCTTTCGAAGTGAACATATAAATCATTGAAGAGATTATCCTTGGTTTGGATCAATAGGAGTTTGTCGTTTCTCCGATGAAACAGAGTACGATATATGCAGGTCTTTCTAAGTAGCAGAAAATCTATCTTTTCCCATGAATATTATACTCTGTTTATGACAAACTTTTATTGATCAAAACCATAGATGATTTTCAATGCTTGTTATGTTCACTTATAAAGGGCAAACAAGAAGAGAAAAACCATAAGCAACCAAAGAAACCTGACTCAATCACAAACAAATCCCAAGGAACCACAAAAGTTAGTAACATAAAAGCCCAATAATGACTAGAAATCTCCCATGTCGAACAGGACTCACCTTAACAGAACAGTCAGTAAGATATTTCCTCAAGTGCGAAATTTCTTGTTCCTGCTCCTGGACCTTGTGAATGAGGTCCTGCATAGGTACATAGTCAGGTAAACAGTTTTTCATTTACACCAGGAAAACCAAGGCGTAGTAAGTATGATGAAGACCTGCTTCCATGCATTGCCTGAATGATTTACTTCATCAACTGGCATAGATCCATGAGTAGACGAACTGACGTGTGCGACATGCTCTCCTTCCAACCGCATTCTAGCAGATATCAGATCTTGAGAATTATTCAAATTCATCTAAGCCATAAGATTGACAAGTACAATCAGCACACGCCAGAGTGGTAGTTTGTGTTCCAGTACCTCATAGGAGATAATGACGAATCAAATTGAGAGGGACCAGCACCATCTATAGCTCCTCTGACAATGCCATTAATTATATTTCCTTCAGAGTGGCTTTCAAAACGATTACTCACAGTAGCTTCTGCACCATTAGCATTCACATGGGGGTGAACAACCAGCAAGCCTGATGAATCAGCATCTGAAGCTTTGACCACCACACTTTTCTTCCAGTCAACTGGCTGGTGAACCAGGCTGGACACAGTGGTAGAATTTGAGTGATCTCCGAGATTAGAAGTTTGGGGCAAGAATTCATCTGATTTCTAGGCAAGATAACAAGAGCAAGACTACCAATCAAAAATTTACCAAATATGATCTACGAGCTACTAAAAGCATACCATGGAAGTATCACCATAACTAAGGAAAAGGATCCTCACTAATTGCGAAATACAGATATCTAATAAAGACAGCACAAAAATCAGAGATCCTCTCTTTTCCTTTTACTAGACAATTACTTACATATTTAGCCAGTTCCAGAGCACTTCTCTGAAGTTCAGCTTTTAAACGGCTATTCTCCTCCACCTGCTTAGAGGATAAAAACACAGTCTTAGATGCCCAAAATACTTCGATGACAAAAAAAAACCATTATCTTGCAGTGGCAAATGCTAAGAAACGAGAGACAGCTCCAACACTCCAGATACTTAATTATCCCCTATCCATCAATCAGACTTAGTAAACCTTGCATTTCACAGCTATTTCTCTAATAAAGCAGACATCAATACAGAAATTTACACAGCACTCCGGGAAATGGATTGATGGAGGAAGTACTTCTTCCCCCTCCACAAGTTGAAACAATTTCAAATAAAGAAACAGAGAGAGAACTAGACCTGCTCCTTGATGGTGGTTTCTGCTGCTTCAACAGCTTTGATGACCTGAAACAAGTTGTCGTTCTTAAACTCGTTCTCAGCCGAACGAGAAGAATCTTCAAGACCCAATCCTGAAAATCTCTCAGCCAATCTCTCCTCATGGCCGTTCTCCATCTTCAGCTCCTCACTTCGAAGCTGACTAAATCCCAACCAAATCCCCAAAAACTTGACCAAAGAACTCCTCTAATTTCCTCTCTCTTGTGCTTCTTAATTATCATGACTTCATCTGAGCGTTTAAGTAGTCAAATCTCACACGAATGAAACAGGAACAACCAAAATTTTCCGAGGAAATTTCTAAGAAAAAACGGAAATTGAGCGTGTTGATTTGGAAGAAATGGTAATGATTGCGAGAAAACGATAAGAGCCAATTGCGCAATCACATGAGAAAGAAAAACCCAGAGAAAAAAATGGGTTTTTTTAATTGAAATGAGAAGAAAGTTTCCTCCTTTGTCTTCGTCTTCTTCAAGCAATCTTTCTCTCTGTCTCAATCAGTTTTTAATTCTAGACTGGTAAGTGTTGTGCTGACTTCTGGGTTTTATATATGATTTCACTTTTTATTATTTAAAATAAATACTGCACTAGTTCATAATATATAAAGAACACTATTGTGAAAAGAAAAAAAAATACTGCACTAGTTATTTTTGTTACCTACTAAAACTATTTGCAAATAAATTTTAAGGAATCTTCAATTTTGTTAAATATTAATAAAATATTCTTTGACTAATGAAGAAGAAGTGAGACGAGAGAGAGTAAAGGAGCAAATGTATTAGCAACAAATTCTTCTCTTCTCTCCTGTATCTTTTACAATGAGTCAAAGACAACATATATATAGGGAATGAGAAGATAAGATAAGTAAAAGAAAAAAAAATACTGCACTAGTTATTTTTGTTACCTACTAAAACTATTTGCAAATAAATTTTAAGGAATCTTCAATTTTGTTAAATATTAATAAAATATTCTTTGACTAATGAAGAAGAAGTGAGACGAGAGAGAGTAAAGGAGCAAATGTATTAGCAACAAATTCTTCTCTTCTCTCCTGTATCTTTTACAATGAGTCAAAGACAACATATATATAGGGAATGAGAAGATAAGATAAGTAAGACTAAACTTGGGGAGAAAGTTTCTTGTAGGAGAAGTAAAACTATGCTTATCCATATAATGTAGATAGGATTAAGTGATGGATAATCACTTGTGTTATTATCTATTTATAACACTCCCCCTTGAGTATCCATCACTATTGATTTATTGCGTACTGTCTCGTTAAAAACCTTATCATGGGAAAACCGTATAGGAGAAAAACCATGATAAGGGAAAAAAGAGTACAGTAACGCAATCTTCCCCTAGAATAGACGAGTCTTGTTTTCTTCATAGGTTTCGTAGATGATGCATCTCGATCATTCTGTTCGCTTCTTCTGATCTCGTCAAAATATGACAAAGATTTTAGAAGAGGGATAGACTTTCACTTTATTGTCTATCTTTTGCGTGTCATTTGCTGCCTCGTTAAAAACCTTGTCATGGAAAAACCTAGTGGGATAAAAACCATGATAAGGGAAAAAGAGTGCAGCCACGCTCATTATCATATGTCTCCCCCTGGAAGTATCATCTTCAAAAGATATATTTTGAATGGCGTAGCAGGCAACGCCTTTGAACTAAAACTGCTACATTGTTACTCGGCCGGATGTACTGGACATCAACTTCTTGCTTCTTCTCAGATTCTTGAGTGCAAGAGAAGAATCTTGGAAAAATATGTCTTGTCATCTCGCTCTTGACATAGCTTCCTTTGAGTTGGAAAACATATGTAACAATGTCTTGTTTGTTGGCTCTTCACTGGTGACTATATTGCTTTCTTCTTGTATACGTTGAGGGCATCGATCTAAGCCATACAGATTCTCAACATGCTTCATGGAGCGCAATAATTTTTGGCATGGCTTGAGCAAGCGACGACCAAAATTTTTTTTTTGGAAACGCCACGAAGTTGTTGTTTTGCAATATATATTTAGACAGATCTGATATAGATTCTCCATCTGCAAAACCAACTAAACCAAACTCGGGGTTTCTAGAATAAAATAAACCCAAGTCAATCGTACCTTGCAGATATGGAAGACACATTTGAATTCATTCAAGATCTAGTCGGAGGAGATCATTTAATCCTGCAAGTAGATCAGCAGCAAATGCTAGGTACAATATATTCACTAGATATATAAATGCTCGTCAGCATTTATATATACTAGCTACAATTCACAAAATATATAAATACTCGTCAGCATTTATATATAGTGCTTCATGATCAAATATTTAACATCTCTTTTTTTAGATGTTTAGTTAGAATATCTGGAGACACTTTTGTGTTTCCAAGATCTTTTATTCAAAATAACTCTTTAAGAGTTTTGATGATGTTCAAAAACATCATGCTTATAAGTTCCCGGGAATATAACTATGATATCATATATTTTAGGATTAGTCCTTCAGACATCCCATGAGGCGCAATTCAAGTCATTTATTCATCAACTCAATATCGAGTGATTTTGACAAAACCCGGTGCGACACACCGTCTTGTCTTAAGTATCATAATACTCTTTCGATGCTTGGACCATGTGTCCAGGAATTACTCGTTTCTTATACGAGATTCATATAGACTTGGCTGCGTCTTTGTTTATTGGCCAATATATATCTCTTTACGCTCACAGAGCAGAGATTCATGATCCTCATTAATAACATTTGTGCACTAGATCATTTTTATTGTCGACATTATGTTGTCTTTGGTTCCATATTTGCCGTAATGACATGGTTAATCGAGATTTCTTAATCATTATAAATGATTTTATTTATGTACCTGATTTCGTTTTCAACCATGCCAATCAGTCTTTTTACTCCTCTTTAGGAGTCTCTTTGCTTCTCTTGAGGAGTCTCTATGCTCCTCTTTAGAAGTTTGTATGCTCCTCTTTTAAGAGTTTAATCCTCTTTTTAGTAATAATATGCTCTTTTTTATTTTCGAGGATTTTCTTTATATTTGGAACCAAAGTTGTCTATCACGTTTTTTACGTGTTATAGACAATAATATGTCATCCGCCAGAGACATATTTTTGTAGAGCAATTTTAGCTGGGACAAGAGATTTCGTATGAACTTTAAGTTCATATGTATTTATATGAGGATCAATAATTTATGAAATCTCATCCATCAGCTTTTTGCATTTGATTTGCAATTTATTATGAATAGTGATCTATTTGAACTTTGAACTCTTAAGTTCATATTTATTATAGTCATTTGTTCAAAGATCTTAACTATTCAATGATTCTCCCATAATGATGGGAAACTTTTATCATCAACAAGATGATATGCAAATCTTGCAATAGGCACATCTCTCATAAGATGGCTCAATATTATAGAGCAGAGACTCATCTCTAGCGTCTATATATTTCATCCTTTTAGGATGTTAATTTTTATGCGGTGTAGAGGAGCATTTATATATATCTCACACCCATAAAACTCAAAATGAGAAATATTTGATCTCCGATCATGTATATATAACATGAGAGAAATATTTCTTATAAATCGTTGGTCTTGTATATAATCATTAATACATGCAAAACTGCATGCTTCATGTAAAAACATGGAGATTAAATCACCATGAATCGTTTTGCAATCTCTTAGATTTGCGTTATGAACGATTCGCTTAAAGCTCATTTTGAGAGTGAACATCATTTTTAGATGTTCCACTTTATCAAAAAGTGATGACTTCACCAAAGTTGTCTCGCTCTGGGGTGTCAAACTCACAAAAATTCATCGACTTTTTGTCGATGTGGGATTCCTTTAATTCTCCCCCTCGAGATGATAACTCTTCGAGTTCATTCATCTCGAACTGAATCCCACTTTAGGATCAATAACATATCCGATACGGATTATGTATTTAATCTTAGATCCTTATAAAAATGTGGGACTTGTAAAAACTCCTCTCAAGATGATGGCTTTTCAAGCCTATTTATCTTGGACCGAATCTTATTTTTAGATCGGTTATATTCGGGACTTAATTTGAGGATTAAAAGAAATCAACCATTATGCAATGAGCTTATCAAAGAAAAATGGTGATTTGGCCAAAGACGATATGATTCTGGAGGCATAACCTACTACAGAATTAAAGAGAAGAAGGTATACAACCTTCGACTTCATATATAATCTAAATGAATTTAAATGAACTAAGATAAATTCAACATAAATTAAATGTTACCTCAGAAATATGGACGAAAGCATGTAGTGCTTGAATAAGCTTCCCTTTCTTTACATAAAATTTTAGTGATATTTAATCACTTTTTCGAGTTCCAATTTAGGTCATCAATATATACAGCAGTGATCACAAATCTCGAAAGAGATTTCTAAATAAAGACGCAAGGGCATATTTTATTATTAACATACCCTTTCTTTAATAAATAATCGCTTAAACGATTATATGCGTCTGGATTGTTTTAATCCGTAAAATGATCGCTGTAATTTGACCGTACATATTTCATTAGACTTTGAGTCTAATGGCTCAGGAACTTTAAATCCTTCTAGGATTTTTTATGTATATATTAAATCCAACGATCCATATAAACATGTTGTCACTACATCCATAAGGTACAATTCTAAATGATAAGAGACCGTTAGGTTCGTTGTGTACCTGAATGTAATTGTATTCATGACCGGAGAATATGTATCTTCATAATCAACTCCAGGTCTTTGAGAAAAACCTTGTGTAACAAGTCGGGCTTTATATCGTGTGATTTCAACTTTTTCGCACGAAGACCCACTTGCACCCAATAGGTTTTATATATTTAGATGTAGTGACAAGAGATCCAACGACATCTCTTTTATTAAGGAAGAGCAATTCAATACATTGCACCCTTTTTTCAATCAGACCTTTGCTGGCACTAATATGAACCTTGGATCTGGATCATCATTATTAATTGCTTTGTTATACCAGGATGGCTTGACCGGTTATACTATATTATAGCAATTAGCAAACCTTTGTTTACTATCATAAATATTTTGCCATCTTTATTTTTTGCATGATATAATCATATATTTGCGTGTCTCCATTGTGGTCGGATATTCAATACCACATTTATTTATAGTCTCAATATAATAATTATAAAAAGAAATGTCTTTGAAACTACACGAGTTTCTTTGAGACTTTGGAGAACACGAAGCATCGATTATTATGAATCCGATGCATTTGGAAGTCGAGAGACTAGCTCATCTAAACCTTCCAATTATTTTGCACTGTCTAAAAATATTTTGACACGTGCTTTATATATTCTCATAAGAGATATATATTTTTGATTTTTAAGACATAGTCTTTAAATCTCATATAACACATATATTTATTCTTTACGAATAAAATAAATAAAAATAATTAAACACATAAATGTACAAAATAATAATTTATGGACTATAGCCTTTTCATACAAGAATTCAGGAGGCATCGCCTTCCATATAAGAATTCAATAGGCATAGCTTTTATTTGATCATAGAGAAGGAGGCAGAGCCTACCATATATCTCGATCAATCCGGAAAAAATATAAATTTTCATTTGATCGTTAGGAAGGTAAAACCTACCATATATGGCGATCAATCCGGAGAAAGTATAGCCATTTATTTGATCGTAAAGGAGGCATAGCCTACCATATATAACGATCTATCCGGAAAAGACATAGCTTTTTATTTGATCGTAGAGAAGACGGAGTCTACCATTTATAACGATCAAACCGGAAAAAGGCATAGTCTCACGATGTCTAAAAATAATTATGTTCTATAAACATAAATAAATTTAAATAATAGGAATTTTACTTACCTCGTAAATGCTCTAGCGGTAAAGACATCGTGCTGATAACGTGTTAAATATTAATAAAATATTCTTTGACTAATGAAGAAGAAGTGAGACGAGAGAGAGTAAAGGAGCAAATGTATTAGCAACAAATTCTTCTCTTCTCTCCTGTATCTTTTACAATGAGTCAAAGACAACATATATATAGGGAATGAGAAGATAAGATAAGTAAGACTAAACTTGGGGAGAAAGTTTCTTGTAGGAGAAGTAAAACTATGCTTATCCATATAATGTAGATAGGATTAAGTGATGGATAATCACTTGTGTTATTATCTATTTATAACAAATTTAACATTAATGCTTCAATAGATTTTAAGAGGAGACTTTTTAATAACAAAAGTCAGAATCTTTGCATTATGTGCACTAAATTCAGCAACAACTGTTTTAGAGAAACAAACAAACTACACACTTTTCAGACTTAATTCTAAGCTTTTTGCAAGTTCTTCAATTAGGTTTTGATATGAGATAGAAGTTTGGTCAGTAACACTGCACTCTCTCCTGTCTTCCATACTTTGAAATCTGGGACTCCAACAAAGTACTCTTCATCACTCCACGTTTTGAGATCTGTGAGAGAGAATGGTCCATGTGTTTTTCCTTTAGGAAATTCATAGAACCACATCACCTTCTTTGGATCATAGTTCTGGTAAGCTTGATCGTCTTTGTCCTTGTCGTCATCACTGTCATCATCGCTCAATTCGATAATCTCAAGTGGAATTGATTGAGCTTGAGGTTGGTTAGAGAGATCAATCACTGGAGTACTTGACTGATGCTGACTGACTTTGGTATTCATTTCTCCTTTAGTGATTGAGTCCTTGTTCTGTGTGATGCCATTTGTTGGCGGCTCGTACACATCTTCATGGAGATCCTTGTTACCTGGAATTTAAACAAACAAAGATATGAGTCCAGATCAATTTCAGAATATCTCACTTCTTGGACACCACCTAGTTAACAAGGCAAGAGGAAATGGGTCAATCCAGATGATGTTGAATCCATCTCTTTAGAGTAAGGACATATTCATCTAGATCGGTTGGAAAAAGACAAGGACGAATAGGATTCATTGATCCAACCAAATTAAGTCATCGATGAATTGAAGTTACAAAAAGGATGGGACGCACCTGCAGAAGCAGTCTGTATTGGCTGGTCTTCTCCATCACAGATCTCGAAATTTTCTAGAGTTTTATGGATACTAGAATCTGGTAAATCACTTGGTTGTTTTTCTTCATCACTTTGCTGAGCCTCAGTGAAGGCCTCAGGGTTTGGTACAATGAAGTCATTTTCTATTTTCCCATCATTATCTACAAACTCAGGTTCAGGTTCTTCTGCAACAACTTCAGGAACTTTACGCAACAGCCTCAACTGTTCTTCCGGATTCTTAAGAAGCTTGGAATTTTCTAGACTTTTCTTGACACTAGAATAAACTGGTGAATCTCTTCGTCGTTGTTCTTCATCACTTTGATGAGCCTCAGAGTTTGGTACAATGAGGTCATTTTCTATTTCTCTATCATCATCTACACATTCAGGTTCAAGTTCTTCTGCCACAATTTCTGGTACTTCATCCAATAGCCTCGATTGTTCTTCCGGATTCTGAAGAAGCTCCCTTTTTTCCAGATACTGGGATAGCGTGATAGCTAGGAAGTCAAGAAAAAAATAAAAGAAAGAGTCTCATTCTCACTTCTCCACTAGTTACTCTTCAAAGAAAAACAATATATTAATACTGATAATGCTATATAAAAGGATATTCTCTTCGCCAACCCTTTTCATTGGCCTGATTAATAAGCCTTTGTAACACTACAAGTTCTCTTGCAATCCACTAAAAGACATTCGCAAAAGTTGAGAGTTAGTTCTGCAAATCGTTTTTTTTTTCTGAATAACAGTTTGCAGCTTCATACACAATCTGACATAACAACCAGGATTTTGATTTTCTTAAAAGTACTATGCAGCATAAGTGATCTTGGAATTCACTGTCAGATGTGAGATAAATAGGAGATGCAGCAATGAATGTGGAAGATATTTGATATCATACCAAATATAGAGTAAGTTAGCAAACATACATGTTTTGTCACATCTTCATGCAAACTTCGAGCCTTTTCTTCCATATCCACCTGTCAATGGTTAGAGTAGATTAGATTAGAGAACTGAAATAAATCAGAACCACTATAATAAACAGAGTATGGGAGCCACTAGCAAGAGTAAATGTTAGTAGAGAAAGCTCTAAAGACAACAAGGCAAGAAACTAAGGTACCATTAGCTACTTAATAGATTAAGAAACTTACAACTGTAAGTCTCTTAGCAAAGCCATTATTTATTCTTTGATGCAGTTCTTCACATTCCTCCTGCAAAAGTTAACATGAAGCTATTATAAATCATAAACAGGAGGCACTCTATATGTCAAGTAAAACCAAAGTTGTGACTAGCCGTTATCTAAACAAGAAAGGTTGCATAAGATAGTACATCTTCAGATAACTAGTAAATTAGATCAGTCCATAGCCACTTCTCAAGACACAGAGCTACCTGAGTACTTATGGTCTGAAATCATAAACAATCAAAATTACGCTCAAAGGGGGGAACAAAGATCTTGTGCACTATTCAATATCATAGAGAAAAGGTTATGGATAATGCCTTGATTGTCATTGATAAGAAGCACAAAAGCGGAACATGCATAGTTCTAGGAACATTACCTGAGAGAAATCATCCTCTGATAGGGAAGAGGTCGTAACATCTTTAAGATAATACGAATAATTTGTAACCTGAAGAAGATTACCATCAATCAGATTTCCCTCCTTCACACCTAGTTAACAAAACAAAAAAAAAACCACAAGACAACTTAGCCTCCTACAGCAGACCAAATATATCTGATGAAGCTGACTATATAAGAGATGTGATTAGTGATAAAGTAGTTTAAAGAAGTCACAGATGAATAAAGAATCAAATCTCAGAAAAATATAAGAAGTTACAGAATTTAGTCCTTGGAGTGAAACACTGCATGTTGATGTTTTGACTTGTCCAACTAGGCTATGTACAGAATCCAGATGGAAATTACCTGTCACGTGAACAAGCTGACAGGGATTCTTGATCCTCACAAAAGTCCCAACCACTTTGCTCTCAAAAGTTTCAGGTGACTTTGCTAGTTCCTGGACTAAACTCTTTCTTAAATACAGAAGCTTCACATTATCGCGCACTATCGCAGCAAAAGTCCCTTTAGGCTTTGACACAACCTGCTTTGTCTGTTTAGCCACCTTATCTGATGGAGACAATCTCTGTTGTTTATCATCCTCTGGAGAGTATAGATAATCAAAGTATGAGTCCTCCTGATTCTCTACATAATGCTTCTCTATCAAATCAGGGACTTTGATTACATTTATCTTCTGAGTCCCGAAAAGCAAACGCAACTTCTCATCGCAAGCTACTGTCTTTCTCCTCTTCTTGCTCTTCAAAGGAGTTTCACGGTTTTTCTCGCGGATATAGTTCATTATAATCGCTGTAACATCATTCTCAGATATCTTGTTGGTAGTATCTCTACCAAGTGACTCAAGAAACTCAATCAGATTTTTCGAACCCCACCCAACAAATTCCAAACTTTTAGGTTTTCTCAACCTCTTCTTACTCGAACCTTTCACTTTTCCATTGCCATCCTCCATTCTAAGTTAGACCCTGTGATATTTCAACCAAACAAACAAATAAAGGTCAGACCTTTCGATCGCCATTTATAGAAACATTTAACCTAAAAGGCTAAAACAATCCTTGATCCTTGTTACGAGAAACTTTCCATTAAAGAGAAGTACAAGTTTCTAAAACTAAGAGACAAGGAGAGAAAACACATTACAGTGATGAAATGCAAAACCTTGACGGGTATTTGAAACGGCACGAACTAAAGACGGAAACTTTCGAATGTAAGAGTGAGAATTGTCGAATTCGGTGACGACCCTCGAGAATGTATGATCCGGAGGAGTCGCAGGACGGTGACGAGAGAGAGAGAGAGAGAACACACTGGAGAGCGACTGCTAGAGACAAAGGACACTGTTTCATTTGATTATATCCAATTTTGTTGAGTAATAGTGTTGGCCTCTGCGACTCTGCGTTGTCGGGTCACCCACCCAGCCCTACCCGATCCGCAGTATCAGAACTTTCTAGACAAAATTCAAAATTTATAAATTTTTCAATTACTAAACAATTTCAAATTATCCTATTGAATAAAATTAATAATTTTAGAAAAATAAAATTTATAAAAAAATTTCAATTACCAAAAAAATTATCGAAACTCATTCATTCTTAATTTTTTTTTTTGTTAAAGTCATTCATTCTTAATTTCCCAAAATCATTCATTGTTTTTGTTACAAAACGACTAACACAAACTCTCATCTTAGCTACAAGCCTACAAATGCTCATACATCAAAGATTCGATACAATATAAGTGATACAAAGAACCATAGATGAGTATGTTGTTCACTCAATTAAGACAACATGATTACAACGTAACGTAAGCACTTAAAACCTACTGGATTGAATCTGCATGTACAAAGCTTTTGTTAAGAATTGAGATGCTTATGGAAAGAAAGAAGCTGCAAGAGGAAGTTGTAGCTAAGACTGATTCATGCCTATAAGAGCTCAAAAGGAAACTCAAGACTACAATTCAGTTTCATGATAACTCTTTTCTCTATCCATGTTTGTTGTTTACTGGTCTTTTACTGTTACAGGACAAGGACTGTCTCCATATCAGAGATGTTTCAAGTACATACATTGAGGAAAACACAAACATCATTAATCATTGTACTCAAGGATAAAACACGAATGTGCTCTTTGTCTTTTGGGAAGTTGACTGAGCAGAGAGCTTTTCAATTTCAAGTTTTTATATCATTATATGTTTCTTGTCTCACTAAATGTTGTTAGAACCAGAAACACCGATCCTTATTGTGATTCCATAAGAACGGCAAACATTTTTCAGTGAAGCATTATAGATTGAATCTGAATCAAAAGTCATATCTCATTACATTTTCTAAACGCCTAAATGTACCCCCTTAACAATAAACTACCAATATCAATATCTAATATAATAAACAAAACTTAGAAACATAAACAATGAATCAACATTTAAATTTCAAACCACAACCTAGGCTTTGTGCTTCCATCTCGAAGAAATCTCTTTTAGCAACGGCCTCACATCCACTGAATCCAAGTCTTTCCTCGACCAGTCACAGAAGAATTCATTGTGAACATCCTTGAGGAATCTCAAAACAATATCCAATGGTCCTTTCTCCTCACTCTCATCTCTCTTCTTCTTACATTCTGAAAATGAACAAGATTGGTCTCCAAAATACTTGTACTTGGCAATCTGCAGCAAGTTTTTCTTGTCATGAGGCCAAACACTACACTTATCATCAACAATCACAACCCCACGTTCATCAGCCAACACAAGATCAAGCGTCTTCAAACCAGGACTCTCTCTTCTCGTTATAACACGATTTCCAAAGTAAATCTTCTCCGGATCAATCAACTCCAACACAACCTGAGCATAATCACAACCACCCTTTGTGTAAACATACATAGAGAACATCTCACTGCATTCTTTCAAAAACTTGTGAACAAAAGGTCTCAGCTAGCTTTATCAATGATTCATCAGGAAACCCACTGTTGAATCTCCATAAATCTTTCCTCGATCCCACTTCTTCTGTTAAATACTTTTCAGATTCAGAAAGCTGTGAAGCTTTAATGGTGTGGACAAGCGTGTGGTCCAAGTCAAGTACTAAGTGAAGCTTCTTGTCTTCAAGCCAAGAGGTTTGAGAGATGACCCGTTTTGTAAAAACTAAAGCTTCGTGACTCATATGCATTACTTTGTAGAGATAATCAAAAGATCTTCCTTCGTAATTGTCCAGTGTTGTATTGCAGGAGATACAGATTCTGTTGCGGACGAACCAGTGTTGGCAATTACGAGATGTAGTCTCTTTGATCTCTGTATCGATCTTACGTGTTTTGGATTGTGGTTCAAGAGAAGGATTTTCAACTAGAGACATGGTTTCGAATCGGAATCTACGAGAACTAATCGAGACCCACAGCGAAGAATCACCTGAAAAGCTTATGAAATCTAGTAAAAAAAAACAGATTTTTGTTAAAACCCTAGAGAGAAAAGAGTGAAAGAAAGCTGAGAAATTTGTTGAACACTCAGAAAAACTCTGCCTTTGGGTTTTATAGAGAGAGAGAGAATGGTGAGAGTGGCGAATCAATGGAAATTTCCTTTTTTCTACGAAAGCACCGTCTCTCTCGACGCGCCAAAACCCTTGTCCTGAGAATTGACGATTATACCCTCGCTACTTACTAGATGCAATGAGGCCTTGAACCTTAATGGGCCTATATAGTTCACATAACATCCTTAATTTATTCAGCTCAAAATCTCTTAACATCAAAATATTTTAGGAAAATATCAAAACTATGTTTTAAAATTTATCGTTCATTTCTCACTTATGCTAAACATTTTGTCACATTGTATCCATATATAAGAGTTTTCCAACATCTTTCAAAAATAATTCATTGTTTAAAGTTTGTTATTTCATGTAAAAACCATGTGAAACATTATATGCATATCTCGTGAATTAACCCAACTGCTTGCAACCGAAAATATAAAAAAAAATCTGTATCATACGTTCTAAGCTAAAAAATCAGTATTAACACTATTATTTTCCGATCTATAAAATATTTACAGAATTTGCGTATTTCTCAATTTTCCATAAAGTTAAGCTAATCCTCTTTATGTTACCAAAAAGAAAGAAGAAGCTAATCCTCTTTATAACTTTCGAAAGTCGAAAGATCGACACAAAACGTGTTACAATCTACCATGACACTACAATGAATATTCGACAAAGAATTAATTGCATCATTATCGTTATCATTCCAAACTTTATTTAAGTAATACAAAAACATAAAGCAATAATGCCTTTAGATGTCCCAAGCTTTTATAATAATAAGAAGAAGATGCCCTTTTAACAATTCTTCTTAACGAAGCATCACTTGTCTGTTGGTCGCCACATCAAAAAAATTCTAAATTGAATGAACCAAACCAATATATGTAACATTTTCCACTTTAATAAGTTTTATTTGACTTGTTTATGCAACAATGGTCGGGACCATCTTACCATTTACCAACTTCTTCCACTAATCCTTCCTAATCATCCTTTTAATTATAAGGTCATTACTTAAGCTAAACCATACTAACATAGCATCATCGTTTTCTGAAAGCTAATTATTTAATCAAGCTAGGAAAATATTGACAGCTAAGCTATACAATTTTAGGAAATTTGTTTTGTTATTTTTGGAATATTCGGCATCTAGTATAGTGAGAAAACATGGTAAACTACAAATCGTAGTAGTAGTTCGTCACCAATATATATATCATATCTAAATTTGGTGTAACGGTGGTTGACTTTCTTATTAATTTTGAAATTGTTTATTTGAAAAAAAATAGCTGTTTCTTTTTGTAAAGAATATGAGAAAATTATTTATCAAATATACGGATAATGTGAAAGTCGGTGATTTTAGGTGTTGAATTTTTCTTTTAATAGAATTAGGTTATATCATGGCAATTTCTAAATTATGTTTAGGTAGTTTCTACACTTAGAAAGTTAGAATTATGATTTATGTCACCAGTCACTTAGATTTTTTTTTTTTTGGTTGGTATCAAGTCAGTCACTTAGCTAGAGTTACATATATCATTTCTAAATCATGTTTTGTATTCTAAAATGTGTGTTTCATTTATCTACAAGTTCTTTTAATTTGATTATAAGTAAACTTGTCATCGTTTTTACATCTCTGTAAATATAAATCCACATATTTGATGTTCTTTTTTTTTTAATGCATAATACATAGCAATAGCATCACAAAAATGGTTTATTTTTATTCAAATGCCAAGATAAAAAAATAATTACGTTTGATGTTGTATCTAATTGATAAATAACCTCGAATATCACATTTTTAAAACAATTAGAATTTTAATATATATATATATATATGGTTCATGATCCTAGCCTTGTTATATATGAAATTTTCTTAAATCATTTCCTTAAAACAGATATATATATCAAAATTATAGTTGATATGATTTATCTTAGATGGATCTTTATAGTTTCTGGATGATAAATCGAATTTGTTACTTATTAAGGTTTCTATAGAAATCTTTTTAAATATTTAAATATAGCTAAATTTTAAATTTACACTAGAATAATAGATATAATCTTAATAACATTTTTTCATTTTAGAAACAAGGAAACAAATTCAAATCTAATTACTATAAATTTTCTCTGAAAATTCAAATTTACCTACTAAATATAGAAATATAATGTTAGGACTAAAAAACAATATTAAAAGTGAGGAGATTTAAAAGAAAAAATCTTGCGAATAAAGCAATTGCAAGAATAAATTATTGAAATATAAAAAGTAAAAATTAATTAAAAAACATAGCCAGTAAAGTAACAAATATAATAACAAAATTAAAATAACAATAAAAATATGGAAAATAGAAGTCCAAAAAAAGGTTCTGTAGTGGAAATAAATCCGAAAGGAGGGGGCCATAGGTTTCTGCTGTCGAGTCGAATCCAATCGAAAATCGAATCGAATTGAGTCGAGTCATCATCTCCTCCGCCATTATCGTCTTCTTCTTCTTCTCTCTCTCTCTCTCCGCCACCTCTCTTCAATTCTGACGCTTCTCAGATCCTCCGATCCGGCGGCGTTACTTTTGCTACTCTTCCGTCTCCATTTTTGTTCGCCGTGAAGCTAAGGTAAGACGAATAATAGCTAAAGCTAGCTCTGACGACGATTTGTTTCCAGATTCGTATATCATTTGCTTCCGATTCCTCATGATCTGTTGAATAGTGTTCTTATTTTGATTGAATTTCGATCAAATGCTGCATATAAATCGATCCATGCCATGAATTTTGTTACAGGAAAATTTTCTGAAAAACGCGTTGACGGATCTGATATATAGCTACGGATTAGAAATGGCTTCGCTGCGTAATTCTCTCTGAATTCTGTTCGTTGACCAGCGCGAACAAGGTTGATTGGGTTTGTGCTCATCAGGAGTTTTTAGGGGTTTTTGTTTTGTGTATGCCTCCCGATCACTGTTTGTCGTCTGTTTCGTCCGCGGAACTCAAGAGCAGAGAGATTATTAGCTTACGGATATGCAGAAGAGTGGTGTAAATCGGAATCCTTCTTTAAGAGTAGCCATTCCTCAGGCACAACAGTCGCTTAGGCGTTTAGGTTTTTGCTCTCAAATAGCTACGGGTGGATCTCAGCAGTCATCTCCTGTGGTATTCCCTGAAAAGAGAAGCAAGAAGGTGAAGGCATCTTCGAGACGTGGTGAGGTTACTAATGATCCACAGGTGAAACCGAAACCTGATGAGCATCGGATTGATATTGGTGGAGGAGATGAGAAATCAGATTTGTTAGGTAGTCTTGTTTACGCCGGGAAGCTTGTATTGGACAAGAGGAAATCTGCGAGTGGGAAAGATGCAACAGATATACAGCAACCATCTGCCACAGACGTCTCTAATAAAAAAGCAGTTGATGCAAAGCTTACAAGCAGCGCTTTGGTTTGGGGTTCTGACATGCTACAGCTTAACGATGTTGTCTCGGTAGGTTTTTGTTGGCCTTGCAATGAACTAATTAACTCTGTGTATTGAAGAACTGAATCAACAAACTTATCTATGTTTTCCAGGTGACATACAATGTTGGTCTTAGGCATTTCACTGTGCATGCTTATCCAATGGGAAAGGTTTCTTGTGGCCTGTCTTGCTTCACGAAACCAAAGAGAAGCCGCAAGGATTTCCGCTTTGTCGCACCTACAGTTGAAGAAGCAGTTCAATGGGTGGCCAGTTTTGGAGACCAACAATGTTTTATCAACTGTTTACCACATCCTTTAGTCTCAAAGAAACAGGCTTCATCTGAGTTATTTTCGGTCCCCGTCGATACTCCTCCCGAGTTGGTCTTCAGGTGTAAGAGTGCACCCAAAATGCTTGTCATATTGAACCCTAGGTCAGGGCATGGACGATCTATCAAAGTGTTCCACAATGTAGTGGAGCCAATTTTCAAGGTACCATTTCCATCCTTCTGTTCTTTTTGGATGTCGTAGTCCTACATCATCACATTATTTTTCACTTTTAGGTACCCTAGAGAACAAATCCATTTCTAATCCCATTATGCATTTTCTTATTATCTTGTCCATGATTTTGTAAACTGTCACAGCTGGCCGGGGTTAAGATGGAGGTTGTCAAAACAACTAAAGCAGGTCACGCGAGAGAGTTGGCTTCCACTGTCGACATTAACTTGTGCTCAGATGGTATCACTGCTTGTTCCACCACTTAATGATATGTTTAACATATCTAGCTTCTAGTATTTACGAGTTCTTAAAATTCTTTCAGGTATAATTTGTGTTGGAGGTGATGGAATCATCAATGAGGTATGATAATCAGCCTTCCTAAACTATACTCATTTTCTTCCGTATTTTCTTTGGGAGTTAAGCTCAAGAACTGATGTTCCTGTTATACCATACTTCCTGTTTCTTATTTGCTTACAACCCTGGTGCCTTAATGTACTTCTGAATCAATTTTAGTATTATAATAGAACTTTATTGGCTTTTTCAGCGTGCTCACACCACTTTGCAAGCATGCTGAATAATTTAAGAGTTTAGTAACTCTTATCCTCTTGAGCGAGGACTTTGGGATGCATCTTATAGGGAAATACTTGCTCGAGTTGAAACACATGAGAGCTTTCACTATTGATTTTCGATTGATGTAGAACTCTTTAGGTAGACTAAGATGCATGCAAAAGACAGCTTTCGATGTTAACATCTCCTAGATTCTATTTACTTGCAATGAACTCTCATCTCGTGGCCTGCCTTATTTCAATGTCGCAGGTTCTTAATGGTCTACTTACTCGAAGCAATCAGAAAGAAGGAGTTTCTATCCCAATTGGAATAGTACCTGCTGGTTCTGATAACTCGTTAGTTTGGACTGTCCTTGGTGTACGAGATCCTATTTCTGCAGCACTATCTATTGTGAAGGTACTCCTGCCTAAAATCCTATTTGTCCCTGCTTTGTTTTATCCTGCCACGAAAATTAATTAGCTTCTGCTTAGTTAATGTTTTCTCAGCTTAAAGGAATATTTTTTTGGTTTAGGGTGGCCTAACAGCTACTGATGTCTTTGCTGTTGAATGGATTCATACCGGTGTTATACACTTTGGAATGACTGTATCCTACTATGGCTTTGTTAGCGATGGTAAGTGAGAGTACCTGTGTGCTTTGTCTTGTATGATTTTCCAATGATAAACAGTTTCTCAAGTGTAGTTAATTTTGATTCTGTATTCCTCCTAGCTTCTTTGTTTCATTCACCGCTTCTGCAACTGTTTAGATCTTTCATGCAATTTAGAGGAGATTTTTTTTAATCTTCCTCACTGTAGTTTTTCAGTTTATCTTTTATATATTTCTATTGTCACAGTGTGAACACTATGTTGAGTTGTTGACTCCCAATACACTTGATTTCATAGCATATTGCAGAAATATGCACTCTTCTGATGATGAGTTAGAAGCTGCAAATAGCCTAGTTATTCAAACATATTATGGATTAAATATAATACATTGAACTTGTGCAAAAGGCTGGAAATCTCTCTCCATTTCTTTAACAGTTCCAATGTGTGTTTGATGTATTAGTTTGAGCTGTCTCGTGTTTGACGATCAGGATTTTTGCTGTGAAGTATTTCTTTTGCACACAATAGTACCTTCATGAATACTGTATAATTTGTGTGGCATTCACTTGCTATAACTTAATTCATGGTTTTAAACTGTGTTTGCAGTTTTGGAGCTCTCTGAAAAATACCAAAAACGGTTTGGTCCTTTGCGTTACTTTGTTGCTGGATTCCTCAAGTTCATGTGTTTGCCAAAGTATAGCTATGAAGTGGAATATCTTCCGGCACAAAAAGAGGATGCGGAAGGCAAACTTCGACTTGAAAAGGAAGCGATGGATATGCAAGATCTCTACACGGATGTAATGAAGAGATCAAGCAGAGAAGGATTTCCTAGAGCCTCTAGTTTATCAAGTATTGACTCCATAATGACCCCAAGCGTAGGCGAAGTAGACACGTGTAGCAGCACACATGCCAGCACTGAGCCGTCTGAATATGTCCGTGGAATAGATCCTAAAATGAAACGCATGTCCTCTGGAAGAAGAGATGTTACGGCTGAGCCAGAGGTTATTCATCCTCAAGCACAGTCAACAACCCCTAATTGGCCAAGGACAAGGTCAAAGTCAAGAATGGATAAAGGATGGATGGGGTTAACATCTGTGCAGGATCCTCCAACTCGATGTTCATGGGGAAATACCGGTGGTCATGACAGGGAAGATATATCATCTACTGTATCTGATCCAGGTCCGATCTGGGATGCAGGACCCAAATGGGACACTGAACCGTCTGCTTGGGATGTAGAAAACTCGATCGAGCTGCCTGGTCCTCCTGAGGATATAGAGACTGGACTGAGGAAGCAGAGCATCACACCAATATTTGAGGATAAATGGGTTTCGAGAAAGGGGCATTTCCTCGGCATCATGGTCTGTAACCATGCTTGTCGGACTGTGCAGAGTTCTCAAGTTGTGGCTCCCAATTCAGAACATGACGATGGTACAATGGACATGCTCTTGGTTCACGGGTGTGGAAGACTGAGGTTGCTGAGGTTTTTCATACTTCTGCAAACAGGTCGACACCTTTCTCTTCCGTATGTCGAGTGTGTAAAGGTAAATTGTCTTTCCTATTTTCTTATTTTACGGTTTCCGCAGCTTGGGATGTGTTAGGAAATGCTAATCAAACGGTCAAACTCAATGCAAATATTATGTCTAGAATATAATGTAGTTGATGAAAATGCATGACAATTGCAGGTGAAATCGGTGAAGATAAAAGCGGGAAAAAACACGCATGACAGTTGTGGTATAGACGGAGAGCTGTTTGCGTTGCATGGAGAAGTGATATCAACAATGCTACCTGAACAATGCAGACTGATCGGTAATGCTCCTGGACGACATTCATAGTTAATTAATCTCATCCAAATTGTGAGGATGGAGAATGAGAGAGAGTTTGGATGTTTATATATCTTGAATTCTTTTAATTGTTTTTTGTTTTTGTCGGCGTCAAGTTTACGGGTAAGTATTATTGTCTCATCTATGTGATAAGAGAAGTAACATGAGAGAGTATACCAGTACATCCTTATGTGCCATAAGTTCCCTAAAACTCTAAAACCCTTTGTATATTCTTTTGCCCTTTTTTTGTGTGTTTTGAATTATATATGTACTGTGTATGTGTTTCCTACAAGGATTTATGCTTTTCCACTTTTTTTTTTTTTTTTAGCTTGAATTTGTCGATCAGTAACGAAATAGATGATGTGGAATAAAGAATATGATGTTTAAAGATATTTAACTGATACAGATTCTCTGTGTCTGACTCGGAACTTTCAAGCATCACACTTGGATTTAGTAGAAGCCGCACGTTCCTTTCCTCATCCCGTGAAAGGAACGACACACGTACATCTGACTTCTTTCTCTCGCTGTCTTCTTCTCCCTTTCCTTTTCACTTCTTAGTATTCACTCTTATCCTTTTAATTTCGTAAACCTTACTTATCCGTTTCATTCACATGTTTTTCTTTGTATATATCATTCACACGTTTCTTGATTTGTTTCATTTGGAAAAAAAAATCATATTCAAATAGCCTCCAGATAAATATGTAAATGTAGATCTTAACATAAAAAGGAAAAAAAATGCATATTGTGGCATCAATTTATTTTCTTTTATTTGATTTTCACTCTGTATTCTTTCATTCTCATTTGATCAGTCAAAATGATAACACGCTTTAACTCTAGTGATGAATTCGGTGGATAACCCATCAATAACTATACGCCTATACTAATTAAAAAAAATATTCGTATTAATTATTAACAAAATAAAATAAAATAGAACGTATATCAATGGTCAAATTTTAATAATTTTAAAAATTGTGAAGCAAAATACTGCTAAGGTCGTAACAATAGAATATTTAAATAAACGGAACAAAAAAAATAGTAAGGAAACAGAGTATTTTCCACTTGCCCAATAATCTTCAAAGCACATTTTCTTCTCTAGACTCAGACTGAGATGAGTAGCCCCATCGTTATGTCACCGGCCATCGCCGCCGCCGTTCGACCTCCATCCTCTCACGACGGTCTCTCCGCTTCCGCCACAACTGCTACCACCCCCATGGCACTTAAATCTTGCATCGTTGCACCTCTCTCGCTATTCACCTCTCAATCACGAATCAAACACTCAAGCTCAAGAAAAACTTCTCGAATAATCACGATTCGATGCGATGTAGCGATAAAATCCGCTGATTCTGTAAACGCAGACGCCAATCCATCACCCTCACCGTCAACAGAGGAAGAAATCGAAGCGGAAGCGAAGGCGAAGATAGGATCTAGGGTTAAAGTAACAGCTCCGTTGAAGGTTTATCATGTAAATCGAGTACCGGAGGTTGATTTGGAAGGTATGGAAGGTAAACTCAAAGATTACGTCGCTGTTTGGAAAGGGAAACGAATCTCAGCTAATCTTCCTTATAAGATTGAGTTCTTCAAAGAAATTGAAGGTCGTGGTCCTGTTAAATTTGTTGCTCATCTTAAGGAAGATGAGTTTGATTTCATTGATCAGTAGTGATTAAACCAACAAAAGGCAAATATTTGTCTTTGTTGTGTTTACTGGAATCTGGGAATGGAGAATGATTTGTATGTAGTGTGATGTGTATACCTTTAGCAAATCATATACATAAGGGTTTCTTCACTTCCTATTGATGTTGATTTGATCTTGTTATTGGTTTCTTACTGTTAGATAAGATTGGAAGAAACGAAAAGTTGGATCTTGATGTGGTTTCTTGATTCGTAGGGGTAATTTTAGGCTGCGATTGTTTCAAACTCTTCCATGTCAAGATCAAGATCCAACTTGGGATAACTAGGTTTGGAGTTTGAGACAAGCATCAATGAAGTATCTTGAATCGAATAGGTTGGATCTTGATCACGGTGGTAAGGTGATTAGGGATTAGAGCTTAGAGTTTCTACAAGATTTTGAGTTAGCACTTGAGATGTTACATAGTGTCAATGTGGCTTGTATTTTCATGAGTCTTAGGGAAACAGTTCCGTAGGTATTCAGATGATTTCCGATGCAAACCCGTGTTGTCTGTTTTGTTCAGGTGTCTTTAGCGTATATAATGTTTGATTTGGAATCAAAGGTAGACTATTGTCATTCCTCTCTTCTGTCTTTTCTAGTATTTGTGAATTCAGCAGCCTCGTGGTTGTGGAATTAGTAATGATCTTTATGCTACTTCATGTTGTGGTCGCATTTGTCCTAGCGAGATAGGGGAGAATGCAATCTAGATTTGTAGTCGTCATCAATCGCATTTGATCTAGCTACGATGGTTAGTCTTTGAAACCTTATAACCAATGAAAGTGGTTATGAAAATTTGTTGGCGGTCAAAAATCAGAACGAGAGAAAACGATTTGATTGAAACGTTCATATGGTAGACATGTGATTGTACACCTTATATTTTATGTAGTATTCAACCATTTGTTTCAAATTTTTAACCGCGTGTATCAACCGTCTAGTTGAATTGTTGGTTTTGATTGTACGGTCCATCCGTTTGTCCAATTGATCGTCCCGGAAGCGGTTCACCTCTAATTAGCGCCTCAAACAGGTTTACTAATCAAACTGAAAATTAGCTGGTCGAAATATGTAGGAAGAGAAAATATAAATACAAAATACAAGTGGATTCGTAATGTACTTGTATCATTTCGCCCGTTTGACGTTCGTGGGTCAGATCTCTCGGCCCGTTTTGGTTTTGCTATTTTCATAAACTCGAAACTTGAAACTTGAAAGACAAGATATTTTAGGTAGAGAGCATAGTCAAAGTGAGATGTCGTAAGGTAAACAAGTTCATCATAGATATCACGAGTTTGTCATTATTCTTTAGAGGAAAAAAAAAAAAACTTAGTAATATGTTTAGATTTTGTGAGGAATATTATGGTTGCTTGATCGAGTCTAACGTACTAACACGTCCATGTATCACGTCTTCCAAAGTTGAACGTTTTATAAAAAGATTTGTATAAAAATTGGAGTGGATGGAGATTCGAGCTTGCATATGAATAATAAAATAATTGGATTACAAAACTCAGATTTAGTGACAGCACATCTAGGCCAAGGCCAGGCAAGACCATGGTGGCAATGATTGATTTAGCTTTTTAATTAGCGAGTGAGTGCATTGTGCACTTTCAAAAGTAAGCAGCCAAAATTTATAATTAGGGACAAAGTAATTTCAACTTTAAAAGTCAAAACGCTTATATTTCCCCGTAATTGTAGGTTTCTATTTCAAAATTAGGCTGTCATTTTTTACTTTCTAGTTACTGTAATCTTGTCTTTAAAAGTTGTTACAATCATCTTCCAAATTAAAAAACTTTATCATACCGAATGTTTATTTAATTAACATCTATGCATAAAGTAGTTTTCTTGATGTTACGTTATTGATTTCTACCACCTAATAAATTTCTTCTTTAACAAAATAAAAAACAAGCATTATTTTTAATTAGGTTTTCCTAATATAGTCTAAACAAAAAAGGGGTATTTTTCCAAATTTACTCATATTTTTAAGTAGATAATGTAACATGTCAATTCTACTTAATTAAACATTGCAACACTAAATCAAGGAGTAAACTAATCCGTTCCAGAGAGATTATGAGTTTAATTTTGGTTAATATTATAAACATTACAACAATTAAAAAAATGTTTTGAAAATATAAATTAAAACACTGTAAATTAACTCCAAAAATAAAGCCCTTTAACAAAAAAAACATGCTGAAAAAAAAAGTTTTTAGAGTTTGAGTTTGTGTACTTGTATTGTATGGGATCGCTCATGGCCCCCATGAAATTAGGTAGTCCGTTATAATCAAGCCAAACCTTTCACCATTATTTTTTGTCTATCCAACGTTGGTCTATCCAATGTCACTATTTCATTATGTACAAAGTTTTACTTTGCTATTGGTTGGATCGCTCACTTATTTATCCCCACACTACGTTATCAATAAAATTGTTTTAGATACCTTGGAAAATAAAATAGTTGATGTAATACATAAACCGATAAGTTATGATAACTGTATAATTGCTTTTGACGAATTTTTCCTATGTTAAGACATGAGATCGACAAAACGAAATAGTATAAAATTTTAGAAACATTTATTTACATAAATTTTAGAACTTTTGGACAAGGGTCCATGATAATAAATTATTTAACATCTAAGCAATAATCACCTATTAATGATTACATCGCCATTTTCCATTATAGCACCGACAGGAGTTTCATAATTCAATTATATAAAATTCGGTCAAATCTTTTTCTTAAGGATTTAATTTGCAAACCGGGAATTCAGTTGTGCAATGTCTCCCCTTTTAAAGTATTTTATTGATTAAAAAAACTATTTTTGGATATGCAGAAGTACAATATTTTGTTCATACAATCTATTTTCTTTTCCACTGAATTAAAATACTCTATGTACAACAATTAATTGGTAACCAAACCATTCTTGCATAACCTCCAGTAGAAATCTTCCATTTTCATTACCCATTCTCAAATTGTTCATTTTAACTTTTAAGCATCGATTTCACCATATGATTCAAATGTCTATTTGATTGATAATGTATAGAACCTCTCATATGATACCATGAATTCACAAAATTTGTCGATTGATGAACACTTAAAGAGTTGATTTGATTTATATCACAAAATGCATATGTCTTTTTTTTGGAAATCTATACTAAAACAGTTATACAATGAACATACTTAGTCTTTAGTCTATATTGATTTTAAAAACTAAGAAGAGTAAACATATTGAAAAATGATTATCATCACCACTCAAAAGAAGATCAAAGCATGAGAAGTTTTTATAAAAGTATTTTGGTAACAATAAAATAAATTTGCTATTTAACAAAATCTAAAATTATATATAAAAAACATTATTTGGTAAAATACGTCAAATTGTATCAAAAATTTATAATCCAAGAATAAATGAAAAAAAAAAGAGAATAGATATTCAAGTTTGGTGTCTAGTGGTGCAAAATATAAAACATCATGGTTTCAATTTCTGACAATCCAAAAATGAGGAATCAATAATGGTAAAGTTTAATAATTTGTTTTCTTCCTAGTAAATGTAAATGTGAATAGTTAGTAGCAAGATGTATGAAAAATGAGGAACCCAAAAATTAAATGAAAAATGTTATTGGAATTTGAAATAGAGAGAAGAGGGAGAAGAAACTAAAAGAAAGAAGACGTAGAAGAAATAGCCAAAGGTTAAAAAAGACTCTCTCTCTTTCTCTCTGCGCCTCCCTTTTTGCTTCTCTCTCTCTCTTCTTCTTCTTCCTTGTGCTCTGCTCTCTGTCAATCTCTCTCTCTCTCTCCTTTTTTTACTTCGCCATTGGAGAAAAGCGAAATCACTTTCAACTTCTCCTCAGATTTTCTTCTTTTCTATTAAGAGAACAACCAAGTTCCGAGTCAGATTTTTCTCTCACTATTCCTTAAAAAAAACTCCTCCTTTCTCATTTTTCTCATTTCTTCACTTCACCAAATTCGTTTTTTTGAAGTTTTTGTGAAGCAGAGTGAGATTGGCTTTGTTGGGAGAAGAAAGTTAAGCCCTTTTTTGCTGGGTACGGCGTCCATTTCCCAAAGGCTTCATTTTGTATCTTTCCCAGAAATCATTTCTGGGTTTTTGATCTGTTACCCGTTTGAGATTTCAGATTGGTTCAGCGGTTGAGAAAGCGGAGATCTTGAGGTTTTTTTTCGTGGTTTTGTTGATGAAAGTGTAATTTGAATGTCCTCCATTTCAAGGGTTTCGTTTCCGTCATGACCACCAAGCGAGCTTATAAGCTTCGTATCCTTTTTGTTACATTAATTTTGATTCTTTTCTTTGGATTCTATTTTTAGGGTTTGTTGTGGGATACAAGTGCCGTGTTTGATCTGCTGCTTTTATTTGATATGCACGAGATCTGTCTGTGTTCATCTTTTTTCATGTTTGCATTTTTTCCCCGTGGAGTAATTTAAAGACTTGTTTGTTTGAATTTAAGACTTATCATCATCAAGTCAAGTTTGAGTTTTGACTAGCCTTGACTTTGTGTGATTTCAAGAGGAATTTGTGGCACATTCTGCTGCTGTCAATTGTCTTAAGATCGGAAGGAAATCTTCTAGGGTTCTGGTAACAGGTGGTGAAGATCACAAGGTCAATCTTTGGGCTATTGGTAAGCCCAATGCCATTCTGGTCAGTTCTCGGCCTACTGCTTCTATCCACTTCGCTTTCCTTGCTGCATTATATGGTTATTAGTTAGTAGAGTGGTCTAGGAGATTCTCTCTTTCTGAGTATCTCATCTATTGTGGATGTTTGTTGTCAGAGCTTGTATGGGCACTCAAGTGGAATTGATTCGGTGACGTTTGATGCTTCCGAGGTCTTAGTTGCAGCAGGAGCTGCTAGTGGTACTATCAAACTTTGGGATTTAGAGGAGGCAAAGAGTAAGTTTTGTAGTTCCAAAAGACCCTTCTTATTTGACTTAGTTTGACTTCTAGCCTTACTTATGAATTCTTTCTTTGTCTACGATGAGTAGTTGTCAGAACTCTCACTGGTCACAGGTCCAATTGCATATCAGTGGATTTTCACCCTTTTGGTGAGTTTTTTGCGTCAGGCTCACTAGACACAAATCTTAAGATATGGGATATAAGGAAAAAGGGCTGCATCCATACTTACAAGGGTCACACTCGAGGAGTCAATGTACTCAGATTCACTCCAGATGGTCGCTGGGTTGTATCTGGAGGAGAGGACAACATTGTGAAGGTTGGTAGCTGCTTTCATGTCAGTAGTCATTTTTCGTTTCTGGATATGAGATTTAATCTTGTCTACTGTGGAGGGAAACACAGCTGCTGAGTTAGCATGATTAGTTGGGATTTACCTTTGGGAGAATTTGGGGCAATGAAACTGCACTTCTAGAAATAGACTATAAACTGGCTTTCGAGAGTTGGTAGGAATAAGCTTTTGTTCTAATTCTCTTTGTATGTGTCTCATGAATGACGTTATGTAGTAGGCATCGCCCTTTAAGTATGGAGGAGAACTTGCGACTAGTTATTGTTACCTCTCTGCACTTGAGCTGAATATGCTATATGAGAGTATGTACGACGTACTATTCTTTTGCATTTTGCTAAAACACACATAGACCACCTGACAAATTATTTTGGATGCTTCATCTCTCTTTGTTATTGCTTCTTTTCCTCTCCCAGCGCACTGTATTGCTATCTTGAAAATCAATTTACCGGGAACCTTTTTAATCTTTCTGTGTGTTAATGGATCTGATATGCAGCTTGTCTTTACCAGGTGTGGGATTTAACAGCTGGAAAACTGCTGACCGAGTTTAAGAGTCATGAAGGGCAAATTCAAAGCCTAGATTTTCATCCTCATGAATTCCTACTGGCAACAGGTTTGTATTACTCTTGAAAATTTCTAACACCACCGGTCTCTACTTTTGGGATGACATACATGATACCAACACAAAATAAAACTTCTAGGCTAAGAGTGACTGATCACAAATGTATCCTGCGGTAACCAGCCCAGCCCAACCGGTTATATAGATACCTGTGTCATGGCGTCATCTTCTTTTTTTGTAATTGAAACTCTTGTGGCCATCTTATCTTTTTAGCTTTGTGATTTGAGATCTCAGAGTACATATGCATGTAAAGTATTTTTCCTTTCTTTGGTGGTCATATTACAGAGGGTGTGTGTAACATATATATTTTCAGAATGGTGCTATATGTTGAGTAGATAACAACGGAATTCAATGTTTTAAGATTGACTACTTATCTCTCTCTCTGGCAACGTTCACCTAAATTTTTACATGGACTATGTAAAATTAGTATGATTACAATTATTTAAAGCATTCTGTTGTGGTAACAGGTTCAGCAGATAGGACTGTAAAATTCTGGGATCTGGAAACATTCGAGCTGATTGGTTCTGGTGGACCTGAGGTACTACTTGTTTTACGCTAAGTCAAACTGGTGACATTTTATTTTCACTTTACCTTTAATATTCTCATTTTCGTTAGACTGCCGGGGTCCGTTGCTTGAGCTTTAATCCAGATGGAAAGACTGTGCTTTGTGGATTGCAAGAAAGTCTCAAGGTAAATTCTTTTATACTTTGATATGCAGTATGTAGTTTTTTAGATTAGATATATGTTAATCGAACAAATCATCTTTTGAGGATCCTTCAGTATGTTTACTCCTTTAGTTTAATCCTGTGCAAATTGTAGATTTTCTCGTGGGAGCCAATTAGATGTCATGATGGGGTGGATGTTGGATGGTCAAGATTGTCAGATATGAATGTTCACGAGGGAAAGCTTCTTGGTTGCTCATACAATCAAAGTTGTGTAGGCGTGTGGGTTGTAGATCTCTCGGTATTCCTCTCTCCCTATATATCTTTTTTTGTTTGTTTAATTGTAGCTGGTTGTAATCTTTACGAACCCACTCATTTTCGGATGCATGGTCAGCGTACTGAGCCATGTATGGCTGGAGACACTGCACAATCAAATGGTCATTCAGAGAAAAGATCTTGCTCAGGAAGAGATCCAGTAGTTCTCAATGATAATAACTCAAAGACAGTTCTCGGGAAGCTGTCCGTTTCCCAGAATGTAGATCTTTTATTGAAGGAAACAAAGTCTCTCGGAAGATTATCTGTTTCTCAGAACTCTGATCCTTCGACAAAAGAAACAAAGTCCATTGGAAGGTCATCGACATCCCAAAATTCAGATTCCTCGATGAAGGAATCAAAGCCTTTAGGGAGGTTGTCAGTTTCTCAAAATTCAGACGTTTCTAAAGAGTCAAGGACTTTGTCATGTATGCTTGCTTCTATTATATTTTTCTTCTCTTCTTACTTTTATCTTAGCGCTGATTAAATGATATGCCATTTCTGGTTTTGTCTGCTGTTTGAAGCCACAGGAAGTTTACCAGGCACTCCACATAGGGTCAGTTCGACCAATGTGTCAAAAGCCACTTCGGGTGTTTCAACGGCCGTCTCTAATGCTGCAACGTCAAGGAGAAATTTTACGAAAGCTAACCCAAAGGCGAATCCTGTCAATAAGGCAGCAGATTTTGTTCCGGTGATTGTCCCCAGAGCAGACCCTAGAATAGAGCAGGCTACTGAATCCAGAGCAGAACTTGACATAATTGCAAGAACCATGCCTTATTCATTGCAGGCGGCTGATTCTCGAAGGTCACCTAGCAGCAGAAATAACCCTGATCTGCCAAATGCTTCTGTTTCTGAAATGTCTGAGTCTCAGCCAGTTGAACCAAATAATATACTAGATGGGGGTACACTTCCTGGTGGAAAGGGTGGCATGCGGGGTGCAACTGAGCGAAGCATTAATGATTTTAGATACAAGAGATATGGGAGGAGTAATTCAAGGTCACGGATGGGGTCACCTCCACGAAACCACGATGAAAACTGTATGTTTCTGTCCTTTTGAATATTTGCCTATTTCAGTGCTAATATGAATGCCAGCTGATAGTCTTACACTACCCTGGCCCCTAAAATGTGGCCTATAGGGTTAATATTTGTGTGATTACTCCAGCGAAACATGCAAATAGTGGAAAGAATCCTGTGTTTAAGATTATCGGTTGCTTTTAGGTGCAACATATCACTTGTTTAGTTGGCCCTTGTAAATTTTACGTAGCTGTGTTGAGTTTGATAGATGATGTTCTCAGTTCTAAGCTTTAGTCGTTGTTTCAGATGACTTGGTAAGCCACAAATCAAATAGAGACCCAAGCCCCACTGAAAGTCAGAAAGGAGGTGATTCTTTCAGCCCAGCTTTCATCTTTTCTTTTGCAAATGAATTGAATCTCATTCATTGTGTCTTATCATATCAGGAAGATTCCAGTCGCTCGTCATAAATAGAGAGAGAAGAGGAAGATTTTCAAATTTCGAGGGTCCTGTTTCGAATTTTTCAAGTGGAAATGTGCCTGCTCCAAACATCCGCCCTTCAAATATGGTATAATAGCCTTAAATATTTTCAGCTTGAGATCTTGATGCAATAACACACTGACTGTAAATTGCAACAAAAGAGGGAAATCAGAATAAGAGTTATGGACAACGAGGAAATTACTGTTTTTTATTTATACAAATTCAAATGGACATTACTGCCTTCAGAGCATCTTAATAGACATGATTTATTGTGAATAGTAATTTTCAACTACACATCTAGTCATGCTTTTGCTCGTGTTCCTCTGAGATCCAGAGATAATATATATTGTATTTCCTTTCATATAGTTCAAACAGAGAGGGAACCATATGCCATTAGAACAAGGGATCGATTCTCCTTCTGAAGAAAATATTGTTGAAGACATAATGGGGAAGCACGATCAATTTGTCAGCTCTATGCAGTCTCGTTTGGCTAAGTTACAGGTAACATGGTTAGCCCTCATTAGACTAGTACTTATTAGAGTTTTTTCACATGCTTATGCATATCCACGATCGTTTAGCATGCTTAGAATTACTATTTCAATACTTGGCCTATTTTAGCTGGGAGTAAAACGCTGGATATGGTTCTCCTGTTCTTGACAAATCAGGGAGCTTGATTGAAAATTTTGGTTCTCGCTTACTTATGTTGATTGAGATGTCAGGAGATTCTTAAAGATTTAGGGATTGGAAAGACTCCTAATTTATCCTTTCCTAAATCGTTTCATTAAATTTGCAGGTAGTTCGCAGATATTGGGAAAGGAATGATGTAAAAAACTCGATAGGTTCGATAGAGAAGATGGCTGATAATGCTGTAAGTAACTTCTATTTATATCAATAGTGAGATATCTGAAAAAACATTACCTGCTTACGCAAATCGTCTTATTCATTGGTTACAGGTTACTGCAGACGTATTGGGTATAATAACCGAGAGAAATGAGATTTTGACACTGGATAATTGTACCTCCCTTCTTCCCCTTCTAACAGCTCTTCTAGGGAGCAACATGGATCAGTAAGCATTCACTTTTCTTAATAAAAAAATTGGGAGTCCTCCTGCTAAGCTTATCATGTCTCATGGATGCAATGGAATATATACTTAATAGGCTCGATCTTTACAGTCATAGATATAGTACATTAGATTAAGAATTCTTGATTTGTTCTCACAATGTTGGCTACACCATATCTTATATTTAGGCATGTGAGCGTTTCCCTGGATTTGCTGTTGAAGCTTGTCAGACTGTATGGGTCACCAATTTACTCATCACTGTCAGCTCCAGCATCTGTTGGTGTAGATATTGAGGCTGAGCAAAGGTTGGCATTTTTTCAACCTTATGTGCATATCTCTATAAGCCATTGAGTATGATAATTTTGATAGCGTACTCTCTTTTTACTCAACAACACATGTTTACTGCTATATAGGATCGAGCGCTACAGCCGTTGCTTTGTAGAGCTAGAGAAAGTCAAAACCTGCCTTCCCTCCCTAGCAAGGTAAGCGTCTAAAGATTCCATAATTCTCATTAATTGTGTAAAAATCTATGTGGCTCACATGTTTATGTGCTGGACTTTGTGTAGAAGAGGAGGTTTGGTGGCCAAGTCTGTGCTCGAACTCAATCTAGCATTTCAGGAAGTTTCATCGTAATCAGTCTGAGTCTTACAAACCCTGGAAACCGCAGAGCAAAGCCTGTCTTCCTCGTGGAAGAACCCGCATCATCCCAAGTCCCAACCCTCTGCTTTTTGATGTGGATTTGGTTCCAAAGGGAGTCTAACAAAAAAACTAAAAGCTGATACCTTAGTAAGTTAACCAAAAGAGTTGGAAGGCAAAAATCCTCCCAAGTTAGCTGCTTCTGGTCACTAATCTTGGTCTGCATTGTTCTAACTTTGGTGTGTAGTAGAGAGTGAAAGAGAGAGAGAGCCATTCGGGCTGTGTATTGTTCTTCTAGCTGTTCTGATAGAATACTGCTTGAGTTTCTGCTCTTCTGAAAGAGACATGTTCAGTGTTCTCTCAACACATTAATAGAGTTTTTCGCGGTTTCTTGGATTTCATGTCCTTATGTTCTATGTTATTAATTGTGAGCCAACAAGAGCAAAAAGGAATCAATACTAGTTACTAAATAAGCAAAGCTGTTTCAACTTAAAAGATCAGATCTTGAAGTTTGATTTTGCATACCATACACTAGGGTTATCTGAATGTACCAAACATTTTATCAAGGTCGTGAACAATTTTGAATTGGATAATTGTTTCACATAGTAATAGTTTTTCCTTGGCCTATGTTTTAGTATTTTAAAATAGATATTTATTACTTAGAAAATAGAGAAAAATATACTCAACCACCATTAATGCAATCTGTTAACAATAGATCCATTGAGGTAGGTGATAGAGGCCAAATCAAATGTACTGCAATTACATTTAAAGAAGAGGAAGAAGAAAGAAAAACTTGTCGAAAGTAGAGACATAATAAAACAAAAACACAAGAAGTAATAATAGAAAAGAGAAAATCTGCAATAAATCCAACAGACTAGAGATTTCTTGAGAAAACGAAATTGCCAAAACGATGTAACGGAATTGTCATCAACTACCTAATAAAAACAAAATAAATAATTTCAACCTCTTTTATTTTTTTTCTGAAATAACTAAAATAAAAAAATGGAAAAATGTGAAATTGACAGTGAAGTAGCTAGCATTATCCCATGCCTCTGCTCTGCGTTACGTTAAGAGACAACGACCAAACAGGCTTCTGCTGTACAAACTTACTCTTCTTCACCTTCTACGTACCCTCTCCTTTTTTCTCGAGACCAAACTGTTCATTTTCGTTTGTCTCTTTTTGTAGTTTTAGATTCTCTCCTCGATTTTTTATTTATCATCGCATTATTATGAAAATTCATATGTTTTATAAACTAGTGTTAGTCCCTTATCAACTATCTTTTAATTTGTGTATACTTAGCCTAGTATATTGTTTTAATTGTTAGGTATTCGATAATGGTTCCATACCATTGTAGTGGATTTCATAAAGTGTTTATTGTTTGTTGGTCTACTTCAAACTTTACCGTTTCAAAATGCGAAAATTTCTATATAAGAAAAGGAGTGGTTTATAACCACATAATGTATACCTTTGTGAGTTTGTTGAATACATCCTTTTGTGGGATACTTATACCTCTCAGTGGGTTTATTCCATTAAACTAATGCAAAAGATATGAGATAGTTTGTGATAAACAATTCCATTGATTAATTGTTTGCGAAACCGGCTAAACACAATCATGAGAGGAGGAGACGAGAAATACGCAAGGAGACTACCAAGTTTGGTTTGCATCAAGAGTCGAGACGACACCAATGAAATCTTCTTTATAGTTCATTCTAAAAAATTTGCATTCATTTGTATAAACGTTTTTTTTAATATAATTTAACATTAGATTAAAAAAAAAACAATTACATACATTGATTCTGTAAAACTTAAACTCTTGAAATCGAAAGGAAAATTTTAATTGAAAAAAAAAAATAGTTGGTGGATTAGTAACTATTCAAATCGCCGCATACGTCTCATATTTTTCCAACGGCTTCTTCTATGTTGCTTGTTTTAATCGCTGTTTTGTGTGGGTAAGTAACTTATTCGACGGTTAAAAATCCAACAACAGAAGATTAGAGAGATAAAAAAAAGTCTACACGTGTATATGTATGGATAATCATAATAATAAATAAGAATTTAAAAGTGAGAGGTCAACATCACTTCTCCTCTTGGTAAGTCTCTAACAACAAAGACAGAGATACTGCTTTCTTTTTATAAGTAGTCTTCTTCCTTCTCCCTAGTTTTATTTTTATAACCACATTTTGACTTTATTCACTCTCTACCTTCTTTGCAGCTCTATACCTCTCTCTCAATTCTAACTTTCGACCAAAAAGCAAAAGAAAATGGGATGCGTAATGGTAATGGAGCTTGGGAAGAAGAAGAAGAAGCTGATAAAGAGCATTTTATGGAGAATCAAAGCCGAGATTAAGAAGATGAAGAAGAAGATGAGATCATCACAAAGATACAAGAAGAGTAAGAGACAAGTCAGTTTCAACTACGATCCTCTCAGCTATTCTCTTAACTTCGACTCTCTTTAAGTAAAAAAAGAACAACATTCTATATTTATGCATGTCTTCTTGTTGGTAATTCTTTTATCAACTTTGTGAAATATGTATGTTTTCTTGGTTTGTTGCTATCTTCTTCTATGTATTAGGTTATTATTAACAGCTTTTATATATCTACGTTAATCATCTTCTCTTAATTAGGCTAATGTTTAAGTTTATGAGATAGATATATCAATCTATCGTTTTACTTCTTTGATGGAGAGAGGAAGTTTATGATATTAAATTGTACTATTCAATTATTTAATATTTCTTGTTGGAGGTAAAAAAGTTATTCCATAATCTCCCAATGATTATCATATTGAAAACAAAGAAGAAAGAGATAAAATGTTAATTATATTCGCATCTATCGAATCACTTTTGTAAGAAAAACAACACAAAACAAAGAAGAAGAAGAAAGAGTTTAAACAATTTTAACTATTAGATATTCCCCAAATCCATCCACCATAACTTGGATTATAGACGTCTAATCTATACTCTCAGAAGATAATACTCTTCACAAAAAAAGAATCTGAAAACTGTAAAAATGTGTAGAAAAATAAGTAGAAAAAAGAGAGATTTGAAAGAGAGAGAAGAGAAGAGTATTGGAGCTGAGATTCTCTGACGTTGGTGGTGGTGGTGGCACAGTAAGCGAGAGAACTGCTTAATTTTCACCTTCCCATCACCCTAAAACCCTTCAAAAGTCTTCTCACTTCTGCACCACACCCACATGCCTATCTATCTTCCTTATAGCCTTTTTCACTTTTACCGTTATCAACTTTTTACTATTCTTTATTTAAAAATCAATCATTTTCTAATTATATGGAAAATGATTTATATAAGGCCGGACTAATTATGGGTATAATAAAATCGAAGCTTATAAATGGGCCTCAAAACCTAAAAGCCCATTAAAACAAAGAAAAACCGCGCATAAATGAAATGGTACATGAAAACCATCTCGAGATCTACACCGTTTATTGTAATCGCTTTATACACAATCAACGGTGGATTAGAACGCCAGCTCAACGATCCGTGTCAAAAAGCTAAAAAACCCAGTATCGCGGGATTAGGTTGGCGCCATAACACTAAGAAAACAAGTTTCGTTTCCCTCTCAATTTCCTCCCTTTTCTTCTCCACCGAGTCTCTCCAACATTTCTCATCGAAAACGAAAAGTTTTCACAGAGATTTTTCTATCTTAAGAGACCGAGCAAAGGAAGAGAAATGGCTGGACCATCGACGACTTCAAACGCACCAAAGCAGAGGAAGAGAGTCGAAGCCGAAACTAGCACCAACGCCTCTACTACCTTACGTCGCGCTAAAGATGGAAGCGCTTTCGCTCTCTGGTGAGTTCTACTTCTTAATCTTTTGAATCGCCGGAATGTTCTGATTCGAATTTAGAGATCTAGGTTTTTTTTTCAAGATTTAGGGTTTTGTAGATTTAGCGATTGGGTTTCTCATAAGTTTTTTGTGGATTTTTAAACGATTGCAGTGAAGGATGTAACAAGAGTGTAGCTGTAGCACTTATAAGCATGCACAATTGCAGTCTCGATGCTAAGATCAGAGTCAATCTCGGTAATCAATCATCTCTTTCATTTTTCACTTCCTTATTGTATTGTATGTTTCATCGTCTCATAGTCTCTGTGTATTTGGTTGTTGTTGTTGTTTAGAAGCTCAAGTTGTTGAGACACAAGCAGAGGCTAAGAAGAAACCTGCAGAGAAGTAAAACTCGTTAAGCCTTTACCTGACTTAAATGTATTGGTTTCTGTATTATGTGATATTGAATTCTTTGATTGTTTGTTTTGTTCCAGGAAGAAGACAACAGCTGATGGACCTAAGCCAAAGAGACTTAAGAAAACCAATGATGAGAAGAAGAGCTCTTCTACTTCAAACAAGCCTAAGCGACCTCTTACCGCTTTCTTTATCTTCATGTAATGTTCATCTTTTCACACTTGCTTTTTGTTGATTGTTGAATACTTTTTAGGGATGATGCTGATGTTGCCTTTCACTTTGCAGGAATGATTTCCGTAAAACTTTTAAAACAGAGCATAATGGTTCATTAGCTAAGGATGTAAGACTTATAACTGAGCTCATTACTATGCTTTGAGTACTATGTCTAGGGTTTATGAGATTTACTTAACTGTGCTATGTATATATATATATATATGATTGTAGGCTGCAAAGATCGGTGGTGAGAAGTGGAAGTCTTTGACTGAGGAAGTGAGTTGATTTAAGTTCTTGTTTATTCATTAGTTTCATGGTGAATTTGTTTACTGTGTTCTTACTCTGGTTTGTGTTCTTTGTTTATTTAGGAGAAGAAAGTTTATCTGGATAAAGCTGCTGAACTAAAGGCAGAATATAACAAGTCACTGGAAAGCAATGATGCTGATGAGGAAGTATGTGTTTTTTTATTAATGGGTAGTCTATCACTTTTTCTTTTTATTAAATGGAATCTTTAGTGTTGATATGATTCGATGTCTCTTTCAGGAGGAGGATGAAGAGAAGCAATCTGATGATGTTGATGATGCTGAGGAGAAACAAGCTGATGATGTTGATGAAGCTGAGGAGAAAGAAGTTGAGAAAACAGATGATGACAACAAAGAAGCTGAAGGTAAAGAAGAGGAGGAAGAAGAGATTTTGGATGACTACTAGAGATGTTATGCTTGCTCTTGGGGGTCTAGTCTTATTGAAATGGATTTATCTCTAATCGTTTTGATGCATTGTAAATGAAGCCTTTTAGTATCGTGAAAGTAGTTTATCTGAAGGTAAGTTGTGAGCAAGTGGGTTTTTTGTAGTTCACTGAAATGGTAATTTCTTTTGTTTAAACAAGTAATGAAGCTTATGTTTTTCGTTTTACTAATGCTATAGAATCGAAAATTATCGTTTGATTTCGAATCCATTACTTATGTGTTTTGCTGGTTGATTAAAATTGATAATAAGATACTTGGATGAAAACAGTATCTGATTGAAACAATGTAATTGTATGGGAAGAATGTTTGGTGCAATAAGAAATTCGATCGAGTTCCTATTGTCTTTTTTTTGTGCAAAATCTCTCTGGTTCTCTAGCAGCATTAACAGTTTAATTTTCTTTTTTAGTCAAGTTAGATCAAAGACGCATTTAATTTTTTTTTCCCATAAGTAACAATAAAATGGTAAGAAAATAAAAAGATTTACTCCTTTTTTTTTTTTTTTTGGTTCTGGCCACAAGAGAGTCTCTAAAACCCTATTGTCATCGAATCAATACCTCGAGTCAGAAAGATTTCTCTCTTTTTCGATCTTACGAGACCGACAGAAAGTAAGATATGGCAGCAGACGCATCGTCTAAAGTTGGCAGTTTTTTCATTCGCTGGTGATTTCTTCTTCTTTAATCTCTTTGAATCGGATTTTTGTTTTGGTTTAGGTTTTTTTTTTTACTCCAGATTTAGCGATTGGGATTTCTTTCTAGGGCTTCTCACAGGTTTTTTTTTTTTTGTTTGGCGTTGAAAATTCAGTGAAGACTGTAACAAGAAAATTCCTGAAGATCTTATAAGTATGCACACTTGTTATGCTAGATACGGATTCGCAGTGTATCAGGGTAATCATCATCTCTTTGGTTGTTTCCCCTCCTTACTGTGTTTTGTGTTGTCAGTGTTCTCATAATCTCTGTGGATTTTGTTGTTTTTCAGCAGCTGAAGCTGTGGACGCAGAATCTCAGGCTACGAGACGCAGAAAGGCCAAGGACTCAAACAGGCCACCTCTTACCGGCTTCGTTATCTTCATGTAATGTTCATTGTAACCACACTTTCTTTAGGGATGATGCTGATTGATGTTGCCTTTTCACTTTTGCAGGAATGGTTTCCGTAAAAGTTTTAGAACAGATTATAATGGTTCATTGGTGAAGGAGGTAAGACTTTATAACTGAGCTCATTGCTATGCTTTGAGTACTATGTTTAGTGTTTATGAGGTTTACTATACTTTGCTATGTGTATATATGATTCTAGGTTTCAAAGATCGGTTGGGAAATGTGGAAGTCTATGACTGACGATGTGAGTTTGCTTTAGTTTCTTCATTAGTTTCATTGTGATTTGCTTACTGTCTTCTTACTTTGTGTTCTTTGATCATTTAGGAGAAGAAAGTTTATGTGGATAAAGCTGCTGAACTTATGGCTAATGATGAAGAAGTAGGAGTTTCATAATCAATGGCTTGTCTTTTAGTTATTCTTTCTATTACATCTTGAGTGTTAAGATGACGATTTGATGATTTTTTTCAGGAAGTGTATTTGGATGAGGAATCTGATGATACTGATGAGGCTGAGGACAAAGAAGTTAGTTAAGGAAACAGATGATGACAACAAAGTAGCTCAAGGTAAAGAAGAAGAGGAAGAAGAGATTTTGGATGACTAGTAGAAATGTGATTCTTGTTCTTGTGGGTCTAGTCTATTAATGAAATGGATTTATCTCTAATCGTTGTGATGCATTGTAAATGAAGCCTTTTAATATCGGGTTTTATTGCTCCTAATCAGTCCACCTTTATTAAAGATAAGAGTATTAATGGAGAATCTACTGGTTGCTTCTGAGCTAGTGAAGGATTTTATCATTAAAGATAGGTATTTTTTCTCTATGTGCTATGAAGATAGAAATTTCAGAGGCTATTATTCAGCTGGATAAAGCTGCTCAACTTAAGGCTGATGATGAGCAAGTAACGAGTTTCATAATCAATGACTCGTCTTTAATTTATTCTTTCTATTACATCTTTGAGTGTTTAGATGATGATTTGATGATTTTTTCTAGGAAGAGGATGAGTATGATTATACCGAAGAGGAACAAGCTGATGATTCTGATGATGCTGAGGACAAAGAAGTTAAGGAAACAGATGATGATGACAGCAAAGTAGCTCAAGTAAACAAGAGATTTTGGATGACGACTACTAAACATGTTATACTCGTACTTGGGGGTCTAGTCTTATTGAAATGGATTAAGTTAGTAGTATATACAAAAAAAATAAGACTGATACGAATTTGGGCTTTAAAAGCCCATAGGTTTGGCCCATTTATGTATAACTACTAAAAGAAAAAACAAGTTTCGTTTCCCTCTGCTTTTTCTTCTCCACCAGAGTGAGTGAGTCTCTAAAACCCTTCTCATCGAATCGATTCCTCGAGCACGAAATAATTTTGATCTTACGAGTCCGAGAAAAAAGTACAATATGGCTGGATCATCGTCGAGGAAGAGAGTCGATGCGAATACCTTATGTCGCACTAAAGATGGCAATGCTTTCGCTAGCTGGTGATCTTTCTTTTTTAATCCGATTAGTGTATCGAATTTTGTTGGATTTACATTTTTTTTTTTTTTTTCAGATTTAGCGATTGAGATTTATAGGGTTTCTCACAAGTTTCTATGTGTGATCTTTAGGAAGAAGGCAACATCTGATGAACCTAAGCCTCTTACTTTTACCACAAACAAGCTACAGCGCCGACCTCCTACTGCCTTCCTTATCTTCATGTAATGTTTAACTGTCTCATACTTACTTTCGTTTGATAGTTACTCTACTCTTTAGGGATGATGATGATACTGATGTTAGTTTTCGCCGCTTTGCAGGAATGATTTCCGTAAAACGTATACAGATAAGAATCCATATATTAACGTTAGGGATGTAAGACTATATGTTTAACTGGCTTCATTACTGCATTTTGAGTTACAGTGTTTTGTGTTTATGACTGAACTGTTTTATGTGTATATATGATGATTCTAGCTTGCAAAGCATGGTGTTGAAAAGTGGAAGTCTTTGACAGAGAAAGTGAGTTGTTGTTATCTTTTTGTTTCTTTCTTAGTTTCATGGTGATTTGTTTACTGCGTTTTTAACTCTGGTTTTTGTTCTTTGATTATATAGAAGAAGAAATTTTATCTGGTTAAAGCTGCTCAACTTAAGGCAGAGTATAACAAGTCACTGGAGAACAATGAGGAAGTATGTTTTTTTTTCTTAATTTACGGGTTGTCCTCTTTATGTTACATGAAATCTGAGTGTTAAGATGATTTGATGACTGTTTCAGGTGGAGGATGAGGAGAAACAAGCTGATGATGCTGAGGAGATGGAAGTTTGAGAACACAGATGATGAAGGTAAAGAAGAGGAAGAAGAGATTTTGGTTGACTACTAGAAATGTTAGGCTCGTTCTTGGGTTTCTAATCTTTATTGAAATGGATTTATCTCTAATCATTGTGATGCATTGAAGCCAAGAAGGCTGAAGGTAGTTTGTGAGCAAGTGGTTTTTTTTTTTTTTTGTAGGCATGGAACATTTTGGTTAGACAAGTAATGAAGCTTATGTTTTCTTGTTTTACCAATGCTATAGAATCGAAAGTTTTCGTTTGGGTTAGAATCCTTTGCTTCTGTGTTTTGCTGGTTAATTAAAAATGATAATAATTTATTTAGGTGAAAACAGAATCAGATTGAAACAATAGAATTGTAAGAAAAGAGTAAAAGACAAATAGAAGATATCATCTATTTTGAAGAAATGAGTAAAAGTAATAAGGATTAAGATAAAGTCAGCGTTGGACTGGCCACTTGAGAACGTGTGTTTTGGCTTCACTTCATTGTCTTCCTGCAAGCTGGTAATGGCTTACCACACAAGCAAAGGTTATGCAGATATGCAGCTGCAGGAAAGATGTTGAATGGTCTTCCTTGTGGAATCAGTCCACACAATCTGTTGGCTCTGAAACTCGCATGTTTTATCGTCTTGATGTTCAATAAGCTATCCGGAATTCTTCCTGTGAGTGCATTGATCGAGACGTCGAGCCATTTGAGCTGCGCAAGCTGTCCTAGAGTTTGAGGTATGACTCCTGTAATGTGATTCCTTGAGATGTCTAGTCTCACAAGTTCAACAAGGTTTGATATTGAACTTGGGATTTGTCCACTGATTTTGTTGCTCCCTATGTTGAGAACTTTTAGGTTCAAACTTTCTCCGAAATCAGGAATCCTCCCAGAGATTTGGTTGTTGGTGAGATGGATCTCTTCCAAGAAGCTACTTGTCTTGTTGTTTAACAGGCTTGAAAGCGACCCGGTCACTAGATTTGAACTCAGATCAATAGACGCGACTCCTTCTGGCAACTTCAGCTTGGAGAGATCGAACCTGAGCTGGTTCTTCGAGAGCTTCACTTTCTGAAGATTGGTCATGCTTGTGAGGAAAGCTGAAACATCACCTGTGAGAAAGTTGTCAGACAAATCTAGCGAGGTCAAGGCGGTTGGTCTTGTTAACTTCGGAAAGGTTCCTCTCAGTTTGCAACCAGCCAAGTTGATATCTGAGAGTTGCTTGTCTCTGATCCAGCTTGGAATTGCTCCAAGATTAAGGTTGTTATAGGAAAGATCGATGGACAGTAGAGAAGGGAATCCTCTGCCTACAACCGCGGGCAGAGGATCAGAGAACTGGTTTCTCGAGAGGTTGAGAGACCAAAGATTCTGCAGTTGTGTAATGGATGCTGGTATGTGACCGATGAACTTGTTGCCGCTTAACTGAAGGCTAGTGAGTGACTTCAAATTGCTGATTCGATCCGAGAGTGGTCCGGTCAGACCATTACGCTCCAACGACATGCTCTGAAGCTTCCTTAAGCCGTAAACAGAAACTGGTAACACCCCGGATAATCTGTTGCTGGAGAGATAAAGATTGGTTAAATTCTGAAACTGGCCTATGAAATCTGGGAACGGTCCAGATAACAAATTGGAGCTGAGATCAAGATTCTCAAGTTTGAGGAGGTTCTTGAAAGTCACTGGGATTGGACCAGAGAAGGAATTTCGAGCCAAATTCATCGTAGTGAGGCTTCTCAAGCTTCCAAAACTCGCCGGGACAAGACCTGAGAAGCGATTCCCAGCTAAAGAGAGAGTCTCTAACAATGGAAGATGGCCTAAAGCAAAAGGAACATTGCCTTGGAGAGAATTATCATCGAGTATGAGCTGACGAAGACTGGTCAGATTAGAGAAGCTGTTGGGGATGGAACCAGCGATGAATTTGTTTCCAGTGATGAACAAAAGCTCAAGAGATCGGAGATTACCCAGTGAAGGTGATAATGTACCTTTCATGTAAAGAGTAGGCTCGTTCACTGGGGATTGTAACACCAAGCCGGTGACTTTTCCGGTGGCCGGATTGCATTGAACACCTTCCCAATCTCCATTGCAACAATCTTTACCAACCCATGAATCAAGAACTCCTGTTGTGTCTTGGATGATACTTGACTTGAAACCCAGAAGTGTTTCTCTGTCTTGGCTTGAACAGATCACTTGTTGTGATGATGAGTGAACAAAATTATGAACAAGAGAAGAAACAAACAAGAGATTCAAAACCCATTTCAGGTTTTGCATTTTGGGATAATGGGTTTTGATCAGTTTAACGAAAAAATGGTTAAAAATAAGATTTTTTCGGACAAAAGGATCTGACAAGAGTTAACTTTGGCTCGAATTGGGATAAAGTAGAGTGAACAGAAACTGTTTTATTATTGTACCTTCACTTAGACAGGAAGGTATTATAATGATATCAAAAAAAAAAAAAGAGAGCTGCAAAAAGTTATTTTCTTTTCACTTTAATCAAAAAAAAAATTTGGGAATTGGTGGAATAAGTCTTTGGTTGGATCTTGAAAAAATTATCCACCTTTACTTATAGCAGTGGTGAAAAAAGAGAATAATTTTGATTTGAAATTTTTTACACAAAAAGTCTTGAAGAGATTCACATGGAGAATTGTGACCGTTGGATGGATTCACGAGGATCCCAATTTTGTTTTCGAACGTTGGAGCGCAAATCAGTTTGAAAAAAAATTGTTTACATTTTTTTACATTATAACCATTCTTCTATCTTCTTTTTGTTTCAAGCTCTCAAGAGAGCATCATTAATATATTCATGTGAATTCGTGATATAGGTCACTATTTGTCTCATAATAAAAGTGATAATCAATAAACAATTCACTATGTATAATAATTTCAAATAAAGTTGTTAAATTTGGGTTAGATATGTTTGTAAAGTATTGGATCGACTTTTTAAATATGTTATTGAATAGTAGTCTTACACTTGTAGATATATTGATAAAAATCCACAAATTTAAGTCTAAAAAGGAAATTAATAGACGATAACTAGGCGACTATAGTTTGTTATGTTGGTTGAACTATCAATTTCTATTAAATACTTTACTTGGTCATTTTTGAATTAACATGAAAATCGTAATTACATGTTATTATTAAGGATTCCTATTGTTAGAAAAATAAAATGAGATACATTTATATATTCGGATTTGATTAAACCAGTGAACACCAAACCTTTTTAGCATTTGAGGATGAGGTTGCGATAGGATACTATTTGATCGTTGAAATATTAGCGATGTTCATTTTGCCAACCTGTTGATTTGAGATAAATCTACTTTCATATTAATAAGATAAATTAAGATGGAAATTAGAGATGGGTGGTTGAAAATTTTGGGCAATCAAAGTTATTTGAATATTAGTTATAGCAATGCTAATTTTGGTAACTTGTTGTTTAATCAACTTGGATATTGTTTTAAGACAAATCAAGATGGAAATTAAAACATTAGATATGGGTCGTCGAAATATGCAACTCATATTTATCAAGGATTTAAAACCATCATTCTCAATTTATTGACCTTTTTCCTCTAAAGTAAACAAATCTTTATTAATATAACAATTTTGTTTTAATTGCATTGCTAAATAATACTACAAAGATTATTTCTGTAATCGACAATAACACAGCTCCCAATCCCAACAATTATGTGGTCACCAAAGACAACTTTGTTGTGCACCAATAAAATGTTAGAAATGATAATTCAACTTTAAATAATTCATTAACAACTTGACACACTGTTGATTATTTATCACATCATACGTCATTATTAGTACTTTTTAGCTTGTGTTGACTTAAAATGATCCATTTCAAAGTGATCTTGATTATTTAAGAATTTTCAATTTAACGTTAGTATTTAGTAACTCTGATTTCAAATTTTAATCCATAACATTGTAAATAATTTAGTATCAGGTTACATTTTCTTTACCCGCTTTCTCATTAAAATTTACTTTCAAAAATAAAACATAATTTACTTTTCTGAATATATGATATTCGTATCCGTCCTCAACAATCTACGTACTACTTAGTTTTAACTAAACTATGAGCTCTAACAAAGTCAGCTTCTAATCATTTGGTATGTGTATATTTGATTGATAAACGTTTTTTTTTTTTTTTTGGCAGCAAATAAAATATTTTTATAATCAAGTTAAATTCGTCATGGCGACAATAGATATGATTATGTCGATCGAAATCTAGAGAACATTAGCTGAATTGACATATAAAAATTTAATGTTGAAAGTTTGTTTGTTTTTTTCTTTGGCAAGTTTGTTGTTTTAAGACTTAGTTGCTGTGTCTTTGCTGTAAGGCTTTGATTTGGATTTGTTTAAGTTTTTTCTTTCTCTCAAGTGTATTTTAAAAGCGTCAATTGCGGCTTGATGGAAGAATGGTCCATGTAGGACATAACCAAGCATATACATATATAACTCACATGACATAGACACACAAGCCATTTCGAATTTGAGTTATCTACTACTACAAACTACAAGATTACAAGCTTGATCATAAATCCTTTTTCCGATTTGGAATGCGATATGTTTATATGCTAAATAATTTTTTAAGAATTTAATTTTTTTTGTTTCATCAAGTATTTTCGTGAATTGTATAAAAACTAGCATAATTCGCATAAGATATAATCTGAAACTAAATCTTTATCGTTTTGAAATCAAAGATATGTTATCATCGAAGATTGAAACTGGCTTTGTTGAGTCTGATATATAGTCCTCAGCTAAGTATCATCAACCCGAGATTATAGCCAGTGAATTAATATCTCGAAGGCTCTCCGACTAAACGTGAATTTGAATCATGTCAAAACAATTATTATACAAATAATTTCTTGTAGTACTTTAAAATAACTACTAAACTTTTTAATTAAAATTTTTAGTGATCTTCATTTTAAACATTATCTTGTATTTTAAAACCAATAACCAATATATTATTAGAAAGAGAAAAAGAACATAATATTATTTAGAATCTTTACATTAGTTTTCTAAAATCTCCAACAAAAGTTACTGAAATAGTATGCACTAATCCTTAATTTATAATTAAGTTACGAAAGGTCTTCAAAATTTGAATGAGAGAAAGGTGTTTCGATATTGACAGCCAGAATTGATGATAATGGGAGTCGTTACTTGTTAATATATGTCGATAGGGTTCCACAAAGCCACCAGTTTTGTGTTTCTGGGTTTTATATTATAAAGTTTGACCCTACATTCACTTTGACAACCTAAGATTCAATTCATTATACTTTCTTTTTTGCTGTTTGTTTGCGAAAAATTGAACTTTTCTTTCTCTGTGGTTTTTTTTTTTAAAATAAACAAATGTCAAAAAATGACGATAAAAAAGAATAGAAAGATTAACGAAAAATTTCAAGGAATCACAAAATTAATTGACAATAATAATTAGGATAACATGTTTAATATATATATATATATATATATATATATATATATATATGTACGCCTTTTCAAGATGATGATTCTTCTAATTCATATATTTTAACTGAATTCCACTCTTTTTAGATCGTTTCTATATTTGTTTGGTTTTACACTAGGTGTTGATATCAATATAAAATTAAAATTTTCAATTCAAAACTAATTGACAATAAATAAATGGTCTCATCGTACTACTTATATAATAGTATTAATCTCTTAATTAAGACTTCACATCTCTCATGTGGAATTTAAGAAAAACCTATTCAAAATTTCCACTACATTAGATGGTTAAATGGTAAAACTATTGTAAATTCAGGAATGTATTGTGGATTTCAATATGGGATCATCTGGTTTTCGGAAAAAAAAAGACTAGAATATGAAAAAAAGATAATCATCACTTCAGAAGAAGACAAGAACTTTCAAATTCAAGCCCAATAAACCCTAAACAAAATTTAAAGCCCGGCCCGTTTTGACTTATCTGGGCCTTATTTTAATTCCGATTTTTGGGAAATTCAGATTGGAACCGTAACGTCGACGCATTTCTTTTGAGGTATCTGCTCTCTCGTCGGCGGCTAACCAAATTCTTCGAGAGGTTTTGCCAGAAGATGGGTCAAGCTCAGAGTAACGAGAACTCAATTCCAACGACGACGACGACGACAACGATCACTCCTCCTCCTTCTGCGAATTCGCCGCGGGATTCTGAAGATACTTCGTCGCCATCGATGGATTCTCTCCTCGCAGGTTCGTTTTGTGTGTGTTATGTATCTCGATTGAGAGATAACAGTATTCGTTTGCATAGGCAAGATTTGTGAAATTGGAATTGTTTAGTTCTATGCTTGATCGGTGATGATGATGAAATGGTATAGCATTGAATTTGCCTTTCTCTATATAGTATCTATTCAAAATCTTGTTCTTGCTTAAAAAGAAGATTCTCAAGTCTTTGTCTATGTAGTTTCTATAAGAATTTAATCTTCTAGTCCAGTTTTGTCAAGAAAGCTTTTGATTCTTTCATTGTATCATCAAGAAACACTTCTCTTTATACTGGGATATTTGACATTGTTGTACTCTCTTCAATATCACAGAAGCTGCAGCATATGGTGAGGATGATAATGAGAATGAGGTTATTCTTTCAACTTTGTTGTTATTCAAGTTAATCGCTAGCTTTTTGAATGACCAGAGTTATCTGACAAATACCAAATCCATTAGTCGCTTGAAGCAAAGGCACAGAGAGCTCTCGATTGTCCTTGCATAGCAGATTTGCGTAATGGCTCTTGCGGCTCTCAGTTCTCCGAGGCATTCCTTTGCTTTCTCAAGAGTACTGCTGAAGAAAAGGTAAACGGAACATATTAGATTGTTTAGAACGATATAACCTCAACTGAAATGCTTGAAATATCAGATGTATGATGCAAACTCATCCGAAATGCTCCTAAGATTGACACATTAATGTTTCTCTTTTATTTACGTTTTGTGTCCTTTATAAGAGAAGCTTTATAGTGATATTGGATGCGTTGTTGCTGTTGCAGGGATCAGACTGAACATATTAGATTGTTAGGATAGTATAACCTCAACTCAAATGATCATAAACATTAGCGATAGTTGTTTTTGCGTTAAAACGGTTTTGTGCCATTTAGAGAAGAGAAGTTTCACTGAAGGATATGGATTTGTTGCTGATGTTGTTGTTGCAGGGATCAGACTGTGTGCATCCATTTGTAGCGTTGCAAAGCTGTATCAAAGCCAATCCGGATGCATTCTCTAAATCAGTTACAGAGGACGAAGAAAAACCCGAGAAAAAGGAAGAGCAGCCGCCTGTGCAAGACCATAGAATCATCCCACCTCTCTGGGCCAAAGACCCCCCTCGCAGTAACAATTCCAAGCTTTAGAAGATCAACAACAATGGAGTCAGTCAGCGTTACAAGTTATTCTCTCCTCTTTTGATTCTTCTCTCTAGGCAACAATAACAAAAGAAAGTAAAAGAAGAGTAGAAGACCATAATCAGTGGTCGTGTAGATCAACATTGTTCTCTTTTTAATAAAAAAGTTGAGGTTTTTGGTTATTTACCCACATTAACCAAACGGTTTATGTTACAGAGTTGGGTTTAGTTCGGTTTTCATAAAATAATTGAGCGGTTTGATTAGAGACATTAATTAATAATGGCTCTTTGTTAATTAAAAAATCGAATGTTCTTTCTCAATAACGAAAACTGCGAAGCGTGCAGATAAGAGTGATCTCTCTGAATAGAGATACTTCATAGTCTGCGAAAGCTTGAACGGGAAAGAGAAGAATCTGAATCGGAGAGTGAGTCTGAGAAGCAATCTAGGTTTACGATTACCAATTCTGTCTGATCCGATTAATTGTGGTGATTTCCGATGGAAGAAGACGGTGGCGGCGGTGCGAAAGTCGGAGTGCTGGAGAATTTTATGAGGACGCAGCAGAGTTCTTTGAAATCGTTATTCCAGAGGAAGAAATCGTCATCTGGCCGTGATGGAGATGCTTCTCCGTCGCCTATCGCTTCCCCGAAACCTATTCCTCAGCTCTCTCTTCTCGCCAATTCCGTCGTCTCACGCTGTTCAAAGTACACTTTCTCTAATCCTCAGATTCTTGAACAGTTTCAAGATTCATATACGTTTTAGATCCTGGGCTATACTTGCGATTGCATAATCTTTATTGTTTGGAATATACGCGATGTGTGATTATTCCTTACTGTTTAGGGTAATGAGAGCTTGGGGAATGTCTGTTGTGTTAATTGATTGAGAAAATTTTTTGATGGATTTAGTTTTTTTTTGGCAATTTCAGGATCCTTAACATTCCAACAGAAGATCTGCAACATCATTTTGATGTAGAGTTGCCTGAGAGTGTTAAGCAACTCTTGACATATGCAAGGAACTTTTTAGAGTTCTGCTCTTTTCAGGCACTTCATCAAGTGATGAAAAAACCTGATTACTTAAGTGATCAAGAGTTCCGTCAGCTATTGTTTGACATGATGCTTGCTTGGGAGACTCCCAGTGTCACAAGTGAGCAGGAAAACAAAGTGAGAAATCTATCTAATTTGCCATGTTGATAGTTTTGAAAATGGAAATATATGGATTTATGCTTTGTTTCTTCTTTGTCTCAAATTTGCCAAGTTTAGGATGCAGCATCTCCCTCCAAGCAGGACTCAGAGGATGAGGATGGGTGGTCGCTATTCTATTCAAGTCCCACAAATATGGCAATGCAGGTTATTACCATCTTAGACTTCCTTTGCTTCTGCATTAGTCATAATTGGAAAGGACTTAACAGACTTTCCCCCTGAAAAATATGCTTAATAGGTTGATGAAAAAAGGTCTGTAGGACCGGAGGCTTTTGCAAGAATTGCTCCGGTTTGTCCTGCCATTGCAGATGCAATAACTGTACATAATCTTTTTGATGCACTGACTAGCTCGTCAGGCCACAGGCTTCATTTTATCGTATATGACAAATACATCCGCACACTTGACAAGTATGAACTTACTAGTTACTACTACTTTTTTCAGTCCTTTGCTTTTCTTTATTTGTTTACTCGTTTATTGTCTAAGTGTTATAAATCGTAGGTGATTTTAAAATTTTCGTTTCTTTTTTTGGTACTTTAATACTTGAGTCTACTTACCGTAAAAAAAAATACTTGAAATACATCTCTAGTATCCATTTTACTTATTCTGACGTCAAAAGAGTATTGCTTGCTAATTTCTATTAAATGCTAACGTTGAGGATGATAAAAATTATTCTGTGGCTCAGTTAATGTACAAAGCAGGAATGAATCTTTTTTGGATATCACGGCCTCGATTTAGAATGAAATAAATACACTGAGAGATGTTGTGCCCAAAATTTCTTGCGGATGTCTATTTCCTCAAAATATCGGTTTTCTTTTCCTCTTAATTGTTTTCCTTTCCCTTCGTATATTTGTAGAATTTTCAAGGCTGCAAAAAGCACTCTAGGACCTTCAGCTGCCAATCTTCAGCTTGCCAAGGGAGAAATAGTGCTTGATATGGATGGTGCAAACCCTGTTTTACCGGTTCTTAAACACGTGGGCATCTCAGCATGGCCTGGTAAACTTCTGGAGAGATCTCTGCATGTAGTCCATCTTCTACATTGGCAGTATATTATACCTTAAGCAAAAGGAGAAACCTGAAAATTGTGGTTTAAGTTGGTTGATTTTGTTTCCATCTCAATATTTATCAAGCATTTCCTTTTGTAGGTAAACTGACACTTACCAACTATGCTCTATATTTTGATTCAATGGGTGGTGGTGAAAAGGCCATGCGATATGATCTCACTGAAGACACAAAACAGGTCATCAAACCTGAGTTAACAGGGCCATTGGGTGCTCGTATATTTGATAAAGCCATCATGTATAAATCAATTATAGTGTACGTATGCTAGTGGACTATGGTCTTATGTCTGTCTCATTTATGATCCTTAACAAAATCTGTGCTCATGGATTTATATCTTTTGCTCTTTCTTGTATTGTTTGTACAGACCAGAGCCAGTATATTTTGAATTCACAGAGTTTAAAGGCAATGCTCGTCGAGACTACTGGTTGGGAATATGTTTGGAGATCCTTCGCGTACAATGGTTCATACGAAGATACAATTTTAAAGGGGTTCAACGATCAGAAATACTTGCAAGAGCAATCCTTGGCATATTCCGGTACCGTGCAATAAGGGAAGCTTTCCAAGTCTTCTCTTCCCAATACAAAACATTGCTTATATTTAACCTGGCAGAAAGTCTCCCCGGTGGAGATATGGTCTTAGAAGCTCTATCCAGTCGTGTCTCTCGTATAACCACTGATGTCCCTTCTGATGTCGGTTCTGTTCAGTATATGAAATGGCCCTCAAAATTATCTCCAGTATCACTCAAATTGCTTGAGCATTTTGGCTTGAATCTAGAAACTGGGACAAATATGGGTGAAGAAATGACAATCGTAGGAGATTTTTGTGTTGGAGAGACGAGTCCATTGGAGATAGCTCTGAAACAGTCAATCCTAGACACAGACAGAGCTGAAGCTGCTCAGGCGACTGTGGAACAAGTGAAAGTAGAAGGAATTGACACTAACGTTGCAGTTATGAAGGTATCAAGTGATAGTCTTATTCTTCTTCATCTTTTTTCCTTTTCTTTGCTCTATAGTTACTATTAACCGATAGTCTCACTGCAGGAGCTATTGTTACCTTTCATCAAACTAGGCTTGCATATAAATCTCTTAGCCTATTGGCAAGATCCTTATAAATCAACGGTGTTCATGATCTTGGTCAGCTATTTGATTATCAGGTAAGATTTCACCTTCAAAGACATGATGACAAAGAATGATGAGAGTTCCATCACAGATAGCTATGTTTTGATTTTGTAACATAAAGACATGTGATAAATGTGATGACACCAACAATCTTGTTATGTTGTGCAGTGAGTGGATCGGTTTCATACTACCGTCCATATTAGTCCTAGTGGCTATAGTAATGCTGTGGCATAAGCAATTCAACAAAGGGAAAGAACCAAAAGCTGTTCGAGTGAAAGCTCCACCAAGTAAAAACGCAGTGGAGCAGCTACTCGTACTACAAGATGCAATTAGCCAGTTCGAGTCGCTAATCCAAGCTGTTAACGTTGGTCTCCTCAAAATAAGAGCCATTAGTCTTGCAATTCTTCCTCAGGTATAATGTTATATCAGAACATGATGATGGCTAGGATAAATAGGTGTCTGCGATTAATAGTAACACTCTCTTGTCTCTCTAAGAATTGTAACTCTCTTGTCTCTCTAATATGTTTTCAGGCTACAGATACAACGGCTATATCGCTTGTGGTTGTGGCGGTTATATTGGTGGTTGTTCCGGTGAAGTACTTAATTACGATTGCGTTTGTAGAGTGGTTCACGAGGGAAACTGGGTGGAGGAAAGCGAGTAGTGACCGGCTAGAGAGGCGGATAAGAGAGTGGTGGTTTAGGGTACCCGCAGCTCCTGTTCAGCTCATTAGAGCCGAAGATAGCAAGAAGAAGAAGAAATGACACTTTTCAATTCTGTCTCACACGCACTCTCTCTTTCTAGACATATTCTTTTCATATTAGATTTTTTTTGTTCTTTTTTTTTTCCATTTTAAGTAAGATTCGGGTTTATTCATAAATATGAGACGAACAAACTCGTTTCATCGAAAGTAAATTGCGTAAAAGTCATGTTTTCTTACTTTTAACTACCCAGTTTGACAAATACAAGTTTGTCATTCTTCATTTGGCAAACGTAAGATCACATATATTAAGGAGTTAAATTTTGTTGTTTCAGTGTTCTAGTTTGAGGTATGTTCACATACCATATACAGTATCCTAATACGTACCATATATGTTCAAGACTTCATTACGAGATGAACAGATGAAAATCTTATAAAATAGAGCCTTTAGTTTTGTTGACCCAAAATATTAGCAAGTAAAATCATCCTCTTGACAAATTTAAAGAAAAATAATCCTCAAAAGTAAAGAACAGCAGAAGCCAAAGACAGCACCAAAGTCAGAGATAGAGAGAGCATGTTTTACAGCAGAAATGTTTTCATACGATGACAAGACTCCATTGCTAGGCTTAGCATTTCACCAGCAAGATGGCATCAGTAGGGCCCACCGTTAAACTTGTGGGACATGAAGAAGCTGAAATCGCTGTGAGAGAAGCCGCGTGTTTGCAGCCATGAGGAAGCAGATGCTTCATGCATCTGCATCTTCTGATAATCTGATGTCCCAGGCATGAGCCACATATCACCAAAGGCCTTGTAAGTCACTGCTCCGAATGGAGGAAGTAGAACTTCTGCTGTACTTGACCCTCCTTGTTCATTCCCCTTATCATCTTTACCAATTGTTTCTGAGAAATCACAAGCAAAAAACTAGTTTAGATCTAAGAAAATAATGATTAAGAAACATGGAAAATGTAATCAATTAAACACTTGATTATAAAACCAAAAAGCTTATGATATTATTTAACACCAATACGATGACCAGAAGTTGACTAGTTGTACTTACTAAAAAACTGATTCTGCTCTAAGAAAATAATAGAATCAAGATCAGGCTAAAAGGAAGTGTCTGTATAAACAGGAAGATGTACTTAGAAACTCAAGATAAGACTTTTATGCAGAGAAAATAGAGGCTAGGATTGGTAAGACCTTTGCGCCAAAGATGCAACTTCTCCATCTCTTATAATCCACAAGAAATTAATACCATAACAGATGCATGACTTTTATCTATATCCAAGGGACACTGTAATAGAGTAAAGACTTGAAAAGAACATCTACAACTACCTTTGCAGGGTACTTTTTTCTACCAATTATATCTCTCCTTATCGCATATGCATAGAAAAGAGACTACAAGGTAAACTCCCCAAAAGGAACCTCGTTACCATTGGCGTAGCCAACTAGGAAATACCTACTGCTCTTCAATAGCTTATTAAATAAAGAGCCCTAAATAAGTATATACAGTCATAATCCCTAAATTCTTCCATGAATAAAGTAGTACTAGAAATCAACCAATCTCGATACATTTTGCCAAAGTAACATACAACTTAACAAGAACAAAGTACCGGAACTATATGTATAAACATGTCAAAGTATTACTTTACAAAACACTTGAATACTCAAAAGCACATGTAAGATAATTTAGCAGGCACAACTTTATTATAGCTTTTACATATAATTGATTTTTTCATAAACATGCTTGGGTTGAAAAGGTAATGTTAATCCTCAATTGACCAAAGTACCTGGAAAGTTTGGCGTCAATAAATGGTATGTTAGGAAAGCGGCAGATATTCCGTTCATTCTCACTGATGGAATTGGATAAATGGGATACCTACCATAATTCCAAATTCCAATTCAACATTATAGCAGTTACGATTTAAAGTTATTTATTTGGAGTAAGACAACAACTAACATCAAATATACACACATCATGGGAAGAATGCATGAATCATATGAAAGAAAGTTGTGAAATGACAGGCTAATATAGAAATATCTCTCATGGGGGCACAGTGAGCAATTAATTAATCATTCAAGAAATAAGTAAGAACAGGCTAAATCTGAATAAGATAGTAAGAAACTCGACATACCAAGCTATCGAAATCCAGCTATATGGAGAAAGATCTGAACTCGTCAAACTAGACAGTCCAGTGTGCTGCGCAGCTAAATCTTCCATCTACAAAAAACACTTTTCATTAACCAATGAATTTGGAGAACCAATCCAACATCATAAAGGAAATACAGATAATTATAAGATACCTTGAAAGTTAGAGTAGTCCTCTTAAATGGCAATGTTATCTCATCATATTGAAAATAAAGGTACCCCAAGTGATCATCGAAAAACCGAGGCTTAAAGTTGCTGTCAGACTCAGGTTTAGCAGAGCCTGTCTCTGTAGCATCTATCTCAATGGCAGAGCTCCTACATTCAGAATCAAATTACTTGAAAGAACTACACTACAATAGCCAAATTTCTAATCATAAACAAGAAAAAAACGTTAGCAATGCAAGTAAACACAGAAGACTCTTGAGTAACTCCAAAAAAGGCATAAACTTTCTAGCTCTTAAGCCAAAAGCTAGACCCAACCAAACAAAGGCCTTTGTAATAAAGGCACATACTTTCATATCAAATCTTATTACCCATGAAGCAATAAGACACAAAATGGTGGTGAGAGACAACAGAAATCGAACCTTGAATCATCAGAGAAGGGTTTGATGGTGAAGATCTGAATGGCGGAGAGTGAAGGAAGATAGTGATGTTTAACGACGGAGTCGAAGTTTTCCAGCGAAAGAGGAACTTGGAGACCATCAGCGCTCCAGTCGGCACAGGCAGACCAAATATCTCCGAGCACGATGCGAGGCTTTCTCACTTCTTCTTCAATAGCTCCTAAAGCTACTGATGATGAAGAAGACGATCCCTCTCTCTGCAAACAGATTTTGAAATTGGGGTTTACATTCTAACCCGACTACACTATTCGGATCCTTAAACCGGGTTGGAATAAGACATAATTTCGAAAAAGTGCCCCTATTGTTTCTATTGTTTTAAACTGAACCCTCAATATTATAATTTAATCTAAATTAACCATTGAATTTTCATTTATTTATGTTTAACTTTTACGATTTAACATTTGGATAAATAATCCATTAAAGTTATGATTATTAAGGATTATTTATTCAAAACAAATATTGAAACTCATCCCTCAATTTTATAATTTAATCTAAAATTTTCTTGTTAAAGATAATTTAATCTAAATTACCCCATGTTTGTAACTTTTATTTATTTATTTACTTTTTATGATTTAAATATAAAAGACAGAAATTGGATTAATCAAAAACTAGTCGATGTTGGCTAAGATCTTATAATTTTTTTTTTTTTGAACAAAAAGCTAAGATCTTATAATTAAAAAAGCAGAAAGTAGACAATCTTGGTAATAATGTCAACAATTAATTAGTCTTTTTACCACTGTGGCAGACTTTGACCAATCTAATTCGTTTTTCGTTTATTAGCAAAGAATGAAAAATCAAAATTACCAGAACACATGGTAGATCTATCTTAAAACCCATCAAGAGAATTGAAACGAGATCTAGCTAATACAGTAAACGGGGTACTAACCAGATTACCAGAGACTAATTAACCCAAGAAAATCAGTTGAATAAATATGTTGGTGTGTCTGATTAATTGTTCCTTTTATCTTTTTGATAATTTATTTTGATTTAATTTTTCTTTGCTTCTTAAAAATGGTTTTGTTTTTGTAAATTTTAGTTGTTCCTTCAAATTTCTGTAAGTGAAATTAATTAGATTATTTTTGTTGGATTCGAGATGTTCGTTCAAACAACATTTTTGTGAAAAATAAACAAATTAATATAACAATAAATAAATATAATAATGATCTGAGACACGTGGAGATGAAAGTTCGAGAAACTTCTCGAATCTATTAGATTCGAGAATGTTCGTTCAAACAATTTTTTCATAGAAAAAATAAAAACAAATGTTTGAAGATAATATTACCTGAATATAATAATAAACCAAGACACGTGGAGATGAACGTTCGAGAAAGCTCTCGAAATTAGTTTCGAGAATATTCGTCCAAACAATTTTTAATATTTGTTCAAACAATTTTATGTAAATATAAGATAAAAAACAAACAATTAAATATACGTTACCTGAGTATAATATTGAATCGGGACACGTGGAGATGAACATTCGAGAAACCTCTCGAAATTAGTTTTACCTCTCCTAGTCATTTTTTTAGTAAAATTTTCCTTTTTGCTTTCTTTTTTATAAATATTTTTGAGAATTTCAAGATATAAACAAGAGTTTAAGATTTATAAGAAATAAAGCAATATAAAACTAAGAAGAAAATGAAAATAAAAAAGAATCCCAGGAGAAAAAGTTAAATTTTCTTCTTTTCTTTTTTGGCAACAAAATAAAGTGTTCTTATTTAATAATCAATATATTTCCTAAATATGTCATTTTTAATAGTGTCCATATTTAATATTGGTCTCTTCAGTCTATGTGAACGTAATCAATAAATTGCCAATTTTTCAGTGAATAAAAAGTAATAACAATTATACTATCTATCTTTTTTACATCATTAAAGTTTCAAGGTCTAATCCTTAATCAAATTTTTATTTAAATTTTTACTTTTTTCCAATTTTTGTTATTCGGAATAACGTATTTAATTAGTAGAGTCAAACTATGATAGAAATATGGTACAGTATATATGAACCCAGGGGCGGACCCACGTTGAAGCTGGGTGGGGCATGTGCCCCATACTAAATTCTATAAATATTATATAAGCTATTAATGTACAATGAAATCTAGGTAGCATAAATGGTTTTACCGCTACAAGTGCCTTATATCAACCCAAGTCCGAATACCTGTAACTTAGTCACAAATTTTAGCTAATTAAATTTTATCTAGTATTTTATAAATAAAGTGCCCCATATACAATTTGGGCCTGGATCCGCCACTGTATGAACCATTAACCACTTGATTAAATGTACTTCCCCAAATACACTATCTTTTTCTGATAAAAATTTTTATAAGTGAAAAGTTTGTTCTTTAATATATATATTTTTGGTTTCATTACAGTACGTGGAAATGACAATGCACATACGAGAGTGGTACATGGCAAGGCCAACCCCATTTACATGCCAGAAAGCCCTAGAAATCCTCCAATCACCAAATCTTTCTTTAAGGCTAAGGCAAAATGTCTCCCACGTCACATTCTGAACTTTTATTTTATTTTAATTTATACAATTTTTTGTTAATGTCAAATTTCATCATATATTAACGATTAGATAAACTATTTGAATTGCATATTTGAATATGATCTGTCATGTCCAACCAATAGACTCTTCTTTTTTTTTTCTCTGTAACTTTTCTTTGACCAATCAAACCATTTTGCCAAAGTAGTTTTGACTCATAAATATTAAATATTGCTCGCATAATAATATAGTCAAAATATCTTATCCGACTAAGGACATGGACCCCAAAAGTGACCAACACTGTATAGCTTGAATCGTTGTGGATGAGTGATGCGAACGCTAGAAACAATATGGTTCATTATTATAATTGATAATTCTCAGGCTTATTATGGTTTAATGGATGACTGATGCTTAAGGTAATGCAAATCAAACATTGAACGATAACTTAAAACAGTATATATTACTAGAATTTAACTACTGATAGAATAATACATATACAATTTTTTTGTAAAAAAATGCAATGCATACTAGATCTCCTTTACCATTTACAAGCTATTTAGCCTAATCTCTCCATAACACAATTTTTATAGATAAAATATAGCCCATTTATGAAACGTTGAAATATCGTACGTGAATACAATGTAGAATATCACCCTCGATCATTTTATTACATATTTCGAAAATTTGCGAGTACAAAATTTAACTTAATTATGTAGAATCGACATTTCGGACAAAAATATGTGTGCATCAGCATCTTTTTTTTTTTTTTTTTTTTTTTTTTTTTCTACTGTTGAGCTATGGTTTTTTTTTTTTTTTTTTTTAATTATATTAATATTAATAAAGGGCAAACCCATAAAGGGCTGGGCCTTGAAAATTTACAAAAGGGACACAGTTACAAAAACTGAAAAACACTCTATCGGCCCAATAACAGAAACTGGATCTCATCCTGCTGATAGACCTAAAGCAGCATCTCCGAGCAACTATCCCGGCGGAAACAGAATCCACGGTTTTGCGATGAAGCACCAGAAACGGATGACAAGGAGGAAGCTTCCGGTTTCAAGCCCTGTCACCACTCCGGCGAAACACCTGACCCACTACGGATTCCCCGAGTTGCTCAAGATTCCGACTTTAAAGGCTCCACGAAGTCGGATCCCATACCTAGCAATCCAAAGTACTCAGATGTAACCCCAATTTCCATTATCGGCGACCAGAGAATTTTTCCGAGCTAGGGTTCCTAAATGTCATGTCCGTGAAAACCAAATCGTGCCAGTTTGAGTAGTTGGTTGCTCACACCAACGAACACAAACCAGTGCCCCACGCAAGCCTTCATGATCCCAAGGGATCGATCAGTTAATCAACGGACAAGAGCAAAACCCACCTTCCTCCCCAGACTTCCGCCGCACCAACGGCAACCAATCGGGTGGTTGAGCCGCGCGTAGATACGACGACGAGCACACTGGCGTCCTCTACCAGGTCTCGACCAAATCCACCACACGCCCACTTAATCGGAGCCGCCGTTGCATCTTAAGGAAGAGGGAGATCCATCTCCACAGTCGGAGGTGGAGCTAGCTCACCGCTGCGCCCAAAGCAAATCCAAGACCTGAAATAAGAACAATCCCAAGCCACACCCGCCAAACGAAACCAAAACTTACACACCGGCGAAGCAACCGTCACAGCTGAAGGGGAGAGGTGAAAGATCCAGCAACCAAACCACCGGATCCGACCACAGAAGCTAAACCGCAGAATAGCCCAAGCCCCAAACTCTTCAAAGCCAACCAACCACCGGAAAGTGACCAACACACGAAAAGGAGCCAACCTAGTAGTCAACCAACGAAAAGGTGCATCAGCATCTTAGTAGTCGTTATGACACATATTCTTTCTTTGAATTTTAATGTCGTCTTAATAACAACTACCGAATCATTTACGTCTTAACAACTATCTAATCATTCACCTTTGTGCTTTTCAAAATACATGTACCTATTTATAAATTACAATCATCTATATTTAAACACAATGTCCACTAAAACTTTGGTATATACATGTTATAAAATATATCTCCATTAACTATTGATGTATGTGCATATCACATGGGTGACGAATTGATAATACTACATCTAATATTATATGGGATCTATTTCAAATGGATCTCCTTTTTGTGTTTCTATTTAACTATTTGTTTTGCTTCTTTATTGCTTTGTATATTTATATAAATCAAATATAACCGATCTTTCTTATCTTAGCATGACATAAAAGAAATAAAGGCATCAGAAAGTTATACAATGCCAACGCGGAAAGTTCCAAAGCCACGACGTCCCCTTCTGCATGACTCAATTTGCTCTCACATATTGAAAAAAGCGTTACGTAAGATTTGATTTTTTTTTATTTTCTCTTGTCTCGTGCATGTTCCTTTTAATTAGGAAACATATCTTATCCCCTATACATATATATGTGGAAAACTAAAATCACCCTAAAAATAAAAGGCTTGGTGTTTTGCCAACTTGTAGGTAAAAAAGCTCGGAGTCTAACGTCATTCCGTGTGATAATCTTTTTTTTTAGGCTTCTCTCAAATCAACTTTAATTAAAATGTGATTTGATTTTTTATGTCGATCAATGGATCATTAATTTTTGTAAATGGCATCTTCCAAGTTTCAAAGAGAAATATTTAAAAGGAATCAAGATAAATTTTTTTTTTTTTTGGTAAAAGATCAAGATAAATATTTGAAGAAGATCCATATATAAAGACCTTATAACTTGTTTTGTTATTTGGAACATTTCGTTAGTTACTGAAGTTACTTTAGACAAAATTTTGTCAGAACACGGATTTGATAGTTACAAAAACTTTTTTTTTTTTTTTTTAGTTACAAAAACTTTATTTATCTATTTCTCCTTTAACTAAATGATTTTGTTTTCCTTAAAAAAAAAAAAAGGCAAACAGAGTATATGCCCCAAAGAAAGTAGCTTTATCTCTATGACTTGATGACCCATACATGACTCATCACTTTACCACACAAATGTCCTCAAGTCTAAACGATTAAGTATTCTGTTTCAACTGCCTCTTGTCTCTTTGTCTTTCCCTTTAAATACCTTCCCACTTACACGGTTTAATCATCAACCATCACTCACAATCTCTCTCTCTCTTTCTCTTTCACAAAGTCAAGAATTAAGAATCAAGAATCAAGATCACCACTCAATCCTCCAAGATGACATTTAGCAGTGTTCACCAACAAGTCATTGCATTTCCTGCCATCAAGACTTCTCCGGCGGGTTACTTGCCTGATCCAGCTTCCATCAACAAGCTCCAAATCCCAACTTCTTCAAAGTTTTCTTTCCTAACAGGCAAAGGAAAATCGATGCTACGAAAGAAGAAAACCGATAGCTTCACAAACGGAGCTAGAGATCAGAGCAAGTTAGGACCAAAACTAACCGAAACAGTCAAGAGAAAGTTATCCTTGGGAGCTAGGATCCTTCAAATGGGAGGCTTAGAGAAGATCTATAAGCGACTCTTTAAGGTCTGCGATGAGGAGAAACTCTTCAAGACGTACCAATGTTACTTATCAACAACCGCAGGTCCCATCGCGGGCCTACTCTTCATCTCATCAAAGAAGATTGCTTTTTGTAGCGAGAGATCGATAAAGGTGGCTTCTCCTCAAGGAGATCTCACTAGGGTTCATTACAAAGTCTCAATCCCCTTGTGCAAGATCAATGGAGTGAACCAGAGTCAGAACGCAAAGAAGCCATCTCAGAAGTACCTTGAAGTAGTTACGGTCGACGGCTTTGACTTCTGGTTCATGGGATTCTTGAGCTACCAAAAAGCTTTCAACAGCCTCGAGCAAGTGCTTTCTCTTAGCTTCGAACAATGATAAGCCAATATATATTGCTTCCATTGAGGAGCTAATTAGTGCGGGTTAAAGAGGAAATAATTCATTTCACTTTAACCTGCTTCAATCAGATTATGTTAGGAGAAACCATTGACAATATTGTACAAACTCATTTTATATCGCTTTTGTTCTTCATCGTAAACATGAGCAAGAGATTTGAATATATTTAGTTGATCTCATATGTTTTCCCAATTCACAGTCCTTTTTTGCACCACAATGTGTTAAAAGAAGAACAATACAGAGAGAAAAAACATGTACCATGGGAATAAAATATAAGAAATGAGTACATAAGACCATTTCATAATCTTGATTTTAGGAAATTTGAGATCCATTGTCTCAATCTTCCCCTGAGAGATTAAACCAACAATAAATCTCCAGAAGGAGGTGTCTTCTTCCATTTGAACAAATATAAATCAAAGATGAACAAAAACAATATCTTAATATATTGTTAGTAAAAAATAATGTGATGACCGAATCATCTACAAAAAACAATTAAGTTACTTGAAAAGTTGAAATTATCTATGAATTATGCCGCTCTTGTTGTATAGACTAATTAAGTTATTATATAGGGTTACTCTCTCATTGTAACTTGTAAGCCAAGAAATAGTGATAAAATATAAGAGCCTGATTAAATATTGAAACTTATAATTTTTTTCTAACATGGGGTAAGAAACTTACAAATTCAAACTAAATATAACACAAAATCTAGACTTCGTAACTTTTAATTATTTGAAAGTTATGTATCTGGAGTTACTGTCTCTGAAACAACAAAATAGACGACATATATGTGGTCCGTTGTTAGTTTTCTTATAATAAGTACCATGGCACTTCTTTTGACATGTTTTGGTGCAAAAAAAAGCTATTAATTAATCAAGGAAAACAGCTGAGATCAGCTAAATATATTCATCTCTTTCTCTTGTCTACAATGAAAAGCAAAAAAATAAAAATAAGAATAAGTTTGTACAAACAATATTGTCAGTCTCTACTAGGCTCTCTCCTAACATTCTCTGAATGAAACAGGTGAAAGTAGAAATGAAATATTTCTTCTTCCACCTGCACTAATTAGCTCCTTAGTTTATTGCTCATCATTGTTTAACGCTTGCTCGAGACAATTGAAAGCTTTCTGGTAGCTCACGAATCCCATGAACCAGAAGTCGAAGTTATCGACCGTGACAACTTCAAGGTACTTCTGAGATGGCTTCTTTGTGTTCTGACTCTGGTTCACTCCATTGATCTTGTACAACGGGATTGAGACTTTGTAGTGAACCCTAGTAAGATCTCCCTGAGGAGAAGTCACCTTGATCGATCTTTCGCTGCAGAATGCTATCTTCTTTGATGAGATGAAGAGTAGGCCCGCGATGGAACCTTCGGTTGTCGATAGATAACATTGGTACGCCTTGAAGAGTTTCTCATCATTGCAGACCTTGAAGAGTCGCTTATAGATCTTCTCTAGGCCTCCCATTTGAAGGATCTTAGCTCCCAAGGATAGCTTTCTCTTGACGGTTTCAGTTAGCTTGGGTCCTAAGTTGTCCTGATCTCTAGCTCCGTTTGTGAAGCTATCAGTTTTCTTCTTTCGCACCATCGATTTTCCTTTGCCTGATAATAAAGAAAACTTTGAAGAAGTTGGGATTTGGAGCTTGTTGATGGATGCTGGATCAGGCAAGTAACTGGCCGGAGCAGTCTTGATGGCAGGAAATGCAATAACTTGTTGGTGAACTCCACTCAATGTCATCTTGGAGGGTTGAGTGGTGATCTTGATTCTTGAGTTTTGAACTTGTGAGAAAGAAAGAGAGAGAGAGAGATTGTGAGTGATGGTTGATGATGAAACCGTGTTGGTGGGAAGGTATTTAAAGGGAAAGACAAAGAAACAAGAGGCAGTTGAAAACAAAACACTGAATCGCTGAGACTCGAGATCTTTGTGGTAAAGGATGAGTCATGGATGGGTCATCAAGGCAGGGAAAAAGCCACTTTCTTTGGGGTTAAAAGCAAAGAGAAGAAGATAAAGCATATATATTCTTTGTTTTGCTTTTTGAGAGAAAAATAATCTTCTAGTTAAAGGAGAGATATATAAAAAAAAAAAAGGTTTTGCAACTACCAAGTCCGTGTTGATGACATTATTTCGAAACTAATTTCACTAACTGATGAAATGTTTAGCTCAAAAAGTTTCTTTATCATTGTCGGTACCTTAGTCTTTAGTTACCATTTCAAGTTTGTTCTCAAGCATAATCATGTCCATAACAAACATTCATTTTGGTGTCAAACTTGATGACAAGCGTTCGACACAGAATGACGGTAGAGTTCGACGAACTTATTTACCTGATCAAACATTCAAGTTGGCAAAACATCAAGCTTTTCTTTTCCTCCTTTATTGTTAGCCTGATTTTAGTTTAATTTTTCACATAGATCTATACTATACATGTATAGAAGATAAGATATGTTTCCTAATCAACTGGAACATGAAACAAGGAAAAAAAATGAAATCAAATATTACGTAACGCTTTTGAATATATGAGACCAAATTGAGTCATGCAGAAGGGAACGTCGTGGCTTTGGAGCTTTCCGCGTTGGCATTGTGACTTTCTGATGCCTTTATTTCTTTTATTTTCATGCTAAGATAAGAAATATCGGTTATATTTGATTTATATAATATATAAGCAATAAAGAAACGAAACAAAAAAAATAACTAATTAAATCAAAACACAAAAAGAAGATCCATTTGAAATGGATCCCACCATATAGTATAGATGGTGTTTCATCAATTCGTCACCCATGTGATATGCACATGGTGTATTATTTTTTTGTGTTTAGTGAATATATTTAATTTATGAAATTTATTTATGTATACATGATAAAATCTAGTGGACATTGTATTTAGCTATAGATGATTTTAAATAGGTACATGTATTTATGAAAAAGCAGAGAGGAATGATTAGTTAGTTGTTAAGACTTGAATGATTCGCTCGGTAGTTGTTATCAAGACATTGAATTCCAAGAAAGAATATATAATTTTTCTAACAATATATGGTACAATCGCTCTTAACAATTCTAAAATAAATAAAAATCCATATTTAGTACTATGTTAATTTATCGTTCATTATTTTATTTTTATTTTTGCATTGCCTTAATCATCACCCAATAGGCCATTACCTTAATAAGCATGGGAAATATCAATTTTATTTTTTGTTATAGGATTATCAAATTTTATATAAAATTATGTAACCATATTATTTCTACCGTCACAAACTATTCAAGCTTTATAGTGTTTAACTTTTTCGGGGTCCATGTCCTTAGTCGGATAAGATATTTTGACTATATTATACGAGCAATATCGAATATATATGTCGACACATAAAAATGAGTTTTCTAAAAAATACTTTGTGGGGGAAATGGTTGATTAATTGGTCAAAGAAAAGTTACATAAAAAAAAAGGTTCTACAAATAAAGGGAAAGAAATAAAAGAAGAGTCCATATCAGTAGGGCACGACGGATCACATTCAAAGCTGTAATTTAATACTTTATCCTGTAATCGTTGATATTTTGATTCCGACGTGTGTGATGGAATTTGACATTAAAAGTATATCAACTGAAAATAAAAAGGCAAGAAATATGACGTTAGAAACATCTTTCCTTAGCCTAAAAGAAATATATTTGGTCACTGGAGGATTCCAGACATTCGTGCATGTAAATGGGTTGGCCCTGCCATGCACGCTCGTTCATGCATTGTCATTTCCACGTAGATACATCAATATTACATTAACAAATAAACTAAAAATAGATAAAACACATATACACAATATATATATACTATGTTTACTTTGTTCGTGATCTATCATAAAAATCTTATATGTATTCAACGAGAAGATGTACACGATTATTCTTTTGTGTTCTTACCATCATACGAAAATGGTCTCCAAAAAAAAAAAAAAAAAAAAAGAAAATGGTCTCCATGATTTTTTGAAATTTTGGAATCACTTATCTTTTTTTTTTTTAATTTTTTTTTTCACTTATCTTAGATTCTTAGTGTACATATTATCAATGTAAATTATTCAAAGTTGTTGTCCGAGAGATAGATTCTATGGAACTAGAATAATCTCGATATATATTAAACAATTTCTCCAATTTTAACTTGTCGAATCCAGGGAAAACATCCATAAAGCTTTTATAAAACCATGCACATAAGTAATTTGGTGTTTAGCTCACTAAATAATCACGATGCCAACGCAGAGAAGCTTGTTCTGTGTGACTCAATTTGCTCTCACCGATTCAAGAAACGTTACGTAATATCTGATTTGATTTCTTCTTATTTCATACATGTTCGGATGTTCCAGTTAGCTAGGAAACATATCTTATCTTCTACTTATACCAATAAACAAAAGCTTGCAATTTTGCCAACTTGTAGCCTTGTAGGTAATAAAGCTTGTCGGAGTCGTCATTCCGTGTGATCTTTATTTACTTTCTTTTTTTTTTAGTTTGTTTTAGTTTTTTTTTTTTTTTCCATCTCTAATACTAATATTATAACTTTAGCGTGTGATTTAATCTTGAAGGCGATTGTTGACCAAAGAAAAATAAAAATTTTAAGGTGATCAATTGATCATCAAGTTGTAAAAAGCATCTCCTAAATTTCGAATCAAAGGAATAGAAGAAGATATATAGAGCCCCTTTTGCAAAAACCTAGCTATAACATTTCATCAGAAATTTGCTTTAGACAAAACTGTGTCCTAACACGGGTTTGGTAGTTGCAATTTGCAAATCTCTATTTATGTGTTTCTCCTTTAATTATATGATTATTTTTCCTTAAACAAAAAAAAAAGCCAAACAGAGCATATGCCCACAAAGAAAGTAGCTTTATCTATGTGGCTTGATGACCCATCTATGACTCATCCTTTACCACAAAGGTCTCAATTCAAAGCTTTGTTTCAACTGCCTCTTGTCTCTTTGTCTTTCCCTTTAAATACCTTCCCACCAACACGGTTTCATCATCAACCATTACTCACAATATATATAATCTCTCTCTCTCTTTCTCACAAGATCAAGAATCAAGAATCAAGATCACTACTCAATCCTCCAAGATGACATTGAGCAGAGTTCACCAAGAAGTTATTGCATTTCCTGCAGCCAAGACTGCTACGATGAGTTACTTGCCTGACCCATCTTCCATCAACAAGCTCCAAATCCCAACTTCTTCCAAGTTTTCTTTTTTAACAGGCAAAGGAAAATCGATGCTGCGAAAGAAGAAAACCGATAGCTTCACAAACGGAGCTAGAGATCAGGACAAGTTAGGACCCAAGCTAACTGAAACAGTCAAGAGAAAGTTATCCTTGGGAGCTAAGATCCTTCAAATGGGAGGCTTAGAGAAGATCTATAAGAGACTCTTCAAGGTCTGCAATGATGAGAAACTGTTCAAGGCGTACCAATGTTACCTATCGACAACTGCAGGTCCCATCGGGGGCCTACTCTTCATCTCATCAAAGAAGATTGCATTCTGCAGCGAGAGATCGATAAAGGTGGCTTCTCCTCAAGGAGATCTCACTAGGGTTCATTACAAAGTCACAATCCCCTTGTGCAAGATCAATGGAGTAAACCAGAGTCAGAACACAAAGAAGCCATCTCAAAAGTACCTTGAAGTTGTCACGGTCGACGGCTTTGACTTCTGGTTCATGGGATTTGTGAGCTACCAAAAAGCTTTCAATTGTCTCGAGCAAGCGCTAAACAATGATAAGCAATAAACCGCAGTGGTTTTCTCTGAGGAGTTAATTAGTGCAGGTAGTTGGGGAAATATTTCATTTCTACTTTCACCTGTTTCAATCAGAGAATGTAGGAGAGAGCCTAGTAGAGACTGACAATATTGTTTGTACAAACTCTTCTTTTTTTTTTGCTTTACCATTTTGGTTTCCATTGTAGAAACGAGAAAGACACGAATATATTTAGCTGATCTCATCTGTTTACCTTAATAGTTCTTTTATGCACCAATATATGTTAAAAGAAGTGTCATGGGATGTATCAGATATAAAGAAATGAGTACATAAGACCATACCATAATCTTGATCTCAAACATTTAGAAGCTTTGAGATCCACAGTATCAATCTTTCCCTAAGAGAAAATAAAACCAACAATGAGGCTCCAGAAGAACGAGCAGTCTTCTTCCATTTCAACAAAACAAAATCAAAGAGCTTCATTGATCACAACAAAAGCTTTAGGGCAACACTGCTCTATTGTATTACATTGAGAATCAGAGTTTACAAATATCAAGTGCTGAACCTTTTTTACTCTTAAGGAGAAGCAGATCCAACAACAACTACACACACTTTGCAAAGCAACTGAAGAATAATCAAGCAGCCGCCACCATCATATATTTAATGCACAAAAATGTACAAGAGCTTTAGAGAGGACTCACTGATGGTCCATAAGCCATGAGTGTGCCCATACATGAGACAGATAGAGAGATCACAGAGGATTCCTGACAGAAATCTTTCCTCCAAGTAACGAGATCCCAACATCAATGATCAAAGCAGAACATCTGGCTCGGTTAAACTTCCCGAAAAGTTAACTTTACAACATTTGGGGAACTCCAAACCAGCTTCACTGCATCTCACTTCTGTCACATGTGGAAGAGACCTTACATCTAGATACTCCAGGGAACTGCATTTGTCCAAAAGCTTGCCTATCCCTGTTACTGTGATCTTTGTGCAGTTGCTCACCTTTAAAACCTTCAATCCCAAAACATCGTCGCTCCCCAAATCTCGGAAAGCAGTGTCTGTGACCTCTGCACAGCAACCGATATCAAGAGCCTCCAAGTTCTTGCACTGCTTAAGAATGCAGCTAAGGGAAGCGTCAGATATATTCAAGCACCAATCCATCCTCAAATTCTTGAGACTGTCTTTGCAGGAATCTGCCAGTAGCATGATAGATTCGTCAGAGATGTCTCTGCATCCACCAATTATCAGAGTTTCCAGATTCTTGCAAAACTGCGCCAGGGACAATATAGATTCGTTCCCGACTTTGTAACAGTCCAGCAATTTGAGCGTCTTGAGGGAAGAAGCACAAGCTTTTGCCAAGCTGGAAACTCCAGCATCTCCCACATTGCTGCATTTATTAATGTCCAAAGATTTAATCTTCCTGCATCCCTTCACAAGATCAGCAAGGCCTGAATCAGTGATATTAGTGCAGCCTTGTAGCCCGAGAGCTTCAAGATCACGGCATCTCTCAGAGAGTGATTTCAGCGATTCATCAGTGATGAAACGACAACCCGCTAGATGCAATGCCCTTAGATCATGGCAGCCTTCTGCAACAGCTGATAATCCTTTATCTGAGAGCTTTCTACAATATGATACATCCAAAAACTGCAGTAAAGAAAGACACCTTCCAATTGAGGCCAACCCAGTATCTGTAATACCTGTTCCCAAAAGACGAAAAGGTAAGCAAAATTCTGACCTTAGGATTGTTCCACCATCACAATAACATATATGAGCTAATCTATTTCTTACTAGAAAGGTCTATGTGTGAAAACAAAGACCCTAGGAAATTTAGATAGAACATTTAGTGCTCAAGAACATTCATACCAATACAATGAGCCAAAGAAGAACTCAATCATAGAAATCTTATTATCCCAGGTCTCTTAAGACGCTCTCAAACTAAAACCCCTTAAAGCTGATGGATTACAGCAAAAATCATACACAAAGGAACAAAACCAAACAACATTGAAGTAAGCAAGAAACCTAAACACCAGAGATCAAAATGTCTCATAAAAACAATAGCAACTGGATCGTCTTAACAATACATAAACAATCCTTCAAATTCAAGTTTAATCAAATCAGAAATGAAACCCAGAGAAATAGGAAAAAAGAAACCCTTTTTGTTGTTTAACCACAAAAAGTAGATACCTTTACAGTTGTGAAGATTAAGAACTCTGAGACACTTGAATCCCTCAGAGATAACAGCGAGGTCAGAATCAGTAACACCTGGATAAAATGACCTAGAAATTGACTGAGACAAATCCAATTCGACGATTTGAGTGAACCTAGAAGCGAGACGGCCGAGCATATGTGGACCAGCACGCGCCGCTAGCTTCTTCCGGTCGGTGCTCTGCAGATTTAGCCACCTCTTGCAGACCAAACCAAACACCTCCTTGTCCTTGTCACTGTCTAGTCTCGACAATACCCATCTCAGCTCGTCATCGGTTAATGCTTCGTTAACACAGACCGATGACATGATCGGAGAGATCAAAATCACAAGAAAGATTTCGAATTTGGATTAGGGCTACTCTGAAATGAAAACCCCTAATCTATCTTCGTCTTCTTCTTCTTCTTCTTCTTCTCTGGCTGATTAAATGGGCATTAGATGAGCCATACGGATCGTGTGGTACAAGGAAAGCAACACCAGATTTTGAGAAAATGACACAAAGATCCTCATCTCTGAAATGATTCCATGTTCGGTGGATGGGCAATTCAGGAATTTAGACATTTGGTACAAGGAAATGCGTCTTATCATTGAGAACACTTCTAATGGCGGTTTTGTTGTGTTTGGTCAGTAAGAGACACTCAACAACAAAAGTCAACGACTTTGAGATAGAGAAAGACCAGGGCATAAGACCATCTTTTAATTTCATGGTTTGGCAAAGTGAGAATTGGTTTTCATGTTTTGACAATTTAGCCAAAATCTGACCATTTTACCCCTGCCAGCGTACCGACGTACTGTTCCGTGTACGGTTCAATTAAGCGGTTCAGTTAGGTACACTGTTCCGGTTTGGTTAAGATAATTTCGTTTTTTTAATGTTTTGTGCGGCTGTACAGTGAAAAGGGGAAATAATTACATTAAAAAACAAAGAGACATCAATATTTAATGGCTAAAAAGTTTAGACAAGACTCTTGTCACATTTAATGCAAAACTCATCATTACACTTGTTGTAATATTAGTTTATACGTGTGAATTGAATAATTGTAAGAGATAAGCATGAACCATCAAACAAAAAAATTAGTCTGAACGAATGTGATGCTGGAGAAGTTTTGATCTTGTTGATTTACAAAGTTTGGAGCCAAGACAAGCATTGATCGTGTAAGTAATGCAGTTGGTTAAGAAGTTTTTTGTTATAACACAGTAGGATCTTGATTGTGTTCGAAATCAACATTGTTTTTATATAAAAACCCAGAAATTTTTATTTCCAATTTTGTTTGTTGAAAATGCTAAATGAGGATTTATATATGTTTATAAGTGTGTAGTTGGAAATTTTTTTTGTTTTTTGTAGATATAATCATGTTTTCAGTTGTATTTAATGGGGTTCTGCTGAATTTATGATGCAGGTGGGTAATGGATATTCCCGTATTTACTACGGTGGGTGAGTGGAGATGCAAAGAAGAAGAATGGAAATTTGAACCAGAGGAAGGCATGTTTGGTCGCTGTGTACGTGTTAAGGAAAACATGACGTACACGGAATTTGTACGTACATTATGCGAGGTTTTCAGTTTGAAGTCCACCGAATGCAATTCCATAATTAGTTACTGGATGCCGGGAAAGATGTCAGTGATGATAGAAAGTAAACGCCCTCTTGTCTACATTGACAATCAAATGAGCCTGGATACGTTCTTTTTGATTCGTGGTGGAGATCCTAGTGTCAACTTGTTTGTCTCTTTCATTACAACCGTCAAGGCACTCGGAAATACTGTCCCTAGGACCGATGGTGACGATGCTGAAAGTGACCTTGTGTCTAAAAGTGCAAAGACACCAAATTCCATTGTAGCGGCTTCAAATTTCGATGCAAATAATGAAGCCGTAGATGAGCAAGACGACGTTGAAGACGATAAAACAGATGAGGATGAAGAGGAGGAGGACAACGAAGATGGTGATGGGTATGATGATCATGAGGGTGACGATGGATCTATGGGGGGGAAGTACCCTCGATCCTACTATAGACGGTAGTGAAGGTAGTGGCGAAGAATACGATTACAACAAGTGGAATGATTTAATTGAAGAAGAATATGAAATTGGGAATGTTGAGGAAGACGTCATTCACACTGAACATACTGTGGAACATCCAGGGGAATTCAGTCGTTTAGTGGCAGAGTGTACGTACACAAGTCAGCGTGTACCTGACGGAGAAAACATTTTTTATTTGGGTGACATTGCACCAACCGTGACTCCAACCCGTAAGTATCGACATGGTTTGTACTTTGTACCAATGTACGTACACTAGAGAATGTGTACAAGATACATGATGCGAAGGTGATTTTGTTACGTACACGGATACCAATATTAATGGTAGAGACAAAGTTAATGGTAGAGACGAAGTGACTGGGGATGCTGTTCTAGAGTGTGGTATTGGAGGTTCAGCAAGTGGGGTAGTACATGATAACCGGCTAGTAACCGCATATGAGGCTTACAGAGTGTATAATGGGTTTTCTTCATTACATGGTTGTGAGGCGAAGATTCTCGATAATGATGTTGCTCCTCTATTCGATGATTTACCCAATTTTTGAGCCGATGAGACACAAGTTGAACTGAGTACGACAAGTGTTACTTTGTATGTGGGGAGTGTTTTTTTGAACATGCAAGTCATACAACAAACAATGGCTTTTCTTGCAATCAAAGTTTGCTTTTGCTACAAGGTAGTGGCGAAGATTACATTACAATAAGTTGACTCATCTTGTTGTTGAAAAATATGGGATATGACATGTCGGGAATGCTGGTGACACTCAACTTACTGTGGGGCTAACATGAAAATTCAGTTGATTATTAGAAATGTGTACGTATACTAATTAACATATACGTAATTGAAAAAGCATCGATCATTTTGGAGAGAATGGTGATATTCAACCATTTGTAGTCATAACCAGGAGGTAAAACATGATTTTTAGAAGAATGTACGTACATTACTAATAATGTACACAAGGAAGTATATGACGATGAATGTTTGATATACACAAATGGTACATGTCGCCAATATTAGTTTATTATTGTATCAATAAATTTATCTTAACAAATTTTTAACTCTCCAACAAAGATGTACGTACATTACTATACGTATACGTACATAATCTTTTCAGAAATATGAGGAACAAATATTCTTTGACCATATATTTTTACTTAATTATTATATATGCATGAATTTTATTGAGATAGACGAAAGTAAATAAATAGCTTAATTTTGGAGTCAAAAGAGGGTGGTTAGATATATAATTATTACAACCACTTTAATATTGTATCATATACGTTCCACTAAATATGTTCGTGTACGTACACCGTAAATTATATATACGTACACAGAAGAAATTCGATGAAGGGTAAAACTGTAATTTTCCTGTCGTCTTCAACCTCCTCTTCTGCAACCCTAATTTTGCAGCCCTCAGATTTATCTTTATTCCCAGACATCTCAACAACGGTTGCTATCTCGCCGAAATTACTGAGTTGTTCTTCGCCGGATAATCACTAACTTGCTTTTCGCCGGATATTCGACTTGAATGAGATGTCTCAAATTAATTTGCAGAACAATTGCAACGCAGATTTCGAAAGACGAAGATGGATGAATGAATTTCGATAAGAAATTTGACTTCTCTCTCGATTCTCTCTGTATCTCTCGTTCTTCTTCTTCGTTTTCTTTGTTTTTTTTTTCTTAAACAAATTTAAAACAAAATCGCAAACCAAATGAAACTGAACCGAAGCTAAAGAAACTGAACCGAATCTACTGTGATGTTTAATTTCTGTCGTTAGGGGTATTTTGGTCAGAATCTGCCTTAATTGTCAAACCCTGAGAACCGAATCTCACTTTGCCAAATCGTGAGAGTAAATCTTTTTTTCATTGCTTTCGTGAAAATTTCTTTTTAATTATCTTCCCACTTTTGCTTCTTGTCTTCTTCCAGCCTCTCATCACCGTTTGGCTTTCAATTTCAGTCATATTAACACTGTATTTTCAATAATAAACCAAAAGTTTCAAACTTTTTCAAAATTCGGAAGTCTTTTAAGTCGTTACCGCAACGTAGTTGGATGCCAAAAATGGCGTTAAAGTTAAAATCTTTGTTAACCGTTATTAAATCTGTTACCAAATCTTGAAATGGTAAATGTGATTCTTTTGATTATCAATGTGTCAATCAACCGAACTCAATCCCTAAGAGTAGAAACTCTTGAGACCCATCTGAGTCATGGAAACGTTCTTCTACATCTTCTGTTTCTATGTTGATATTCGATGTATCGACAACAACCTTACACGAAATTGGATGCTTATCACCAACTCTAAGCGAGCATGCTTTGTAAACTCCATTTCCCGGTGGTAGATTCAGTAGCGACGATGTCTGAAGCGTGATCCTCCTTCCTTTGCTTGTTAAATCTTGTGTTCTCGCCCTTGAGATAACCCTGTGTGGTCTGCCGAGGAGCTCTTTTACATACCTCACATCTCCTGCAGCGAGAGCGTGGCGGACTCTTGTGGACGAGACTTGTCCTCTTTCTTTTGACTTTGAGTCCTCTTCTGTGTCCGTGTTTCCAGAGACTTGGTTTTTATCCATCACGGAGTTAATGATGTAAGTGCTGATACCGTACTCTTTACATAACCTCACAAGTTCAGAGGCGTCACCAGAAGCCCGGTATCCAAACCTGTAATTTTCGCCTGAGGAAAAGAAATCGTATTTGGAATGAGAATTTTCGGAGAAAGAAAGGAACTTCTGAGATAATTCTTATGGAAATCACCTGCCACAACTCCGCAGACTCTAAGCTCTCTTGACAACTTCTCAACAAACTGTTGTGGGTTAAGGTGTCGAACGCTGGCAAATTCTATCTCAAACTCTACCGGTGCTATGTCACCACAATACGATGCCCAAGAGGAAAGCACCCGTTTTCTATCGCATTTGGCTACTATCGGTGCTCTGTTCAATAGAAGAGAGCACATACAGATTAAAAAACCAAACTTTATCAGTAGGTCATGGGGTCTAATGATGTTAAGTTAACTGGGAAGGTAGACGGAGAACTTACCTAGGTTTCCAACCGAGTACGTCAGCCATTCCAACAAACGACAATAGGTATGGAGTACCAATTCTTGCAGCTTGAATTGCAAGCTCTCGATGACCGATATGCAGGGCATCAAACTTCCCTAGAGCAACAATGCCTCCTGCAAATTCAAAACAAAATGCATAAAGACGGCCATCCAATCCATAATCCAGAACAAGAAAGGTCATTACAGGTTGGCCATTGATGGAGATGCAATTGAAACTTGAATGATGACAAGCACACATATACCTGCAACTGGGGAAAGCCCTTCAGCTGAAAGCTCAGGATTATCATCTCCCTGGCTTTGTAAGAAGAAATACGGACAGATATTTTAGCAAAGACTCCAATTTTGAATTTTTGAGTATAACAACATAGTGAAGAACATTTAACACAAATCTTTATCTTATTCATCCATAGGCTCCAATTAGTCCTTCAATGGTAAAAGAAAAAACCCAAATCTATGCACATAATTTCCAAAAGAACAACGAGATTCAAAAACCTGAAACAATTGAGACGAGCTGGAATTTTTCCTGGAGTTTTACAGTGAGACCTAGACGACGACTTCATCCGCTGCTGCGATTTAGCCGAACAAGGTCTGAGGACGAATGAAGATTGCCGCAAAACCTTAGCACCGAGCGTAGGAGGATGACGATGGTCCAACAAATGCACGGAGGCACGAGAGCCTCCGCACAACATGGTCTCCGACTCTACTGCTCAAGCCCCTAAAAAACCAAACTTGCTCTCCGAAACTCTTCGCCGGAGCTATGCATCACCGGTGACAGGTGTCGCTTAAACAATTAACGCTGTGGTAAATTTCATATCCACGTCAAAACCCTCTCTTTCAGCCAGAGGGTCTTGTATGTGTTTGTGACTTATATAAGTTTCAAGTATATCAAACTCATATGTTCAAAAATAATTCGTCTCAGTTCACAAATGGAACACCAGAAGCAACACTCTCTGCATACTCTAGATACTGTACCCCAAAAAACTGCTTCAGAAAATACTCCTCGTACGGTATTCTCTGAGCAAAAAACCGCCACACGACAACCGTAAACACAACCGTTGAAACGGGATTACAGAGCATAACTTGTGTCCCGACCGACCAGGTGAGGAACCCGCAGTAACTTGGATGCCTCATTAGTCTATACACACCGTGAGTCACAAGCCCGTGATGCTCTTCGTGGTTGATCTTTATAAGGTGTGTGAACGATCTTCCCGCTGTTATTATCGCTGCCTTCCTGATGATTTCTCCAACGATGATCATTATGAGTCCAAAGTTGCTGACCCACAAGTGTTGTTTCAGCGCCGGGAAGAGGATAATCTCTGTAAGGTATTCGAGCAGCGACACAAGCATTGCTAAAGCGTAATGCTTGCTGATCAAAAGCGAGCTAAGAGTTACGTTTGATGCTCCATGAATGGCGATGGCTAGAATGTATTCGGATGTGTGGAAGAAGATAAGTGATAGTAGCATTTGAGATAACTGTCTGATGCCAGTGTCACTGAAGATCTCTGTCATTATAATTAAATCAAGAAAACTTTTGAGTGATTTTCTCTCCTGCTTTGATCCAAAGCTTAAATTCATTTCAAGAACTACCACAGACCTGAGAATGAGGCGGATGCATAGTGTATCAGTAATGGAAGCCGGTTTTCGACAACAAACCTGAGGGTATCCAAGAACTGCATAACCTCCTACAAAGGATATATAGAAAAGAGGGAAGTCAAGTAAACCTGAATGAATTAGTTTCAAGGAAACATATGATCTTGATCCAAATAAATCTTTGTAATCTCTGAGTTCTCCTAGTATGTATTAGTTTGACCACATTTAGCAACCATACAAATGTAAAATGGGGACTAAAACTAGAGTCTTTATGGCACTGAATCCACCAAAATCCAGGTCCTACATGAACATTGAGATTTTACAGAAAACCACCCAACAACTAACAAAACAATCGCATTGCAAGTTTCATACAAGGATAACTCGAACAAAAAGCTCGAAATTGCCTCACGAAATTGTGGGTACCAATCCTAATCAATTGTAGAAAAATCAGAGACGAGGAAATGAACAGAACCTCAGGACACGAGGATTTTGGACTAGTGTACCCAATCGAAATCGAGAGAATCAGGGAATTACCCGATGCTGAGGGAGAGCCACAGAGACGATCGCGTGGAAGTTTGAGGTTAAGGAAGAAGAAAGTTTATACCTTTACGTTGAAGTGAACGATGCTGTCAATCGTATGAAGAAGAAGAAGAAGAAGAAGAAGAAGAAGAAACAGATACTCTCAGTCACGTGCCGGTCACGTGGCCACCTTTCGTTTATTAGATTAAAAATATAAATAAGATTTAATTGCGTCACTAACATAACATATAGTCTCATTGATCTTAAGCTAGAGAGTCTATGAAAGGCAAAAGAAGAGAAAACTATCGCTAAATCACAGAGAACAAAAAGATGGGTCTCACTGAGAAAGCAGCTCTTGTTTTGTTGGTTGGGACTTGGGACCTCTCTTTGCAAAAATGAGACTGCTCAAGACCCAAGTTTTGAAGGACTTGTTTTTGCTTTCACATAGTGGACTCTCAAAAAGAGGCTTTAGCTTAAGCGATTGGGATGTTGGGTTCACCAAGATTCACAAACGCTTCTGCACGGGCCATCCGACTCATGGCAGCGTTCCACGACACCAAGTGGTTTAGAAATGTGTTTATATACCTAGCCCTGTCGTTCTAGTAACCAGAGAGAGAAAAAAACACTGATTTAGCCTTTTCAACAAACAAAAAGAACATAGAATTATCGGAATTGAAGCTAGTTTTTTACCTTGTAGTCCAGATAATAGGAGTGCTGCAAAGAAAAGAAAACAAAAGATATTAGAAAATTCATTTTGTTTGTTTCATAGTGTTTCTTGGGAGAATGAGGGAAGAGAGGAGATGGTTTACCTCCCACACATCCAAGCTGATGATTGGCTGTAACAAAAAAAAAAAGAGATGTGATCAACAGGTAACATTGAGTTTAACAAGAAAACAAACTAATGAAACTCTAACATACAATGTCGTCCCACACGAGTGGGTTAATGGCGTTTGAGGTTTTGACCACCTCAAGTCTTCTCTCTTCCCTCTTTACTATAGTTCCAAACAAACAAAAAGAGAATCAAGGTTTTTCATTGTCAGAGTCATTCTATAGTCTAATAACAAGTGAAAAAGCTAGTCGAGTTTCTCACAGACGAGCCACACCCAGCCAGAACCAAACTGAGTAAGAGCAGCATTAGTGAACTTTTCTCTGAAATTTGTGAAAGAACCGAAATCCTTGTCAATCTGCTCAAGAACACCCTTTTGAGGCATGTCTCCACCACCAGGTTGCATCGACTCCCAGAAGAAATCATGGTTATAGACCTAAACAACAACATAATCATCATCAATCCTCCCAACATAAGTCCGTGCCTCGGGTGATCATGTACAAGCAACATAGAAATTAAGTACCTGCGAAGCGTTGTTGAACTCTGGCAAAGGATTACCATTGTTGTATGTCGCCTTGATAAGCTCTTCCATGGTGTATCCATAGAGTCTATCATCTTTCCCTAACTGTTTATTTAGATTGTCTACATAACCTCGATGGTGTTTACCCCAATGCACTTCTAGTGTTCTTCGACTCATATACGGTTCCAAAGCATCCTATTCACATTTGGATTTTTAACTCTGATTAGAAAATCTCAACAATAGCATCTTCTTTGACATATCACCAAAGACCCTAAGATCAAGAACTATCTACTTTGCAAGAAAGAAGATACACAGATCAAGATCCTAAAATCACAAGACAATTTACCCAAATTAACAAACTTTCCACAATTCCATGCTTAGTCTAGAACAGCAAATGAATTACAGAAGCAAGACATAGATACTACACTTAGAATTCTAATGCAACACGAAGATAAATGCAACTACCAAAGTCTTATTTGCACTTACAAGTGGATAAGGAGGTGTCTTTAGACCGTAGTAAGCTTCAACCTTTAAACCACCTCGAGACCTAAGAGAGTGTCTTCTCTGCTGATTACTCTAAAAGGAAACGAAATTTGAAAGCTTTAGTGATTAAAAGAGACAGATTCACGTGAAATAGAACGACAGCAATTTCAATGTCTCACAGAGAAACAAAGAAGAATCGAACCTGATTGACGAGCTTGGAGGATTTCAAACGTATACTAGAATCTGAAATAGTATAGAAACAGCTTGTCGTCACAACACAAGAACTCATTGTTCTTCCCACTGTCGTCGTCAAAATCTCTCACTTCTGCTTCGAAAGACACAGAGCTTCTTCACTCTCTTGGGCTCGCTTTTTCAGAGAAAGGGCCTTATCAATCTGGGGAAAAGGGGATTTTCATACCCGTACTATCTGCACCGTGGATTTTCATACCTGGACAATTTCGTAGGGTATTTTACAACCTAAACTTCAATAAAATTTGAATCTCATACCTATACTTAATACAACGTGCAAAAATCGGAGTCAATCTAACGGGTGTTAGTCAACTCTGTTACGGTGCTGAGTCATCGTACACGTGTACGCTGACGTGTATCAAAACGACGTCGTTTTCATACCCGTACTGTCTGCGCCGTGGATTTTCATACCTGAACAATTTTGTAGGGTATTTTACAACCTAAACTTCAATAAAATTTGAATCTCATACCCTATACTTGATACAACGTGCAAAAATCGGAGTCAATCTAACGGCTGTTAGTCAACTCCGTTACGGTGCGTATCGAAACGACGTCGTTTTGATATGTGTTCTCAAAGTTTTAAATTTTTTTGCAAAACTGGGGACTCGAACCCGCGAGCCGTAGTCACATGAGAAGCACCGAATACCAACTGATCCCACAACATTCATTGAACCCGCGAGCCGTAGTCAATCGTTTTAAATTGGGAGGAAATTATGAATACTAGGGTTTCGAATTGAGAAATCGTTTTCTCATTTCTTCTTCTTCTTCTCAGAAATTAGGCATGAACAAAGTTTTACCATGTGACTACGGCTTCGCACAACTTTTTGGGTTTATAAGTTAAAAAGATTGAGGAATACTCGATGAACGTTGTGGGATCAATTGGTATTCGGTGCTTCTCATGTGACTACGGCTCGCGGGTTCGAGTCCCTAATTTTGCAAAAAATTGAAACTTTGAGAACACATATCAAAACGACGTCGTTTCGATACGCACCGTAACGGAGTTGACTAACAGCCGTTAGATTGACTCCGATTTTTGCACGTTGTATCAAGTATAGGGTATGAGAGGGAAAAGGGGATTTTCATACCCGTACTATCTGCACCGTGGATTTTCATACCTGGACAATTTCGTAGGGTATTTTACAACCTAAACTTCAATAAAATTTGAATCTCATACCTATACTTGATACAACGTGCAAAAATCGGAGTCAATCTAACGGGTGTTAGTCAACTCTGTTACGGTGCTGAGTCATCGTACACGTGTACGCTGACGTGTATCAAAACGACGTCGTTTTCATACCCGTACTGTCTGCGCCGTGGATTTTCATACCTGAACAATTTTGTAGGGTATTTTACAACCTAAACTTCAATAAAATTTGAATCTCATACCCTATACTTGATACAACGTGCAAAAATCGGAGTCAATCTAACGGCTGTTAGTCAACTCCGTTACGGTGCGTATCGAAACGACGTCGTTTTGATATGTGTTCTCAAAGTTTTAAATTTTTTTGCAAAACTGGGGACTCGAACCCGCGAGCCGTAGTCACATGAGAAGCACCGAATACCAACTGATCCCACAACATTCATTGAACCCGCGAGCCGTAGTCAATCGTTTTAAATTGGGAGGAAATTATGAATACTAGGGTTTCGAATTGAGAAATCGTTTTCTCATTTCTTCTTCTTCTTCTCAGAAATTAGGCATGAACAAAGTTTTACCATGTGACTACGGCTTCGCACAACTTTTTGGGTTTATAAGTTAAAAAGATTGAGGAATACTCGATGAACGTTGTGGGATCAATTGGTATTCGGTGCTTCTCATGTGACTACGGCTCGCGGGTTCGAGTCCCTAATTTTGCAAAAAATTGAAACTTTGAGAACACATATCAAAACGACGTCGTTTCGATACGCACCGTAACGGAGTTGACTAACAGCCGTTAGATTGACTCCGATTTTTGCACGTTGTATCAAGTATAGGGTATGAGATTCAAATTTTATTGAAGTTTAGGTTGTAAAATACCCTACAAAATTGTTCAGGTATGAAAATCCACGGCGCAGACAGTACGGGTATGAAAACGACGTCGTTTTGATACACGTCAGCGTACACGTGTACGATGACTCAGCACCGTAACAGAGTTGACTAACACCCGTTAGATTGACTCCGATTTTTGCACGTTGTATCAAGTATAGGTATGAGATTCAAATTTTATTGAAGTTTAGGTTGTAAAATACCCTACGAAATTGTCTAGGTATGAAAATCCACGGTGCAGATAGTACAGGTATGAAAATCCCCTTTTCCCGGGTATGAGATTCAAATTTTATTGAAGTTTAGGTTGTAAAATACCCTACAAAATTGTTCAGGTATGAAAATCCACGGCGCAGACAGTACGGGTATGAAAACGACGTCGTTTTGATACACGTCAGCGTACACGTGTACGATGACTCAGCACCGTAACAGAGTTGACTAACACCCGTTAGATTGACTCCGATTTTTGCACGTTGTATCAAGTATAGGTATGAGATTCAAATTTTATTGAAGTTTAGGTTGTAAAATACCCTACGAAATTGTCTAGGTATGAAAATCCACGGTGCAGATAGTACAGGTATGAAAATCCCCTTTTCCCTATCAATCTGTTTGTTCAATCCGGTTAAAGTATAAGATTTCACTCCGGTTAACCACATTAAACCGGTAAATCAAACCGGAAAGATCAACCTGAAGGAAGCAAGGGTTTTAGCAAAGACTCTGACGATCCTTTTGTAACCGAACAACAAAAAGCGTATATTTTCTCTATCAAGATTCAAGCCGTGAGCTAAAAGGCTAAAACCCTCTTCTTATAGATTTCAAAGTAACCTTTTTCGAACTCCGTTTGATTCCACTGTCGATTTAATCATCTTAATTAATGGCCGGAAGGGCTGCGACGTCGTCGGCGAAATGGGCGAGAGAGTTTTTGTTCAGAAGAGTCTCGTCGAATCCTCTTGGAGCTACCCGAAACTGTTCTTCGGTTCCTGGAGCTTCTTCTGCACCTAAAGTTCCTCATTTTTCCAAGAAAGTAAGTAGCTTTGATGAATTTATCTCATTTTTGGTTTATTCGAATCATATTGGAATCTTATTCGCTTCGTGAATTTCGTTAAGCTAAATAGAAGAGTTCCAATTCTTGTTTTGATCTGAACATAGCTCTTTGTTTGGTGTAGTAGAGTTAGATCATTGATGCTATTTCATTTTACAAGAGAAAAGTGTTTGACTTTGTAAATTTCTAGGGAAGGATATTGACAGGAGCTACCATTGGTCTGGCCATAGCTGGAGGAGCTTATGTGAGTACTGCAGATGAAGCAACCTTCTGGTACTTACTTAATAAGTGCCCTGAATATTTACATATCTTTTGTCTTTTGTGCTCTTTGACATTGCTAAGGCTACCTTGTAGTTAGTTACTTTGAGGAAGTCACTTTGTTTTTACCTTTTGCTTATCTTGTGTGTTGGACAGTGGGTGGCTATTCAACGCAACAAAGGTTGTGAATCCTTTCTTTGCTCTTCTGGATGCTGAGTTTGCACATAAGCTTGCTGTTTCGGCTGCGGCTCGGGGGTGGGTACCTAGAGAAAAGAGGCCTGATCCAGCAATCTTGGGACTTGAAGTTTGGGGAAGGAAATTCTCAAACCCGATTGGGCTTGCTGCTGGATTTGACAAAAACGCTGAGGCTACCGAAGGACTGCTAGGAATGGGATTTGGCTTTGTTGAGGTGGGCTCCGTAACTCCTGTTCCACAAGAAGGTAATCCGAAACCACGCATCTTCAGATTAAGCCAAGAAGGGTGAGAATCTCTTATCTGTTCATGTTTACATCAGTAATTAATGACCTTTAAGGATCGAAGAAGCAAGATAGTTTAAACTAAAAGACTTATATTTTCGTCCTTCCAGAGCTATTATCAATAGGTGTGGATTTAATAGCGAAGGGATTGTTGTCGTGGCAAAACGGTTGGGTGCTCAACATGGTAAAAGAATGTTGGCGGAAACATCAGGAACTTCGTCATCTCCAAGTGATGATGTAAAACCAGGGGGAAAATCTGGACCTGGTATTCTTGGGGTCAACCTTGGAAAGAACAAGACGAGTGAGGATGCTGCTGCTGACTATGTCCAAGGAGTTCATAACTTATCCCAGTATGCTGATTACTTGGTACAAACTTCTTATCGTGATATATCGAACATTCATTTGATCTAATCTACCATAGAATTCTTTGTTCCTAATTTCCATTTCTCTTCAGGTGATCAATGTTTCATCACCCAACACTGCAGGGCTGCGCATGCTTCAGGGAAGAAAACAGTTGAAGGACCTTGTAAAGAAGGTTCAAGCTGCTCGGGATGAGATGCAATGGGGTGATGAAGGTCCTCCTCCTCTTCTTGTGAAGATTGCTCCTGATCTGTCCAGAGGAGAGCTTGAAGATATTGCAGCGGTGCGTAGTACTAAAAACTAAACTCATTTCTATAGTTTTCAAGTAATTGGCTCTTACAACATTGTATTGGTTTCTGTAGGTGGCTCTTGCTCTGCACTTGGATGGGCTGGTAAGTTATCTTCTTATGAACTAACTTATGTTTCATCAGTGTCAATCGATGTAGCCTCCAATCTGTTTAAAAGTAGGGTAGTAAATGCGATCAAAGTGTTAGAAAAGTCTTTTTTCCGATTGTAAGTATGGTATGTTGCAAATCATAAAGCTTTCGATGATGATGATACTGTCTTTGTTTGTCCTATAGATCATATCAAATACAACAGTCTCAAGGCCAGATCCTGTAAGCAACAACCCCGTGGCAACAGAAGCAGGTGGTTTGAGCGGGAAACCGCTCTTTCCTCTCTCCACCAACATGTTGAGAGATATGTACACTTTGACACGAGTAAGTTCTTAGTCTAAAAAAAGATGATCCACTAATCAACCAATGAACTATAAACATTTCTGATGCGTTTTTGGATATTTTCATGATCTCTTCCTTAGGGAAAGATTCCATTGATAGGCTGTGGTGGGGTTAGTAGGTAAACGTCGAACTTACCTCAGTTGCTTTAGTTGTGCGAACAAAGGAAACACAAAAAATTGATTTAAGATGAATCTTTGTGTTTTCAGTGGTGAGGATGCTTACAAGAAAATAAGAGCTGGAGCTACTCTTGTTCAGCTGTACACGGGATTTGCGTATGGAGGACCCGCCCTTATCCCACAAATAAAGGTATCTCCTTCCCCACAAAGACCGCATTTTTTTTTTCAATCAGGAAAGTTTAGTAAGCATAGAGAAAATCTAAAAACTACCTTCACAAAGTTAAAACTCATATCAGACCAAATTCTTGAAGCATTTGGTATCAAAAACTCAAAAACGTATCTGCATTTTGAGGTCAGATTGATACTAATATTTATGTCTTATTGTTGCAATAGGAGGAACTGGTGAAATGCTTAGAAAGGGATGGCTTCAAGTCTATCCATGAAGCAATTGGTGCGGATCACAGATGATAAAACTCAAAGAGCAATACGCAAGGAGAGATTCCTTTTCTTAAAACAACAAAACAAAGTAGTATTTAGTTTCATTGATTTCAGTTGTTTCTTTTTCCCCCAACAATAACATCATGGATTTTGTCTCTTTTCTCACGTTTTATGAGAAATGACTAGTAACACTTTTTGTCTTTTTCATAGTCACTGATTACTTAAAATTACAGCACAAATTCTTCTAGCACACTAAACACAAGCCGATTGAGATCAAAAGAGTCATAACATAAGTGATCAGCCAAAATCATTTGCAATCTCAAAATTGTTTCAATAACGAAAAGCACTACAGAAGGAAGAATTTTCACGACGTGGTTGCAGCTGTTAACTGTTTAACTTTGGCCTGCAAGACCATCCCAGCTTCATCTGCCACGCTTTTCTTTTTCGCTGCGACCTGCATTGGATGAACATTCTTGAAGTTTATAACTAAAATCGCAGGCAAGCTATAAGCAGTAAATATAGGTTTCCAAAATAAAGGAGTATTGAAACAATTTGGCACTGATGCATAGTTGAGTTTAACAATTGTTGAAGCAAATGGAAAGGAGAGATCATAGCATTGGATTCTGCTTTATACGAAAACAATACTCAGCACTAAACTAACAAATACCGGAACAGCGATTAAATGTGGAGTGAGCGAAGTGGAAACTCTACTTAGTGTTTCATGTTCGGCTCTAGGGAGTGTTTGACAATGTGCAGGAAAGGAACAACCAAAGGGCTTTCTGACTACAGCAGCCATAAAACTTTAAGCCCTCAAATATTTTCTACAATGGATCACGTCACTCTGAAAGAACTCCAAAAAAATTCACCCCTCGTATATAGAATCAGACTCCATTCAATTTTAAAACTTCTTTCAACTTACTCATTTCACAATATTCGTAAATGTTCATAAGAAGTATAAGTCAGTTCTAAGGCACACTCAATAAGCCGTATGAAGGAAAAGTGTAGGCTTAATTCTTTCTTCTCCCATCTCAGAATCTATCTAAAAAAACAAAATCAGGCATTTGAAAGTTGCTAAGAGAGTTACATTACCTCAAAAAGTTGGTCAAAGTTGGATTTGAGCAAGTGAATCTTCCTCTGACAATAATCTTTTCCATCATCCATTGTTTTCTACCAAAAAAACAAACTTGAGCTACACAAGAACGAGCCTAATTGAACAAGTTCATAATAATCCAATTCTCAATACCTCGATGAAGTAACCAGTGCCAATATCAACTAAAACCTTATCAGCTTCATCAAGTGTCCCAGGCACGTATAGAGAAGCAGTCAGTGGTACAAGCATCTTCTTCCCTACAATTTTCAATTGTGTCAAATTCATCCATCTCTGAAAAGATTAGTTTGAAGAAGGAGAGGTGAAATAAACAAAACCTTGAGGTCGAAGAGAGAGATCGTTGAGAGCTGCGGCGGCGGCATCAAGACGGACGGTGGCTGTACGGATGTTGTTAAGACTATCTTGAAGGAGATTCACTTCCAGATCCGCTTGCTCCTTCAAAGCTTTCAGCTGATCGATTCCCATCTTCTCCATCTCTCCTCTCGATGATGACGACGCCATTCTCTCTCTCACAGTCGAGTCTGCGAATCGCTCAAATCTCTTTGGTCGAAAGCTTGGAGACGAAGTGTGTGTGGCCCGTTAAGTGGAGTTCAGCGTCAGAGATGAAGTCTTAAGGCCCACGTTGGCCCATTTGATCCGTTTCTACCATTTTTGAGGCCTTAAATGATGATTAAAGAAAATATTGTGTGTTATATTTTGATTTAAGATTTAATATCCATTTTAATTCAAATAAAATTTTTAATATCTATTTTAACTAATAAAACTTTATTATTATGGTATTAATAGAATCATAATTTCTAAGTTAAAATTTTGTGGAAGACAAATATAGATTTTCTTTTGACACCAGAAAATTTAATATCTAGTTTTGATAAATCAATGAATTTACCAACAACATTTTTTGTTCAAATTTCATGAATCATAATTTTTTTTGGTTGTGATATACTTTTATAGATTCCAAAATTGACCATAGTAAAATCTGCAACTGCGAAAAGAAAAAAATGAACATGCTTTAACGTTGAAATTCAACAACAAATTTATAAATTTTTCTTGCTATACAATCGTATTTATAGTCAGATTTGAAGATAAAATTGTGACACTATCATACTCCCTCCGTTTCAAAATATAAGGCGTTTTGAAAAAACTTTTTTGTTTCACAATATAAGTCATTTTCAAGTTTCTATGCAAATTATATATTACTTTAATATTTTATGATTATTTCTATTATGCAGTCTCTTTTATGATTTGCTGAACTTTAAAAAAGTAGATCTTCTTAATCGGCGTGCTTTTAGCTAAAACGCCTTATATTTTGAAACGGAGAGAGTAATGTTTAGTCATCGTTTTTTTTTCTGAAACAAAAGATTAAAAGAAAGTATTTGACAGTGCATTTAACACGGCACAGAGCTAGTAGAGTGAGGTGAATGAGAGGCTATTTACTACTTACATGTGTCGGTCCAAAATGCGAAATATGTATATGAAAAATTAATACTCGTATATGAATTATTTGCCAGCCTATAGAAATGATTTTTCAGTAGAAAATAATTGGGACCATATCAATTATTGGTGTTGGGGTCATTTAGATGATTCGACAATAAAAAGTACGGATGTTTTATTGATACGAGTTGATTACTAAGATCCCCCACCTATAATTATTTGCATTACATTATATAGCTAAGTGTTAATTACTACTACTAGCACCTAGGGATGTTGTCGTGGGTAAAAAAGCCCGGCCCAGCCCGAACCCGAATTGAGCCCGCCCACGAAAAGCCCGAATTTAGAAAACCCGATGGGTTTTGGGTTTTAATGGGTAAACCCGAAAAAGCCCGATGGGTTTCGGGTTAGCCCGTGGGTACCCGAATTTTTATACTTCAGTTTTATTCATAATTATAAATATTTGTATTTTATATGTATTTGTATTTTATTTGCTTTAATTTATTAATTATAATACAAAGACATAAATTAACTCTTCTAATACAACATTTGAAACTATTAATCTTTGTAAGTGAATTCAATTCATACCAAAAAAAAAAAGTTAATACAATTTATTAATCTTTATAAATTAAATTAGATAAACATTCTTTAAATTAGTTTCTATAAAAATGATACTTAAATTTGACTCGTCTTCATGAATCCAGTATCTGGAAAATCAGGTTTTGAAAACCACCCACGAAAGCCCGTACAGATACAAAGTAAAAAACCAAAACTAAGATTCACAAAATCGAGACAAAAACTAATTTGATACAATGAAACTGTCAATTTCTAATAACCAATAAACAGAGATATATGTTTATAAAATACAATCCCCAGCTCACCTTGAAAAGAGTCCGAATTAAGAATTGATTCCCAACAATGGAATTTTTTTTTAGGATGAGACGTAAAAAAAAAGGATGTAAACGATGTCGGTTTAATACAGTCTTTAAAAAACCCGTGGGTACCCATAACCCGATAGGGTAAACCCGTATAAGATTCTATTTATTCGGGTACCCGGCCCGTTTTAAACCCGCGTTTTTTAAATATCAAAAGCAGGTCTATGGGCTTAGTATTTGACGTGGGTTTCGGGTACCCAGTGGGCTAAAGCCCAGTATTAACATCCCTACTAGCACCTAATTAAGAAAGAAAAAAACACCAACTTTTTGTTAAGATCTTTCCATTAATGGATTCTTATTTTAATGGCAATATTTGTTTGATTCTTTTGATTGGTTAGTGTGACCTAAATAGTCTAAGAAACCTATCTAATCACTTTGACATTTATTCATCAAATAATATTGTGATAAAGAAATTATTGGTTAAATACATTACCCAGCAGATAGAACTAGGATCGAGATTCGAGAATATGAAACCACAACCGAAATCATTTTCTAATGCTAATTGGTAGTCCAAATTATTTTCTTGTCTCTGTCCATTCACCAAGATTGTATTTATATTTTTGCCAAAATCAAAACAAGTATTTGAACTCATGTCCGAGTGTATCCCCCACATTTTTAAATAGCTAATCTCAAACAAGAGACATTCTAACTCATTTCTTCTTTCAAATAATATCATGAGACAGTTTCTAGAACAAAAATATCGACAATTAATTTAAAAATATCATGTCGCCATATGGTTTTAACAGTAAAACAATAGAGTATAATTTAATCTTTATCTGACTAACGTGACAAACCAAACTTCCAAAAGGCACAGTACAAAGATTCATATGAAACAAAAAGGCAACAAAATTGAAGAAGAATTCAGACACAACTGGTTTGTCTCTTTTTTTACTTAATCCTCTGTTCTTGCATTAAAATCAATACACGAAACCCCAAAAATAGCCTCTTAAAATCCACAATACATATTGACAAAAAAAAAAAAAATCCACAATACATATATCCAGTTAAAAAAGGATTATATTACTACTCCCTACGTTCAAAATTCGTCATCTGGTTCGATTTCAACGAAACAATCACACTCACTCACATAAAGCTTTTTTTTGTGTCAATAAATGCAGAGAAAGAAGGAACAATCTGAAGTCGAAACATTTATTAAAAAACAAACGTGGTTAAACAGCTTACGCAAATGCTTCACCACAATTGTTGTAACACATTACACAAATTAGCAACAACAAACCATATAAAAATATTTAATAGTATATCTGGAATTTTAATCGACGGCTCTCTTTCGCCGGAAAAAAAAAACCAGACACAAAAAAAGGTGAAAAAGAAACCTCCGCGGTTTCTGAATTTTTCCCTTTTTCCTAAAAGTAATCTTGGATCCGATAAGAAATCGAATCTCCCTCCAAAAAAACAAAATCCAGATTCTTAAACCCTAATTTAACCCTAATCAAAAACAACCTTTCTTAACTTACTTAAAGCTAACGAAACTCTCAAATCACTTGTAGAGATTCTGAAACCAAATCAATCTCTAACAACACTAAAACACACACATAGAGAGAAACAATGACAACAATAGAGAAGAGAAGATAATAAATATATATACCAAATTTGCCCTCAAACCTAAAAGGGCTTACTTTAAAGGGTCACACCATTAACGTGGATCTTCCTCTCTTCGACCCGACCCAGGAGATCCACCGGACAAAGAAGCAAGCAAATTAAGATGACCCGGAAGATAATTCCCAACTCTAGCAGCAGAAGCTTCACCCATTGCAGCTTGTTGTTGTTGTTGCTGATGAACAAACAATGGTTGTTGTTGATGATGCTGTTGTAAAAACATCTCTTGTGGAGCTCCTGTAAAACTCCAAACTTGTCCAAAATCAGGCCTCGCCGGAACAGCCCAAAACCCAGCTGGTGTTGTCGTAAAGGTCTCATCTTTACCACCAGAACTATGATTATTATTATCCTCATCAGCTCTCACACGTTTCCCAAGTATAAACGGTGACGAACCACCAAGTAAAGAAGTGGGTTTATGATCTAAAGAAGATGATAAAGAAGTTGAATTGGTTCCACGGATTGAGACTGAAGCAGTTGAGAAACTCGCCGGAGTTGTACCAGTTCCTGTTGCAGCTATAATCGAAGGCTCTGCTTGACGAAGTAACCATTCAATTGTTTGACCATCTGATTTGTGACCAAGCTCTCTCGTTAGCTGAAAAACACGAGCTGCACAAATAATAGGCATACGGATTCTTCTTCCTCTTCCATCGACTTTGCTATGTCGATCTTTCGCCGGAGGTTTCTTCACAACGACTGATGATGGTTGTTCGATTAAAGCTCCGTTTGATGAGATCATAACTCCGTCGTTGTTGTTGTTGTTGTTAATAGACATGGTTTTCGATCTGGGTTTTGTGTTTCTTTCTCACTTGGCTTATTATTACTCTGTGAGAGAAGAGAAGGAGAAGCTAATGATTGAGAAGGAGGGAGCTGGTGGAGACAGGAAGGAGAAGCACATGGGTGTGGTGGGGTCCTTTTTACACAGCTCACCATCTCTGGTTTTTTTTTCTTTTTTGTTTTGCTTTTTTGAGAGGACATTAGTTTTGTCCCGACGCGGTGGAGATCACGCGCTTCACACTCCGGTGGTCGCGTGGGGACCACGCTCCGGCAGGAGAATTTAACACTAGGTGGGGTCCTCCTCCGGTTGCTGCAGCTGCTACGTGCATTTAAGAGACATTTATCCATGCCACGTCATTATGAACATTATTACTAACTTATAAGTTTGAATCTGGAAAATAACACGAAGATAAATCTTAATCTGTTATAACTTATAAGTTTGTTCTGTATATTAAAATACACGAAAATAAGTGTTCTCTTTCTCTAACAAAAAATTTCAAAAAAATTGGGACCGACCTAATCTGGTTATTAGATTTAGCCATTTAGGCTAATGTGAACATTTGTTTTGTAAATACGTGAAAATTAATCTTTTAAAAAGTAAGGTGTTTCCATAAAACAATCGAAAAGATTGAAAAGGGGACAAATCAGTGAGGTAATTGATTGGTAAGTAGACTTTGACATCAAAACTTAATTAAGATATATAGTAGTTTTTTGTTCTTTTTATTTATATTTGGCAATAATATTTGCCACCAGTTTGAAACTCTGCAGTATGCCAGTATCACGTGTTTTACGTGAAATGGCAAAAATCGAAAGCCTTATTTATTCAGAATTCCTTTGTCGACACACCAGAAAAAAAATGTTACGTATATATAATATGCATTTAGTTGAGTTTTTTTTTTAATAAAAGATTTGCAATTAGTTGAGTTAGCTCCATACATATATGATATGTTATGTGTAACACAGTAACATCAACAATGTATATATATATATATATATATTTTTTTTTTTTTTTTTTTTAACAATGTATATATATATCGTATAGAAAACGTATCATTTTTATATCAAAAATACTAGCATGTTTCAATAAACTTTTTTTTTTGTTAGTTAGTTTTGCAGTAAGTTATACTCAATTGTGTACTAAATTATTTTAAAATACTTTATCAACTATTGCAATATTATTAATTAAGACTTGGGTTAATAATTGGATGACGAAGTTTTGTTTTATGGACTTACCTATTGACTAGTTTTTATTTGGTGCTTTTTTTATTTGGTGCTTGAACCAACGAATCTATTTTAATTAAGTTCTTGAGGAGAGATCGAAGAACTAAATGTATCGAAGAACTAAGTTCTTGCGAATCCGAAATTCTCCTTTTGCACATGGTTAGCTTTGCACGATCGTCTATCTACGGGGGACCGTATGCAACGCTGGAACAATGGCTCCACCGTCTCATGCGTTTTCTGTGCTGCGCCCATAGAGTCTAGAGACCATCTCTTCTTCTCTTGTCCATATAGCTATGAAATTTGGAAGGCTTTAGCTCAACACATCTTAAAAACTCATTTCACAGCGGATTGGCAACAGATCGTGGATTACATTGTGGTGACAAACTATAATCGGGTTCACAGTTACTTGGCGAGAAACATCTTCCAAATTACGATTCACACTATTTGGCGGGAACGAAACGCAAGACGTCATGGAGAAGTACCACGACTGGCAGCAACTCTAATCCGTTGGATCGATCAGCATGTTCGCAACCAACTCTCGGTTATCCGATCAACAGGGGACAGGCGTTACGACCAAGCTCTACAAGCATGGTTTGCCTCCCAAGCCTAAGGAGCAATACTCTGTTTTCTTAATTTCTCTGTTTCTCAATTTTATGTTCTGTAACTTCTTTCTAAAAATCTCAAAAAGATGCTGATGTAAAAAGTATATTTTTTTTTCTTGAATATAATTTAACATTTTATTCAAAAAAAAAAAAAAAAAGAACTAAATGTATCTGTTATCTGTATAGTAATTTTTCATAACATTTATGCCCTAATCATTAATTTTATATCAAAATAACCATATAAATTTTGACTAATTATATAAAAACCTTAATATATTAAATAATACACGGTGTGACTTCTATAAAATTCTTAGAGCGTTTTCTTGTGCCAATTCTTATGAAAGCTTTTTTACTCTAATATAGGCAAAACGTGTTTGAAACCCATCTTGTTGTATAATTATAATAATATCGACGGACTCCTAATAGGTATTTGTGTTTATATAATATAGGTATGTATATAAAATAAAAGAAAAAGGTATGTATTAAAAGTTTAAAACTAAAGTAGTTAATGAACATTTTGCACCAAAAAAAAAGGATTAATTAATGAAAATTAATTTTTAATAATTGCCATTTGAGTCTGACATTGAAAATAAGTGGATTAGTCCACTTGGCAGATACGCAAGATTTTCTTTATGTCGTTCGTCTCAACACAACGAGATATTTTTCTTATATCGTGACAATAATTTTTTTAATGACTTATGCACCGAACGCTAATATTTGTTTTAATTATTTTCGTACTCGTACCCTAATTAAATGGATTTTCTTAAATCGTATTGTTAATTTAACATTCTCCTAAGCTAATGCAATAATGCAATCATGAGCGATGTTGCATCATGTCGGCATTTTTATAAAAAGAGTGTGTACTTTAAACTTGAAATCTAATCTAATACACAATGTTGTGGAGTGAATAATGCATATAATAATAATAGATTAATTTATATAATCATGTGAATAATATTCACTTGAAACAAAAATAAGTAACTAATTAGATAATGGATGATAACTAGAATACTTTGTTCGAGATTGACTTGCCTCATACGATGGTTAATAAGTTATTTTAACACAGAAAATAAATTTAAAGATTTTGTGAAGTTTAAGAGAGTTTTTAGTAATTGAAAACCTTATAATTCTAGAGATTTTTAACAATTCAACGGATAATTTGGATACTTTTGATAATTACTCGACATGTATCTTTATTCGTAAAAATGAATTATTTTAGTCCAAACGGATAATTTATATTTTTTTAACTCAAAAAGTTCGAGTAATTTTAGTTGTTGGGTACGGTCATAAATAGAGTCAAGTAAGGTTTGTTTCTCTAGGCTTCTGGTTTTTGGAGACTCCGGTGAAGAAGAGAAGTTGATAGGGCTAGCGTTAGTCAAAGCTTTGTTTCAAGGAAGGTTTGTTTATATGTTTGTATTTTCTGTGATTCCCATGTGTGGGCTTGTGGCTCCGAACGGATTTATTCCCGTGTCGGTTTTTGACTCTGGACGGATTGTTTCCGTGCCGGTTCTTGGATCATAACTCTGGTGTAATATTGTGGTTCTAAGTATTATCAATAAAATCCATCTAGATGAAAAAAAAAAAAAAAGAGTCAAGTAAGGTTTTAATTTGAAAATGAATTGTTTATTATTTTCCACATTTTTGATTTCACACATTGGTCAGCAAAAGCGTTTTCTCAATAAAAATTTATCAAATCCTACCAAATTCTTAAATCCAAATATCTCAATCAAGTTCATCAACTAAACATATAAACATCATCATCAACATCATCACCATTATCATTACGACTATACTTCCCCCAATATCTATGCTCCTTCCACACTCTCCCCATCTCCTCAATTGGAACTCCTTTTGTCTCCGGCAACAAGAAGTAAATGAAAATGGTCATGATCAAGACCATGCCGGCGAAGAAGTAGAACAGACCAAACTTCATATGACAAAGCATCGTCAAGAAGAATTGTCCAATGAAGAAAGTGAAGAACATGTTCACCGAAACGTTTAACGATTGTCCTGCTGATCTAATTTCCAATGGACATATCTCACTCGGTACTAACCATCCTAACGGTCCCCATGACCACGCAAAACCCGCCACATAGAGACATATCAATGCCAAGATTATATCCGCATCAACCTCGGACAATGTTCCTTCCCCGTTGAATCCAAATTTCCACCCGATCATCGACCCAACCGCGATCTGAAACCAAAGCAAGGCAAAAGAAACCATTGTTACTTACCTGTCTTAGAAAGCAGAGCAAGATACTCTGTTTTTGAAAACAGAGTATTTTCATTGTTTTAGTGTTTGTACGCACCTGGGTCAAGATCATCTGGAAACCTCCTTGAAGAAACAAAGCTCTGCGTCCGAATTTGTCGACGGAGTAGATGGAGACAATGGTGGACAGAACATTGACAAGACCGGTGATGACTGCGGATATGAGAGAGGCGTCATTTCCAAAACCGATGGTCTTAAACAGAACAGGTGCATAGAACATAATGACGTTGATCCCAGTGAGCTGCTGGAAGAATGGGATGAAGGTACAGAACGTGAGCTGCGGTCGATAACGAGCTTGCATTATGTTCGTCCATGGATGCTTAACTCTCTTCGCGGACTCACACGCGTTGCAAAGTTCATTAAACTCATGCTCGACCTCCATGGTTCCTCTGATCTTCTGCAACATCTCCTTAGCCTTTTCTTTATTTCCACGTTCAAGGATTGAGTTTGGCGTATCTGGCAAGAAAAAGCATCCGAGGAGCATCATAAAGGCCGGAACTCCAGCTAAACCGACAGATAATCTCCATCCGATCCCGTTCTTGAGCTTTGGGGTCACGTAATTGACAACGTTCGCGGCTAAGATCCCGATCGTGACTGCTAACTGAAAACCAATGTTGAGAGCTCCTCTGATCTTAGCAGGAGCCATCTCAGAGAGGTAAAGAGGAACAGATTGGTTAGCAAATCCGACACCTACACCGAGAAATAACCGCCCGATGATCAACATCTCGAGGTTGATAGCTAAACCGTTGAGAAGAGCTCCAGTGAGAAAAGCGAGACCCCCGATCGTCATTGAGACCTTCCGGCCAAAAAGCCTTGTAATGGTTGAGGCAAGGAATGAAGCGAACAAAGCAGCGAGGTAAAGAGAGGAAGTGAAAAGAGTGAGAAGCTCATTATCATATTTACAGTACTCTGTTTCAAGCCCTGTTTCGTTTTGCATTTGACGAAGCACGTCGGGGAAGAATTTCGTTAGAAACTCCTCCATTGATGTCACTCCTCCTGAAAACTTATAATTATATCCGCCATGAAAACAAATAAGCAGAGAAACGAATTTTTGTTTACTTGGATGGGAAGAAACAAACCTGAGATACCAATGTCGTAACCGAAGAGGAGACCACCCATTGCAGCCACAATGCAGGTAATCATGACAAATGCGGTTACACGACCTTCTTCGTATTCTCCTCCATGGCCACTCTCGTCTATAAAAGCCCCTCCTGCCATAGATATAGACGATTTAACCCAAAAACCGCAGCTTTTGTTTTTGGGCTCTAGATGATGATGCTGATGATGGTTGTTCGAATGATCAAGAACTAAACTTTTCTCTCGTAATGAAAACAGAGTGACGAGGAGGATGAAGAAGAAGAAGAAATTTGTTTTTCTGAAACTCCTTTCTTGCTTCTTATCGTTCTTGCATTCCTCTGTAAAAGTTATTGGAATCTTTTCAATCTTGGCTTAGTTTTTTATAAGAGCTATTTTCGGTATTATGATCCACTCTGTCTGAATCCACAATATCTATTTACAGTCAAACTGTGACCAAACATTACAAAGATCCTCATGTTTTTATTGCAGCCAAGTCTAAGAATAGTTTATCTATAAGACATTACCGGGATATTTTGTTTCTCTTGCGGCTAATAATCTAAGAATAGTTTTGCTCATCTCTTTCACTCTGTCTTCGCCAATCTTCACTTCAAAACATCAAAGCAACAGCTTTTGTCAGAAACATAACTTGGAACACAAGTTTGTTTACATAGACAGTTGATCTCTAGTTGGCAAATGTGTAATAATGATGATTAATTATATAACCAATATCTCAAGTGAATTATACTTCAAACAAGGTTTCATGGCCACATGAAAGAAGACATTGGGTAATAAAAATATAGGTAGTAAAAGTTCATTAATCTGTCTCCAGAAAGAACTAGTAGATATCTATATATTGAGGATTATATTAATCACTCTTGGCCATTGGATCGTTTTGAAGATTAGGCTGAGCAAGTTGGAGATTGTAATTAGGATCAATCTCAGAAGGAAGTGTAGCAAGCTGAAGAACACTGTTTGGTTGTTGTTGCTGCTGCTCTAGAAACTGTTGATCATACTCCCCTGGTTTATAGTACTGAAGCTGCTCTAGAAACTGTTGATACTCCCCTGGTTTGGTCTCTATCCCAGCTTGCTGAAACTCAATCGCTGCACGATGCTCATGAAGCTGCGATAAACACCGGTATATATAGAAAAATGTCATTCAAATGTAAATGTGATAACATATTTAACATTCTCTAGTAACCAAACTTACCCAACGGTACATGTTGTTGTTATCTTCTTCTAGCATCCGTCTCTGATTATATATATGCATAGATAGACACGGTAATGATCATTAAACCCGCGGCATAATAAGATTATTAGAGTTTAAAAAGTGATGAGAGAGTGACCTTTCTGCTTAGATTCTCCAACTGTTGCTGCATTAACTCATTCTTCAATATATTAATAGCAGAGATCAAACAAAAGTGTAACCAAAATATAGTTTTATGAGAATATATATTGATATGGACATATGTTGCATTACCTTACGCTCGCGGACTTTGAGGACAGAATGTTCGAGCTGTCGCTCGAGTCCGTCAAGCTCATGAGGAGGAATGGAGGCTAAGTCATGTCCATGGTAGGGACGCAGATGAAGCTCAAGGTTACATGTCTCTCTTCTTAGTACTTCCATCTCATGGTACAATTGGTCCTACACAAACAAAAAACTCAAACTGAATAACATTTTTCTCAAGAAATGTGTGATTTTCTTCGTTGTTAATAGGTAACACAAAGGAATAAGTAGGCGTGTGTATATATACCTGGTCGTCCTGATGATCAGGAAGTCGCAATCCGTTGGTGTGCAAGTATCGGTCAATGAGTTGAGGCATCCTATTCAATATAAAATGTGATCAAATTAGCATCTTTAATGTTACACGTCAAGACTTCAATAATAATTGGAGGAACACTAAACTCAAATAACAAATATTTTGGCCAAAAAATGGTTTGAAGAAAACATAATTAAAAGTTGTTTTACCCTTTGTTTTATGTAATTAAGCTGAGCTTAAACTATTAGCACACCCTTCTTCTCTTATTATGGCTATGTGTGAATAAATTTTTCTTCATGGTTCATGACTTAGATTAACACTTTTAATTAGCATACCTTTATAATTGTACTAAATCGAATCATTAACATAGAGACATATACATATATAAGTATGTATGTATATGTTGTAAATATGACACACATTAAAATACTACATATATTGGGATCTTATTATAAAAAGCTTGATCAAGAAATGTCAAATCTTCGCAGAAAAATCTTTGTTAGGCAGGTGTAAAAAATATAGAATTTAGATCACCAAAAAAAAAATATATATATAGAATTTGACCCATACGTATTAAATATGATAAGATAATTGCATGTGCACATATATACAAATTAAATACTGCAAGAACAAAAATATTGGATCAAAGATTCTTAACTTCTGGGCCAAATTAAAATCTAAACCAGACTCATGAACACCTGCTACTTCAGAAACTAATGATGAAAACTGTCCGTTCACAAGCACGAGTTATATATCTAGCTCATTTCCTCATTAATTAGATGAATACATACATGTGTATGTATAGATCTCTGAAACCCTAATTTGAGAAAGAAGAAGAAGAGGAAGAAGTTAACCTGTTCTGTTCGGAGCAGAACTCGGAGAGCTTTCCGGTGGCAGAGAAGACGATGAGACCGATGTGAGCGTCGCAGAGAATAGAGAGCTCGCGAGTCTTCTTCATAAGACCAGTTCTTCTCTTGGAGAAGGTTACTTGCCTTGCCGTCTGATTCTCTATCTTCTTTATCTCAATCTTCCCTCTCCCCATCACTCTCTTCTTCCTCTTGTTATTAGTTGCTCCCTCTTCCTCCTGGTTCAAATGTATATGAAAGCTAGATCAACTTAAAAGAAACCCTAATTAAAAAAAAAAAAAACAAGAATCTGAAAACCCTAGAATTAGTTAATTACAAGATTCATTTCAAGGATGGTGTTTGATTCTTGAATCTTGATGTGTGAATTAGAAAGGAGATAGAGAGAGAGAAAAGAGAGTGAGTGTGTGTGGGAAAGAGCTTGTGAGAAATATATATAGAGAGAGAGATAGAGGAAGAAAGAGAGTCGTCTTTTTAAAGTACTTTTTGTTGAGCTGTGTTCTTGGGGATCTGGAAATGGAGTTTGAGGTTGGATGACACAAAAAAGGAGAGAGATTAATGGGGAAGAATATGCTTAGTTACTCTTTCTATTTTCTGTATAATTCTGTGTGTGGCGTGTTGTTTCAGCTCACCATTTTCTAATTTCATTTTCTCTTTCTCTGCTTTTCTTATATAAGGTTTTTTGTTTTTTTCCTATAAATTAGGCAGTGAAAATGGTTTACCTATTTAATAATATCCATTATTTAGGGTTTCAAATGTTACTATACGTATAGTGGTCATAATTTACTTTCAGCATTATACGCCTAGCTAGTACGCATTAATTTGCACGTTTAACCTCTATGTTCTCTTTTATTTTTGTTTTATAAACGAACTATAATTGTAACTTTTTTTAAAAATATTTTAATTCTCTCTGCATTTGTTATAGATTATTTTAAATATACAAAATAACTCGTTTAATTTTAGTAGTTAACAAAGATTACTTATACCCATTTTTAAACTACCAAACGAAAAAGACAAGTTAAGCTATATATTTAAAATAATAACTAAAAATGTCGAATTGTAATTAAACAAGACATGACATGTAATGGCAGTATCTGGTAATTTCTTTAGCAAAGAAGATCCTTTTTAGTAAATCTCGAACATTATTTTCTTTGATCTGCCATGCATGACGTAATTCGGAGAATAACCGAAAATGGAAATTTAATGAAAATATGTTTTAAGGAAAACAAAGTTACCACAAAGGAAAAGGGCAAAAGAGAGAGTAGCCAAATGGGAAAGGACAAAGTGTAACAATACTTGAAAGTGACTTTTTTTCTTACCCACCTCCTCTGCCTACATATGCATAAATATACAAGTCCCATTTGATTTTATATCTATAGTAACATAACATCAATTTACGTGTAATTTAGCTAAATTATTTTTGATAAATTCTATTTTCTTATCAATTCGAGTCATAATTAAGTATCCAAAATCGAATTCAAATCCAAGATTGTAAAGCAGTAAAGGACAATCCATAGTAACACTGATTTTGCATAATTTGAATTTCATTAATAAAATGGATTCAACAATGAGAAGAACACAAGAAAAGAACATGTGTCTTTATACAACAACATCACTATACACAAAGCAAGGCAAATATAGTGTCGCGGGTAATATGTTTAGTTTCCATTTTCCAATATAGTATAAATTGACGACATTTTGATACACTTTTTCTTTTAATGATTTACTATCTTTTATGCTGAAACTCGAACAATAAAATTGTGAAAAGCAAATTGGCATCTAGATCCTCTCAGTTTCTAACAATAGCTATTATTATTCATAGTTTCTTACTGCCATAGTAATTATTAGCAGCTAACATCAGATTGAGAACAAAAATTATTGATGATATGAATACACTCGAATCATTCTAATGACATTTTTATCAAATATGCCAAATAGAATTGAGGAAATCATATTTGCCTTAACGAATAAATATCATGAAAAAGTCATTATAACAAGATGACCCGTGGAATATTTATACCGCCTATATGTGACAATGGAAAATGCCTTGCAAAGTGGAAAAACGTGTTGAACGTAATGGTCTAAGCAATATATATGTATACAATTTTGTATCATTAATTCCGTTGAAATTCTAACGTAAAGTCTTTTCCTTTGAATTTTTGGGTCACAGGATTTTTAAGGAAGCAGAGAGAGTAATGGTCAGTCGTCTCGTCTGTTCTGTCAGAAGACTCACAAGAAACATGTTATGGTTTCTAAATTAGGAAACTAATGATCAAAGAGGAAGAGTTGGGTCCAAGGCTATTCTCGTCATTTCCACTATCCCACACTTCTCTGCTTCCCCTATGTTATGGCTTGTCCTACATAATGTTTGTTCGATTTTATCTTTTGAGAGGCTTATTACACAGATAGAGTAAAACGTATGACAAATTGCAAATTTGTAATGTGATGGATCGTCTGACGTAATCGTCTTCATGTGAATGGTCATAACCATTGATTACTATTGTATAATTAATGCCAACGTCCTTATGGATTACCATTAATTACCTAGGACCCAATTAGTCCTCTTTGCTTTTGTTTTGTCTTTTTGCTTAAAAGTCTTTCACATTTCAATGGTTTTCCAATATTGTAAAACAACTTTATGAATCTTATTCACGAAACTAACATAATTTATTTTGATGAGCTGTCGGTTTTTTGGTTAATTGTTTGTTAAAATTAAATGAAGGGATTGTTTTACAAACCAATTTTGAATAATAAATAGTAACACAAACACAAACCATTACATAGCTAAATTAGAAGACTTTGATTCTTAAAAGAAGAAATTTGTGAAATTGATTCATTCTCATTTTTGGTAATCTAACCAAAACAAAGACAAAAAAACAGAGAGGCCCAATTCCAATAAACTGAAAAATAGAAGAATGGCATATATAAAAAGAGACTATTTTTCTCTCTGCAATAATCTTTTTGTGGGATAAAACAACCCCAAAAACGTTCATATCCTTTCTCTCTTCTATTTTTGCAAACTGTTGTTATTTAGAGAGGTTGATTCCTGAAACATCTCATCGCATTATGATATTAATTCAATTTCACTTCAAAAGACCTCTTTCTTGGAAAATCTCAAACATCGCCGCACCAATCTTGGCTGGTGACTCAACCACCTTAACTCCTGCGTCTCTTAGGCTCTTTATCTTGTCTTGAGCTGTGCCCTTACCACCGGAAACAATGGCTTCATCGATCCAAGAAAACAATACAAGATTTAGTCCTGGGTTTGAGTGGGAAACAGTGACCGAATTAAAGAGCTGAATAAAGTTTATCTACCTCCAGCATGACCCATACGACGCCCGGGTGGTGCAGTAAGTCCAGCAATGAAAGCAACTACAGGCTTGTCTGTACCACTTTCCTGTTAGATTGAAAACCGATATGTTTTTACGCTTGATCATCTAAAAATGGCAACTCTTGATTCTTTAGAAAGATGCATTGCAATTACCTTTATCAAAGCAGCGGCATCTTCTTCTGCAGTCCCACCGATCTCTCCAATGAGAACGATACCTGAAAGTAAGTCGATAATTTTTTAATAACAAAAACAATGCTGGATTCTTTCACTAATTTACAAAACAGAGCGGAATCACAAAGTGTACTATCGATAAACCTGCATCTAATACTGCAAATGTATAACTTTCTTCTACATACTAAAGAACTAGTAGTAGTCTTGGGATATCAACTACATATTAAAGGTAAGTGACTCAAAGAAAACAAAGAATTTAGACAAATGGGAAAAGATAATAAGATGTATGGAATAAAAAAAGCTCAATTATGGTGTCCAGAAACCAAGACCTTCTGTTTGAGGGTCAGCAAAGAACTTCTCCAAGCAGTCAACAAAATTTGTGCCATTAAACGGATCCCCACCAATTCCTACACATGTAGATTGCCCCAAACCTACTGCAGTAGTTTGAAAAACCTGCATGAAAGATTACCGAAACAGAAAACCATTAGAAGAAGTACTTCATAAGTAGGTCTTTCAGTAATCCAAATCATCCAAAAATTCAAGAAACTGACATCGGTGAAAGCATAATCTAACAATCGAAGGAGCAGCGGTTCTTAGGTAAGAAAACTAATAATACTAATACTTTCATTTCTCATTAAGCCATCTGGATTTAGTGGAAAACTAAAGGCCATGGAGATAATAAGTTGAGAAAGACAGAGACAAACATGAAGGCAACACAAAGAACCTTACAGCTTCATATGTCAATGTTCCAGATCGAGAAACAATCCCTATCTTCCCCGGCTTGTGGATGTATCCTGGCATGATCCCAATCTTGCATTCACCAGGTTTGATAATACCAGGGCAGTTAGGGCCAATTAGCCTAGTTTTTGACTGACTGTTAAGAGCAGCCTTTACGCGAACCTACATTTACAAAAGCCAGATAAATCAGTAGAGCCACACAAATTACTGTGCACACATATCAAATAAAGAAGATATCACAAAATGGAAACCGGTAACGATTATTACCATGTCGTGTTGAGGAATTCCTTCAGTAATGCAGACAATAAGATCTAACTCAGCAGCTAAACCTTCCATGATAGCAGCAGCAGCGAAAGGCGCAGGAACGTAAATCACAGAGGCATTGGCTTTAGTCTCAGCCTTAGCTTCAGCAACAGTATTAAAAACAGGTAGACCCAAATGTTCAGTTCCACCCTTCTTTGGTGTCACTCCTGCTACCTATTAACCACAAACCTTAAATTAGCTTATCACAAGCTTTAAATCAAACACAAAAACAAACACCATTTCAGCTGCAAAAATAAACCAATTCCAAGTGAATTGGCAGAGATAAACAAACATTGAAACCGAATTTGCACAAAAACATTGCATTAGTGTAAATTCTCGAATACAATACCATTTTGGTGCCGTATTCAATGGCTTGTTCAGTGTGGAAGGTACCATTCTTTCCGGTAATACCTTGGCAGATGACACGGGTGTTCTTGTCGACAAAAACCGCCGCAGGAGGCGGAGGAGTTGTCCCGAAGGAGCGAGACTGTGTCAATGAAGTGAGAGAGCAGACCTCTGAGCTGCCGCCGCCGCCGGAACGGCGAAGAGATCCGAGAAGTCTGGTGACCTGCCTAGACATGGCTGTTTCAATGATCTTAAAATTCTAAAACCTACGGATCCGAATTTTGTACTGAACCCTATTAGCGAAAATGGGAAAGGAAATTTTCAGCGATCTTCGTTGAAGAATCAGCGAAAGCTTTTGAGCTTATTTGAATGGATCCAGGCCCATTTGTATTTGAGATTTTTTATGAAGCCCATAAAAGCTCTAGTGTCCTAGTAGTATAAGGAGAAGAAAAAAGTATATAAATATGAGGAACTAAAAGGATTTTTTTTTTTTTTTGTCATTTAGTAGAAATCTTATAAATGATGCGAAAAAACCTAATTACAAAGTCGGCGATTAACAACATAATCTCCGAAACTAAACCGGCGGAAACAAATACATTCCGGAAACTATGTTTAAAGACATGAGAAACTTTTAAACTAAACCCAAAATACAAAGCAAACCAAAGCAAACAAAGACAACAAAAACCGAAACTGAAACATGGGACAACAAACAAAAGAAAATCGGAATCTAACCAAACCACAACGTCAACCGCAAAGCCAAAAGAGAGCAGAGCCTTCCACGAATGTCACCGAAAGGGATGAAAATTCTAACTAACGGAAAACGGTTCCACCTATAGGCTATAGTGGATTTATGTTTTTAAATTTTTGTTAATTTTGAACATTGATATTCAAACTTTTTTTTTATTAGGGTGGGAAGATTCTTGATAAATTATTTGGAATTTTACCTGAAAAAGAATGAAGAAGGTTGTGAAAAAGATAACAAGTGTAGACTGGATCTTTTGAAGTCCAAACCAAAAACCAAATATTAGGTAACCTAAATATGTAATCGTCAAAATAGCGATGAAGCGTAGACTTTTTGTTTTTGTGTTTTTTTTTTTCTTATCAAAACCAATATTTCGATAATTCGTCATGATATTTTTTTACGCTATGATCCTCAGCCTTAAACTTTCATTCGTATAGATGGATAATATCATAATAGTACAACTCTTTTTATTGCCACCACCAAACAAATTGTCTGCTTTGTGCTTTCAAGAATTTTCTTTTTCTTTCCCAGGGTTTTATTCAAACATAATAAATAAATATTTATTCATTTTAGCTATAACTCAATTTGGAACTTTCTTTATTCATCCCAAATTAAAAATCTTTCCGTTGTTCAAAAAAAAAAAAAATCTTTCCAAGAGAGATGGAAAAATAGCATCCTATAGAGATATTGCCAAACAACTTGTCCCTCTCTCACTCATCCACCTTACGGAACAGAGAAGGGGAAAAAATGTCACCGGCTATTTTTACTCCGACGACTCTTCCTCCGTCAACTACTACATGGCCATGTACCACATCTCAGAAGCTCATCACCATTAGATCACCACTCAAGCTCAAGTGTAGAGCCACTTCTTCATCATCATCATCTATCACAGACTTTGATCTCTACGACCTATTAGGTATTGACCGGAGCTCTGATAAGTCTCAGATCAAAGCAGCCTATCGTGCGTTGCAGAAACGGTGTCATCCTGATATCGCAGGAGATCCTGGTCACGACATGGCCATCATCCTTAACGAGGCTTACCAGCTTCTCTCTGATCCGATCACGCGTCAAGCCTATGACAAGGTTAGCTCTTATATTGATTCTTGTAGTCTCTCTGTCAAGGGCACACCAAGTAAATATGAAACCTTTCTTGTTGTAGGAGCAAGCAAAATTGGAAGAACTCAGAGGTTACACAGGGAAACCTATCTATTCGGTTTGGTGTGGACCAGAAACAGAGCAACGAGCTGCGTTTGTAGACGAGGTTAAGTGTGTTGGTTGCTTAAAGTGTGCTTTGTGTGCAGAGAAAACATTTGCTATTGAAACTGCTTACGGAAGAGCGAGGGTTGTTGCTCAATGGGCTGATCCTGAATCCAAAATCAAAGAAGCCATCGAAGCTTGCCCTGTAGACTGCATTTCGTAAGCACAAAACTAGTAGATGTAGAAATGGTTTCAATTCAATTTCTATATATGTGAAGTCAAGAGAGACAATTAGAGAAACACATAAAAGTATGATTCCTTATGAGATGTGCAGAATGGTGGAGAGATCTGACCTTGCGCCATTGGAGTTCCTTATGTCAAAGCAACCACGAGGCAACGTGAGAATCGGGGTTGGGAACACGGTTGGCGAGCGTGTCTCCAATGTATTTGTTGATGTCAAGAAGTTCCAAGAAAGATATGCCAAAGCCATGAGCAGAACCACAAAAGAAACTGCCCAGGTGAGTTAGCCATTATCCTAAGAAGTAAGAAGTAGTAAAGCCAAGCTATAAACTTACCAGTCAGATAATAAGTAGTTGTGTTGGGACTTGCAGAGAGAAGTACAAATAAGTGCAGTAGAGGCAATAAGGTCCATTTCCAATTGGCTATACTGGAGATCATCACCGTACACGAAACCATTGAGTCCAGATTCAAACATGAGTCTAACTTTCACCAAACGAAAAAAAACAGTTGATCCAGATATCAGAAAGCTTCAAGATGCTGTGGCAGCAATGAAACAAGCAGAACAGAGTGGGAAACGCAAAGCAAAAGGATCAGCTTACATGCTTGGAGAAGATTATTGGACTCCATCAAACGCAGCTCTTCCCTCTTCTGGAAACAACAACAGTTACAAAGCTAGCTCGAATCCGCAAGTGACTCGTAAGACATTTTCTTCAGAAGAGAAACCTGCAAGTAGAAGAGACAATAGAAGACAGTTCAGGATAAAGAAATTCCCAATTGGGACAGCCATAGTAGCAGTATTCTTGGTTCAGTACCAAGCAAGTTACAGAGCCGCCTCTGAGCTCAACGACCATATCGGCGGCTCGCTGGCTCTATCCATAGTTAACAGCCCATGGCAGCAGATTTTGTTAGCCGGAATTACATGGTACTTCATTGGAGCAATGCTACTCCAACTTGTGGAAGCTGTCCAACACAAGCTAGAAGATGAAGAAGTATAGTCTTTGTAGATAAATCTTTATGTACATCATATCCCTCTTTAGAGCAGGTTACTTGTATTCATTCACCTGCAAAAATGTAACAAACAACATTATACTATACAACAAACATATGCTTATTGAATTATGACATCATACTTGGGCTAAGCCCAGTTTATATTTCAGTCGGCCCAATAAGTGAGTGACTAATCCTTTCGTTCCTAAAAATCTCTCCACCGATCAAGAACTTCTTCTTCACCGCCAAAAATGGCTTCGTCATCGAGAAAGTACGAGACACGAAAGCGAGACCCAAATCCAAAAACCGCAGCTCTTCTCGTTATCGATATGCAGAATTACTTCTCCTCCATGGCCAAACCCATCCTCAACAACGCTCTCACCACCATCGAACTCTGCCGAGGCGCTTCAATCCCCGTATTCTTCACGCGCCACAACCACAAATCCCCAACCGATCACGGCATGCTCGGCGAGTGGTGGAACGGCGATCTCATCCTCGACGGAACCACCGATTCCGAAATCATCCCGGAGATCCAGATACTCACCAAACCAGAAGAGATCGTGGAGAAGAGCACGTACAGCGCGTTTAACAACACGCGCCTCCATGAAAAGCTGGACAAGATCGGGGTTAAGGAGGTGATCGTGATTGGAGTGATGACGAACCTGTGCTGTGAGACGACGGCGCGTGAAGCGTTTGTTAAAGGGTTTAGGGTTTTTTTCTCGACGGACGCGACTGCGACGGTTAATGAAGAGCTTCACGAGGCCACTCTAATGAATCTTGCTTATGGCTTCGCTTATCTCGTCGACTGCGATAGTCTCCGGCGAGGTCTACTCAGTAATAAATAAATGATAACTACACCTTTTGTCATTTCGTTTTCTGTGTGTGAGTGTGTAGTTAAGTAACAATATTTTCTTGTTCATATTTTCTTCTATTACGTTGATCGGTTGATGTAAGTGATAGCTTTATTTTGTTGTTTCTTTGTAAGTTTGTTAACTATTATTATCAAATAAAGAAAATGTATGCAGATTTTAATAAACTAACCAGATTTCTTTTTGCATTTTTTGTTGAAATGTAACCTGTTTTACTAATTGATAATTTACCAAAGAAAGGAAATACTGTATGTGTGTTTAGTATTGTTGTTACTTAAAAGGGGACTGTCCAGGTAAATAGTTAAAGACTTTTATACTAATTTAACCCGACCTTGCTTCTAGAGAGAAGTATTGAGCATTACATTTTTTCATATCTTCTATACCAAAGTTTGTTTTCCGATAAAAAGTAGAAAGAACAATACATGACATGCTCTGTGAGAAGGGAAAAATTGTTGTTTGTTCAAGCTACCACTTATGTGAACATGTAAATACTAAATAGTATATATATTTAGTATTTTTATTAGTTTAGTGTTATAGTTAGATAAGAACAAAAAAAATCAAAGTTTTTATATTAAATTTTGAGATGTCAAAACTAAACTAGGTATATGCGTTAAAATATTTTAAATTCAAATAATGTTATATAAATACAATGAAATAACACAATTTTTGATACTAATTGAGTTTTTTTCATCACAATTTTTATTTCTGCATTACAACATCTTATGTATTTTATTAACATCTATGTTTAAAATTCTTTTTTAACAAAACAAAACAAAAAAATAGCAAAGAATATAAGAAATAATCCAACAAAATATATAATAACATATTGAAAAAATCCTTATTGAAAAGAACCTTATTCCCTTTTTAGTATATCAACATATTATTTTTTATTAATAAAATTAGGTTTAATTATTCACTATATTAACAAAAGTATTTGATAGACAAGACATTCTTACTTCATTTTTGAATATATTAACAAATTCTTCCTTTTTTAATATACAAACAAAATATATCTTTATGTATAATTTTCTTTTTCTATAGATTTACGAACTTTTTCATTTCTGTCTTAAATATGTTAACAAATTTAGACTTGACACGTGAAGACAACTGATGTTTTAGTTGACATATCTTGCAATCACGTGACTTAGTAACTTTGAGAAATAAAGTTTTTGTATAATAAGATGTTTTGAGATAGGATTAAGAATTTTTAGTTCTTTTTTAATATATTAACAAATTTTTATTTCTTAATATATAAAACTACTTTTGCATTTTTTTTTGTATATATTAACAAGCTTAGATATGACATGTGGAGATATCTGATGTTTAAGTGATCTGTGTCATGATCATGTGAGTTAGCAATTTTTTAAAAAAATTATTTATATAATAAGAAAATATAACTTGAGAAATTGGTAGAAATGTCTTTTTTTTTATATCCCATTTCACAAATGCCATTTTCTGTCCATTTTCTTTATGCTCTCTTCTAATTATTAATGACCATTTTATCCTTATTTGAAAAATATTTAAGTCAACAAAATGAAAAAGTGAATATTCCCGTTAAAACATATCCAGATCGACAACAGTTTTCCGGCAAAATATTTTCCGCAAAAATAAATATTGAACCAAGATGCCGAAAATTTTTGTGGGAAAGAGTTCTTAAAGAATTTAAGAGGGTTTTAAAAAGGGTTTCAAAAGGATTTAAAAGGGTTTGTAAAGGGTTTTAAAAGGATTTATAAGGGTTTAAAAAGATTTAAAAAGGTTTATAAAAGATTTTATAAGGATTTACAAAGGTTTTTAAACAGTTTTAAAGGATTTACAAGACTCCAAGAAAAGAGACGCTTTAAGAATATTATTATACAAAAAATACTAAATACTTTCTATTTTTTGTATTCGAACTTTCGAAGTACGTTTAAGCCTAATCCCATTTCGGATATGTATGCAGCTCGTCTCTCTAGTTCAGCTATTTGTAGAAATTATACTATTTTTTAGTCATCAAAAATCTTGCTACAAAGCCAATACTATTATATTTTCTTTCTATATTTTTGCATACTTTTTTATACTATTCTCTATATGTATTTGTGTTTTGTATTTTGATAGTGAGAGCTTTGACCCACGAATAAATAAATACGTGAGTGTGTGAATCCGACATCCACATCTATGTCACACTTGTCGGCTCCAAGCATGCACTTCATTATCCAAACGAGAGCTTCCACTTCTAGGTGTAAGAATAATTGGTTTCAGTGTAGATTGACAGCTCCCATAATTGGTGGCTCTCCATTTGGTAGCGAGCAAAATCATCTAGTTTCTGGAATTTATCACTTTCTTTCTACGAACCATCCACGAAACATCTATATATCTTGAAAAATTTGGTTCATATGATGAGAGCCATCACAAGGCCAAGCAAACAAAGCATAATTTTGAGGTAGCTTATAATATTATTTAGTTTCGGCTGATTTTACCGAAAAGTTATGTGGTTTAGTGGCTAAAACTTTTGTGATATAGTCACAAGTTTTACAAGTTCGATTCTTGGCAGCGTTGCTTAATCATTTTTATTTTTTAACAACGAAGAAATTAAAAAAAAAAATTATGTGGTCATTTTTTCTCGCTTGTAGCCTCGTGAAACTCGGAAACGGCTCTGCATATGATCCAATTCTCACCTGAGTTTCATGTTAAAAGTCCACTGAACCTTGATTTTTATCCGAAATTTCTATTTAAGCTAGATGCCAAACTTTTTTCATTTTATTTTCTTTAGTTTGGCCCAAAATAAAACTTTTTTTATTTTACGCGGTTCAAAATATTTATTTCATATATTTTATTTGTATACATCACTTTTTGTTTCTATCCATTTTGGTCTTTCTTTATTTTTCCTTTAGTAATCAAAGTTATCTAAACGACAGCTAGGCCAACTATTCCCGATTCCCAAAATTGTTTAACCCTTACAAACAAAAATAGTACAAATAAAAGTATAAAAAAAAAGTAAAGAGAAGAATAAAAAAAGTTAACTCAATAAATAATTTGCAAGTTGAAGCAATTAAAAAAATGAGCATGTGGGTGTAATTTGGAAGTTGAGGTCCATGTGATATTTAAAGATTTGTTGTAAATAAACCTTTAGGTTGAAGAAAATATTATTTATAATTATTTTTTTTGTCTTAGTACAGTAGTTTATAATTTTATATTTTAAAATTATTGTAATGTTTATTATAATAATTTAATAATATTAACTTATCAATCACAAAATTTTATTTTTACTAGATATTAATTATTATTATTATTATTATTATTATTATTATTATTATCAAATTTCACAATTTTTGACTTATAATATAATTTCATAATTTTCTTAGAAACTGTTTTTTATGCAAACTCAAGTCAAACCATCATCTTATTTAAATCTATTTACAAATTTACTATCTATTTTATAATTATAATTTTTTTACATCCAATCATTTTTACAGTTAAGTATGATTTTCATCATCACTTCTAAAATGTCTTTACGAACAGATGAAGCCAACGGTACATATTTTTGCTTTCACTATTGCATACTTTTTAACCACTAAAATAAGTGTCTCAAAAAATTTTAATCACACATAAATACAGAATATGTAATTGAGATATCAAATATATGATTGACAATATTATCTCCTTAATCATCTCCTTAATACGCCCCCTCAAGATGGAGGTGCTTGCGAAACTCCAATCTTGTTCGTTAGTCGCTGGAATGTTGATCGTGGTAGCGGTTTCGTTAGTGCATCAGCTAGTTGATCGTCAGTCGAGATATGAGCTACACGTAGTGATCCGGACTGCACTTGGTTTCTAACAAAATGATAATCCAAAGCTATATGTTTCATTCTTGAGTGGAAAACCGGGTTGGCGCATAAGTACGTGGCACCTACGTTATCACAGTATATGACAGGAGCAGCGGTGATGGTAATACCTAGTTCACTGAGAAGAGAGCATATCCAAGCTAGTTCGGAAGAGGTATTTGCCACAGCTCGGTATTCGGCTTCGGTGGATGATCTAGCTACGCCTTTTTGCTTCTTTGAAGACCAAGCAATAGGATGATTACCTAAATAGACAATGTAGGCATTGGTGGAGACGTAATCGTCATTATCTCCAGCCCAATCGGAGTCCGAGAAAGCATGGAGACTCGGAGAATTAGCACGGCTCAAGAAAATTCCATGGGAAGGAGTTCCTGCTAAGTAGCGAAGGACTCTTTTAACCGCAAGCCAATGTTCATCGGATGGTGAGTGCATGAATTGTGATAAACGGTTGGTGGCATAAGAGATGTCAGGTCGAGTGAAAGCTAAATATTGAAGGCTGCCAACAACACAACGGTATTCGGTTGCATCAGAGAGAGGCGTACCAGATCGAAGAGTCAGCTTTGGAGAAGATGCCATTGGAGAAGTGACTGGTTTTGCCGAGAGCATGTTTGTACGATCTAGTAAATCAAGGATGTACCGTCTTTGTGTTAAGTGAAGACCAGACTCTGTCCGTTTTGCTTCTATCCCCAAGAAGTATGAGAGTTCTTCATGGTCTTTAACTGAAAAACGTGTAGCAAGTGAGTTAAGTGTCTCTTGAAGCAGAACATTATCATTTCCCGTAACAAGTATGTCGTCCACAATCTTATATGGTATCACAGCCACCTTCTTCTTCCTTTTAAAAATCTCGCTCTGATACCATATAAGATTGTGGAATTGGATTATTCTTATTACAAGAGGGATTACACTTATATATACAAGTGAGAGATGTAAGAGTAGCCCTAATCACACATAAATACAGAATATGTAATTGAGATATCAAATATATGATTGACAATATTATCTCCTTAATCATCTCCTTAATAGTTACTCCCTCCGTATTTTAATAATTGTCGTTTTAGGATTTTCTTTTTTTAAAAATTAGATGTCGTTTTCAAATTTCTATGCAAAATTTATTACTTTTTAATGTTTTATGATGTCATAAAACATTAAAAAGTAATAAATTTTGCATAGAAATTTGAAAACGACATCCAATTCAAAAAAGTAAAAATTCTAAAACGACACTTATTAAAATACGGAAAGAGTATATCTTATTCTATAGTTAATTTGGTTTGAAGCAATTAAAAAAATGGGCATGTGCGTGTAATTTGCAAGTTGAGGTCCATGTGATTTTCAAAGACTTGTAATAAGATATAATTAACAAGTTTTCCTTGGTTTAATTTAACTTAATTTTCAGTCCGAGGAAGACCTTCAAGATGTTTTGCTGAATGCACCATATCACTTTGATGGGTGAATATATAGTAGCTCTGGTTCGCTTGGAGCCTATTGTCTCTAGCACTTATCTGTAAGTTATTAACTTTTGGGTTAAAGTTACTGGAATTCCTATGCATTTATGGAAGAAGCAACTTTGCGGGTAGTGGGGAAAAATGTGGGTTTGGTTAGAGATATTGATGCGAACTCAGAAAGTATCCATGTTATGGTCAATAGTTTTAATTAGTTTCTCATTGTTTCAAATGGTGGTTCCATTTTATATTGGTGATGAGGCGGTGGTCTTTTCGGATTACGAGAAACTGGCAAATTTTTGTACTCATTGTCTCTTGTCCTTGGTTTTTCAATTTTTTTTCGTTATCCTTGTTCTTGTAATGTTAAAGTAGATTGCTTACGCCGTTACTCTAAAAATTTATTTTAAAATGTTTTATTTGTAAATATTTTTTTTCCAGATTAGACTACCAATGATGGACTGACTTTTTAATTAATGTGTGGTTACGTTAAAAAAAAAAAAATCTAGCATAAACATATGTTTATTGAATTATGACTGTATAACCAACATACGCCAAGAACATCATACGTGGACTAATCTTTTCGTTCCCACTATATATATCTCTAGTGATCAAGCACTTCATCTTCACACTGCCAAAAATGGCTTCCTCATCAACGAGAAAGTACGAGACAAGAAAGCGAGATCCAAATCCCAAAACCACAGCTCTTCTCGTTATCGATATGCAGAATCACTTCTCCTCCATGGCCAAACCTATCCTCAACAACGTTCTCACCACCATCGACATCTGCCGACGCGCCTCAATCCCCATATTCTTCACGCGCCACAACCACAAATCCCCTACCGACCACGGCATGCTCGGCGAGTGGTGTAACGGCGATCTAATCTTCGACGGAACCACCGATTCCGAAATCATCCCGGAGATACACCGCCAAGTTACTGCACCAGACGAGATGGTGGAGAAGAGCACGTACAGTGCGTTTAACAACACCCGCCTCCAGGAAAAGCTGAACAAGATCGGAGTGAAGGAGGTGATAGTGATCGGAGTGATGACGAACCTGTGCTGTGAGACGACGGCGCGTGAAGCGTTTATTAAGGGTTTTAGGGTTTTTTTCTCGACGGACGCTACTGCGACGGTTAATGAGGAGCTTCACGAGGCTACGCTAATGAATCTGGCTTATGGCTTCGCTTATCTCGTGGATTGCGATAGTCTCCGGCGAAGTCTACTCAGTAATTAAAAAATAATAACTACACGCACATGCCGTCGCCCAAAAGCTATCCGACGTTACATGTTATTTGGAGAAGCAAAGTTGGAGTCTCTATGTGTCTTTGATAAGTATTGTCTCACCGTTTTGTCTAATATCTTTCATGTCCCTCGGCCTTGTTTCTCTCTTTTGGGTTAAAGTTTCAGTGATATCTTGTTTTTTTTGCAGGCGTTCATAATTTCAATTTCAACATGTATCCTTTCATAGTTTAAAAAAAAAATAAAAGTCAGTTGATGAAAAAAATAAAATTAACAATAATACCCTTGTTAATATTTTCCTCTAAATGTGTGATGTATATACGCTAAGTGCTTAGCAGTTGCATACAAAAATATCTATAACTACATCCAATATTCAAAAAATTGTTTAGGCGGTAAGTAGATGCTCGGTAAAGTATTATGATGATGTTATGTTGAAAATTTCGCATGTTATGTTATGATGTTGATGTTATGTTGAAGTATGTAATAGCTTTATTTTGTTGTCTGATTGTCTCTATACTATTATTATCAAATCAGTTAAATGTACGCAAATTTTAAGAAACTGGCCAGATTTCTTTTTGAATTTTTTGAGTTTATTTTTGTAGAAAAAGATGGATGTAACATAATAACATATACTAATTGATAATTTAACAAAGAAAGAAAATACTGTATGTGTTTAGTATCGTGGTACTTAATGGGAATGTCGAGTAAATATATAGTTTAGACTTTTACACCAATTGGGTAGCACGACCTTGCTTCTGTATGTAGTTATAAGAGCATCATTATCGGGCGTTTCTTAGCCCAATCTTAGCCAAAATAATGAATTAAATTAAATGGAAAAGGGTGATTTATACTAGCAAACGTTCCTTAGTTAAGGAACAAAATTAAAGTTAAGAGACGTCCACGTGGCGTAAAAAATGAGACCGTGTTTTTGTTTTCCCTCTGTTTCTCTCTCTTTCTCTCTCTCATTCGGCAAAAACGAAGAAATGGCGATGATTTCTGGAAATCGACTCACATCGGAGATTCCTCCACTCCGGCCGTCGTTCTTCCGTTAGCCCATCATCTCTATCGTCTCCGGTTGTCGACGGCGTCTTCGGTTGTTGTATTCGGCGAGGTGGGGTTGCGAAATTGGCGATTTGAAGACGAAGAAGATTATTCGTCGCCGGTGCAATCATTTCTGCGGCCACCGCCGTCGGCGAATTTCGAAAAAGATCGACACTTGATGTATTTGGAGATGATGTACGAGTTGCTTCCGTACCATTACCAATCTCAGGAGATCAATCGTCTTACCATCACTCACTTCATTATCTCGGGTCTTCACTTTCTCGGCGCAATAGATCGTGTACGTCTCTCTCTCTCTCTCTAATCTCTATCTCTGTTTTTTCCCCTGAATTTTGATTTAGTCATTTTCAATTTCTGAAGGTTGACAAAGATGTTGTTGCAAAGTGTGTTTTGTCCTTCCAGGCCCTTCCTAGTAACAGAGTTTCACTTAAAGATGATATCTTTCTTGAATTTAGCTAGAAGCATGTTTATGAGTAAGTTCTTAATAAGCCATTGTTCAATGAATGAGATGTTCTTTTTTTTTTTTTTCTGCAGGAGAATTCTATGGTTTCTTTGGTTCAAGGAGTTCTCATTTTCCCATTGATGAGAATAGGGTAATTATAAGTTTATTCCTTATGTTTTCTATATTACAAGATTTTATCTTTGTTTTGAATCTGTGTGGGCTTGACATTTAGTTTGTTGAACAGGATTAAATTTACAACGGTAGTCACTTGGCAAGCACTTACTATGCCTTGGCCATACTTTTGTTTGTTTTGCTACAGCTTCATGCCTATACATATTGGAGGTGAAACTGATCTTCGGTTTTTATTCCATTGTTATTTGTCATTTCTGTGTTAAGAAGACATTCTTGTGAAATTAACATTCTGTGTGGAGTCATATGATGGTGGCTTTGGGTTGATCTCTGGTTCTGAGTCTCATGGTAGGTGTTGCTGCACTTGGGTTAGGCAAAGCTGGAGGAGAAACAGTTGCAGAGATGGTTATGACTGGCTAGTTTCTTCTTGTCTTTTTCTTGATTGTTGGCATTGTTTACTTGTAGGGTGCTTCAGTGCTTACTATGGATCAGAAGCTGAAGGTTTTGGTTTGATCAATGATTCGTCGTCTCTTGCATTATACTTTCTTGACAAGTTTCTGGTAAACTTCGTCTACAAAATGTTCTTCTTTACCCTCAAGAAACACAAAACAGCTCTTGAACTTAGACTTAAAGATTCGGTTTTTTTTACAAGTTCATATGTTTGGCTCTGTTTGTTTAAAAGGTTGCAATGGTTCCTGGTGATGCTTTTGGAGATGATAGTTGTATCCGAATATCTTATGCCACATCTCTCGACGTTCTACAAGCCGCAGTTGAGAAGATCAGGAAAGCCCTTGAGCCACTTCGTGCCACTGTCTCCGTGTAACGGTTCGGACACAGAAATGTGTTTTTGAATGTTTATGATATGTTGTAACTTATATATCAGCTTTGTCTTCATTCCAATAAAAAGCTCTCACTTTATAGTTTGTTCTTTCCTTCAAGTTCATGTAACCAACCAACCATAAACCATTCTCTTCATTGTAAATCATTTAATAGAATTCAAGGTTACTTCATGCTTGAGTTATAAGATCACGACAAAAGAAACATTTTCCCTATTTTTGCCCTCTCATTTTCTCTAAAATCACTAGCTTTTTACCTACAAAATTAAAACTTTAAACATAATTCTTTATAATACATTTGACGATTATTAAAAATCATCACACCGGATTCTGACTTCCACCATGATCACATTCGTTTTCTTGAATCAAATTTGTACCATTAAAGATACATAAAATCTTTAAGTTTAAAACATTTGTGTTTTATGTTATTTATGTTATAAATTGTATCTTATGTATGTTTAAATTTTTTTAATTTGCAACAATTATTAAATTTTCTATAATTATAAATTTTATTTTTATATTAATATTTTTTTTTCTAAGAACCACATGTTAAGAGCTTACCATTAATCACACAAAAATCTTAACTCAAAAATACTATCTCTTAACAATCACTTTTACAAATAAATTACTTAAATATTGCTAAGAAGTATTTCTAAGAGACTACCTATAATCATGCTCTAATAATCTTACGTAGATAGTAATAATTAAACTAAAATACCTAGTCAATATATATGTTGAAGTAAGTATTACTTGCATATATATCACGGAACATAGAAAAATGAATATTTTACGACTTTTTAATCAAGCAGAATTTAATTTAAATTTTTATTTTAATGTAATTCATTATAGTATTTTTGTGATTAAAATTACTAAGAACAAATTTCGTAATACACGTAGGCAACAAAAAAAACGTGCAATGTTTCTTTTTAATATATAAACATAGAAAATACTGATTTTTATTTTAACAAAAATGATTGTAAATTGGCTTGTATTCTAACGACTTTTCTTGTAGGAAAGAATTTTTCTGATTTAAATATATTAAAAAGTATAAATGTTTTTATATTTAACTAAATCAGATTAAATGTTAATAATTTTTTAATTGAAAAAGTAAGAAATAAAGAATTACTTCATTGATTTTAACAGAATTGTTCCGGCTACAATTCAAATTTCAAAGAGTAATATCTTAGAAAATAATTTTTTTAATGATTTTTTTTATTAGTTTAATTTTGAAACTTAAAAATAAAGTAACATCAATACCAATGCATTAAATTATACAAAAATTAATATTTAGTGGATATTGAATGTGTTTGGAAATTAAATTTAGACTAATTGAGATAGATAAGATTAGGAGATAAGAATGTTTAGTAATAAGTATAGAGTAATTAAAAAAGTGAGAATAATTGTGAGTTTGCCACATCAGCAACAATGACTCTCTTTTAATAGAGGATATATGTTTTTAATAGTTTGATTCTCTTTAAATGACTCTCTTTTAATAGAGGATATATGTTTTTAATAATAGATCAAAATCCTAATCAATTTATTAAAAGCATGCATAAAGTCATTAAAGTTTTAAAAGATAACATTATTTTAAATTATTTCAAAAGTTCAGTATAAAATAACCATAGTTCTTCGTTTATTCAGTGTTAGAAAAAAAGGATCTTATATCAAAGATTATATAGTAGAAAAATCAATCGAAAGATGACATCGATGAAACTTCACATTCTTGCTCTTTTTGTCATCGTTTCCTTCCTTGTTGTTGCTCAATCCACTCGTAAGTATTTGTTTCTTGTCTAATAAAAATATGCTTTTCCAATCATATAAGCATATAGGTTGGAGCCTAGATAGATGTTTGTATTTGTGTGTTATCACTGCGAAATTATCCGAACCAAAATTCTGTATACACTATATATTGTCGACAAAAATATATGCATATAAATATGTAATAATCATAGGCATTTTATATATAGCAAAAATATCTATGATGATAACTTAACAAGTAAATATTTTTATATTATGATGGATTCAACAGGAATTATGGATGCTTCCTCAGATTGTGAATTCAAAGGACCATGTCATAAGAAAGAAGATTGCTATGACTCATGTGGAGTGAACAAACCACCGTTTAACAATGCTTTATGTGTACCAGGCAGAGATTCGTTTCAATGTTGCTGTATTTTATCGTGATTCTCTTCAAATTTAGTTTACTTGACTTAAAATAAGTTATATCAATAAAAGATACTTCTTGAATTATATCAACTATAATTTTTTTTTTTTTTGTTCAACATATCAACTGTAGCATTGTTTTCTTATCCTTGTCTTAAAACGAAATAAATATAGTGATAATTAGTTGCCATAACGATGAAGAAAACTCGAAAGAGAAGAGAGAATCGGACAAGAGTCATGTACATTTATTTGGCCTCTTTTTATATATTTTATGACATCGTTTAGCGGTAAAATCGGACAATATAGAGGTAAGTCTCGCTAAAATTTTTGTGGTTTGGATGACTAAATTGTGAAAGAATGGATGATCCAAGAGATGAGAGTTTTAGAGGTCACAGTAACACGAGAAAACATGTAAAACGCGATAAATCATATATACAATTCTAATATAATGGCCAGTTTTGCTCAAATCTGTTTATTATTTTCTTAAGAATTATATAAAGATGATAAAATCTGTGGGTAGCTAGAGAAAATATCAAAAGGGAAATGTAGGAAGTTTCTTATTGCCTAGAAAATGATGAACGAGCTGAAGAGCTTCTCTAGGTTTGAATGTCGGAACTTGGTGTCCCGCTCCTCTTACCGTCACAAACATTAACCCGTCATACTCCACCGTCCACCCTCCGACCTAACGGCGAGTGAAAGAAAAAAAGAAAAAAAATTAGAGTCAACCACATTTACTTGGAAGAAAAGTTAAAGAATTTGTAACTTGGAACCAAACCTGTAGTTTGGTGTACCAAGGTGTCCAGTCTTGGACTATCTTAAGACCAAGCTTCTTTAATGAGTATCTGGTTGCGGTCACGGGGATTCGTCCGTCTGTATCCCCACTATTTTACCAAACAATTTAAACCGGTCATCGCTTGTTTTCAGTTAAATTATCACATAAAAATGACGAGGAGTAGGCGTTATACCTGAAAACCCATACGCGCAATCCCGCGGATACAAGTGTTCTTAAGGTTGGAAGCATAGAAGCGGGGGCGTCAGACCAGAATGAGACAGTGTCACTGCACATATAGTAAACCATGCATTGGTTTAAGTTCGAACATGAAGTAGTATCCTATGTATCAATCTTACCACACTCTTTTGGTTAAACTATGATAGTAAGAGTAGTATTAATATGTGTAGGTGTGACAATTCATTAACCGATTCAATTTCCTTTGAACAAACCATAACCAAACAACCTGAAAAAAAAAATTACTTCCCCAATTCCTTAGAATCAAATGAAAACCGAAACTATATATATGTGCTTCTTATATTTCATGAAAAACAAAATCTGAAAAACCAAACCGAAAATCAGATTGAACATCGTAATAATACCTGCAATGAGTCCAAGGGTAAGAGATGTTGGTGACATTAGCGTGAAGTGCCTCCTGAACATCTCTCCTGTTCATATACTTTTCTGTATACTCCGATGCACATGGGTCGTACCCGGCTGCCATCCTCCTCCATCCTTCCTGTATATAATCAATTATAACTGGTTAGTCAAATTGGTTACGAAATAAAATTTTCTAAGTGATCAAAAGCCGAATGATTAATTTACATTGTGAGAGATGAGACGGGGCCGCAAGACGCTTCTAAACGCGGGTAGGGGGCGGTTTCCAGCGACTGAATGAGAAGTAGAGGAGTTCGTGGAGGTGGGGACACACTTGGGAGAGTACAGACTGTACATGTCAAGGATCTTGTATACATCAAAATACTCATCTAAAGCCGCATTGCATTCCTTGGTCACAAGTTTTTGTTTGAAATCGCAGTTTTGATTCACTTTCTTGTACAATGCATCTGATATCACCGCGTGATCCCATGCATATTCTATCATCCCCTTTTGATCCGTTTCGTCATCCAATAACGCGTTTCCTATCTGTATATACAATTCAAATTGTCATCATCAAAACACTAGATTGCAATTTTCAAGTGCAACTAATAATTATTGGATTGATTTAACTGACCATTAAACCCTTAAGATTAATGAAATCTTTCTTGGGCGCAATCTTGTTTTCATTGTAGATGAGCTCCGAAAGTTGAGGAACGTAATGGCCTAATTCCATGCAAACACGTATTCAATGTTTTGTTTTTTTTGGTTTTGTAATAATATCACATGTAGAAACGACATCGTACTGTTTCTAACTTAAAATAATAATAATTTACCGGCGTAGCTTTCTCCGGCGATGTAGAATTCGTGTGACTTGTATTGAGGGAATCTCTTGAACCAGTTGACAAGGAAATTGTATGAGTCTCTCGCTGGTTAATCAATATTCCACAATCTTTAGTTTACTTATTACAAAAAAAAAACTGATAGAACATCATAATAAAATTAATATTATTATATAACCGAACCTGTGATGGTGTCGCCGAGTTGATTTATATCATGGCTTGTGTTAGTGTAGGAGAATCCAACTCCAACCGGCGATTCCAAGAATAACAAATTCGCCGCTACATAGATCACATTTCAAAAACATTTATTCAATTATATATTAATGATAGAAAGAAAAATATTATTTGAATATTTAGAAAGTTATGTATATCCATACCTTTGTTCCAGCTGTATGGATTTAGCTTGAGTTTAGGCTGACTCGAGTTTTGAGGGAAGAATGGTCCAAGTTCTTCTGCAGCTCCAAATCCGATTGATGAACATCCCGGTCCTATATTCACATTTTCACCACTGAAATCTCAATTTACTATAACTAAGATCGTATTTTACTATACATTATTACATTATTTGGAACCACCAAATTAAACTTAGGTGATCTAGGCCTACTCTTTTACTCTATGTTACTTTCTATTCAGTATTATTGCATAGGGTCCATTTAATTTAAGGGGTTTGTTGCTTATGATGATAAACTTGCTTTTATCAAGAAACACACGAATAAAAACAAACTTGAGAAAACTTTTAGGGCGTGCATATACGTGCATGGACCATGTGTAATGTTTGGAATCATAATGAATTATGGACCGAAGGACCGTTTAAGTTTCATGGAATTGACTTTTCTTGATAAGTGATGATAATATATAGATGCATAACTTTTGTGTCAATAATTACTGTGCCTTAATATTAAAGTAAAGGGCGACAATAGCCCACGGGAGCTATAAAAGCCTAAATATGTGGAGGTAACGTATACTATAAATTTTATATTCATCACATGCATATAAATGCAATTAATTAATATGTATAAAATATATACATATGTACGTAGTTACTAATTATCTTTAATCCTTTCACCATCAAGCGTGTTATGCTAAACAAAAAGACTTGATATAATCAAGTTTTTTTTGTTTTATGACCTTTTTCATCCAAATTAGATTTTATACTCTGTATGAATAAAAATGAATTGAAAATCAAGTATCTTTTAATATGTGTAAGAAACCATAAACATATTAAAACAAAGCATGGTGGGATGTTGAAATATGTGGATTTTAAATTTAAATATATAGCAAATGAGTCTACAAGAAAATAAAGGCTAGCATAAATAGGATTATGTAACAAGCATGTGGAATCATTACAAGCTTCCAAAATTACATTAAAGTTTAACCAATCACTTCACAACCAAAAACTCATCACGATGGTGATGATGATACCCTCTAACCACATACGTTTCATTGATTTTGACATGGTGCCAAATGAGATACATCTCTTACTATTAGGAAGCTTCACCTAATATTCTCCCCCAGTTACCTTTTTTTGTCTCCATGCATACAAAAGTGAAAGGACTACATACATTCCTATTTATATTTATGGGTTTTTTTTTTTTTTTTGGTGAGCATATTTATGGGTTATTTTAATCCACGTTAAATTTAGTTTAGCTGCATTATATATTAATATTACACATGTATATGTACGTGAATTTGTTTCTTTTTACATGTAATTAATGTTTTTAAAATGAAACCTCTTGTTTTTGTAATCCCTTAATAGACAAACCATTAATTAAAAAATGTATATGTATTTCTAAGCTATTTTTAGTTATCCGATGCATAGTTTTCTCTTTTAAATTGAAGTAGTCTAATTATATCCTCATATTGATCGGTGTCATGGATACTTAAATTTACTTTCAGTAAACAAAATGTAGTAAATTTATAGCTGAGTAACATAATTCCTATTTTTTGGGAGGTTCTGGTCCAGAAAACTCAATACCAAAAAAGACTTATGAAAGTTTTTATATTCAAAACTAAAAAAATCGAATTAAAAGGTTGCGTAAGGATCAAATATTTATTACGAAATCAATATCAAGTAGATGAAATGCACACGAAGCATGTTACACCTTATTTTTTTTGTGGGTTTTAATCCTTTCACTATGAGTTTTTACACTAATAAATTTACGATTAACCAAGAGACGTACATAGAAGGAAAATGAGTGGATGTGAGTTAGTTTAATTTACCTCCATTGAGCCAAAGGAGGAGAGGTTTTTTGCTTGGATTATGAGTGGCTTCAAAGAACCAATAGAACAATGCTCTTCCATGTGTTTCATTAACCGTCACATAACCTGCGTATTGCCGGAATTTCACCGGTGGTTGTCCCGGAAGCTCCTTCACTCGATCAGCTTGTTGCGCCGCCAAAACCCTAGACCGGAAACAACCGTTGTCGCCGTCGTTGTCACTGCACAGCTTTTCTGCTGATGATAAGCCAAGCAGAAAGGACACAAGAAATAGGACAAGAACAGAGAACTCAACACTATGAGAACCCATTTCTTTTAATTTTATTATAATTTAATAAAATCGAATTTGTGGAAATTGTGAAGTGACTGTGTAAGTTTATATAATGTGGTGAGAGAGAGAGAGAATGGATTCAGAGACAGATAAGAACACTCTGTAGTCTCACTGGGTGGTAACCATATTCATAAGATAAGACACATGAGAAAAATCAAATTCTTGAAAAAGTAAAAAGATTTTGGATTTCTTTCTTTTGATAAAAAGATTTTTATTTATTCTTTCTTTATATAAAAAATATTTTAACTTCTTTCTTTTTAATTAGTTTGAATAAATTAATAATTGCAGTTTTATTAATAGAATGGTTTGATAAAAATTGAGCTTCCCTAATTTATTTATATGAATTTCTCTTTTTGTTTACACTAGAGGTGAAATATCTACACACGCAACTTGTGATCTGTCTTTACTCTTTAGTATCGTTTCTCTTTGGAATTATATGATTATCATTGTGTTGTAACCATTTCCTTAAGACGAAGACATCTAAAAAAATATGAATTGTGAAATAAGCAAGAAATTTTGTTTCTTTTCATATTAGTAATAATAGTAGCAAATTCTCTTTATAAAAATAGAAAGGTTTGTTAGAAATTGAGTTTCCCTTTTTATGGGCAATTTCTCTTTTTGTTATAGACTATAGATAAATAGAAAATACGTACAGACAGACGCAACTTGTGTTATATATGTCTCCAATATCGTTTTTGTATTATGATTGAGATAATTTTATATATAAACCAAAAACAAGATAATGTATAAAAAAATGTTAGAAAAATTGGAGATAATGAAGTGATTGGTCAATGAATTGGAATAGAAGGATCCAAATAAAAAGCAGAGCAGAGCGAAGAAAGTGACGGGACGGTTCATAAGATTATTTCTTAAGAGAGATTTGACCAATCACTGTTTTACTTCTCTCTCATGTTCGTCCCCCTTGAAATTAGCAACGACCGATCTACATAAATATTTTTGAAGTATAATATAATGTGTGAATTGTGATGTATGTGTATTTTGTTAAGTAAAAATACCTGTCATATAACAAAACAGAATGTTACGACTTTGATTGCGTAATAAAAGATTCAGTTTCTGTTTATATACGTCATAGAAGTAGTGTAGCTACATCTACATGTACTCATATCATACCTATATTCATTAAGAAGTGACGAGGCATTTATGTTACAATGTGAATGTGAAATGTTTACAAAAAAATATATATTTATGAACCTTTTGCTTGTACTTTTTTTTACTCCAAAAATGTTACAAATTTGATCTTAGACCATATTTATCGGGGCAACTATGGCCCTGTTCTAAGAGTTTTTAAATATTAAAACTGATGAAAAGTTGGGTTTGGGCTAGGAACGCGTTCTCCTGCGAGAACAGTTTGGAGCCATGTTCTTGTGTACGTGGCAGGCCGTCATTGGTCAGGAGATGTGGAAATGGAAAAAGTCTAGGCTTTTCTTTCTTTCCTTCTCTTTCCTCTTACATTATTAATATTTTTTCTCCCTTAAGATCAATCTTCAAAGATGCACCCTTGCATATGCCCTTACTAAGAGGCAAATTCGTGTGGTGCTTCGTCCATCGATCCTATAGAAACTCAAGGTTCGTAGTGTCCGTGAAGCCTCGGGATCAAATAACAAAGATTTCTGCGTACATTTGCTATGTAACAACAACTAACAACAGAACAACATAAAAGATTCAAAAAAATGTCTTCCAAGAATAATCGAAAACCAAAATATTGAAACACTCAGCGAAACGACATCGCACTGCTATAGTCCAAAGAAAACCGAGGAGCATGTTTTGAAACAGAGCCTTTCAAGTTTCAAGAAATAATAAAAGAGAAGTGGAGAAGTAGTTTAGCTCCATCTTCTTCGATCCTCCTCTTCGTTAACCGGAGTATACCATTCTGGGCGTCTCTTAGAGTTGCTCAGCCTGTAATTCAGCAATAGTTCCTCGTTACATAACGACCTCGTTGCCACCAAGACCAGTGTCTTCAGAACCGGAGCTTCTAACCCGTTTTTACTCCCTGTCTTAAACCAGAAGCTTCCAAATCTCTTCATCTTTATTTCTCCAGAATCCCCAAAAGATATATTCGGGATGTAAGGTCGCAGATCTTTCGCCATCAAGGGAAAGTCATAGGGACATATCATAACGTTTGGAGTCATTTCTTTTGACGGGTGGTTAGCTAAGTGACCAAGAGCCAACGGATTTCTCCTTTCAAGAATGTCTTTTGCTTTACCTGAACCTTCGAGAGGCTTGCTCAATGCTTTCCATAACCTGTCTGACCCATTTTCTGCGGTTTTGGTGTTTGCTTTAACCGCAGGTGTGTAGGACCCGTTCCATACTTCCCTTGATTCTCCCCCGAGACCCCAAGGCTGAGCGTTTATCACAGTTCCATCATACCTCGTGATGAGATACGAGTTCTGTGAATCAACCTTCGGGTACCCAGGAATGTATCTGTAGAAAGCAGGAGAGTAAATTACTCCAGGGTAAAAGGCTAAGACGGTTCCAACATCTGCTTCGCCTTTGATGAAACAACCTTGACCAGCGTCTTTGTGAGGTATTGCAGATGGTTTGATCTCGAGGGTATAGCCCATTTGATCCATTAATCTCTGTGAGACCTCATTGAGTTTCAAAGGCTTTGTCTCGGGAACAACTGTGCTGAAGAAGAATCAGTTAGAATACTAAGTAAGATGAGAGAAAAATATCAAGTAATAACTTCACAAATTGACTCAAGTAATGTAAAACACTTACGGGGCGTATCTGCAGCTGGAAAAGCATTATTACTACCAATGGCGAAAGTAAGACCACTTCTACGAGGAGGAGGGCTTGTAGATTGTGAACCCGACTCGTTATTCCTAACATCAGGAAGAAGGATTCCATCCATCAAAGAGCAGAAGTTTTCAACTTGGTAGTGAATGTTCTCTTGAACTTGCTTCTGCTGCTCAGATAAAGTGGCTTTACCAGCCATCTCAATGATTTCCTCTGCATCCGTCTCCTCAGCTTCTCGTCCCAACCGATTATAGCTAAACACAATTGGTTCTCATGAGCACAAAAAGTGGAAGAATTGATGACTTAAAAGGAACAGCTAGAGCTAAATTAAGGACTATTGAGTGTGACTCTTCTGAGACCAAAAAAAAAAAACCCCAACCTTGTATACATAAAGAGTTTGTTAACGTCTGCTTCAAATTGCAGTTGCCTTGGGTTCTTAGCAAATGTGGTACTCTTGGCAAGAACTCCAACAGCCTGCAAAACACAAAAGCAGCGGAAGAAGATTCGAAATCTCAATCACAACTGTCTAAAACCACTTACTAAAACCCTGCAAATCCCTAAGTACTAAAATGATCCTGTGAATCAACAAAATTGATCAAATGAGCAAACTCCATTAGACATTTAACACCAAAAAAACGATACTTTACGGTTCTCCTTAGCCTAATTTAATTTCTTCTAATCTTAATTCTTCCAACAAATGGATGCAAATCGAAAAGACTAAATCCGAACAAAAAATTCATACTTTCTTCGTACCCAGTATTAGAAACTCGTGCCAGAGAGGAAAAATTCGAAAGGATCAAACACAGAAGCAAGAGATTCATTAACCTGCTGAAATTTGTTGAAAAGAGTCGCCATTTATAGTTTTCTTTCCTTAGAAACGATTCTCCACCCTCTTTGTTACAAGGATTGCAAGAAATTACTGTAGAACATCAGACAGGAATCACGAGAGCTTGGGTCGAAGAATCAAAAACCTCCATTGATGAAGAAGACTGCATCTAGTTCTTACTTACTCGGTAGCATACCTCCATGGGCAGGCTCCAGCACCATGGTTGGGCCAAATTCTTACTAATGGGCCGAAAATAGAGCTTCTAGGGCCTCTTTATATTCTTGTCCCATATTTTTGTCTTTTTTTTCTTCCGTTTACTAACTTTCTTATATGAATGTGAATTAGTTATTTAACTTTAGCTTTATTGTTGAGCAACCACGTCCTTTGTACGTAAGTTATGTTTATTCAATCTGGATGAACCGATTCGATTCAAACCAATTGGAACTGAAAAACTCGATCCAAAAACCGGAATAAATGTTTTTGATTCAAAAACCGAAACATAGTTTAACAAATAGATTCATGTTTTCTATGGAAAAAGAAAAAGCCAATAACCCGAATTTATTTGAAAAATTAAAGATACATTTGAGTACAACCTGAATTTGAACCGCAAATGTAAAACAATTTATAAAACAATGCGCTAACTGTTAAAACATGTTGCCTATCTTGTATACTTAATAATACACAAATCGCTGAATTTTTAAACACACACGGTACATGGTCACATTGAAATTATGTACAATTTGTCACTCTTCAAAAATGCAACCAAAGATATCATTACAATTATCCAAAGAAATAGGAGTACCAGTAACCTGAGTTGATCTCTAGCACGACTGAGTAAACTATGCACACCTTCAACAACGAATTATCATTTTCTATACTAAAGATATTAGATACCTACATTTTATTTGGTTTATTGGGAATATACAATTCATTAATTCTCTCATAAATTTTTGTTTTTAGAGAAAAGCAAACGTGGACGGAAGCAAAAAAGCTAAATATAGAATGGAGAGAAATTGTATTAACTTAGGTTACCCATCGCCAACAACCTCTCATCTCCTTTCCTAAACTATTTCACAATTTTGGTCAAAAACACAATCTAAACCCTATTTTTTTTTATTTAAACCCCTAAAAAGATTCGACCTTTGAAATTCCCAAAAACAGAAGCAAAACCCCCAAAAGAACCCTACTTATAGTGAAAGAAAAGTAACATAATATACACGAGAACCAAGAGCCACTTGAATATAAAGTTCACAGTTTTTGTCTGCTCACCAAATCAAACCAATTTCTCCTGAGAGCCAAAGTTTTTTGTCACCCACAAGAAACTCATGCAACATTCTTCACCCACTAGCTAACTAACGACTTCCATTGTTATTAATCCCTCTTCCGATTCTTCATTTCTGAGAACTCATCACTCTCTTTTCTCTTTGTCACAATGAATTTCAATTCTTCTTACAATCTCACTTTCAATGACGTTTTCTTCTCTTCTTCTTCCTCCGCTGACCCTCTGGTTTCACGGAGGCTGTTTCTCTTGAGAGATGTTCAGGTTCTTGAGCTCCTTATTGCCCTTTTCGTCTTTGTCACTATACATTCCTTGCGTCAGAAGAAATATCAAGGTCTTCCTGTTTGGCCGTTTCTCGGGATGCTTCCTTCTCTAGCTTTTGGCCTCCGAGGCAACATATACGAGTGGCTATCCGATGTTCTCTGTCTGCAGAACGGTACTTTCCAATTCAGAGGTCCTTGGTTTAGCAGCCTCAACAGCACTATTACCTGCGACCCAAGAAACGTTGAACATCTCCTCAAGAACCGTTTCTCTGTCTTCCCTAAAGGTTCTTACTTCCGAGACAATCTCCGAGACCTCCTAGGCGACGGAATATTCAACGCGGATGATGAAACATGGCAGAGGCAGAGGAAAACAGCGAGCATCGAGTTTCATTCAGCTAAATTCAGACAACTAACCACTCAATCTTTGTTTGAGCTCGTGCACAAGAGGCTCTTACCGGTTCTTGAGACTTCGGTTAAGAGCTCGTCTCCTATCGATCTACAAGACGTCTTGTTGAGGCTAACATTCGATAACGTATGTATGATTGCTTTTGGAGTCGATCCAGGATGTCTTGGTCCTGATCAACCAGTGATTCCTTTTGCCAAAGCCTTCGAGGACGCAACCGAAGCAGCGGTTGTGAGATTCGTCATGCCTACTTGCGTGTGGAAGTTCATGAGGTATCTTAATTTCGGAACAGAGAAGAAGCTAAAGGAATCAATAAAGGGTGTGGATGATTTCGCTGAAGAAGTTATCAGGACAAGGAAGAAAGAGCTCTCTCTTGAGGGTGAAACTACAAAAAGATCGGATCTCTTAACTGTGTTTATGGGTCTGAGAGATGAGAAAGGAGAGAGCTTTTCAGACAAGTTTCTTCGTGATATCTGTGTGAACTTCATACTTGCTGGAAGAGATACTTCTTCTGTGGCTCTGAGCTGGTTTTTCTGGTTGCTAGAGAAGAATCCAGAGGTCGAAGAGAAGATCATGGTGGAGATGTGTAGGATTCTGAGGCAGAGAGATGACCATGGAAATGCAGAGAAGAGAGATTATGAACCTGTCTTTGGACCAGAAGAGATTAAGAAGATGGATTATCTACAAGCTGCTTTGTCTGAAGCTCTCAGACTGTATCCTTCAGTTCCTGTGGACCACAAAGAGGTAATTTTTAACTAAATGTGCTCTGTTTTTACCTAATCTTTATTAATTGCTTTCCAAGAAACCCAATTTGATTAAATCTCAAACAAATAACATTTAGAAATTAAACACTTGCTGGTTATAGTTCTTTTTAAGATATAGTAGTATGAACCCTTGGTAACATAGGATCGTATAAACTAATTCAAAACCCTTTCGACGAGAAAAGGACTACAGAATTTTTAAAAATCCTATTTCTGGTTGGTTTATAATACAGGTGACCTAATCAGTAAACAGACAAAGTTAATGAAGAAGTTCTTGGGAAGACACCTAATTAATACTTGTATACAAGTATCTTAAAAAATCATTCTTCAAAAAAGAAAGAAATAACAACCATTTTGACTTCTTGGTAACCAATAAGAATGTCATGTTTTGCTGTGTCCCCATGAAATATCTGACCACGAACTCATTCATATTAAATTTTCTATTACCTGGCGCGTGAAGATACTATAGAGTTGCTGAAATTTATTATCTTGTTATTATTATTCAGGTTCAAGAAGACGACGTATTTCCTGATGGAACAATGTTGAAGAAGGGAGAGAAAGTTATATACGCGATTTACGCAATGGGTCGGATGGAAGCTATTTGGGGAAAAGACTGTCGTGAGTTTAGGCCAGAGAGGTGGCTAAGAGACGGACGGTTCATGAGTGAGTCGGCCTATAAATTCACGGCCTTTAACGGCGGTCCACGCCTTTGTCTAGGCAAAGATTTTGCCTATTATCAGATGAAATCTACCGCGGCCGCAATAGTTTACCGGTACAAGGTGAAGGTGGTGAATGGTCACAAGGTGGAGCCGAAGTTGGCACTCACAATGTACATGAAACATGGTTTGATGGTGAATTTGATCAATAGGAGTGTCTCCGAGATAGATCAATACTATGCCAAGTCTTTTGATGAAGGTTATATTAATTAGTGTTTTAATGTTTTGAGATTTGTTAATTGATTAAGTTAATGATCATAAGAAGATTGTGTGCTTATTTTTAGTTAATTTGAATTTTTCAAGTATGTTTTTTTTTTCTTTTCTTTTTTCCACTTTGTTATAGATGTGTATAGTCAGTCTATGGGTTTATGTGTACGTGGAAATGTGGAGGAAGTTGAATGGGTTATACTAATATGTGGACCAATTATGGGTTGTTGTTAGGAAATTAGTTGGTGGGGCTTGTAATATGATAATAAATTTATTACTTGGAATTTTAATTTTATTTCTATGCGTATATAATATTTTTATTAGGCACAATGACATAATCAGTTTGGAATTCAATTTGGAAACGATCGAACTTTTTTTTTTTGAAATCCTAAAGAATCTAACACTAATCCTTTGTCAAAACTCTTTAACACTTTGAAAATCAAGATCATAATAGAATCGAAAGTACATCATTACTAGACATATAACAAAACAAAATATACGTATAAGTTTATAGGTATATAGTATAGTTTTTGCAATTGTATACGTCTATGCATTCCGTTGAACGTTTACACATATCGGTGGACGTCCATACCAAATAAAAAATACGTTTTCAAATAAGTTAAATAAAGTCACGTCGCAATAACTTTTGCATGTGTCTCTATGACCTCTGCCATTTTCAGAGTTTTGAACAGTGTAGAAGTGGTATTTAATTAATTTCACTAAATAAAATCTAAACAGCTCTTTCATTTTGCATGTGTCTCTATGAACTCTGCCCAGTGCCGTGCCTACTCCTTTGGAAAAAAGGCAACCGCCTAAGGCCACATTGTTATCTACTAATTTTTAGGCCACACTTGCATTTGTTTTTCAGTCCAATGGTTTGTTTTTATCATCAAATAGTATTGCCGTGAGTTCGAGTAGTGACACTGCTAACATTTTCTCATAGTTTTGACCAACTTTTTTTGATAATATAGAAATTTCTACATCTATAATGTAGTTTTATTTAACCATTACAAAAACCTTAGATTATATTTTCATTATTAGTTTTTCTAAGAATAATTTATAGGCCACATTTAAATTTTTTGCCATAGGCCTCTCCAGTTGTAGGCACGGCACTGACTCTGCCATTGTCATCGTCTATCAGAAGGTATTACTTTTCATTCTTAATTCGTTTCCTGATAGTTTATAAACTTAGTTTACATCTAATCTCATTGGTCGGCAATTTTAAAGACAGAATTGTCTTATTATGAAACCGCGTGTATCTACAACTTTGTCTTTGTTGCTTAATTGCATACAAGTGACCTAATTCGCTTGAAAATTCGATCACACGTGATCTACAACTACAAGACATGATTGAATTTTTTGGATGATGTAAATCAGCTTTCAATACGCACTCTTGAAGGTTGAGAATCATAAGCATTCCCTTATCTTCTGGTCAAGAGCTCGTCTCTTTCTTGAAGGTTGAGAAGCCAACTTGCAATCCACTCTGCTTCATCAATACCCAAACAAGTCGGATTCTCAACCTTAAAGAAGAAGAGCTAGCTCTCGACCAGAAGGTAAGGGCCGGGAGTGCTTATGACATGTTTCTTTGCCTCATCATCTTCATCATCTGAAGAGTCAGTCTCTTCACCAGAAGAACCAGATTCATTTTAAGTTGAACCAGACTCTTCTTCTTCTTCGTATGAAGATGCCAACGCCGTCGGAGGATTCTCGATTTCATCCGGCTGCTTGGGTGCCATATTTTAATTTACTTCTTCTCCAGATGCAAGACTCTTCTTCTCCTTTTTGTTTGCTTTCTGAGGATTATATATAAACTTTGTTATAAATGACAGTAACGCTTAGGGTTCCAAGTCATATTTAATTCATGTAATTTAATTGGTATTAACAAATAACTTTGGAAATGAAATATTTTTAATGGCGGGATTAAGTATCTCTTAGGCTACCTTCTAGCACTTTGGAAATAATATACATTTAACTAAAAGAAAATTTATAGTGTTTCAATTTTCTAAGAGTTTACGTAAGGCAATTTTTTTTATTACAAATATACAATTTAAAAAACTACAACGTAAGTCTAAAATTAGGCCTAGGCGTTCGGATATTCGGGTCGGGTTCAGGTCGGGTTTTTCGGGTTCGGGTTTGTCGGGTTTAGAAAACTAAAACCCGTTCGGATATTTTAAAACTTCGGGTTCGGATCGGGTTCAGGTCGGGTATTTCGGGTTCGGATTCAGGTTTACCCGAAGTATCCAAATATTAAAAAATTTGTATCCGATTATATGCAAAGTATTGAAAAATACTCAAAAAATCTATAAAACCCAAGTATTTTTTATCCGAATCTAGCCAAAAGTAGCTAAAACAGCCGAAAATATCTTAACATCCGAATAATTTAGGCGCTTAGGTTATTACAAGTATAAATATTACTATTATATTATAACTATGTACTTATATTTCGGGTATATTCGGGTACTTGTTCGGGTTCGGGTTCGGATCGGGTTCGGATTCGGATTTTTGGGTTGTGAAGTTTAGAACCCGTTCCGGTATTTTAAAACTTTGGATTCGGGTTCGGATTGGGTTCGGTTCGGTTCTTCGGATTCGGGTATTGGTCTACCAAAATACTTCTTTTCAGGGTGATGATCGACCTATGAGAGCAGGTGAATTTAAAACTACGTACTCCTGACATTTTCTCGTGAGTGGAAAGCTTGTGGCCATCTTGAAATTCCATTGGTAAACGGTATTTGCTATAAAATAAGTCAATAACTCAACGTAACATAGATTTCATTCTTTGTCTCTTTTTCAATATGTCTTGTTCCCTGTATCCATGTTAACAGAATGTATGCAGTTTGTTTTAAGTGCTACACAGCAGCAGGACCTTAAAATCTGTTGCAGACTTGCAGCCGCGAGAAGAACATGTAATTGTGCGTCTAGGGAGACTCTCAATACTATATGAAGTTGAGCGTAAGCAAATAAGATTCTCAGTTAAACATAAGAAGACTTGCCGAAGCTCAAAGGTTATTTGATGCATATCTCTAAGTCTTTGAGGCTATATATAGTCAAAAGACGGTTTCATACTTATGGACCCGTTAAATATGTTTGTTATTCAGTCTTATACACTTCTGGATGATCATCAAGTATAGTCTCAAGACGACTCTCAAGCCTCAACAACATATATGAATTTCAGTTCAAATAAGTGTTTGCTGTTTCATTCACTTTACCTTTCTTTTTTTTGGTAAGAATTCACTTTACTTGTTAATCACTGCGACTCACTTTTCTTCGGTAACCTAAACATACCGGTTAAGGCGGTTAGGCCAACAACATATGAAACAAATTGTTAAACATAGGGGAATCAGCTTTTAACCTTAAACTTTGAACCCAACTATCTCAAAAGCATGAAAAATGTCCGAAAAGAATATGAAAAAAGCACCACTTATCATCATTACTCTATAAAACAATGTTTAAAAATAAAAAAAGCTTTATATTCTTTCTTCCTTTTGCTTTTCTCAATAATTTTCGAATTATATCATTTTTTCAACTTTATTCTTTTACACGTATAAACACACACAATCTTCTTTCTTTCTCTCTGCAAATTTACCGATGAAGGAGTTCGATTACGACAAGCTTGTCACTGCCACAGATCGATTCTCTCCTTCGCAACTCATCGGTAAAGGAAGCCATGGCTATGTTTATAAAGCCCTTCTTCATCACCATAACCACGACGACAAACATCAAAGAGTCGTAGCCATTAAAGCACCATCATCATTATCATTATCTCTCTCATCATCATCATCCAAATCAGAACAAACGAAGAAACTAGAAAACGAGATCAATGTTATGTCATCGTTACCATATCACCCACACGTTTTGAGCTTTTTAGGTCATGCCCAGAAAAAACTCATGGTCGTTGAGTACATGCCAAACGGATCGTTACACCAGTTATTACACGTGTCAGCTGATCCTCTTCCCACTTGGCTTAAACGCATCGAAATCGCTCTTCAGATCGCGAGTGCGGTTCACTTCCTTCATGAACAAGGTATCATCCACCGTGATATCAAATCGGAAAACGTTTTGTTTGATTCAAATTGGGAAGCGAAGCTCGCTGACTTCGGACTCGCCGTTGATTTGGGAGGTGATAAGACGAGACCGGCGCCGGCGGGAACTATTGGATACTTAGATCCGTGTTACACGTTACCGGAGAATCTGAGTGTGAAGACTGATGTTTATAGTTACGGTGTCGTTTTGTTGGAGATTGTTAGTTGTCGAAAAGCTATCGAGGTCTCTTGTTCCCCGTCGTCGATAGTGGACTGGGCGGTTCCGTTGATTAAAGAAGGGAGGATCGGAGAAATCTGCGGCGGAGGAGGAGGATCGGCTGTTTTCCGGGGAATGAATCTACGGTTGTTGCGTATGGCGGCGAGATGCGTTTCTTCCGACGTGGAATCACGTCCGTGTTTCGGGGAGATCACGGCGGAGATAGTTGCGTGTTTGGCGGAACCGTTGAAGAGTTTGCCGTTATGGATTAGCGTTTTGCGTCGAGTTGTTAAACTGAAACGGCGGAAAAAACGGTTGAGAGAAACGCTGACGTGGCCGGGTCAAACTTGCCGCGTTTGGTGAGATTTATGAAAGCCGGGTCAAATGTAGAGTCGGGTCGGGTTCAAAGGATGGTTACAAAAACAAACATCCAAATCCAAGCAGAAGAACACTCGCGAAAAAGAATGATATAGCATTTAATTTTGTTATCCCTTCGGATAATGTAACCATTAATCCATTATTATTAATTCAGTCGTGATCGATTGATATATTTAACCGTTGTTGGTCTAGTGAGTTTTGATATTTTCCTAAATTTCATTTCAAACTTGTTAGGATAAAATCAATTTTGATTTGGGTTCAAACTTACACATGTAAAGTTCAAAATGTGGTAAAATGGGTAATAACTCTCTCTTTCTCTTATAAACCTTCTCTCCAAATAGCAGTGCATTTATTTTTTGTTAACAACGGTCTTCATATAAGTCCTCGAAAATAACAACTAAATCTTTGAAACACACAATTGTATAACTTTCTTGCATTAGCTCGTTAGCATTTACTTGGACTCTTGTATCCAGAATCAGAGTACACATTTATTTACATGTTATTTTCTTGATTTACACTCAAAAGAAAGTCATCCACCAAAATAACCCAACTTCTTTTCTTGTGGCCTAAGATTCAAACCAAAGTTTTTTTTGTTGTTGGTTAAAGTACGAAAGTTATTCATTGTGGAATAAAATGTAAGTGGGTTTAGGGCCCAGACGAAAAACTAAAAAGATCGCGAAACAATGAGTTTATGTAAACTTGGTTTAGTCAGTACATTGTCTACAAATTTATCAAAGAATTTCAATTTGAACCTTTCAAACATAATATAATATAATAAACTCTTAAGAAAGTAGAAACGTGGACACGACCATAACTCTTAAGACAGACTTTGGCTGGCCACCAGCAAAATCCTCTATTTTTTGTGTTGATTCTTCTTCACTAAGATTTTCGTATCAAATATTGTTTGACGAATAAAGGAGAAAGGGACAAGCTGCAATATTCTTCTTGAATACTGTAAATGAAGATATTTCAACTAGTAATTTTTTTGTAATTTAAGTTTCTTAACAAAATTGAGTTAATTTGTTTCTTATAAAAAAGTTTTTTTAACAAGATTAAAAGCAACAATGGACATAGGAGATGGGTGGATGATACAAGGATAAGTTTGATTAGATAATAACAAAATAGAAACCAACTTTCAGTCGATTTGTTTTCCAGACTTCTAGATCGATTAAAAGAGTATGGTTTGGAAAGTTAACCCGTTGCTAGCTTTAGAATTATTTTGTCATCATTTTCATGGACCGATAACGACATATTCATCCAATTTCGATCAAGTTGTACTAGGTTATTTTAGCTAGGGCTAGACACAATTTCATGTTATCCAACTCGTAGCCATATAAGAATTACCACGATCCCCAAACTATGGACCAATCGTCTTCCGACTTATTGGTCGAGTAGCAAGATTCATGTGCTATCGCAAGCAACGTGTGAAAAGATTCAAAATATATCAATAATGATCAAGATAGTTTTTAAGACACGAAAGAACTATAGTACATGACATCAATTTTTTTGTTTTTGTATATGATATGACATCATATTAGACTAATGTTTATAACAAAACTGTCATAACAATCTACAAAATATACTATTCAACTCCTAAGGCACGACCGTAATTATATTTTTTTTATCGTATATATTTCCGAAAGCGTGCGAACACTATCACAAATATTTCAATTAATAAAAAATGGGATATAATTCCAACCGTTCCAAATCATATATTAATGTCCAAGTCTCACACAAATGTTAGCATTTCTGGATATTTCTCTTCAACTTCTAATGGGCAAACCGGAGAGGAAAGTCCGAGAGAGAATAAACTCTTCGTCTTCTTACTTTCTTCGCTGTTTCGGGGTTTCTCGGAAAATTCACTCAGACAAACCAATAGTAGATGCTGGTCAAGAGACGCAGAAGACGAAGAAGAAGACGAGAACTCGTTGGTTTTCGCGGCCAACAAAATTTCGTTTGAAGGAGGAGATCACACCGGCGCCGATTTATAAGTCGGAGAAACAAAACTCGACTGATGAAGATGATAAGCAAAATCTGTTTCGGGTGATACGTCATGTGACCGATCGGAAAAATGTTGCGACTAGTGGTTATAAGGCCGTTGATAATGAAAGTAACGAGGTATTGCTTAATTTTTCTTACTGAACTACTTTTTTTTTGTGGATATTTTTACATAACAAACACAGAAAAATTTGTTTATCTACGTAAATATTTTTGTATCTTACTTACCGTTCTATTTCAGGAAAAAAATTACTTGACAATAACATTGTTTTCCCTTATTTTTACTTCGTTTTTTGGTTATAATTGTTTTTTTCTTTAACATTTCCATTTTTTTTCAGAAAGACACGAACGAACGAAGAGACATAAATCCGGATCCATTGAGTTTCTTAGGGTATGATGACACGTTTCACGAACGGGTATCAACAGACGGGAAACTTGACCCGACTAATATCGTCGGGTCGGGATCCAAGCCGAAGGAAATAAGGGAGAAGTCGTCGTCAAGGGTCAGAAAAGGGTCCCGGGTGGCTAAGCTTGACCCGGTAATTGGGATATCAATCATAATGTTAACGCTAATGATAATGTTGACGTGGGGACGTTTGTGTGCGATACTTTGTACATCCACTTGGTGCTACATTCTCCCTCGTCTCAAAGAAGCTGCCACTGCGGTTGCGGTGGCCAAACGCAAACGCAGTGGTAGCGGTAAAGGTGAAGAGGGGTTGTTTCCAGGTGATCTGGATTTGAACTCCGAGGCTTACAAGAAGAAAGTCGTTATGGAAGGATTTCTTGTTCGGCAACACCGCGTTTCGCTGTGACAACGTTTCAATTGTTTTCTATTATTTTAATTTTTTTTCCTCAAATTTTAAAGGTGTAAATTTCTGTTTACTTGTTGATTTTGTCTGGTCGTAACTTCCATTTTTTTGACATTGCGAAAATGTGTATGAAAACTATAAATACTAATCACGATTGCTATAAAAACCATAATATTTCGAAACTTGACACTTCGTTGAAATAATCTGTTGACCACGTTTCTACTATTAGTCAGGGTTGTTATTAACTAGAAGTCTAGAAGTGATGTTGAATCATGAAGTTTCAGTCGAATTAGGGGCTAATTACTCAAATGTTATCTTCTTTTTGTTCAATTAATCAGTAAAATTTGAAGCTAAAAGGACATATGTTGCTTGTAATTAAGTGTAAACAAAAGCTTTTTGTCAGCCTGAGGCTACAGTGAACATACTTCGATTTAAGTATTAGGCTGCAAGATTGGTTAACAGTTTGATGTGATTACATTCGTTAAAATAAATGTAATCTTTTTGGCCGTTTCTTTATATCGCATTTGGTGATATGAATGAAGATCTTTGGCAGCGGTATCCAAGACAAGCAGGGCTGACAACATAAACATGTACACATTTTTGTGACAAAACGTTGAATAACTTCGTTAAATTCCTTGTTTCTGTGGGTTTCACTTTCATTGGTGTGAGGATATATGTTAAGTCTATTTTTGTTTTCACTACATAGAGAGGTTTACTAATAAGAGTTTGATCAAAGCTTAGACTACACTCTCCAATATTAATATTGGGACCTTTTGGTAGATTAAAATGCCTAAGTTTTTAATAATGAAGTGTAAAAAAACCTATGTTGACGTACGAGTTTGTTAATTACAAGCCCTATTAACTAATTTGGTAAAACGACATATCTGGCATAACTAAAAGATATATCAACATTCATAGAACATGATAGTTTCAGAAGCTAAATGATTTGGCTTAACTTAATTTCCCTATCCCAGAAGAGTTATAATTGAAAAGCTTATGACCTTGTCAGTGATGACAAATACTAACCTCCAAATTCAAGAGACTGAACCATTAAGTCAAGATATCAATCGTCTAAAGCCTAGTCGGTTCCTGAACCAATCTCAGAACTACAACACCTGAAAAACAACCACATAACAAACTAGGATTGATTGTAGCTATTCCAAGTAACAAATCTCTCTAATCAATGTCCATTTTACGTTCTCTTTATGTTCTTTGTTAGTTCACTTTACAGTACAAGGAAGACAGAGAGTAGGCTCAGAACAAGAGAGAATTTTTACCTCATGCTTTTGCAAAATCTGATCAGGACCACCTTGCATAGAATCCATCTCTTATGTTTGCATACAGTTCCTAGCACGACGATTGCCAGCATTCCAGATGGTTCAGCTCTGTACCAAAGGCCTGTTGCAAGATGCAAGTCACTCAACACCTTTAAGAAGACATTTTCTCGCAGTTGAAGTCAAGACAAACACAAGTACATCCAAACCTATCCCCAAAGGCATTTGATAACACAACACAAATAAAAGCCGACTTAATGCAAATCAAGTAGGTAACTATTATGGCAGTCTGATCTGACGAAACCCTCACACGTATACTTAGCTTGATCGTCTGCTGATGCAAATATGTAATTTCTTTGGTGAATACTCTTAAAAGAAAACATGTCAGTTGACTTAATTAATTCCCTCAAAAAAGTCATTTGTGTAAAAAAAACAAAGATTAAACATCCAATACAGAACCCCTCTCAATCACTGATACTTCTTTATCCACACCAAACGGTTATGTTATTAAGCATACCTCTTGCTGTTCATCATGAAACATGTGATGAGACTACGTGTGTGATTCTCAATCTAGTACCTAATCTAACTAGTACCTAATCTAACTGTATGCTCCCCACCTTTGAACGTACTTAACAAAACAAGCAAACAGTAGTTTGACAGAATAAAAGGACCAAGAGACCATATACGTGAGCAAAATAAGTACTGAATCATAACACTCAGACCATAACTGAAGAAAGTAAAGTGTTTTCGAATAAAAGAAATACATACACATACACACATATAGGGGATGCAAAAGAGTGGAGAGTTGGCATAAATGGATTGCTAGAGGAGAGGCTACATGTTTATCTTGACCGTATCTAGTGGTTAAGACAAAGTGCCAAATATCAAACTGTGGTATTAGGGATCGAAACCCAGAGATATATGTCAAAGAGCAAGCAAGAAGCATCTAACGCTACAAACCCAAATATGACAGAAAGGCTGTACCACTTTGAAGATATATGTATGATGACAAACGCTTTTCAAAACCAAAGACTATAAAGCTATAGAGCGCAGCCTAAAAAGTAGCACAATATATTCACGTGTGCAACCCCCACAACCACTTAAACAGGTATGTTCATGCCAATTGAACAAGACAGGCGTGTGAGGCAGCTGCAAACACATGTTTAATAAAAAAAATTAAGAACAGTGTTGTTTTAAACACATTATAAGCCAAGCCATGAAGATCATGAGCTCATTATTAGGTAATTCAAATCCTTGCCCAAGTTTCCTCCTCTTTCTTTTTACCTTCTAACATTGGAATATGTACTTAAAAAGGAAAAGAAAAGAAAATGGTCTTCTGAGAAATCGAATGGAGCAAACACTTCATCAAGTGCTCATCATAATTATAAAGCAAAACCTCGTTATGTCACTAGCACACACATGGTTTGAGCGTAGAACATATAATTTCAGACAAACAATAGAAACCAGTACCTCACAAGTCTTCGACATATTTCTTCAGATCAGCAATGCAAAGAAAATCAATATGGAGATTCTTGTATAATGGACAGACTGGAGCCACAATTGTTTAGAATTGCATGCTTCTTGTTCCTGCTAAAAATATGAGGCAGCGAGACATGACTTATCTCCAGAGGAGAAAAGACATGAGAACAGAAAACTACGAGAATAAATAAGGAAATTTTGAAGCATACGAGAAAGTAGTTATAGCAAGGTCTACAATTGCAGCTAACATATATATAGACCTAAAGGGACGTTACTCATTCAAAGAACAGGATACAGACTAAGCAATAGGTCTCTCTTGTCTAGGAACCGACAAGGGAGAAAACACAAGGCGTGCACTAAATATTCTTGCCACCTAAGACTGCTCCACTAGTCAAGTACACTCTTAACAATGTATTCATCAATATGATTTCTCAGATACCAGCAAAGATTACAGAGCTATGTTTGACTATGAAGTTCAAATTTCATTCCAGTAAAAGCTTTGAGCACATTGTGATTGGCATAATTACAGGAACTGAAGTACTAACCATAAAAAAACAGGAACCTATACTGTTAAGAATATGATCCACAGATACATTTGTCAGGAAAAAATACACTATACAGAATCCTGGCAAAAGCCTGCAGTAGTTTTTGTGCCTCTGGAAGTGGATATATCCGAAAAAGTCCTCCATGGAAGAGAAAGTAGTATAACTGTAACTGTCTGATGACAACACTGATAAAAGACTTGACTTTAGTATTTAGAAAATCAAACCTAGAGGAATAACCTTGTTAATGAGACTAGCAGCTTCTTTTCCATTGATACTAACAGGAGCAGACCAACAAAATTTTACATTCACTTCAAGCTGGCCTCCAACAATTCACGGTAGGTATATCTGGCCGAGATGGTAGCATCTGGGGAGCAGCATGACCTTAAATGGGTAATTTAAAATGGTAAGGCAAGCACAAAGGTTTCTGACTGTGTTGAGAGTCTACAATCAGATGAATTGACTAATATAGTCTCACCTGGAATTGCAGGGGCAGCTTGTAAGTTACTAGCAGCAGAAGGTTGATAGTTCATTGTCCCTGAAGGTGGACGTTCTGGAGGTGGCCGAAAGAAACCTGTAGAATTGCAAATAAGACCATCAATTTCAAGGAACTAAGCCATGGCACAAACATACAAGCTAGACAATCATAATCAACAGAAGTATCAAAAAAATCATAACTACACAAGCAATCACGTAACCTAAGTTGATAAACCACAACAGGTAAAGAATCTATTAGGATTTAAGCATCTACATACCATCTGTGACTCTAGGAAGGCCTGGATGTGAATTTCTTCCACGTATCCAGGCACCACTCTGATTTTCTGCACTATGTCCACTTGAAGGAATCCGCCATGGTTCCTCATTTCTGTATCGCCGTCCATCATCACGTTGAGGTGGGAAAGAGTAAGGATGAGTGTAGGAATGCTGAGATTGTGATTGAACATGGCTTGGATACGAAAAATGACTGGACGGTGCTGAAGGCAGCCTAACCATAGGTCTTTGGGATAGAGGGGTGCTCGGCTGAAACCGATGGTTCTGTGAAGAAGCATCAGGATTAAAAAGTACATCGCTGCTCCCAAATTCTAGTTGTCTGGAGGAAGTAAATGATGAAGGTTCCCTGGAGCTGCACACTCCTGCTGGTGAAAAACTAGATGACTGTTGCACAAAATATTCGGGTTTTCCAGCACCCTCAACATGACTTCCACGTGAAGAATTTCCAGGCCCTTGGACAATTTGATCACCCTGCACATGATGTCCAGGGGGTTTAAACATAAATGATAAAAGATGCATATGTATAGTAAGGAATCATGATGCATAATCATGGTGCATATCAGCATGTGTATAGTAAGGAATCATGAGTAACATCAAACAGAATAAATCAAAGAACTTACAGTGAAAATACTACAGCGGTCTTGCTGCATAGATCCTGGGTATGTTTGATGCGATAGAGGATATGCTGGGGGAGGAAATCCTGGTTGAAATGGTAACTGATGGTGGCCAGCTATGGATTGTTGAGTTGTTAATGATGCTGAAAAAGCTATAGATTGTGAAGGAGGTGGAGGTGGAGGCGGCGGTGAAGGCGGAGGTGAAAGGGGCGGTGGTGGTGGAGGCTGAGACTGAGGTGGGAAGTGCGCTGCGGGGGGCGGTGGTGGCAGTAATGGAGGCGGAGATGACGGCGGAGGAGGAGGGGATGGAGGTGGGGGAGAAGGTGGTAGAGGAGGGGTAGACGGAGGTGATTCGTGAGGTAGCGGAGGAGTATCCTCTGGAAGAGGATTGACCTCAGTTGATTTTTCTGCAACTGGTTCCATAACTTCCAGTGACTGCTCCTTTGTCTCATTCTCACACAAAGAGGAAGGTGCTACATCTTTCCGCTGGCCAGATACATCTTCCATTTCCAGTTCATGATCTACATCCTCCAAAACTCGATGGCATTTATCACTCGAAATATCTTGTATTTCCAGGTCGTCTAAAACATTGTTACGCTCCCCCGCAGATGTGCTTTTTGCTTTTTGTGACGTTGGAAGATCGTCATCTTCTTCATCATCTTCAAAATTATGAGATGAAAAAAACCCAGGCAGCTGAAATGTTGCATTGCTGCAGAAAAAATGGTAAACAGGTTCATAAACCCTCTACAGAATGGCACTAAACACATCTCTAACAACTCTTCAGTGAAATAAATTTCCTGACTTTGCATGTTCTTTTGTCATCAGTAATATATATAATCCGGAGAGCACACTACTAAGCAAGACACTCGTTTAACATACCTGCCATACTCATCAACAAGCATCCCTTCCATTTCCCTGATAGGATCATCTACAGCGCGCTCAGATCTAGAAGGACGTCGCAGGGAAAATCCAACAGTTGCGTCATCACCAGAAGCTCTAATATCATCAATATAACGCCGCAGAAGAGATTCAGGGAAAACTTTCCTTTCAAGCCACAACTTCAGAACCTAAGAAAGCAAAGAGGTCACTGACTCCAGCCTACAAAAAAATAAAGATAACCTAGAAACAAGTAAATAGTATGAGTACCTTCAGACATTTACGGCGGTTATCACTAGCACCAGTCCCTGGAGGAGCAGCGGCACCTAAAAGACGTGGCAAAGCAGCTTGCACAGTAGGAACGTAAGAAGCACCAGCAATACCTACAAAAAAAATTCAGATGCATTAGCAATTATTTATCTTGTAGGTAGAAATAATTTCTGATAACAAATATATATGGTGTTCTCTTTGAATGCAGTCAAAAACAATACAACAAAATCTAAATATAACTAGCATTTCAGGAAGTGAAAATTTGAGAACAGGTATTGCATCTATTCAAGAGGAAAGCTCACCTTTTTGGCTGTGCGAATACTGGGTGATAGAGTCAACGAGAAAGAACAAGTCCACTTTACGATAGAAGTGAGATTCACTTTCCAACTTTCGTATGAGAAGTTCCACCACCTATATAAGAACACAAACAAATTTCCCAACTAAAGCATCTATTGTGAAAGCTGTTAATAATTTTGTGAAAGCAATTTACGTAGCAAGCTAAACATCCAATAAGTTAAGCCGGAATAAGTGCAATTCTAAATTGATTTGATATGTGCAGCCTAACACTAAGTTTGTCGAAGCCTTAAGAAAAAACATAATGAAAAACCAAACAACCATCTTACCTCACTAGCAAGCCCATACTTGGCACAATCAATTGCTAGGCGAGTTGCACGTCCAATACTTTCCCTAGTTCTTGATAAGGTCTCTAGCATGCCTTCAAAAGCATCCCGGGAAACAGCAGCCTCAGTGCTACCACTAAGTGAACCTCCAACTGACTTATGTCCTGAACTAAGTCTTCTCTCTTCATTATCATCAGTCTCAATCTGACTTCTTGATGAGGACTGATGGCCATGGTTTGACGGAGAAGAACCTTGTTGATGTCCTTGAACAACTACTGGCATTGTGATGGCAGCAGAAGCTGAAGCATCCTGAACCATAAATGGGCTATGGCTCCTCACCTGTGTATCACTGATGCTCAAGAAACTAGGGTTCAAATTCCCAAAAATTGAGTTTTGTGAATGTGCGAGTTTTCTTTTTGCCTGCGCAGCTGCAATTAGATCCTTCATAGATGCAGCCGAATCTGGGGTCTTTGCACTGGTAAATGGAGCACTCCACTTTTCTCGATTGAGATCAAGCCTGCAAAAAAATAATAATTATAAGTAATAGACGACGTTTACACAAAAAGACGACAGATAGAATGTGACATACATGCCAACAGACAAGTCCTCAGACATGTCTCTCGAACCAGAGTCATTCAAACGTGATGCAGCTTTTGAAACAACTGTTGGCCTCTCTCCAACTGAAGCTGCTTTGTGTCTCTGATTTGCTGGCTGAGACTGAGAAGAGCTTATTTTATCAGATCCCGCAACTGTCTCCTTACAAGAATCACTCTGAGGCTTCTTTGCCATCACAACATCAGAAACTTTCACAGATGATTTTAAAAGTTTATGCTGTCCTGCAACGTGCTTGTTAGTTAAAACCAGCTGGGGGGACATCTTCGGAGATCGCAAGATCTGTTTGACATCCTTTGGCGGCAATTCATTGATGGGTTTTACCGTGGGTAAGCTGTTAGTCGAATTCTCCACATTGCCTGGTAATACACGTGATGCATCCTCACAATGTTTACGCAGAGGGAACTTCCTTAGTTCAGTATTCTCTGTAGATCCAGCAGACATCTTACCTTTGGTAGAAGTACTTTGACACAGAGTAGCACTTTTAGGACCACCAGCCAAAACTGATGTTGCTTTGGGAACAATGGCTGGTCTGCCATGTAATGGAGTTTTTGGATCTTCATCATCATCTTCGTCATAGATACAAACAGCCCTCCGTTTTTTCAGCGACTGTGCAGCTGGAGCCTTAACATTACTAACAGGAGAGGAACGGTCTTTCTGTTCCAGATGACCTTTCCCGGATTTATCACGAGACCCAGAAAAAGAAGGAGAGATGGCATGCTCCATTGTTTGTCTCCGGCGCTTTGTATATGCAACTACTTCTTTATCATATTGTAAATTTCCACCGCGAGCACTTAATCCTAAAACAATTTCACGCTTAATATCTGATACAGTCCCAGTAGAATCAGATCCATCATCAATTTCACACTTTTCTTTCTTGTCTGCTGCACTTTCACATCGAGGCTTTTTAGCAGCTCGTGAACTTTCATCTACTCTTGGTGCAACCTTTCCTAGTTCACTTTCAAGCCTCCTTTTCTTACGGGAAACCCCACCCTTGAAGCCAGGTGAATTTTCATGCTTGCCAGCCGACACTTTGGAGCTAGATTTCTCTGTCAACAGACCTTTCAACTTTTTGGAATCAGAGTTACCACTGGCAGTTCGACCACCGGGCACATGTGAGTTATTGCTTCTGTCTCTATGAACTGTATCTTCACCTTTAATATCAGAGCCACCAGCTTCCTTCTTAATTCTCTTACCATTGGCCAGCTTCTTTTGGCCATTACCAAAATGTTCAATGCAAGCACTACCGTCAGTTCCTTTATCAAAATCTTCTTCCTTTATTCTAGGGTCATATGAACCATGCTCCAGTGACTCACTACGAGAGAATGTGGTTGTGATCTTTGATTCCAGAAATGAAGATGAATCTAGCTTCCCTATCTCAGCCTTTGTCTCTTCACCAATATTCTTTTCTAATTTGGGGAAGCAAGGATCCACCCTAGAATCAAAGTTATTAGTTCCATCAGACTCGATGACAATATGATCTGTTCCATCCACTCTCTCAGCCTTTGTCAAACCAGGTTCAGCAGCATCCAGAGGATCCTCATCGCCCAAAACATTTGACTTGTGATTCTGCAACTCTTCAAATGCAGTGCAAATTTGCTCTACAGCTTGTGCAAAGTACTTGACTGTTTTACCTTGACATCTTGCTAATAGTTTGCTCTTTGCCTCACTAGTGAAGGCTTGGATATCAGGCGGCGCAACAAAAGCTCTGCAATAAAGGAAGATAACTTCGTCAATGATCAGTATGTAAAACACAGAATCAACTCCAAAGATATTGTCAGCCGAAAAAAAAACATATGGTGACATGGTGTGGAAAAGGTGAAATTTTAATCAGGGTAAGAAAACACCTGATAACCGAGATCTAATGCCTAATATCTAGCAACATGATAAATTGACTTAAGTTCATATACCTTTCTGGATAAGAAGGTACCGAAATTTAAGAATAGCATGGATATGCATATAAGAGAAGTGAATAACATGAATTGCTTACATTTCCTCTGTTCCAAAGAACTGAACAAAGTATTTCTTTGGGTCTGGCGCACGATCCCAATCTTCAGGCCGGCTGATCTGAAACTCAAAACCAAAGTACTTCACAAGAGAGACTAACTAAAGAAAATTGCTTTAGAGAGATTCTGGCGCTCATTATTTATCGAGATGAAAAACATGTGTATCATGATTCAACCATGGAATCTGACCGAGTAACTATTTAAATCCGGCTCAATCTCAAAAACTATAGATTAGGTAAATCGTAAACCAGCCTAATTATGAAGCCTAGTATGGTAAGACGCACAACAAAAGAAAGAGAACACACTAGAGCTCATCAACATATGGAATTTTAACTACAAATCACTAGCTACGCACCAAAATAACCAAAAAAATTGCACAAAATTGAAGTGCCCCATCATCAAATTCTAGAATTCCTAACAATTATAAACAGAAGACCCAACAAGTTAAAGATGACTATGGGCTTAAGAACTATATATAAGAGTGAATTCGAGAAGAAGCCAAAAGAACAAGAATCTGTGGAGAAAAATAAAACCCAAATTGAGGAATGATAACGCACCTTGGCAGGCCAAGCAGGGAAGCCTTTGACTTTGGCAAGAACCAGATCACCGAGAATCAACTGCCCTTTGGTCTTGGCCTTGCTCGCTCCTCTTTTACGCCCAGGAGCCATAGGCGAGACCTCTATAAACCCTAATTTTGAACGCGAAATAGGAACACCCAACAGAATTACGTAATCCAATCCAACCCAGAGACCCAATTAGAATCTCCCGATTCCTGTCCGAAGATAATTCCACCGGAAGAAGCTCGCTGATTAAGGTAGCAGCGGAGACAGCTACAGATCACGTGACGAGCAACAGAGACGGAGCGAGAGAGAAAGAGCGAGATTGATCCAGACAGAGAGAGAGAGATTGAGGCGGTCGCGAGGGAGAGAGAGACGAGGGGCTTAGGGCAGAAAGGTGAAAACTTTCGAAGGAGTTTTTGTGAGAGAACTTTGGTTACTGTTGTCGGCGTTTTTTCCCCTTTCAATTTCCCTTTTTACGAAGGAGAGATCGGAATCGAACAAAGTTTTTCCGTATTTTCCAATTTATTTTGCTTTTAGTTTAATCTTCACTAATCCTAAGTCTTAACCAAATATATTTTAGAAATTTGTCATACAGGTAAATTATATCCTCTTTTCTTGTCTACACTTTCCTACACGTTTCCATTTAAAAATAAATAAAACGAATCATGTTAACCAAATTATATAAGTTTTCCATTTTTCCCCATTAGAGAACCAATAAATAAAACCATATTAAAATGAAAACTATAAGATAAACAATATAATTCTGCTTGTGTTTAAAACGTTTTATGAGAGTTAAAATTGTCCAAAAAATAATTCAGAGCAACAGAATCAAACACTGGTAATTGAAAGCTCAGCTCAACACAACAAGAAGACCCATTCTTACAGATAGTATGAGACTTGTCATAAAGATCGTAAGATTCTGTCCCTAATTTTCTAAGGGCATAATCAAAGACAAGAATATGATGGTGTTCTAACTTCATCTATATAAAAAAAGGCAAATCAGAATAGATGTGGCTTTGACATTATGAGGTAGAGAACATATCAAAGTAAGCGAAACCATGAAACCGAAGTATATTGATCAAGAGCATAAAGAACAGCAAACCACATCATCTAACATAAGCAAATCAACTAGGACTACGATTTCTCAAACTAGACAACAATCTCATCATTCTCAACTTTCTAATCAGTTCCAAAGAATATGCAATAATCAAATATTTGTGTTGCATCAGACGGTGCAAGAGATTAAGACCCAAAGCACTCTTTAATCCAATATTCATTTTACTGAATCAGATATGAGACTCTAAACATGCAAGGAAAAGAGTTCCGAAATATAGTCATGATCGATATATGAAAGAATAAAAACAGTTTGAGAGATCATGCCCTCAGAGCATAACTTCATCCATAGAAAAAGTAATCTAATGGGAGCAAAGCAAAACTGGTAGAGGAAAAGAAGAAAATTTATTACTTTGATTACCAGTTACTTCCTAACTTGAACTCTTATCTTTGCTTTCATTTCCAACTGCATCTTTCACCAACTCCAACGGTCTTTCATCAATTACTTCATCGATTATTCCAAACGCCTTGGCCTCTTCAGGAGTCATGAAATGATCCCTATCCATGTTATTAGCAACCACGTCAAGAGGTTGACCCGTGTGTTTGACATACAGTTCATTTAAGGCATCCCACACACGAACAATCTGTTTTGTATGAATCGTTATATCCTTAGCCTGTCCGCTATATCCTCCTGAAGGCTGATGAATCATAACAGTTGCATTTGGAAGCGATCGCCTTTGCCCCTTGGCACCCGCTGCCAAGAGTAGAGAAGCCATTGATGCAGCCTGACCTAAACAAATTGTGCTTATCGGAGAACGAATATACTGCATAGTATCATAAATTGCAAGGCCTGTATCAAAGACAAAGATAAGAAAAAATGGGTCACCGACTCACAAGACACATGAGAAACAATATTTTAGATTGAGAAAGTGTTAACTCGTCACAAACCAGCACTCCTGAGACTGTGAACACTAAAATTACCAGCAATTACTAGTGGCTGACACACATTTCAGCAGCCTCATTGCAGGAATCAAGTCACTAACCACAAATATATACCCAAATCCACAGAGGAACAACTATCAACGAACAATATTAATCTCTTATACCAAGCACCAACTAAGAAAGAAAGGCATATAGCGATCTGATTCCCAATCAACCACTACAAATTTTGACGAAGCTAAATATACAAAAATTTAGATAATGAAAAGCGGAAGCGTACCGGCGGTGACATGGCCGCCAGGTGAATTGAGATACATATGGATCGGCTTGGAAGGATTCTCAGACTCGAGGTAAAGAAGCTGAGCGACGACGACGTGAGATGTGTCGTCATTAATGGGACCGTTGATGCAGATAATACGCTCCTTGAGTAATCGAGAGAAGATGTCGTAAGCTCTCTCTCCTCGCGATGAGTGCTCAATAACCATCGGAATCAGACTGTAGCTTCTTCTAGCGGTGGCGATGCTCGACGATGGGGATGATAGCCTCTTGGCGCCGGAAACAAGACCCCTCATCATCGGAATCTAGGGTTGTTCTGGGAAGAAGTGAATTGCTCGAGAAATGAAAACTCGACTCGAGAGCTTAGGGATTTCAGATTTATTATTAGTACTCTTTTTATTTTATTTTCTTTTTTCCTCGATTTGTTTATTGGAAAAAAATTAGTTAGACATCAATTATTTTCAGCTGTTACATTTTTACACAGCTATGAATTTGAACATAAACCAGTTAAAAAAAAATAGTTTGAATATTTTGATATTCCATTATTCATCTAACATACAAATTAGATTCACCAAAACCTTAATGCCTAATTTGACTCTCAGTGTCACACTACCTGTTTGCCTTATTGCTTTTATTAAATGAAATGAAATGAAATGCAATAATACACTTTTTACTTCTATTTACTCCCCAATCTAATAGCCATCGACTTCTTGCTTTTGGATTACAAAAACCAAAACAACGAGACGGATGGAACCTACCTAACCTTAGTCCTCAGTCCACAGCCTTTTTGTTTCTCCGACCTGTTAAAGGCTTAGGCAATCCGTCAAAAATAGAACTCGCCATAGCTGCTTGTGTGAGCAAATCAGGTTTCAGGGTCCACTTCGAGGTTGACCACAGCGATGAACCGTTGCTATTACAGTCCTGTTCTTGCAGACTAGATGCGCTAAACGATTTCCTCACGCTTGAGAAGCTGTCTCCCACAGGAGCATCCATCAAACTGATTGGTACGGAATTGACATTATTGGTCTCAGTTTCTGCTGATAAATTAGCTCTGCTTGATGCTTTGGATCTCAGTGCTAAATTTTTCCCAGCTATTGCAGAAAACGCACCATTGCTGCTTCTGTTCTCTTCCTTCAACAGCAATTCTGGAGCTCGTGAACTAAAATCGGCTTCAGATTTTTGGCGTCTTCTCATTGGCTTGTCAGAATTCACTTCTCCTCCTCCTGCTTTTGAAGGGTTGGGTGATTGGTTGACCTCGGCGATAACTGCATCGACCAAGCTTCTTGATTTTCTGTGGTGGCTTAAGGGAGTATTGGTGGCTGGGAAGGGAGTGAGGTACTGGTCATCGTCTTGGAGATGAGAAGAATTTTTCTTGTAGACTGCCATCTCAAAACCTTCGGAAGCTCTTCTGTTTTTTGGTTTCAGTCCATAATAACCTTGCAAGGAGTTCATGGCTGGAGAAATATTATTTTCTGAAGGCTTCAACCTCAAAGACTGGAAGGAGTCAAATACGTCTTGGTGGTTGCCATTGCTTGCTGATGATGAAGCTTGCTCGAAACAATCCTCTCTGCAAGAAGATTTCATATATCAGTCATGGGGATAGAATTACTTTGATATGTGGATGCCCTAATGCAAATCAGTAGACTACCATCATTATCATTCAAGGCTCTACTTAACTGTCTCAATTCTCAACATCTTTACTCATTCTCTTACTTGCGTTCTGCTCATCATTCTTATATCGAGGGAAAGGATGCAGTTAGAAGCGGTTGTATGCACTAATCAAGAAACTTAAAGTTCATAACCCATTATGCACAAACTATGGTGCAGATAGAAACTTTCGAGTTTCCAGTAGTAGTTTTGGTTGTGCAGGAAAACAGAATTTGAAACGTCAAAACTGCTCTTTTATAAGGACCAGTTGTACCCACTTGGTTTGCTATCATGTCTCCCTTAAGCATTTTCCAGCATAAACAACTCTCACTAAGCATTTTCCTAATCTTATGGAAACTTCTTTCTATAACCTGGTCTATGTTTCTTTGAATGAACTTGGGAAATGCACAATAGCACAACTCAAGTAACATATGAATGAACCCACCACTGAAGATAAAAATCAAAGTCACAGACTACAGCCTTGTAATCTAAGAAGAGAGGATAAAGAGGCTAAAAGTACCCATGATTTACGGAGCCGTTAGATAAGCAAGGAGAAGGAGGATGTCTTCCAGGTAATGGTATTCGGAGAGATGTAAGAGCAAACATCTGAAGATCAGTTACAAGCCCATTCAGCTTCGTGATATCTGCAACCTGAAATAGCACTTTTTCAGGACAAGGAAAAAAAAAACTAATCCAGCATCAAAACTCAGAAACTGGGATAGTGAGTGTCACGAGATGAGAAATGCTTTGTTTCTAACTTCTGAAGTAAAAAATCCATATGAATTTTTTTAAAAGAAGCACCTTTATGATACATTCCAGAAAATTCAAATCCTTTACCACTAGATACCAGCACACAACAAAAGAGACCTCTATAGGTCAAATTTTATGTAGCCCAATCATGGCAATCTTAAATTCAAAAAAAAAATCCAGTAAAAAGCACAGATACTATAATACCTCAACGCCATACTTTATGGCAATGCCGGCGAGAGTATCGAACTTGGAAACCCGGTGTTCGATATAACCAGCGCCGGTAGAAGTCGACGACGGTGGAGACGAGGTCGGTGACGTGATACGCAGGATTTTCGAAACAGAGAATGATCTTGAAGGACTCCTTTCATGGCAACCTTGTGATCGATCTACGAATCCGTAACCATAATCACCACGGAATTTTCTGTTGCTAAATTCAAAACTCCCATTGAAACCAGAAATACGTCTCCCTCGATCCGTCAACATTGTTGAATACAATCTAACCTATTCTGAAACTAGATCTGATCAAAAATTCTCGGATTCCGGTAAAATCGAAGAGGAAAAGGGGAAAAAGCGAAAACGAGAAACGAGAAACGAGGAAGAGAC